ATAATCGTGGAATGCTTTCTCAGATTTATGATCCATGAAATGCTAAAAGATTAATTAACAACTAAAAGATGGGAAGAATTGAAAATTTAAGTTCAAATGCTCATCTTTTAAATTGCATTTGTATGTGCCTATAATTTCCGTTTGTAATATTTTTTTTTAGAAGAAAGTATTTTGTACGCTGCAAACAAAATTGCGCGAATCATTTTTTATTGTAATTAATTTTATTTTTACTATTAATCAGTAAAGTTTACGTATATTAAGATTTTAATATAGATATTGATAAATAATAATAATATAAAAGTAATATAATAATAATAATAAATACAAAATAATACAAAAAGTAGTTTTGAAAAATAATAAAAATGCTCTTTATACTTTTTTATCGTCAGACGTCTTTTATGAAAAACGTCTGACGATGACTCGACATTTCTACTGTGAGGAGTTGAGATAGACAAGATTTGAAAAAATATGGTTTGTAATCATTAAAGAAAGGAAATTTTTTTTTGAAATCGCATTGAATAAATTTGCTGGAGGTAGATGAGGAATTTCGCACACCTTTAAAAATTATTGGAGCGCGAAACGAAAATTTAAATTTATAAACGTAAACCGAAACCGCGGAGCGTTTTTAAAGAAGAAAGTAAAATTCACCGCATATAAAACTGCTTGAAAAATTTCATATAACATAGGTTATTTATATATGTATATGTATAACAGTTATTCGAGAATCAATGTTATCGACAGAAAACCACTTTGTGGTGTGTATCTTTGAATGAATAACACATTTTTACGACCTAGTAATAATTTCTTATGAGGGAGTAAAATATTCATGTTAAAATTAAAATTGCATAAAGTATATAAAATTTTAAAAAAAGTAAAAAAAAAAGTAAAAATAAATATTAAGAATAAGGGAAAAAGTTTGAAAAAAGTAAAAATATGTAAAAAAGTAAAATAAAAAAGTTAAGAAAATATAAATAGTGTGTAGTTTGTAAAGTTTATATATATATATATATAGTTATAAAATTATTTCATTAGATGTGATATAAATAAGTGATAAGTTTGCCGGATCGAATTTATATTTATTTTTATTGAAAATCTTTTTTGTATGCATGACATGGGGATGTATTATTTAGCAGCGTGAACTATTACTTTCTCAACGTGCATTTTATGATTGCAACAAAATTAACTACGACATGAATTATTCATGAGGCAATATTTGCAGGAGTTGATTTATCTGTTTGAGCAGGGAAAATAGGGAATTTAAGTTTCAATTAGAAATGTGTTAAATGGAAGACGAGCATTAGCTGTTGGCTTATTATAAATATTTAAAATATGAATATTGTATTCACTCTATTTATTTACATTTACAAATCTAATATTTGACGTTTTTTCTCTCCTATAAATATTTTTGATAATACACACAGTAGCTTTTTAGGTTTTTTAAAAATAACTTAATTATTAAATTTAATTAATTAAATTAATTATAATTATTAAACTTAATTATTAGTAAATTTAACTAACAAGTAAATTAGTAAAACAAATAGTAATTTCTATTAATTTATTTGTTAGTTAAATTTACTAATTCGAAAGCAAAAAATCAGCCACTGATTTAAATTATTAAAAGTTTTTACTAATTCAAATTTAGAGTGCATATATAGGCTACAATTCATTTTATAAATAAAATTTGAATATTTGATAGAAAAAATATTTTATAAATAATTTCAAATTTTTGTAAAATTTTTCATATTTATTTTTACATTCTCGTCACATAAGAAGGTATTTTTTTATTTATGCGAGTAGTTTTTGTATGATCTGTAATCTAGCAGGGAAAATTATGTAAATATGAAGAAAGTATATATATATTCAATATTGTATAAAACGTGAAAGAAATTGGTTATTAAAATTAATTTTACAGACAATATAACTCGCAAAATTAACACAATTTTATCGTTTGTCATGAAAACGACAAATTTTTTTATGCATTTTAATTGAAGCGCAATCAATTTTATGTTTCTCTAAAACCCTCAATTATATAGGGACTGCGAACTTTCAAGAAATGCTAATCCAGTATCGCTCTTACATTGTTTATATATAATTTGAGCAATTTTCGTAAATAAAAAATACAATTTTTATTTTTAATAAGAAAATTAAAACAATAAGTACGACTTCCTAAAATGAGTAGGTGGGAAAAGTAAATTAAGGATAAAATAATTAGAAAGAATTGAACTTTGAAAATTGGGTCAAACTCTGTATAAGGAATTTGAATTTTATTATTATTCTCACTCGGGTTTCAATTAAATAATATATATTATAAAAAGCAAAAATATAATTAGAGAGAATTTTTTAGTTGATTTGAAAATAGAGGCAATAATTAAAATTTTAACTTAATTATTTATTTGATCATAATTATATTACTACAATTATTATTATTAATTAATTATTATTGTTTATATTTTCAAAATTTTTAATTATCTTTGCGAGAATTTAATTATTTTCATAAATAATAACATTCTTCGAAAGAATTTAATTATTTTTATAAATAGTAAGATTCTTTGCAAAAGTTAAATTATTTTCAACAAAATTTCACGAAAGAATTCAATTATTTTCTAAAATTAAAATAAATAAAATAATAATTTTCACCTCTTTCTTAGATATTTTTTTACGTTATTTGTGATATATTTTTGAAAGAAAAATTAACGCTGCAAATGTACTTGCGCGTCATTATTTTTTTAAAGTGTTCTTTTTATTAGTGTACTTATTTAGTGTTTTTATAAATTTTTATTGAAATTATTTAAAAAGTAAGTATATAAATAATTTTTTAAACTAAAATTTTTGATGGAAAATTATTTGCTTTTATTCACTAAAATGAAAAGTATATTTTGAATTTTGTAAATGTTGTCCTTTTATTAAAAGTTATTTTTATTTTTGCATTTAAGTACAATTTGTTTTATTATTATTGAACAAGAAATGATTTTGTATCAGGATATTGATTTTTTGAAACATACTAACCCAAATACTGGTGTTGGTATGGTACTTTCTCGTAAAATACAGAAAACATCCTAATTTTCAAACAATTTCGCGCAGTCACAGGAAATTTGGTTTGTTTCCTTCAAACTTTCTCGTGTGAATAATCAAATTTTTACGGTCGATTTTTTTTCATAAAAAAAATATAAAATCGAATGTATACTTGAGGAATTGATCTGTTACCAATATCTTATGATTGGAGAAAAAAAATGGTGTGAAAAGAAAGGTGTGCGTCATTTTTTTCGAAAAGTGTATCACACTATCAAAATTTCATTCACGTCTTTTCACTTTTGGCCGGAGGAGAGTGTTTGGTGGAGAAAAAAATGTGTTCCTTTCTCTTTCTATAAAGATATATATAGATATACTATATGTACCGAAAGAATAAGTTTTTGAAGAATGGGAGTGTAACCTTGCTATGTAACCTTGTATATTCTGGCGAACTTCAACGCAACGGGTCTTTTTAACTGAGGCCAAAGATATCGGGCCGAAAAATGACGGAAAGAATATATAAATATACAGTAATGTACACTCTTGACGTGTGTCGGTCGTCGGATCACTTTCTCCGCGCGCGTTTTATAGTTGCGTTGGTCAGATCAACAAATAAAACTATTCACGTATGTTTTTATTTAGGAAGTCGGATATATGATAATTATAAGCCTTGTAACACTGGTTTTCATTTTATTATTTTTTTTATTCGGGTTAAATGCTGTTTACCAAATGACTCTATTGAGAGAGATCATTTTTTCATTCATTTGCGGATTATTCTCATGATTTAATTCTTTGCAGCATGCACGATGGACCGTTAAAAAATTCAATACATTTATTTTCTTTTACGGAATATTTTTTTTTGGTTTCTTCTATTTCTGCTTCTTTATATATTTTTTCGTTTCTTTAAAGTTTTACATTTTAAAATTTTTCTCTTGTTATATTTTTGCTTTCTTATTTTTTCGTTTCTTTATATTTTTCTTCTTCCATATTTTTGCTTCCTTTAGGGTAAGTCCGGGGGAGATGGCCATAGTTTTTTTAAAGCACTATAATTTTTGGCTTTTAGCTTAAACTTAATTTTTAATTGTTCAAATTACTTTTCTCTTATTCTGGTCACATTTTGAACATTTATCATGGTATTCAATGCAGTTTTTATGCATGATGTAGCCAAAAATTTTAAATCCAATCTTCAATCAATTGAAGAATAACCCATAATAAGTGATATTTATTTACAAATTCTGTAAAATATTTCAACTGGCCATCTCCCCCGGACTTGCCCTATACAATTTTTATTTTTGCTTATTTTTGCTTTTTAATATTTTTGCTTCGTTTATATTTTTATTTTTTCATATTTTTGTTCTTGTTATATATTTTTCTGCTTCTTTATATTTTTGCTTTTTTATTTTTTCGTTTCTTTATATTTCTGCTTTTTTATTTTTTCATTTCTTTTTAGCTTTGTTTTTTATATTTTCGTTTTTTTAATATTTTTTTGTTTATCTCTATATTTATTTGATTCAACTATAACTGATTTTTTGTCAATTGTGAAATAAATATTTACTTGAATCAAATAAAATTCCAGTGTACAGGTATAGTAAAATTTTGCAGAGTCTGAAAGTTAATTATTAATTTATTTTATTGTTTATTATTTTTCTTATTTTCTTGCTTTTTTATTTATTATTTTGCTTATTTTATAAAATTTTTTTTATTTCTTTTTTTTCGTGAGGAAAATATAATCCGCGGACACAATTGCAGAAAATTAAAGATGTTGACCTCCGCGAGAGAATAAATATAGTGTTTTAAGCTTTTTATTTTTTTGTCAGTAAATGCGTATAAGCAAGGTGCGAAAGAAATACTAAAATTGCATGTGTATCAAAAGGCATGTTCTGGACTTTCCTGAGAAGGCATCCATCGCGCACCACTTCCATTGCACTCTTAGTTTCCACCACCGATCTTTTGCAGGTACCACCACCTGGCGTATGTCTTTCATCCGGACATTGCACCGGGGGAGGATACGCGCCTATATAACAACGATGTTCCACTGATTGGACGAAGTAAGCTACGTTTTCCTGCGCCTAGGGAACCCAGAGTACGCGGGCCCGATCGGGCGGCACTGCGACAATATGAAATTTCGCCCGAAATGCGCGGTTAGTTTTTCTAATTTTGGAAAAATTTTAAAAACAATTTTCATTTTTCTATCTTCATTTATCTTCATAAACACGAGTCTCGCGAGCGTGAATATTTAATTTATTTTTGCAAAACACATTTTTTTCAAGTGCCGATGGATTTTTTGCTGTTTGAGATTGTAAAGAGGAAAAACTTCTAACTAATTTCTAATTAGTGGTTGTTTTTGACTAATTTTCGCAAAGTGACTAATTTTTGTTTTTTGGAATTTAAGGTTTTGAATAATTTGGCTAATTATTGGTATTAAAATTTCAACTAATTATTAGTAGAATTTTAACTAATTATTGTTTGATATTTTTTGGTTAATTATTGTTAACAAGAGAAAATTTAATAATTATTGTTTGAAATTTTTGGCTAGTATGTATTAGAATTTTAAAAAATTATTTCTAATTATTTTTTTAACTATTGCTGACTTTTTGGTTAATTTTTACTATAATTTGACCTACTGAATAATAGTTACAATTTTGGCTAATTAAATATCTAATTGAACTACTAAGAAAATCGTTTGTTATTAAAAGTTAACTAAAAATTTAAATTAGTGGACATTGATTAGCTTAATAATTGAAAATTTTAAACTATTAACAATTAAAAATAATTTTTTTAATTGTTTGTAATCATTAGCTAATTATTTGATAAATTGGTTTGTAAATTGTTGTTGGAATTTTAAATAATCATTAGTAAAAGTTTCAAACAATTATTTGTGAAACTTATAGTTAATTAACTAGAAGTTTCCTACGTTGGATTTTTTACTATTATTGAAATTTAAATATTTATCAGTGAAATTTCTTCGTTAATTGGTAGTGAAATCTTTTAACTAATAATTAGTGAAATTTTTGTCTAATTGTTGGTGCGATTTTAACTAATTATTATTATTAATAATAAAAATGGGCTAATTATTAACGAAATTTCTAAATTCTACTTAGTGAAATTTCTAGTTCATTTTATTCTTTTTGAACTAATTATTAACTTTAATTCATCATTGACTGAATTTGGTTAATAATTATTAATTTGCAAGTTATCATTAGTAAATTTACAACTAACAATTAGTAAATTGTTTTCCTTATTAAATTCATATTAAAGTTTCATTTAAAAATTCGTCATAATTTTTTATTCAATAAAATTCCATTAGGCAACTATTAAAATTAGTCAAAATTTTTATTTGAAAGGTAAATTGAAAATTGGCAATTAGAAATTACTTAAATTAAAAATAAATAATTTGTGTAATTAAAAGTAATTGATCAAACTAATTAAAAATAATTATTACTTTCGAAGTAAAAAAATTAAAAAGTTTTAAATTTAATTTTAAAAAATCGAGGTTACTAAAAAGAAAATTAAAAAAAAATGTAAAGCAAAAAAAAAAAAAAAAATGTAAAAAAAAAAAAAAAAAAAAAAAAAAAAAAAAAAAAAAAAAAAAAAAAAAAAAATGTAAAATGTAAAGCATTTAAGTAAATCAATTCAGTGAATAACGAAAGAAAGCAACAAACTATTAGAGAGAAATTAAAACAATTAAAATTGAATTTTATGAGAAAAACTAATTGTAAAAAATATATTGGTGAATTTTATAAAGTCACGGAAATTTTTAATACAATATCGTGAAATGTATCTAACGAGCGATGAAAGTTGCAAAAGAAGTATCGTTTAATATATGAGGAAAATTATTTGGGACATAAAATGCGCGCACGATTTCTTTCAAGGAGCCAGAGATCTTGATCTTGAAAAGTGGCACGCGCGCTCGATCGTAATATATTATTTTGTTGAGGAATATTGTAACCGCGTTGAAAATACATTTTTAATTATTTGATTTATATTCAGTTTTATTTACTCTTTTTTTGTTGTTTTAATCATTCGCAGATTGCGGTAGTTGTGCTACTGCAAGCCGTTCTTGTGGCGAGTAAGGCACTGGACCAAACACAGCTACAATCACAAGTACAGCAACAAATTCAGTGAGTTTGTCGTTGATTAATTAATTTCTTAGTTTTCCGAATACTTGATTTGTCTTTTAATTTTTTATTTATCTATCTAAATATTCTTAATCAATTTATTTTCTATCCATTCTGTCGACACCTGAAGTTAGACTTTTGTGTATACTTTTGTTTTTTATACGTTTACAAAGAAATTTTTTTAAATTTATTAACATTATTTTTTCTTTTTCAATAATTCCTACGCTGAAAAAATTACATTCTAAATTTAAGAAAATCTACTTAAATAGGCACCAAAAATATTATTCTTATTGTAAGAATATTTCCATTAGCAAGATTATTATTATTATTATAATATAATATAACAAATTATTATTACTAGAGCCCATGCCAGGATCCCAATAGTTACTTTTTTATATCTGCATTCATGGGTTAACGATTATTGTTAAATAATAATAATAATGATAAAGCTAATAATAATATTGGAAATAATAATTATTTACAATTATTGTTGATTAAAATTGTTCAAATTAATATTTCAACAAATAGATTGTATAATTTAACAAATTGTAATGACAATGAATTAAATTCTATAATTTGACAAATTGTAATTTTCAACAAATTAAATTGTAATAGAATAATAATTTATTAATTATACCTATAAAAATTTACTATATATTATCTAAGATAATTTACCTAGATTCTGCAAGGATCCTGGTGGCAAGTGGACTAACTAAAAAATGCCATTAGTAAGAAAAGGATAGTCATATCTCTGTCATTTTCTTGCTAATGGCATTTTTTAGTTAGTCCACTTGCCACCAGGCCTCTTGCCGGATCTAGGTGAATTATCTTAGGTTACAGTTTCTATTTATTATTCGCCTAGAGACTTTATTTGAAAAAATTAAAAATATTCTTTGATGTGCCTGTAAATTTTGTTGGTTTAGCCAAATGCATAGGTATTTAAATTGTAAAGACTTTGCTAAGATTCTGTAGAGGGTGTAGTAAAGAAAAGGAAGGAAGAAGCACTTGTAGGGGCTTGCCTCTCCTAGACTCGCGTTCGGTGTTTTTTCACATTAAATTTTAAGTGATTTTAAAATTTCTTTGCTCTAGATATGGTACCGTGGCACAAAAGCGATGGGCAGAGGGACCAAGTGGAGGAGGAGGTGACTCTAGTGGACATGGGGGTGGAGGTTATGGAGGAGGTTATGGAGGAGGCGGCGGTGATTTTGGAGGTCACGGAGGTGGAGGAGGTTATGGAGGAGGCGGCGGTGATTTAGGAGGCCACGGAGGTGGAGGAGGTTATGGAGGAGGCGGCGGTGATTTAGGAGGCCACGGAGGTGGAGGAGGTTATGGAGGAGGCGGCGGTGATTTAGGAGGCCATGGAGGTGGAGGTGGTGGCGATTTTGGAGGTCATGGAGGAGGCGGTGGCGGTGGTGACTTTGGTGGAGGAGACCACGGCGGTGATATAAGTGGAGGCGGTGGTTACGGTGGTGGTGGCGGCGGAGGAGGAGGTGGTGGTGGTGGTGACCACGACTCCGGCTACTGGAAAAAGAAACTCATTTGGAAACCCGGTTGGAAGAAAATCTGGAAACCAGTACAAAAGCAAATATGGAAACCGGCGTGGAAGAAAATCTGGAAACCAGTTTGGGAACCAACAAAGAAAGCCATCTGGAAGGAAATACAGGTGCCGGCTTGGAAGAAAATCTGGAAACCGGTTTGGAAAGAAATTCAGGTTCCAGCGTGGAAGGAAATAAAAGTGCCGGCCTGGAAGAAAATATGGAAACCCGTTTGGATTCCGATAAAGGTACCTGCTTGGAAGGAGATTAAAGTTCCGGATTGGAAGAAAGTTTACAAGCCAGTATGGAAGGAGATTAAAGTCTCAGCATGGAAGGAAATTCAGGTACCGGCGTGGAAGAAGATTTGGGTACCCGAGTGGGTCAAGGTCGGTATTCCCGGACCTCATAAACTGGGAACTGATGACCATGGATGGATGTACACCAGTCATGATCTTTGGAAGAAGAAATTGATTTGGAAGCCATTGTGGAAGAAGTATTGGAAGACGGCCAAGAAGCAGGTTTGGATTCCAGATAAAAAATTGGAATGGAAAGAGGAGTGGAAGCAAATTTGGAAGCCGGGGAAGAAACAAATATGGGTCGATGACAAGAAGCTCATTTGGAAGGAGGATTGGAAACAAATATGGAAACCAGGAAAGAAGCAAATCTGGGTACCAGACAAGAAGCTCGAGTGGAAGGAGGCTTGGAAGCAAATCTGGAAGACGGAGAAGAAATTGGAGTGGGTTCCTGATAAGAAACTAGCGTGGAAGGAGGCTTGGAAGGAGATTCAGGTTCCGGCTTGGAAGGAAATTTGGGTACCAGCCTGGAAGAAGATATGGAAACCGGTTTGGATATCGGAATGGTTCCCAAATGAAGATCACCATCATCATAAATCGTCAGGTTGGGAGGATCGTAAAGACACGCAGAGTCAAGATACGCAATTGGTGCCTGCGACATTGCAAGCCATTGAGAAGCAGAAGGCGAATCAAGTGCCTCAAGTGACGCAGTTGACTGGTGATAACCAGATTCGATGGGACAGATCGGCTCAAGTTCAGGGACAAGGACAGTTGCTTTCGATCACTCAGGATCTGAAACCGCCGCCACTGCCGACAAATTTGAACAGCGAGATAGCCAATTTCCAGGACTTCTCGAAATCCTAGAGTTAGGAAAAGTATTTTAGTCCCTCGTGAGAAAATCTTGTACAAAAAAAAATCTTCGTGAAGAAAACATTTTGTTTGTAACATAAGCCACTGTACATATTAATTTTAAGGTTTCTTAAGACGTACGAAGTAAGGTACTTATCGAGCACTCTACTTGACTGAATGATTTTTTATTTTTATTATTATTTTCTTTTTACTTTTAAAGGATCTGCAGAGTCCTTTGGAAATTCTTTTGCGTTGAACGTTATTGCTTTCAAATATTTTGATACACACGTTGTTGTATTTCTGTTAATAAATTCGTTAACGAATAAAGATAATACATATTTTGTTAATTTGGTTTCGTTTCTTTAATCCTTTTTTCCTATTTTTACCTTGAGTTGTTTCTGTTTTGCAATTTTTACATTTTTTACTGTACGAAACATTTTTCTTTATTTCTATTTTTATGTTTAAACTTTAAATAGTCAAGAAGATATTTTATTTCCAAGTTTCTTTATCTTTATTACCACATACGATATAGAAGAAAGAAAATATACTTTTTTGTTTCTAGATTCGTTTCTCTCGTTTCGTGTTCGTGTTGCTCGTTGAATCTCTAATCAGTTAATTAGCAATTATTCATTATTCGTGACGCAACGAGAGTGGAAATAAAATGGGAGCGAATTTTTTGAGAAACGTCGCGTATACAAACACGTGACTACTTTGCTGGGGGAGAAAGTAAAGGAGATTTCCTTACGGAATAAAGGAAATGATATATGCTAAAAGCTTGACCATGTACAGTGAAAGTATCTCGTGCTCTCGGCACCCACATGCAATAGACATGAGCGAATTAATAATCAAAGATTACGCTTCTAGCCGCAAATGAGCCTTTTTAAGCATCATATTGTAGATATACGTATATAAGATGTGCAATCGTGTGTATGATTGAAGCCACACTTGATTTTCTAGACGTGACTGAACAATTTCATACGTGACGGCTTGTACTTCAATCATCATCATAATCATCACCAAGAGCATCATTATGTTCATTACCATCATTACCTTTCATTATCATCAATGTTTTTAAATATATCTTCATTCATCCCGAAAGTGTGCAAAGTTTCACTTTTATGCTATTTAATATTAATTATGTTTCTCTTTATATTTACTAAACTGTATAGAACATTAAATTCTATTCATTCTAGTAAAACCCTATAGTTTTTGAATGGGTTTATAGTTTCGAATTGCATTGATTAGTGATTCTTAATTGGAGTATTTTCTGGAGTTCCAAATTGTAGATTATTCTTGATTGAAGTTTGTTCATAAAAGTGAGCTTTTCGATTGGAATTAGATCGGTTGGTAGGTCTTTTAATTGGAGTAGTTTGGAGTAAATTTTTCTCGACCAAAACCTCATCGATTAGTTTCTACTATTGCACTTTTCTATTGTGGCCTGTTCAGAATTAATTTTCACCAATTATTGTTGTTGCAACTTTTGGTATTCACTCCATTGGAGTTTGTTTTTCATTTAGCTTCTTCAGGTAAAAACAAAATTATATTTTTGTGGCAACCCTGTTCAGATTAAATTTCCTCAATTGATGTTGCATCCTCTGGTGTTTTCTCAATTAAAGTTGCATTACTTGGTACTTTCTCAATTGGAGTTTTTCTTGCTGCAGCTTCTTGAAGTTAAATTTTCTGAATATTGTTGTTGTGCCGATTGGTACTTATTAGTTAACTGAAATTTGTTTATATGCAGATTCTTTAGATTAAATTTCTTCAATTGAAGGTGCATTCTCCACTGTTTCCTAAATTGGAGTTGCATCATTTGGTACTTCCTCATTTCGAGTTTTATTTATTGCAGCTTCTTGAAAATAAAATAAAATTTTCTGTTGCATTGTCTGTTTTCTCTGCAATTTCTATTGCATTCTTTGGTACTTTATTAACTGGAGTGTGTTTATTTGTAACTTCTTTAAATTAAATTTCCTCAATTAAAGTTGCATCCTCTGGTGCTTCCTCAATCGGAGTTGCAACATTTAGTACTTCCTCAAGTAAACTTCTACTTTTTGTAGTTATTGTAGTTTATATTTTTTAAATTCTTGTTTAATTATTTTGCAGGTATTATTTCAATTGAAATTCCTTTGTAAAATAGTTAACTTCTTCAGATCAAATTTCTTCAATTTAAGTTGCATCATTTGGTACTTTCTCAATTGGAGTTCTACTTATTGTAGTTGCATAAAAAATTTAAGATACTGTAGTTTCTATTCTTCCTGTTGCATTTTTGTTCTTGTTGCATCATTTTGCGGGTATTATAATATCTCGATTGAAATTCTTTGGCAGCTTCTCTAAATTAAATTTTCTCAATTTAGCTTTGATGTTTTCTTGATTGAAGTTGCTGCATTTATTTTTCCTCAATTTAAATCTAAATAAATTGTTAAATCAAATCAACATTCTCTCTCCAGTTTTGTCGATTACACTTCTATGAATGTAAACATATATAGTCATTATGCAATTTTGTTTGCACAGAAAAAGAAAAATCGTGTCGTAAACATTCATTGTTAAGGAAAGATTTTTTTTCCAAAAAATTTCAACATTACATTTTTGTCACAAATATTTTGAAAATAAAGTATTAAAAAAGTGTGGAAATTGCCATTTAGCCGCATGTCAACTTCCTGTCCTATTTGAAAAATTCACTTGGAGAAAAAGAGTGTTTCCGCATTACATACAAGAGCAAAATAGCGTTTCCTTTAAGTAAACGCACTTAGGCATATTACGATATAGAAAAATAATAAAAACAAAAGTGGAAAAGGAAATTATTTTTCTATTTAAAATAATAATAATCAGTTGTATTGAATAGTAAAAAGTATGGAAAAGTATAAAATAGTGTAGATAAATAATATAAATATAGAGATCAATAATAATTGGCGACAATTTTCTTTTTGTGAGAAGAAGACATTTTTTGTGATATGCATTTTTTTGTGCGAAAAGAAATTTTGTGATATAAAATTTAATGAGTACTTTCTGTCGTCTTTTCTCACGCACTTTTTATATTTCCTCTTGATATCAGAATATGTGACTTTTATCCTATATAGGTATATAATATATACGCTGATGTTAATTGAAGGTTTCGTTATTCATGTGCATTGAATTCTGAGCATATAATTGCTTCAGGGAGAAAACAACTTGAAGATTTTTATGAACGCGAGAAGCTCATCGTGAATTTAATTCGTACGGAAGTGTCACGTGTGAAATATTTTCACTTTCCATCATTGGGAGCATCCGTAACATTTAGTGTATTTTTTTAAATAATAAACTATAAATATAGTTTTTTTCTTAAAAAAGAAAAAAAAAATTTTTTTCTTTTTTTTCTTTTTTTTCTTATAGATCAAAATAAAAATAAATTTTTTTTCTTAAATCAGAATAAAAATAATTTTTTTTTATATCTGAACCATAGAAAATTTATTTATATCCCAGATTTAAGAAAAAAATTATCTATTTTCAAATTTAAGGAAATAATTTTCTTTTTTTCTTAAATCTGAATCTTAGAAAATTTATTCTTATCCAAATTTGAGTAAAAAAATTATATTTAGATTTAAGGGAGTATTTTTCTTAAATCTGAATATAAATTTTTTTTGTCAATCCGAATGTATTCACATTCGGATTTTTTTTCTTAAATCTAATTATAAATTTTTTTCTCAAATCGGGATATAAATAAATTTTCAAGAATTCGGTTTGCAAAGTCAATATCCACTAAGGTCATGGCGAAATGGTTCCATTTGAGAGACTTTCATTATGATATAATGCATTTAATCACTATAATTATCAAGAACGGGAATGAAAGCGAATAATTGCTATTTTATAAGTGTAACTGTTGAATAATTGGTTTCGGTAGACGGAATATAAATTCTTTTTTTTAATATTGTTCATTAAAAATAAAAAAAAAAAATAGTGAAAAATTTCCATATTCTTGGCATTTTGTTTATTTGAAAGTAATTTTTTTATTATTATGACATTCATAAGAGAAAAATTCTTGGAAAATAACAAAAAAAATTTAGTTGAATCAAATAAAATTGATTACTTTAGTATTGGTACTAAAAAAAATTTATTTGATTCAAACACCCAGAAAAAAATTGTTGTTGATTCAAAGAAATCATTTACTAAGACTCGTAATAAATTTTTTTAGTCACAATGAATAATGTTTGTTAGTCAAAATAAATTTCTTTAATCCCAATATATTTTTTTCAGTTTATTGTGACTAATAAAAGATGTATTGCGACTAAAAATATTTTTTAGTCATAATAAATTTTTCATATTCACAATAAATTTTTTTGTAGTCGTAATTAATTTTTTTAGTAAAAATAAATAATATTCATTAGTCAAAATAAATTTGTTTAGTCCCTCTATACATTATTTTCAGTAGCATTAAATTTTTTTAGTCGCAATTTGTTGAGTGCGCATATTTTAATTTTCTTTATATTTCTGAAGAATATTTTGATTTTTGATCGATTATTCCTAATGCACACAGGAATAATCGATGAAAATTATTCTTGAAATGTTTTTATTTTTCAGTCGCATTTTCAATTCACGTGATGTATAATGAAATGGAGAAGAGGAGTGAGGGAAAATGCAAACAGACGATTATTATTATTATTTTTGTCTTTTTTTTGACGTAGATTTATAAATTCTCAACAGGCAGTCGACAAACATGAAAATGGTTCAGTGGAAAAAAAGTGTCCTAACACAAAAAGGTATTTTTGTCGAAGGCCATGGGTGACACGATGATAAAAATCTTAAAAAATGCAAATGTAAATCATTTTGTTCCGCTCTATATAAAGTAAACTGAGACACAATGCTGAGCATCAGTGCATCATCTGAAGATGATCATAACAGTGTTTTGGTTTCTTCTAATTCTTTTCGGTTTGTGTTGCGTCTATGATTGCGTGAAACCCAACAACTTTCCACCTGGTGTGTATATAGAATATTGTATTAAAATCTGCTTTCGTGCTTCGAACAAAAATTCTTTTTCATAATAGTTTTTATTAATCAAATTCAAATGCTCCAGATATGATAGTTTATAAATTATTCATTTGAGGGGAAAAAAATTGTTAAGCGCATCGAAAAAGAAAAGACTGCGCGGCATGAAATTATATATATATATATACAATTATAGAGTTTGTGTTTAGTGACCTAATTTTTTTTTTATTTAACATTTTTTTTATTGTAACAGGACCAAGATGGCTGCCTTTATTAGGTTGTTTCCTAATATTTCGGGAAATTCGAAAGAAAACTGGATACAATCATTTGGCATTTCAAGAGCTCGCGAATTATTATGGACCAGTTCTTGGGATGAAGTTTGGAAAACAGAAATTTGTTATTATATCGAGTCATGATCTCGTTAAGAAAGTGTTACTACAAGAAGATTTCAATGGAAGGCCCGATGGTTTTTTTTATAGACTTCGCGCATGTGGCGAGAGAAAAGGTAAACTTATGGCAATTATTTTACTCTTAATAATAAAAAAGAAAACAAAAGAAGAAGCAATTCAAATCTAGAAGAAATATTTTTTTAGGATTAAGAAAATAATTTTTTATTGAAGTACGATTTTTTGAATTTAAAACAAAAATTTTAACGAATTGAAAATTTTTAATTATTTAAACAATTGTTCAAATTAAATAAAAAGAAAGTACAAAGTGGAAAAATTAATAGTAAAAAGAGTGAAATTAAAAAAGAAGATAAAACAAATAATGGAAAGTATAATAAAAGATAAAGAAAAATAAGCAGAACAAAAAAAAGAAAAACTTGAGATCCACAAAAAGAGTTTTCATGAATGAAAGACAACTTTTGATCAGAAAATGATTTATTTTAAAAGAACAAAAATTTTAACGAATTGAAAATTTGTATTTATTCAAACAATCATTAAAGTTAAATAAAAATAAGTAGTGAACAAATTAATAGTAAAAAGAAGATAAAACAAATAATGAAAAATGTAATAATAAAAGATAAAAAAAGCCAGAGCAAAAAAAAGAAAAAATTAAAATCCACAAAAAAGGATTTTAAGAATGAAAAACAACTTTTGATTAGAGAACTATTTTTTAAATTTAAAACAAAAGTTTTAATAATTTGGTAATTACAAACTCTTAAAAATTAAATAAAATAAAAGTGAAAAGTGTAAAATTGAAAATAATAAAGTTAAATTAAGGAAGAAATGATAGCGAATGAAAATAAATAAAAATCAATACAAAAAGGTAAAATATATACCTATAGTCAAAAGTAATATGTGCATAAGATGAAAAAGTAAAAATTAAAATTGAAAATTAAAGGTAAAAAATAGTAAAAAATTTAATAAACAAACTAGGTTTTAAATGATAATAAAAAATAAAAGTCTATAAAAGTTTCTTGTAGTTTAAAAAATATTATTAATAAAAAGTACTCTGTACGATTGGGCATCTTATCATGCCCGTTTATAAAAATAGTAGAAAATAAAAGGTAAAAGTAAAAAATCGAATGTAAAATAAATATTCAATAATAAAATAAAAAAATTTAGATGGAAAAGAAGAATAAAAAAGAATAAAGAACTAAAAGTTTCTTGTAGTAGTGAAAAGAATAGTTAATGTTTAAAAGTAAAAAATAAATGAATAACAGACAAGTGTGAAAAATAAATATTAAAAATATAAAAATATTAAAAAATGTTGTTTGTGTAAAAATAAAAAAAAAATTGGACTTAGGAGTTTTGTTCACTGATGGCAGTACATGGGCGCAGCATAGAAGATTCACGATGAAACATTTGAAAACGTTTGGCCTGGGACAGATGACAATGGAAAGCTATTTAATATTCGAAGCTGAAAATCTCGTGGAAAATCTTAAGTGCCGAATGACAAATGGTCCGGTTGCAATGCATAGAGCATTTGACATTGCCGTTCTCAATTCACTCTGGACAATGTTCGCCGGACATCGTTTCGATTACCAGGATCAGAAACTGCATAATATTTTAGAGGTCGTACATAAATCATTCAGGTAGGAGAAAGAAGATATGGTTTCAATTCTGTTTCGGAGAGTATTTTTTCAATTTTTACATCCTTATTCTTCTTTTGTAGGTTTTACAATATTTTTGGTAGTTTTTGTATTTTTCTGTAGTTTATTTGTATTTTAAAAAATTTTAAATATAAATTTGGTAGCTTTTTTTAAATTATTTTTTATTTCTTTTGTAGTTTTTTTTTATATTTTTGGTTCCATTTTTTAATAATTTGTATTATTTTGTTTTTTTCTTTCTATTTTTTTTAATCTTTGAATTTACATTTTGTAGCTTTTTAATTTATTTCTTATTCATTTAGTTTTTTCAATTTACATTCTGTAGCTCTTTAATTTATTTTTTTAAATATTTTTGGCACTTTTTGTATTATGTTTGTATTTATTTTAAGTTTTTAAAACTACATTTATATTTTACAAAATTAAATAATTAGATTACAATTTTTCCATATAAGAATTAAGATTTTCAAAATTTTAAATTCAAACGTTTTTGAAATTAAACAACTTATAAAAAATTGTTTGTTATAAAACATGATAAGAAATCGATCATTCCGAGTCTTCGACTCGGAGCAATTGATATCTTCATGTTATAAATAAAATAAATTTATTAATTAAATTAAATAAATTAAATAAAAAAAAATTAAACATTAAAATAAAATAAAAAATTATTGTTTTTTAGAATTTTTAACTAAAATTCTTCTTTAAATTTATTATTTTTAATAATTTTTGAAAAATTTCTTTGAAAATTTGTAAATCTATTTGTTTACAATTCTATTTTACGAAATTCCATCGATTATTCGGAAATTATAACTTGAAACCTTTTCAAAATTCAATTACTTCTAAAAATTCAGCTATAATTATACTTTTTCTCTAAATTTGAATTAGTATAAATGTTTACTAATTGGAATTAGTCACTAACTTTTTGCTTTTGAATTAGTAAATTTTACTATTAAATTAGTAGAAACGACTATTTATTAGTAAAATCTGCTAATTCAAAAGCAAGAAGTCAGTGACTAATTCCAATTAGTAAACTTCATTTACAGAGTTTAATATTCAATTAATTATTATCTAAAATTTTAACTGAACTTCATATTTAAATCAATTTTTATTAGAAAATTCTACGAGAATTCAATTATTTAAATACAAAAATAAATAATTTATTGAAGAATTGAATGTGTTTTAAAATTGTACTCTCATAAAGAATTTTATCAACAAATTTTTAAATAGGTAATTAAAAATCTTTTGACGAAGAATTTTAATTTTCGAGAAATTATATTAAAATTGTATTAAAAATAATTGAATCTCTGTAAAAAATTTGATTGAATTATTTAGAAAAGTTTTTGAAAATAATTGAAATTTTGCCAAGATTTTTATTAAAAATAATTGAATTTTGGAGAAAAATTTTATTATTTATAAAGATAATTGAAATTTTTGAAGACAATTTTTTTAAACTTTTGACCATAATTAAATTTCTGCGAAGAATTTTATTACTTTTGAAAATAATTGAATTCTTGAGACGAATATTTTATTAAAATTTCTTTTTAAACAATTGAATTATTTTGTGAAATTTTATTGAAATAGGTAGTAGAAATTGAAAATAATTGAATTTTGATAAATTATTATTGAAATTAATTAAATTTCTACGTACATACTAGAATTTTATTAAAATTATTTTGAAAAAAATTGAATTGTTAAAAAGAATTTCATTAAAATTTCTGAAAATAATTTAATTCTTTGAAGAAATTGAATTTCTTTGTTGAATTTTAATAACATTTTTAAGCAACTCTTTTAAAATTGAATAATTTTAAAATATTTAAGTAAAATTAGATTTCAAGAATAAGCACAATTAGAAAACAATAATTTTCCAGGATTCCGATCCAAATTCCCTGACTTTTCCAGGTTTTCCATGTTTTCCAGGTTGCGTGGCAACCCTTGTATCTATTTTTTTTTTAATTTTTGAATAAAAATTTGGTAGCATTTTAATTAATTTTTGTTTTCTTTTGTAGTTTTTTTTTATATTTTTAGTTCCATTTTGTAATAATTTGTATTTTTTTGTAGTTAATTTAGTTTTCTTATTTTTTGTATTATTTTTGTTCTGTATTGTAGTTTTCAAAATTTTTTTTTGTAATTTTAGAATATTTTTGGTTGGGGAAACTGTGGCTTAATGTTAAATTTTGCATTAATGTTTTTTTTAGGCAATAAATCCGCTTGGATGCAAATATATATATAGATCAATATTGTAGGGCAACTTGTCCTCAGCAACTTTCAATAAAAGAGTTTCTGATATTTTGGCGTAAAATACATGCTTTGTCCTTTTTCAAATTTTTTTTTAACATTTGTTAAATTCTATTCCTAGCCTATTAAAACTACTTTCTGATAGGTGTTAAGTAGTAGATAATAGTAGATATTACAATTGTAATGACAAATAGAAATGATCAGAATCTTTTTCACTTTTTTTCATTAAAAGACTAAAATTTTGTTAAATATTATGTTTTGTCAAATTGAAATTATGCAGATTTTTGTTCTTTACTTCTAAACAAAATTAGAAAATTGTTAAACAACTGTGATTAAGAAATAGAAAATTTATTTATTTTGCATTATTTTTGTTTATGAATCACAATTTTTTTAACAAAATTATTATTTTGTTTTAGAAAAAGAAGAAAAATATTTGCACAATTCCTATATTTTTAATATTATTTTTGGAAAAGGATTTTCCATAGGAATTAAGACATTCAAAAATTTCAAATTCAAACCTTTTTTAAATTCAGCAACTTATAAAAGTATTTGTTATAAAACATGAAGATATCGATTGCTCCGAGTCGAAGACTCAGAGTGATGATTTCTTCATGTTTTCTAATTACCGAGAGATAAAATCATTATTTTATATTATATATAAATATTGTTACTGTAACTTCATCAAAATTTCTTTCATCATTTTAACAGGGCTCGGATTGTGCAACTTTTTCGACTTTTTTCGACTTTTTTGTGAAAAAATGCGACTACTCGACTTTTTTTATTTTTTTTTTAGTAAAATGCGAATGAAATTAAAATTTTTTTTTTAAATTTAAAGGAAAAAGTTTGAGTCAAAAAAATGTTCTGTTACATTTATTTACAAATTTTTTGAAAACATCAATAATTTTTTTTTAAAATAAATATTTAATTATTATTTTTCCATAGGAATTAAAATTCTTCAAAAGATTCAAATTCAAACCTTTTTGAAAATAAATAACTTATAAAAAATTGTTATAAAACATAAAGAAATCGATCACTCCGAGTCTTCGACTCGGAGCAATCGATGTCTTATCATGTTTTATAATAATTAAAGATGACCGAGTGATAAAATCATTAATTTATATTAAAAGACTTTATAAAAAAAAAAATTTTTAATTATTTTTTATGCAAATAATTGAATTATTGGGAAGAAATTTATAAAACATTAGTAAGTAATTGAATTTTGCAGATAAGTGTTGATATTTACAAAGATAATTGAAATTTTGAAGAGAATTTAAAAAAAAATTTTTGAAAATTATTGAATTTCTGTGAAGAATTTTTTTACTTTTGAAGATAATTGAATTTTGCAAAAAATTTTATCAGAACTTTTGAAAATAATTAAATTTCCAGGATGAATTTTATTATTTATGAAGATAATAAACATTTTAACGAGAAATTAAAAAAAATTTTTGAAAATAATTGAATTTTTGCGAAGAATTTTATTAAAATTCCTTAAAATAATTAAACTTCCACGAAGAAAATTTTGTATTGAAAACAATTCAATTCTTATCATTAATTTAATCAAAATTTTTCAAAATAATTGAATTTCTTGAGAAGAATTTTAGTAATAATTGAAAATAATTGAATTCTTACGATAAATTTGATGAAGTTTCGAAAATAATTGATGTCATGCGAAGAGTTCAATCATTTTTTGAAAATAATTCAATTCCTGTGAAGAATTTTATTAATTTATAAAAAAAAATTACTGTCAAGAATTTTAAAGTTTTTAAAAATAATTAAATACTTGTAAAGAATTATATGAATTTTAAAAAATAATTGAATTCCTGTGAATAATTTTATTAATTTTGGCAGATAATTGAATTTCTGCGTAAAATTTTTTTAAACGTTTTAAAAATAATTGAATTATTACAAATATTTTTATTAATATTTGAAAATAATTGAATTCATAAAAAGAATTTTATTTCAAATTTGTGAAAATAATTGAATTTTTGCGAAGAATTTTATTACTTTTGAAAATATATATAATTGAATTTCAGAAAAAAATTTTATTATTTATGAAGATAATTGAAACATTGACAAGAATTTTATTAAAATTTTTGTTAAATAATTGAATTTCGGAGAAGAATTTTATTACTCTCAAAGATAATTGGAATTTTGAACAGATTTTTTTAAAAAATGTTAAAAATACCTAATTAAAATTTTGCTATGAATTTTATTTAATTTTTTAAAATTTTATTCCTGATTGTTTGATATTAATGTATCTGTTGTCGAGAAATGTGATTTTTTTTACAATTTTGACAATTTCGTGTTTCCTTTTTGTCGTTTTTTCTAAAATATCATGCGACTTTTTTCCGAATTTTTTGGAAATTTTATGCGACTTTTTGTGACTTTTGTTGTAAATTTATGCGACTAAAGCGATTTTTTTTGAGTCTTAAAGACGATCCGAGCCCTGTTTTAAATTTTTAATTCAATTATGATTTTCTAGAATTTTAAATTATTTTTTATAGAAATAATTGAATTTCTGTGAAATTTTTATTATTTATGAAAATAATTAAATATTTGCATACAATTTTATTAATTTTTTTTTTAAATAATTGAATTCTTTTTGGGGAATTTTATTAAAATAGTAGATATTGAAAATCATTGAAATTAGAAAAATGCATTTTATTTTTGAAAATAATTGAAATTAGGACAAGAATTTTTTTGACATTTATGAAAATAATTGAACTTTGAAGAAGAATTTTGTTATTTATAAAGATAATTGGGATTTTCACGAGAATTTTTTTCAAATTTTGAACTTTTTTTTTGAATTTTTGTAATTTTTCCAAAATTGAATTTTTTTAGTATTTTCAACAAAAATTTTAATTAGAAAATTTTTAAATTCTATTATTTTTAAAATTGCTAATTTTATTTAAAAAAGGTAGGAAGAAGTTAATAGTTGCTAGTACTTTTTTTGTTTTCTTTTGTAGTTTCTTAGAATTTTGATTTTTTTTTTTGTATTTTTTGTACTGTTTTGTAATATTTTGATTTTGATTTATGAATTATTTGCAGATTGACTGACACATTGGGCGGAATTGTGTCGCACATGCCGTTTCTTCGCTTCGTGATACCGGAACTCTCAGGCTACAAAGAATTGAGTACCAATATAAAAAAACTGTGGGAATTCATTGGATATGAAATCGATTCACATGAAAAGGAACTCACGAGTGATGTGCCAAAAGACCTCATTGATGCTTTCCTCCTGCAGATAAGAAGCCAAAAGGATTCTGAACAGCAACACGATTCGATATTTAACAGTAGGAGAAAAACATTTTTTTAAATTGAAATGCAAAAAAATTAAGTTGAAATAAATTTGAATTTAATTTTAAAAATTAAAGGAATTGAATTAAATTTAAGCGAAATTTGCCTTTCATTTTAGGAGAAGATTTATTGATTTTATGCCTGGATCTTTTTTTGGCTGGGTCGAAAACAACAACGGACACATTGGCAATGGTGTTTTCATTTTTGCCACAACATCCGGAATGGCTGAAAATTCTTCAAGACGATCTAAACGAAGTCGTTGGAAGAAATCGTGCGCCTCGTTTGTCCGATCGTCCATTGTTGCCACGAGTTGATGCCTTTCTTGCCGAGGTACTAATTACTGAAATTATAGTAATTCAATAATAATTATTGCCCACAAGATCATTTTTCACGCAATTTATAACTATGTATAAGTGAAAAACTGTTGGAAAAACCATTATTTGTGCTTCATTTTCTTGTTGGAAATTAAAAACAATATGAATAGAAGAACAATAAAAATAGAATTAGTAAAAATGATAATATTAATACTAAACAACGTAATAAATGTTTTTTTGTCACAAAAAATTTTTTTTGGCCACAATTAAATTTTTTAGTCTTAATAAAAATTTATTGCGACTGAAAAAAATGTATTGGGACTAATGGAATTTATCTTGGCCAACAAATATTATTTTTTAGTCGTAATAAATTTTTTCCAATCACAATAAATTTCTTTTAGTCAAAATAAATTTTGTTTTAGTTATAATCAATTTTTATAGTCACAATAAAAATTTATTGCCACTAAAAAAAAAGTCTTGGGACTAAAGAAGTTATTTTGGCTAACGAATATTATTTTTTGAGACAAAACAAACTTTATTGTGACTGAAAGAAAATTTATTGTAATTGTAAGAAATTTATTGTGACTAAGTAAAATTTTAGTGATTAGAAAAAATTTGTTGGAGCTGTAAAATAATATTTTTTTGTCTAAATAAATTTTTTTTAGTCTCAATACATTTTCATGTTAAGTGAAATTTCTGACCGAGTGGGTTGCAAATGGTTATAATGTGAAATTAAGGAAGCTTGTATATTTGTATATAGTAGTCAGAGGAGAGAAACATTTCTTCTTTTTCTTGCAGGTGCAGAGATATTTGATCTTGGCTCCTTTGGGTGTTCCTCACAGGACAATGAAGGATGTCTCATTAAATGGCTACCGAATTCCACAGGTCAGCAGACAGTTATAAATAAATAATTCTCATTCAATTTACGTGAAAGCCGACAACTGTTTTTTTCTTCTTCTCTTTTTTTAATGCCATCATGACTCTCTCGCAACCATCTTAATAAAGAATGAAATGACAATTATCGTCGCTTTCAATTTTGTCGGCTCGTATACGAAAGATGTACACGCGAGACTCCAGGATATGAAAGCTAAAAAAGGAATTTTCTTTCTTTTTTGTAAGGAATGCTTAGACGTTGGAGTTATTTTAAATAACAAATTTATTTTTGGAGATGAGATCGTGTATGGAAAAGGATTTATTATGGAAATTTAGATTTCGTATTTTTTTCTGATTTTGATGAATTTTTGGATTCTATATTTTTTGTTTTCATACTTTTTTTTATTATTTTTATTCTCCATTTTTTATTTTACAACTTCTTGACAGATTCAGAAAAGCGTTAATTGTATCTTAAAAAACGCAGGTCTTGGCAATTTTTTACAGGATTTTTGGACTCGATTAGTAAATTTGAGCTTTTTTTTATTAAAGAAGAGCTTTTTCCGAAACATATAGAGGTACTTAAAACCTGTTTAGAATTTATTTCCGATGTAGAAAAAATTCGTATCTTGAAAACAGACGCTGGTCTTGACAAATTTTTTTAACAATTTTTGGAGTCGAATATCAAATTTGGGCTTTTTTATCAAATTCGAGCTTTTTTATTTAGGAAGGGCTTTTTTTCGTTCCATGTTTTCCAATTCTTTTCTTATATTTTTTATTTTCAATAAATTTTTTTTTCTTTACTCATTGGAATTTATTTGTATTTCTCAATTAATTATTAATTTGTCAGTAATTAAATTCTTTTTCCAAATTTTTTTGTTCGTTTTCTCTTACACAATTTATATTTTATTACTTCTTCATTTCCTTTATGATTTTTCGTTTTTATTTCCTGGTTGCAATTTAAACTTTTAATTGACACTTTCTTACTGTTTACATGCGCCTTTGTGATGGAAAGTATTTCTCTCCTTAATTATATCTCCTTTGAATCAGATCTTTATATGATGATGATGATGATTCTATTTGAAAGATTAATATTTTTTTATTTGAATACTGAAGATGAATACTTTTTTTAATTTCTTGAAGATAAAAGAAAATTTTTTGATTTTCTGAAAATAATTTTCTTCTTGAAGGTAATTTTTTTTATTTGTTTAAAGAACTAATGTTTTTTTCCTTAATAATGATTTTTTTTCTTTTCAGGACACTGTGGTTCTTCTCAATTTCTACAGTGTTAATAATGACAGAAGGTATTGGGAGAGTCCGGAAGAATTTCGTCCCCAACGATTTTTGGACGAAAACGGTCTGTACCGACAAAATAATGCGGCAATGCCCTTTGGACTAGGTAATTCTGAAAAAAAAATTATTTTATGGTAATAATTAACATGGCCAATAATATTTTTGTTGTTAATTAAAATCAAACTATGTTTATAGAATTGAATAATTTTTTTCTCTATTGAAATTTTTTTCCTGAAGAATGTTCGCTGATTTTTGCTTTTGATTTTAGGTAAAAGACGCTGCCTGGGTGAAACTCTAGCCCGCTCGTCTCTCTTCCTGTTCTTCACTTACATAATACACTACTTCAATTTCGACATACCGCCGGAACATGGTATCCCAAATTCAAATGGTTATGATGGATTTACAATCTCTCCGAAACCGTATTATCTCACACTCTCCCTGAGGTCCGACCCAGATTCATCCTCATTGCCAGAGTGAAGAAATTCTCAAGCGAAAATGCAGATATGTATTTTTTTTCCTTTTTCGACATCTTTATATGTGTATAATTAAAAAAAAATTCGCGAATCTTCCCTTGCAAAAAAAACAAGTAAAACAGAGAGAGTCATACAAGACCAAGTTTGACTTGCCCGAGTTGTCGAACAACACTTTACGAGAAAGTGAAAGAAATGAGGGGACCACCTTTTTATTTACGATCAACAAAAAAAAGGAAAGAAAAGATAAACATCGTGCATATGTTCGACTTTTAAGTATATATATTTATTCTCAAGTTATTTCCATTTAATGTTAACATTATAATCGAAATTTAAGGAAAAAAAATCTATTCATTTTTTATTTATATACAGATTGAGATAAAACTGTCTTATAAATTTCTTGCTCTTTTTTTTTCTTTCTTTAATCGCATATTTTCATTGGATATGAATAAAAATTAAATTTAAATGATTATTTTATATTTATTACTTTGTATTCTTCTATTATTAATGTGATTATTGTAATTTTATAAATTTACCATTTCAATATTTTCTTTAGCTCTTTTTCTATATTTTTCATTTATATTCCTGTTTAGCTCTTTCTATTTTTTATTTATATTCTTTTTTAGCTCTTTTTCTATTTTTTATTTATATTTTTTTAGCTCTTTCAATTTTTTATTTTACATTCTTTTTTAGCTCCTTTTCTATTTTTTATTTATCTTCTATTTTGTATGTACTTTTATTTATTGAACTACAATTTTCTATGTAATTTTATTTATTGATCTTAAATTTTCCATTTGCTTAATTTTTTTACTTTCCACTTAATTTCTATTTTCTTCTTTCTTCCATATTTATTTCCCTTTCTGTATTTTGGTCTATTTTGAAAATTATTAAACTTTTCAATTTCCTTCGACTGTCTATATTACAGTTATAAATTTTACTATTATTATTATTATTATTTTATTGTTACTACTACTATTATTATTACTATTAATATTTATTTTAATATTGTTTTATCATTATCATATTTTTAATTTCAGTTTTCGTTTTTCGTTTTGTGTTTCAAGAAACGAAAAAAGAAAACTAAAAATAAAAATATATTTTCGTTTTTAGAAAAATTTTTATGAGTTCGCATCAATTTTATTTTTAAAAGACTACATTAACATTTAATGTTATTGTTATTTAGGATTTTTTTTTTTTTTGCTTAGGGAATTTTGGGAAATCTGCCTACAGATACCTTGGATTCCGCAACTCCAAGGTTATGTGGGGTTGGTACAATGAAACAAAAGGAAATATTAAAAAAAAGATAAGTAAATAAATGTTATAATAAATTTAATAAACTGGCGACCTACTACCAGCACGTGAACATGTATGTTCGGACGTGGAGGTCGATGTGTCTCTCCAAGATAGCAGGAAGTTTCCGCAAAGGGAGTGCATCCTGGTATCTCTTCACAGAGTTTACCCTCGTTATTTAGGATCTTAAAATGGAATTTATCTCGAAGGAAGATAATAATTCATTTATGCAAAATAAATGCGGAAAGAATATAATATATTTTTAATTATATATATATTGTATAATAACTCTGCGTTGTTGTTGGGAGTGTTTATATTTTATCTTTTGAAGAATAATATAATTTGTTAACAATTGGATTGTAATTATGTAATTGTTTTTGTTTTCAATTTGAATTATTTATTCAAATTTTCGTAAAATTTATACCTAATATTATTGTTCGCGAAACGAGAGATTGTTTTTTTCCGCACTCCAAGCGAAAGGAGCCATTGCGAATATATAAATGGTGAAGTGAAAGAGCACCCAACACTTGAATTACAAACAAGATTCTGAACATCGTTAAGCCACTAATTAACTATACATTGTATACCGTTCATTGTTAAAAAATTGAAACTTCTTTTTTACGTTCCTTTTATTTTGAATTAATTCCATTTCACCAAGGGAAAGTACTTTGGGAACAACGTTTTTTGTTTTTTTTTGTATGAGATTTTCAATTTAATTTTATAAATTCTTCACTAACTTTGCTAATTACCATAGTATATTGGAAGTTTATTTCGTTGATTTAAATTTACGAATGTGAAAAAATTATTTACTGTTTTAAAAAATAAAATACTTTTAGTTAATAATAATAATAATAAAAATAAAAATTATTATTTATGAAATTAATTCAATTCTATCGAAGAATTGTATTTAAATTTTTTAATATAATTCAATTTTACCGAAGAATTCAATTAAAATTGTATTGAAAATAATTTAATTTTTTTCAAGAGTATTATCAAAATTTTTGAAAATAATTGAAATTCTTTAGTGGAATTAAATTAAAATTGGATTGTTAATAATTGAATTATTGTTTTGAGGAATTTAATAAAGTTTTTGAAAACAATAAATAATAATAATTAATTAGTAAATTATATAGTTAATAATTGAATTTTTCAAAATTTTGAATTTGAAACTATTGCAAAATTGAAATTAATAAATAAAAAAAATGTTTAAGTTGCGTAATAATAAGAAATGAAATACCGCGCGTAACATTTGCTAGTAGTAGTAATAATAATAATATTTTTATTAATTTTTTTTGCAAAACGAAAATTGTCTGATAAAGATCGCGCTGAAGGGAAAAGAAATATTTTCAAGACGAGCGAATAATACTAATTACAATAAACTTTCATCATGAGGCCTCAGGAAGAATTCGGATAGTAATCAGAATAAGTCTCTCCTCCATAATTAGTGTGAATTTGTTATTATGCAGAGATTCATGTGTCTCTCTTTCTTTCGTTTAAAAAGACGCGATGAAAAAGCATAAATTGTTATATATGCTCTCGTATATAAACGAGTAAGCGCTAAATGGAAGCGTCCAGAGAAAGTGATTTCACTGACAAGACTCTCGTATTCTACCCTCGTGTCGTTTCCACAATATTTCTCTCTTCACTTCCTTGTTCGAATCTGAAAAAGCAAAATGATTCGTCAATTTTTTATGCATTTAGTTAAAAAAAAGATAGAGGTGAAAAAAGATATAAGCAAAAAAAGATATAATTAAAAAAAGATGTAAATAAAAAAAATATAAGTAAAAAAAATATAAGTAAAAAAAAATATAAGTAAAAAAGAATATAAGTAAAAAAAGATTCAATTAAAAAAGATATAAAAAAATAGTAGCGAAATTACAAAACTTTCCAAGAAGACGGATATTTTTTTCTTTTTATTCAAAAGATGAGTCAACTTACTTCTATTATCATTTGAATAATCCTCTCATAATTTCCCCCTAAAAAATTTTTTTTGAAAGTGATTTATCAACTTTCCCGTCAGTATTTTGTAAATTTCTCTTTAAATTTATTTTTACATAAATCGACGATAATTACTGCAATAACTCAATATTGCACTTAGATGACTCGAAGAAAAAAAATAATGTTCGAACAGCTTTTTGAACTGGTTTTAACTGATTTTGATGAGGTGATAAATTTTGTTTGATTTATATTGTAGTGAAATAATCTCTCTCGGTAAGAGATAATATAATTTTTGTTTCTACAATTACTATTTTACAACTTTTGATTTTAGAAAATTTTTCGATTTTTGTTCATTTTATAAATATGTAAAAAGGAAAAATAAGCAAATTTTATTTTCTATTTTCTAAAATTAGCAATTCGATTGAATTTTATTTCTAGGAAATTTAAAAAGGAAAGAAATGTTAAATGCAAGGGAAAGTTGAATAAAATCGTATCGTGACGATTATTTAAATTTTTGAAGTTAATGTTTCGTAGTTTAGATAAGTTTTTCTCTGCTGTAATTTCATGTGTGTTCATTTTGCCATTAAGAACAATGAGATAAATTCATTTTTATTATGGGAAAAGTTTACGCTCTGGGGAAATTTGAAGGTAAACAATGTTAATTATGTTTTGTTTTCACGAGGGAGATTATTTATTTTTGAGAAGTAAATCTAGCAATTGCTAAAATTGACAATTTTTTATTTTCAATTCATTAATTGCAATAGATTTGTTCTTTTTTTCAACTTAAAATTTATAAAAATCGTCTAATTGGACAGTTCGAGTTCCCGACAATCAGAATTAACTTATAACTAATAACTTATAATTAATGAGTCTTTGATGGATAAAAATTTTATCAATACTGAATTTCATAATCGAGTATTCCAGTCAGTGATTAAAAACAAAAATACAAAGCTTCCTTTAGGAGGAAGCAATTATTATTCATTAAATTGTTTTCGCCGTTTGAGTAAAACTTCGTAAGGTTTCGGTGATATTGTTAAGCCTGGAACGATTTTTAGTGAAGGGAGTTCTTGTCCCGGAACTGGATGAAGTTCGAAATTTTGCAGTACACCTGAACTTAGTAGAAAAATTGCTGATTTTGCCAAAATTTCTCCGGGACATCTTCTTTTACCTTAAGAATAAAGTTTCTTGAAAACAAAATCGAAATAGAGGAAAAGAATTGTATTGATAAAAATTAATTACCTTGTCCAAATAGAATTAAGGTTTCGTCATGCTGATATAATCCGTTTTCAATGAATCTTTCCGGATTGAATGACGTGGGATCTTTGTAGCGAATTTTACATGTATTCGAACTGTAGACGTTAATTAGAATAGTCGAATTTTTAGGAATATAATAGCCGAGTAATTCAGTGTCACGGAGTACACGACGTGGACCAATTGTTGGTGTCACCAAACACAATCGCTGTGATTCCGCGCAAACTGCTTCCAAATATGGTAAACTATTTTGGGAAATTATTATTATTATTATTATTTGAATTTGAATTTGAATTTTTAAGAATTCAATTAGATAAATTTTGTGAGGGAACAAAATTGTACCTTTGTCTATCGTTTATTTCCGGCAATTTTTCACGACCGATAATCGAGTCAATTTCTTCATGAAGCTTTCGTTGAACATCTTGATGAATGAGAACGTTAAGAAAAATAAAATCTAAAGTCGTAGTGGTTGTCAATGTACCGGCGATGAAAATATCCATTAGAATTAAAACCAACTGGTCCTCTGAAAAATAAGAAACGAGAAAAAATGAATAAACGAGTGGCTAAAAATTGAGAAATTTCATAAATTTATTAATATTGTGTAAATTAAAAGTTAAAAGAAAGAGTAAATTGAAAGAACGCGTAAGGTTAATAAATAATAAAAACAAATAAAAGTAAGGTAAAAAAGTATTAAAAGATAATGAAATAAAATGATCTTACCAGTAAATCCAGCAGAAGGTCCTTTTCCAAAATACATTTCTTGAAGGAACATGTCAATCAAATCATTATCCTTTCCTGGCTTAAAGTTCTTCTTGTGATCTTCAATTGTGTCCTAAAAAATTCAATTTCCATTTAGAATAAAATTTCTCATTATCGAACTTTAAATAATCAATCAATTATTAATTTCCCTTTAATTTGTTCTGTAAGTATTTTTTGGTGGCGTTCTCTTTTGTAAGTAGAATTTATTATTTCTTGAATAATTAAAAACGAAAAAGTATTTAAATCTTTCAAAAAATTGAAAAATGTTAAAAGATTGATAGTAAAAAACGTCAAATGAAATAAGTTCTAAAAAGTCAGAAATATTTTTCAAAATTCGAAAGATTTGAAAACATTACATTTCAATTATTTCAAATATTATAAATATTTTAGTTTTTTTTAATATTTGAATAGAAAAGAAATAAAAATGAAATAGAATAGAAATAGAATTAAAATAAAATGGAAATAAAGTGAAAATAGAATTGAAATTAAATTCAAATAAAATGAAAATAGAATTAAAATAGAATGGAAATAGAATTTAAATAACATTGAAATTAAATTTAAATAAAGTGGAAATAGATTTGAAATTAAATTCAAATAAAATGGAAATAGAATTTAAATAGAATGAAGAAAGTAGAATTGAAATTAAATTGAAAAAAATTAAAATTAATTATTAGCAGCGAATATTTTCATGTAGTTGCAATGACGAACCGTGAAGAAACTTTTAAGCTCTTTGTTCAGTGTCATAAGAAGATTGTAACCTGAGGCCTCTGGAGCAATATAACGAATCCAGGGGATACTTGAAAGAATTCCTCCACCCATACTAAAGGCCTTCGCTCTCCTATCCATTAAATCAATAAAGTATTTTAGTCTGAAAAAAGAAACATTCTTTTAATACTCCTTTTGATAATTTAAAAACTGCAAATAAGATTTACTCGAAAATTTATACTTTTTCTCATCGCTGAAACGTTTTCCAGCGGTTAATCTCCATAAAACATTTATAACTGCATTCATTGTCACTGACTTTAAATAACGAACACCACCCTCGCCTAAATTCTCTAAAATCTCAACGAGTTCATCTCGAATCAAATGAAACATATGACTCTTGCCAAATCCAAGTTCACGAAATGTACGAACAAACCAGCCGCGAATTTCTTTCCACTCTGGACCGTCTGACATTGTTATTCCTGGAACAAAAATTGAGAAAATAAGTAATAAATTTGAGAAACAAGATTTAGACTTTATCAGTCAATAAATTGTATTATTAAGCTAAATTCATTCTAATTTGAAAAATAAAATTATTATAATTCGATTTGTTAAATAAATTTTGTACATAAATATTGTTGTTTTGCAAATTGAAAATATACCTTTTCGAAGACCCATATTTCGTAGTTTTATAAATTCGTCCCACGGTCTTCCATCGAATTCTCCATTTTTGAGCACGTATTGAATGCCTTTATCACCCGAAACGACTGTTATTCTATTTCTACCGAGTTTTAATGATATTAAATCACTATTATAACGTCGTGATAATTCTAAAAAGGCTAAGTGTTGACCTCCAAAATCACGTGACAATTGACGAAGAAGATGAAGATTCCCAATAAATGGCCAAGCGAATGGACCTGAAAAACATAGGAAACATTTGAATCTTTGGAAAATTTTAAACTATTTAACAAAAGTAAATGAAAAAACCAATTTATAAATAAATTTACAATTCAGTTTTAAATTTAGTATTCAGTTATAAATTTACTATTCAATTTTGAATTTACTATTTAATTTTGAATCGGCATTTTCCCCTCATTATTTAAGTAAAAAATAAAATAAAATAAATAATATCAAAATTAATAATAATAATAATAATAATAATAATAATTGGATAAAAATTATTTTTAGTAATTAATTAATTATTTTATTTTTTTATTATTATTATTAATTATGAAATTAAAATCAGCCTACCCTCCACTGTTTGATTTTAATTTTATTCCCCTTATGGCTTTTAATTGAAATAATCGTTTGAATGATTGTAATTATGAAATCATTAATAATAATAAAAAAATAAAATAAATAATTAATTAATAAAAATAATTTTTATCCAATTATTATTATTATTATTATTATTATTATTATTATTATTATTATTATTCATTAGTATTTATTTTAGTGTGTATTTATTAGTAATTTAATCGCTTATAATTGTTTAGCAGATTTTGATTGTATGTCTAATGTATGAGTAAATAGAATAGGACGACTCGACCTTTCAAAAACAATAACATCTTAGTGTTAACGCTTCTTGAAAGTGTCGTGCAGAAAAATAAATCGTTAAAATGAAAATTGAAAAAATAACTCGTGAACGCGGAAATGAATTATTGCTTGTTGATAGTAAATTTACATTTTATAAAAAAAAGAAATGCATAACGGTGTACTCTCAAATTTGTCTATTTTTATCTTTTTAATTTAATTTTTATATTATTTATTTTATTTTCATTTTCATTTTTACTTAAATAATGAGGGGAAACCCGGCCGCAATTTCTACCCGCCGATTACTAAGTATCATTCAGTTAATAAAAGAAAATTACAAATGATTCTGGTCAAAGACAGAAAAAAAAATATTTCCAAATTTTGAAATTGGTGAAGAACAGTTATAATAAATGGTTGAAGAATAAAAAAATTAATTTTTATACCTGGGGGAAGTTTCTTCTTGTTTCTTTTTCTCCATGTGAAATTAACGATCAGAAGAACACTTACGATGACTAATAAAACACTACTGATCATATTATACAGTTTATTAAAATATTCAATTAAAATTAATTCGCTCTTAATTAATAATTATTCTAGTCGAAAATTGATGAATTGAATTTACAATTTATGGAGAAAATTTTAAAAAACACTAAAGATTTAAAGAAGAAATATTAGATTAAAATTCTAAAAATCCAAAGAGCGAAATGTGACACCATTAAATTTGAACGATTATATAGAAAGTGCTAGTGACTTGTGTGTTCGTAATTCTTTTATTTAGTTACGTGGATTCGTTTGTAGTTTCATTATCGTTTCAGTACCGTAACAATATTTCCGTCTATTATCAACGGTAGATATCACTTTTGACCCTTAACGAAATGAAGATAAATGCAGAATTCAAATTTCTTCCTTATAGGAGATAAAAAGTTATACTTGAGGAAAAGATAGTTTTTATTAATTTTATATTATCGTTGAAAAAAAAGAGATTATTATTATTCTTGAATTTTTTATTCAATTGGGCATTTTTTAGCTAAAGGGTAAAAAAAATTTCTTTTCAAAAATTAAAAAAAACGTTTGAAATTAGATGAAAATTAAAGGAAAATTATAGAGAACAATAAATAGTCACGGCACTGTTCATTTATTCTTGATCTTCTTTTAATGAAAATGAACTATTCTTGTCAGGCTATGCTAGCAAATGGTTCTCTAGTCATTTCTAGTCATTAACTTCTTCGTCCAATCAGAAACAATTGAAAGGAACGAAAACCTACACTTCATGTTAATTATTGTTCATTTCGTTTGTCGATTGTAACGTAAATTTCAAGTTCCATTGTGAGCGAGTCTGTTTTAAAGGTAAACTTGAGAAAAATGAGAAAATAATTATAAATAAAATTAATAATCGAGAATAAAGAAATAAAAATAAATACCTAAAAATTTAAATTAAATTAATTAAAGGAAAAGAAAATAAAACGAATTGAAAAAAGGAAAAAAATTGTAAAAATTGTTTAAAAGGAGAATTATTACTAAATAAAAGTAAATTTATTACTTACGGTATATTATGTACAAAATTCCGAAGAATAAATAAAAATACATACAATTTTTTTCTATCTAATTATAAACTCATCCCATCTCAAGATCAACTTCCCTTCGTGGTTTTTTTCGCGAAACTTTCTTCCCCTTTAGACATTCGATTTTCCTCTTCCTTGCAACTTTCTTCTTTTGTTGTTTTGAAATCTTTCGTTTCGCCGCCAATTCAGGATCCGTTATTACCTGAAATATAAAAATTAATCAACTTTTTTGTTATTTTTTAAAATAATTTACCTACTGATTGTTATAATTTATTATTAATTCATTTTTCTTAAAATTAAAAATTTTATTTCATTTTATTATTTAATTCAATAAAGCCAACATTCAGAAAATTGTCAATAAATTGAATTCAATTAAGTTTAATATTGAATTGAATTGAATTGAATTTAATATTCTTGAGTTAATTTAAGAATTAAGAATAGTTCACTTAATTAAAAAAAAGTCAACTTAATTTATTTATTTGTTTATTTATTTTTTTTTTTTAATGTTTAACTTTTTTGGATTGTTCTAATATAGTAAAAGATGTTATTTGTTTTTTAAAAAATCAATCCACATTATTTATTCAAACGATTATTTATGTCAAATGTGAAGCTTTTCGTCCATCGACGATGGACCTCTTAGTGGTTTTTTTTTTACCATTTATGAATATAGTTATCAACTGAACCTTTTAAATGTTCAGAACCTTAAAGGGACAAAATACCCGCCAATATGACCCTTTCAAAGATCTCAACGTTTTGGATGCAAAAAACGGATTTTTTATATGGTGATTGTTTTGTAAAATTTTATTAGAATTATATATGTGATAAAAGATATCCACATTGGTAAGTTGAGGTTATGTACATAATGTTACTATAATGGAATATAATAACAGTATTGTTTTTTGTTTTTAAGAACCGTTAACTTATGTTAAATAATAATAATTTGCAGTTTCCATATATTGTCTGAAGAGGTCCATCGTCGATGGACGAGAAGCTTCACATTTGACATAAATAATCGTTTGAATAAATGTGGATTGATTTTTTAAAAAACAAATAACATCTTTTACTTAATTTAACATTCTTAAGTCTTTAACTTTATTAAATTTAATGTTTAAATTAATTTAATGTAACAAGTTATTGACTGCAGAATATAAAAAAAAGTTTAATTATTCTTTGATTTTTTTTATTATTTAATTTTATTGATTATTCAATTTGAAACAAGATAAAAATCGGATTTTAAGGAACAAAAATAAAATTTACTTAATTGTCATTATTTGAAAGGATTTGGAAATGGAAAATTCCAATAAAAGAGAAAGATTGCAACAACCAAAAAAATGAATAAACAAGGAAAATTACCTGTTGTTTACGTATCTTCTTTCGCTCTGTTTTCCTGGAATCGATTTTTTGTTGAACTTTACTCAACAATTGAATATATTCCTCACTATCCAATCTCTTTTTTATCATCACGGAAATTTCTTTCGCCAATTGACGTAAAGGAGCATTCGACTCTTCGGTTGTTGCCATTTCTCGCACCAACGGCGAAAGCAAATTGAATAAAAGAGGTCTCAAAATATCCATTGGTATTGTACTCACAATTCCAGCAATCCATTTGAAAACTGCATTTCTCTGCGAAGAAACATTACGCCAATAATCATTTTATTCTCCAACGTGAATTAAATAGAGAAAAGGAAAGAAAAAAAAATTATAAAAATTGAAAGTCAAATATAATGGAAAAAGTATAGTAAATTTTAAATCAAATAAAATAAAGTGAGAGTAAAATAGTATTGAAATAAAATAAGTTTCGAGTAAAATAGTAAAGAAGTTAAAATTTTCGAGCAAAATTAAATTCAAGTAAAATAAAATTTAAATTTGAATAAATTTCGAGTAAAATTAAATTCCAGTAAAATAAAATCAAAATTTGAATAAATTTCGTGTAAAATTAAATTCAAGTTACAGGCTTCGCACTCTTCTACTAAAAGCTACTATTTGCTACTTTTTGGCTACTTTTTTGAGCCTAATGCTACTAAAAGCTACTTTTTTGAACAAATAGTCAAATTTAGATTTTTAGTTTTCACATTTCCATTTAAAAACAGTGTTAAAAACTAAAATCGTTAATAAAAACCGACCGTCAATAAGATACCTATTAGGAAATAATTTTACCGACATGTACTCTATCAATAAGGACTGATTATATATTGTGTTTAGATTTTCTTGCAAATGATAATCTTTGAATTCCCTGTTTTTCCCGGCTTTGTTCTAATTTTTCCCGGTTTTATTTTCTCATCAAATTTATATTTATTTGATTTCAAACATAAATAAATCTACAAATGGTTTCAAAAATTTGTATTTTTGCAAATAATGTTTTTTTTAATAAATTGAGGGTTCACGTGCAATAAGGGGATACGCATGGAAGTGAAAGTCCCCGCGTATAGCGATTCTGCGGCTGCGCGAGAGGACAACGAATAGCCTGCGCGTCCCCTTATTGCACGTGAACCCTCAATTTTAATTAAAAATTTGAAAAATAATTGAATTAAACAAAGAATTTTTTTTAATTTTTCAAAAAAAAAATCTTGTCTGTTCATAATTATAATTGAAAATTTGATTAATTTTTGAAAATAATTGAATTGTAGAGAACAATTTAATTATTTATAAAGATAATTGAAATTTCGAAGAGAATTTCAAAAAATTTTTAAACATAATTGAATTTCTGCGGAGAATTTTATTACTTTTAAAAATAATTGAATTGTTTTTTTCGAATTTTATGGAAATTTATGAAAGTAATTGAATCCTTGTGAAGAATATTTTTCAAAAATAATATTCAAAAGAATTTAGTAAATCTGAAAAATTTTGCTATTTATGAAAATAATTGAAATAATTGAATTCTTTCGACAAATTTTAATCAAATTTTTAAAAATAATTGCATTTTTCAACGAATTTGATTAAAATTGTATTAAATATAATTCTATTTCTGCAATGAGTTTTATTATTTATGAAAGTAATTGAATTATTGCGAGGATTTTATAAAAAAGTTTCAAATAATTGATTTTTAAAAAAAAAATCTAGATAAACTCTATTTTTAATAATTCAATTCCTATGAAATTTTCATTCTTTTAGAAAATAATTGAATATTCGTGTAGAATTTTGTCAAAATTGTTTTTAAGTAATTGAATTCTTTTTGGAAATTTTATTAAAATTGATTTTCAAATTAAAATTAAAATATTGAATGAAGAAAAATTTTTGAAAATAATTGAATTCTTGTGGTGAACATAAATGAATTCTTGTTATTTATAGAAATAATTGAACTTTTATAATGGATTTTATTAAAATTCCTGAAAGCAATTTAGTTTTGTCGAAGTTTTACTATTTATGAAAATGACTAACTTCCCTTGATTATTTTCGAAAAATTTAAATAAAATTCTTTAAAAGAAGTAAATTATTTGAAATAGAATGTAAAGAAATTCCAATTACATAAAAAATTTTCAACTATTTGTTTATAATAATTTAATTATTTTGAAATAACAGAATTAAAAAATCTTATTTTTCAAAATTTTCAAAAAAAACTTTGCGAAAATTCAAATTTATTAAAAAATTTGAAGTGTGTATCTTTTTTTAAATTAACTAATAAAATTTTTAATTATTAATCTTCGCACTTAGAAACATAAATACATTAGAATGTAACTCCTTGTAAAATTTAATTATATATCAATTATTAAATTAAAATACTTTGGAAATTTGATTTTTTAAAAAGTTTTTAATGAAATTCTTTAATTCTTTTTTTTTTTTGTCACCGAGGCTACTATTTCCTACTTTTTTTGTCGTCGTGGCTACTTTTTCCTACTTTTTTTAAACTTATAATGGAGTGCGAAGCCTGAAGTTAAAGAAAATCAAAATTGGAATAAACTTCGAGCAAAATTAAATTCAAGTAAAATAAAATTGGAATAGAATTTAAATAGAAGAAAATTAAAATAAAAAATGGTTTTTTACGTACAACGCAAATTAATTTTGGTGATTGAGTGACTTCCATATTAACAGATCTTCTCATTCTCTTCACGAGCCAAAGAAGCGATAACGAATTACTTTTGTCAGCCTCCTCATTATCTTCACTCTTTTCATATCTTGGATTTAAAGATTTCAACAGTCTCGCAATGAAGACCAAATTCTTTACAACTTGATTCGATAATTCCTCCACATTCATTTCCGGATGTAATTGAGCAATCAAATCAAGAGTTAAACTCTTCAAAGTATTTACTGGATCCGAATAAATATATCCCGATTCATTGTCGTCTGGATTTTTCAAAAGCTTCTCCACTCTCTTAGTGTCAATGGTGGCGAGAATAAATTCCAAAAATTGACAAGCTCCCAAACGAACCCACAAGTGCGGATGCGCCAATAGCGATTGACTCTGTTCTGAAAGAATAATTTTGATTGTTAATATTCGCTTCTTGACAAAACTGTTTTTTAAATTAATTAACTCAAAATACTAGAAATACTTTTCAATAAAAAATTATTTTTGAATTTTATTTACCAGCGAAGGAATGAATATGATCGTTTAATTTTTTGTCCTTGAGAAATGCGGTGCAATTGGTGGACAATTTTACCAATAAATGGAAGAGACGAATTAAATGATGATCTCTTAATTTTTCTTGATCCTTCTCATTTTCTTCGTTGTCTTCATTTTCATTTTTTTGAATTTTCACAAAACGTCCAGGTTTTGTTTCATCGATATCGTTGGAGTAAAATTGTTTCAAAATAAGTGGTAATAAATCATTTAATCTTCGTTCGAATTTTTCCTTCTCGACTAAAACGAAAAGACCACAAAGTTGAACGGCTAAACTTCGGTGCATCATTTTTTTATCCTTTAACGATAAAGTAACAATATCAAAAAGCTCATTTCGTTTATTATTTGACAGTCTCTCCAACATATCTTGAATGCATTTTGCGCAAAGTTTCTGACATTCTGGATCATCATCGTTGATAATTCGAATACCAATCGCAACAAATAAATAGACAGCTTGCTTCATGAGAACTTTTAAGGGAAAACCCTTGACAATATTGTGTAGCATTTCCAAAACACTCATTCGTCCTGGTTGCAATTCAAAGGACAATTGAGCGACAAAGAATTCCAAATGTTCTTGAATTTTTTTCCCCAATGGATAATCGACTAGATAGGAATAGAAAATTTGTCGCGATTGCTGTTTCACGTGATCCAATTCCGATGTGACGATGAGAGTTGATACTTTTTTCATTACCTCGTGCATTTCGGGTACAATCATTTTACGACTTATGATTGCTCTTAGGAGACCGTAAGCGGTGGCTTGCTTTTCACTGTCGTGAAGATCTTGCTCGACGTAGAGTATCAGTAGTTTTAATTGTTCCTCATTTATTGTGAAATGTTTCACATCCCGAACAATTACTGAGGCGCATTTGAAAGCTGACATCACTAGATCGTAATTGTCGCCTTTACTCAAATCGGCAACCGCATATTTGTGAAGAATTTTGAATATCGAGGCGCAAATTTCGGAAATTAATTCATGTACCGCTGGGAGATCCATTTTTAGTATCCAGTTCAGGCACTGCAAACTTAATGTGCATATCTGCAAGAAAAAATTAGATAATTAAAAAATTATTCTTTAAAAAAATTATTTTTTATTTTATTTAATTTTATTATTTTAATTTCATTTAATTTTACTAGACAAATGTTACGCACGAAATGCGACATTCAATTCATTGATTCAAATTAAAAAAATTTTTCAATTATTTCAATTTTTTTCAATTATTATATTACAATAATTGACATAATTTGTCCTCACGTGAAATTAGTGTTGTTTTATTCTTTTTATTTTTTTTCTTTATTCTTTTATTCTTTTGTTTTATAGTTTGAATTGTTATGTCAAAAGTTTGACAGTTAATTTGTAAATATAATAAAATAAAAGGAGTAAGAAAATTTAACCCCAATTTCAAAAACTCAATAAAGAGGTACAAGTTGCAATTTTTAAAAATATTTAATTATTCTATAAATTATTAATTTTTGAAAAAATTTTAAATAATTGAAACAAATTGGAAATTTTGTAAAATTTTATATTTTCTTAAAGAATTTTATTTTTTTATCTTTAAAAATTTTTTAATTTTACTTTTGAACCTACAGTATTTTATGAATTTACAAAAATGATTCTATTTAAATAATTCAATTCTCGTTGTTGAATTCTGATAGGAATTTTAGAAAATATTTGAATATTTAAAGCGTTATAACTGGAATTTTAGGAATTAAAAAAATTTTAAAAGTTTTTTAAATTAAATTTCTTGAAAATTTAAGGGAAGCAAAAAAAAAATATTAAAATTTTCATTTTAAAAAATTATTAATGACAATACTTTTTTTAAAAATTCTTAAAGTTTTGAATAATTTAATTCAAAAATTCTAAAAAAATAATTGGATTTTGGAAGAATTACAATTGCAATTTTAAGAAATAATTAAACAAAAGGTTTTTCATTGAAATTATATGAAATTGCTTCCTCATAGAGGAAGGATTGTATTAGCAAAATTTTCGATTGTGATTTTTTGACATATTTATAAATTTTTTTTCGTTATACCTAATCCTTTAGTACTCTATGTACGAATGGGCACTGCCCGTATAAATGTTCTAAATAAATAAAAAAAAATTTCGACGTATTTTGATCTCCGAAGTTCAAAAAACGGATTTTAAAAATTTGTCCCGATGTGTGTGTGTGTGTGTGTGTGTACTAACATTACATTTGCCTCAATATGTCAGAACGAGAAAGAGCTAAAGGCCTTAATTTTTTTTTAAATTGTAGGTCTCCCCGGGGGACATAAAATGAGAGTATTTTGATCCCGATTCATAAAGTTTAACTATAATTTTTTTTGCATTTTTCATTTTGTAAAAAAACGTTTTTTGGCCATAACTTAAAAAAAATATTAGGGCACCTATAAATGTTTTTCTTTAGTTTTGTAGAGTTTTTTCAGACGCATCTTTTGAGCCTTCATTGAACATTTTTCGTTTATATTAGCCAGAGATGTTAAAGTTTTAAAAATCTAAATTTTTCGAAAATAACACTTTTTTGAAAATTTTGTTGAAAAATATAAAAGAAACTTTAAAAGTTTCATTACCAACTTGTAGAGCATTAAAAAAGGCTTCGATTGACCTATTTTTGAACCTGATTTGGTCAAAAATTATCGAATTATTGGTATTTGAAAAATCAAAAATTGTGGAAAATATAATTTTGTCAACATTCTTGTTTATGTGTAATTATTAAACTATTATAACCATCTTATAGAATATATAAAAACATATTTTTTGGACCAAGATTTAATGATTTTTAACTCTTTTATAAAAATTAATTCTTATATTTCAATTATTATTATTTCTATATGAGGAAGCAAAGTGTTCATGAAATGAACATTAAAATTATAAAAATGTACCACTTGGCAGCGGTTTTTCGATCCTGTCGAAAAATAAATAAGAATAAGTTTTTAATTTTTTGTTTAACAAAAAGTATTAAAGTTTTGAATAATTTAATTCAGAAATTTCGAAAAATTGTTTCTTGAAAAAATGTAATTAAAATTTTTTAAAAATAATTGTATTTCCGAAAATAATTTTAAAAAATTGAAACAATTGAAAATTCTGTCAAATTTCATTGAAATAAATTTTATTTTTTAATGAATTTTATTTGTTTACTTTTAAAAATTGTTTTGAAAGATAATCGTATTTTTGAAGAATTCTAATTGCAAATTTGGAAAATAATTGAATTTTAAAAAAATTTAGAATAAACTTATTACCACTGGAAAGTTTAATTATTTAATCAAAAATGTCTTACATTCAAGTTGCTGTTAGAAATATCTTGTCGATTTCTATACGAGATGTTCAAATAATTTAAATTTATTTATTATTATTATTAATTATAAAATTATTATTTCTAAAACTTTTCATTAAATTTTTTCCAAAACTTTTAGCAAAATTCTACGAAACAAAATATTTCTTGAAAGCATTCTATTATTTGTTTTTAGTATAATTAAAATAAAATTTCTCGAAAGAATTCAATTGTCTTAAAATATTTTAATAAAATTTTTCGAATTATTCAATTATTTTTAATACAATTTTAATTAAATTCTTCAAAAAAAAATTTAATTAATTTCAAAAATTTTAATAAAATCTGTCGAAAGTATTTTAATTTTTTTCAAACTTTCAATTAAATTCTTTGCAGAAATTATTTTCAAAACTTTTAACAAAATTATTAGAAATATTCAATTATTCTAAATACATTTTTTATTACATTCCACTGAAGAATTTTATTATTTAAAAAATTTTAATAAAATTTTGCGAAATAATTTAATCACTTTCATAAATTTACGAAATAAATTTAATTATGTAGAAGATTTCAAGAACTAAATTATTTTTAAAAATTTTAAAATAATCTTTAAAATAGTTCAACTTTTTCATAAATAATAAAATTCTTCGCAGGAATTCAATTATTTTTAATAAAAATTCAATTATTTTAAAAACTTTTAATCAAATTCTTCTCAAAAATTCAGTTATTTTCAATGAAATTTAATTTAAATTCTCCGAAAGAATTTAACTTCTTTCTAAAATTCAAATAAAATTCTGCGAAATAATTAAATGATGTATTTTCAAAAATTTTAATAAAATTCTATGCAAGAATTAAAATTACATAGTATAATCGAATACAACGATTACTAATAAGATTAATGTTTATTATTTCATTGAATTTTTGTAATTTGTTTAAAACTAGAAATTTAATAACCAGAAATAAAATTTACCTTAACATGTTGAGACTTGAGACTGTCGTTTAAAATTCCAACAAATGGATTCAAAAGTGGCTTGAAATCGGAACCCAAAAATTTGTCTCGTTTCAAAAAAATGTGCAACAATCTCAGACCGAATTCAATTAAAAAGTGTGCATTCGCATTTTCAGTTGTTTTCGCCATTGTTCTCTCGCAGGTTCGTCTCTTTGGCACCGGTGCAATGAGGAAAATATCCGGTCTCTTGAAAGCTCGTGCCTTAATTTCTTTCTCCGTTGCTGTTGTCTCCTTCAATTTTTTCGGCAAAAGATCGGGAATACTTTCAGAAACAATACCATAGAGAAATATTGTCATCGAATGAACCTCTATGAATCTATTGTCAGCTAATCCGAGACAAATTTGTCTGAAAAAATTTTAAATTAATTTTTTTTATTTTAATTTTATTTAATTTTAAATGAATTTAATTAATTTTATAAAAATTGTAAAAAAATCGAACCTCAAACACTCGCCGACTTTGTGTAATTTTTTACTCGAGTGGGAATTCAATAAAACCTCCTTCAACGGCATTATGATGTCAATCAAACAAGTTTCGTTGATGAATTCCGCTAGAATGTGAAAGATATCGTAACTCTTGGTCGATTTTGCCTCGGAGACATTTTTTATTATTCCAGCGACTTCCTTCTCCTCGGCGGTCAGTCCGAAGAGGTCGATTTTGCAGACGGAGAGGATACTGGTGAGAGTTTTGTTGACGTGAGTTGGTTCCAAGTGGGGTTTGAGTGAGACCAAGACGGTTTGAATTGTGAAAACGAGAACGTGAATTTGGAAACCTTTTGTGAGGAGGGTGTTCATTTCGCGGAGTAAATAGTGAAGGTAAGCGGGACCCAGGGTGATCATGATTTTTTGCAGGACTTCTCTGGTTGTTCTTCGCACTGACTCGAGGCGGGATTTTAGGAATGTGCAGATTTTCATGAATATTCCGGGTAAATTGGAATCGAGCATTGACTCGGGGAGTTTCTGCAGGAGTTTGACGAAGGCGAGAGCGACGGGGACTCGCATTAGTTCTTCCTCCTCACGATCGAAGGAGGTTCTTTTTCGATTTACCTTGTGGCTGTTCTCGTGTTGCGTTCGAGCGACGATTGCTCGGTTCAGTTGCGGCAGGAAGATGCGAGAAATGCTGAAAATTAGTCTTTTTGATACGTAACTCGAGAGGATTGTTTGCTTCTCGAATAGTGGAACTTGATTTGTTTCTGCTTCTGTTTCTCTTTCGATTCCTCTTTCGATTTTTCTTTTGATTCCCTTTTTAGTTCCTCTTTCGTTTTCTGTTTCGTTTTCTCCTTCGTTTTCTCTTTCGTCTTCTGCTTCCAACTTTTCCAAAGCATCTTCTAAATTTTCCTCCTCCTCCTCCTTCTCGTCCTTCTCTTTCAGCTCCTCGAGAATTTCCTCCGAATTTTCCCCTTGTAATTTCTCCAAAGCACTCGTTTTCTTTTCCTTCTCGTCCTCCTGGATTTGTTTCAATTTCTCCTCAATGGTGACTTCTTTATACTTGGAGAGATCGTAGTGAAAAGCGTCGAGAATAACGACTATTATTTTGATAAGTTGTTTGTGGAAATCGTGGGAGTGTCTCATTTTGTCGAGGTAGAATTTGAGGACGATTTCGTAGTGGTGCCAAGGCAGGAGTCTGCAAACGCTCCCGACGACTTCGATCGCAGCGTCGACGATTGAATTCTTGTTGAGGAAATCCTCGTTCAGTAGATATGACGACGCGAGCGGGAGAATAAATTGTGTGAGAGTTTTTGGATTTGGGGCTTTGTTCAAAGTCTTCGCTACGGTGGAGAATTTCAAAAGAGCACGAACTTTTCGATGCAGTTGTAGATGTTGGAGATTCTCGAAGAAATCGACTTCTGGGTCCAATTTGTTGGCGAGGAGGGAGAGATCTCGGAGAACTGGATGAACGTCCGAGCACTCGAGGGCCATGAAACCTAAAAATGATATTAGTTCCAGACGAAGTTTCTCGTTTTTCGATCTTAGGTTCTTGCGGATAATCCCCAGAATCGTGTCCTCGATTAAGTATCGTCGATTAATGGGATTTTCCTTATGACTTTTGGCTAGGTGTTTGCTGATTAGTTTCATTGTTTCGGTGGAACTGTAACGAACTGCGAGATCGTTGTCATTCTTTAGAAAGAAGAAGCAGTTGTAAATGACGGCGACGCCGAATTCGAGGGAGAGGGAATTTTCCTCCAGGAGATTTTTTATTTTCGCGAAAGTGTCTAGTCTCTTTTCGAAGTCCGGTTGATCGAGCCATTTCGAGTCGTAGGCGTTCAGTTGGGCTAGTAAATTGAATTCGGAAATCATTTCCCTGGAAGACGATCTATGGGCGATGATATTGAATAATTTGGTTAGATCCTTTCTGGCTGGAACAGAAGAAATTGAACCAATCAGAGGGATAATTATTCTTACGTGCGCCCCGGGGTTTTCGACTTTTTGGCAGAGGTTCGTTATTGTCGTTAAGAGATCGATTAGAATGTCTTCGGATTCGCCAAGGTTGGATTTTTTGACAAGAATCGGGACCAACAATTCTAGGAGGGTCCCACTCGTCTCGCTGTTGGTGATAAATTCCGAAATTCGGGAAAGAATGGTGAGATCCGTCTTTTTCACGCTCTTGTTGAATTTTTTGCTTCTCTCCAATTTTCTTCGCATGAATTCCAAAATGTCGGGAACGTGTGGTAGGAGAATTGATGAACCGTAATTTATTCCCTTTGGCAATGTGTCGTCGTCGATTTGCAAAATATTCGAGGCGATTGAATTCAGTGATTCGACTGGATTGTCAATTTCCATTGAGTGGGGATTTTTTTCATGATTCTCCAGAGTTAGTAATTTCTCCAGTATTTCTAGAATTGTGTTCGTCACTGATGAATGCGCCTTCGGGTGTAATAGTAAACGGACGATGAATACCAGTGGCATGAATGTTGAATCTTTCTCCTGGTGCTTGACGAGTAGGGCAAAGTAGCGTGAATTTTGACTCCAGGCGAGGAATATTTTCAATAGCGGAGTGGGACTGTGAATTCCCTCAATGGGAAGTTTCTCTAACCAAGGAAACACGCCGACAGTGAATAAAGCATCAATTTCGTCACTTGTCCAATTGTAATTTTCGAAATGAATGAAAAATCTCGCTAGAATATTGAGTGAAGTGGTTCGGATATTTTTTATTGAGGACAGAAAACCAGAGTGGACGGTAGTGAGTTTTTGAACGATACCAGTAATTTGGGCTAAAATTGTAAGTAAGATACGAAGAAGATGAGGGAGTAGTTTATCCATCATTTTGCCACCGAATTGTTCGATTAGAATTGCGAGAAGATTCACGGCACTTTGTAAACGTTTTGGTGGTGTGACATTTTTGAGATCGACATTTTCGATTATTTGTTGGATAAAATTGTTGAGATTATTGGTTTGCTCGACAATTGGTAGTAATTGATTGAGGAAGGGTTTGAAGGCCATTTGAACGAAGGTGAACATTTCCTTTTCCTCGGCGCCGGCGAGAAAGCGAAGAATCATTTTACGACGATGAAGACCACCGGATTTACCGCCTGTCCTCATTCCCACGCGTGTTGTCATTTTTGCGTAAATTATTCGCATAAGAATTGGAAATAAATCGTCGCGATGTGCATTGTCGATCATACTTTCGTCATTGGTGATTTTAAAGTGGGTTAGTTGGTTTTTTAATTGTTTCTCGTCAACAAAATTGCTTAAGTGTTCTTTATAGGGAATTAGGTATTTGTGTTTGTAGGCGAAGAGACAATTTAGAGCGGCTTTTTGAATTTCGGCATTTTTCGATGAGAGTAAATCGAGATAAATTTTACTCATTTCCGTTTCGCGGTAGAGTGATTTTGGATTTACGACTTTGCTGAATATTTGCATTTGAGCGAGGAGAAGTTTTATTTTTATTTTTGTGTTTGGCTGGGTTTCTTTATTTTCCTCTTTTGTATTTTTATCTTCTTTGTCAACTTTTTCTTCTTCTTTTTCTCCATCTTTCTCTTCTTCTTTTTCTTGATCCTCATTTTCTTTATCTTCTTCTTCTTTTGTGTCTTCGTCTTCATCCTCTTCTTCTTCCTCCTTTGCATCTCCATCGATTTCCCCTCGTTTCTCGATGTTACACGACTTTCCATCCTCACTGTTCGACTTGAAAACGAATCTATCCACAAAATCGATAAACATCACAGTCAAATCGCGATTCTTCGTCTCGCAATAATCCGTGAAATTCTCCATCGACTTCCACAATTGTAGTCTGTAATTATCGAAATCAATTTTTTCCTCACTGACACAAATTTCGTTTTCCAACGACGTGATTACGTCGCAATTGATTGTTGTCTTATAGAAAGGTGGAATGTTGTTTTCCATTTTTAATTGCGAGAGGAAAATTGGCCAAAATTGAGGGCATTGTTTATTGGCGTAAGTGGCTAGAATTTTGCCGCAAGGTTCCCAGATGAGGGAGAAATTTAAATAAAAATTGCCAATTAGATAATTCAGTGGTATGTCGTAATAAGACGGATCCAAGGAATTCAATGCTTGACCGTCGAAATTTATAGCTTGAAGATGCAACAATTTTTCTCGATATTTGTGAACAGTTGCTGGTTCATTCTCGGCTAGGTAAATAAGTTCGAAGACATTTTTGTTACCGTTTTGATTGAACAGGTAGAAAATGTGCGCCACTGTTAGGCGAATTCGTGGATTTTCTGATCGTAAATTTTCCGCTAAAAATTGATGTAAACTTTCAAAGGTCGTTTCGTTGATTAATTCGCCCCTCGATTGGGATTCGTTTACGTGGGTCAAGACAAGATCCAGGGAATTTAATATCGATGGTTGATTTTTGTACATTTGGGTCAATTTCACGAGATTTGTTTTTGACAAAAATTTGAGAGTTAAATCGGGATTTTTTATATGAATCATAGAGTCGAGTGCCAACAGGAAGAGAAACGAGAATTTTTGTATTAATTCTAAATTGAGATTTGTTTCATCATCAAGTTTTTTATACAGATTTAGGATAATTTCACATAAAGCAGAATCGAGATCCTTATGAAGTGGACACAAATGGGGAAGAATTAGCAAAATATGTATTGCCTCGTTCGTTGGTTCTTGTGTGAAATTTTGTAATTTTTTCCTTAGATAATCAATTTCCAAAGTTTTTTCCTGAATGTTCAGGGGAAACTTTCGCCAATTTTGAAGATTGTTTCCACGTAACGAAGGAGGAGCTTTGATTTTAATAATTTTGGACAACAAACGTAGGTATTTAGGCTTGAATTCCATTTCAATGTTCATTTTCATCAAACGCGGTAATATCAGTGATTCAAAGGACGAAAATGAAATTAATTGTTCAATTGTATTGAGCAACAATTCAGTGTATTGAATGGAGAGAATTTTCAGTGTCAAATAACTTCCGGTCTCTTGACTAATAGTAACGCAGGGAGCGAGTAGCAAATCTGTCGAATTTTTGAGAATCTCTTCTAAAATTAGGGGATTCTTTTCGAAAGTAGTGATTACGTCTGCTAATTTTCGGGCTAGATTCAAGGGATCTTTTACAATTCTCCCACCTCTTTGATGGATCAATTGAAACATGAGTCGGAGAATTAGAATCAATGGATCTTCTCTTTCGGACGATTTCTTGTATGTCGAATGTTGTTCTATAAATTTGTCCATGATTCGTAAAATAACTGTCCATAAAACATCGGATTTTTTGTAATTTATTGCTTGCATATTGTTGATGATTTCGATTAAGACTTTATAGAGAAGTTGTTGATTTAATTCTTCATTTTCGAGTGATTCGAAATAAAGGGTTAATAATTCCTCGGCACATGAATGAAATTGACCGGAGATTGATGAAATGACTTCAAATAATAATTTTCCACAACCTGAGACACCATTTGGCGTTTCTTCCAGAGCATTTAAAACTAATTTGAGAAAATTCTCCTTGTCCTTAACTTTTCTTACGACAAAGGAGAAACTTTCGGCGGCAAAATTATTAATGTAGTGTGGTCGCGATTCGGATAAAAGTGGTAGAAGTAAATTAAAAATTTTGTCTACGTTACGAATTAAATAACGCCATAGGAATTTGAATAAATAGGCGAGTGTCGTAAAAGTGTACTCAAGTTGATCGGCATCTTTCGTCCACAGAAGATCGATAATTGCTGTTAGAAATTCGGGAAAATGTTGACAGAATTCTTTCTGTAAATCTCTCGATACTGCGACAATTAATCTGTAATTTTTTAAAGTAAATTTCAATGAGTTTTGAATCTGGTTTGTTTAGTTAATTAATAGTTGATTAAATGTTAATTAATTGTTAAATAATAGTTAATCAATAGTTTAATTAAGAATATAATTAATAATTCAAGATAAATAGTTGATACATACTCTAAAACAGTCTGTAGGCAAAGAGGATCTTTCAATTTCAAATATTTCAGGAGCGTGTCGAGTACATGTTGCTGACTGTTTAGCAATTGAGGTAAAGTAATTATATTTCTGAATTCTTTCTTCAGACTGCCATAAATTTCCGAAAGATTAAGGACATTCCATTTTTGGAGTGCTTGATAGAAGTGTGTTTCTTCCTCGGTGTCATCTTCATAACGATGTGACACTCGATGAAATACGTCAACATCGATTTGTGTCACCCTTTCCGAAAAGGGTTTAAACTAAACAAAAAATGCAACATTTACTTTTGTGCTATAGTAACAATATTTATATATAATTACATAATGTGGAAATTTTAAAACCTAAAAGATTAATTCACTATTTGCGAAGAGATTTACAAAAACATTTTTCTACAAGATGTACTTCTTTACAAGAGAAAAACTTGTTTTTCAAATAAATTTTCTTTGTAGATGAAAGCAATTTTTAAATATAGATATTTAATAGAATTGAACAATAAATTATGGAAATTATTTCATTTAGTAGCAAATAAATTTAAAAGAAATTAAAAAATTGTAATTTTTTTAGGTTAGACTTAAAACTGCAATGTTTATAGAAATTGTCGTTTACCTTAAAAGTATTTGTTTCTTTATGCCGCAAAGGTTTAGTTTTCATTTTGAATACTATTTATTACAAATATTTCAACTAAATATTTTGTTGTTCATCACTTTTGTACTGTTTTGTTATTTTTTTATTAAAATAAAAATGTGGTGCGTGCAAAAATAAACGTGAGAACTACATAACCTTTAAAGTTTTGAACACGTTTTTTTATCACGTGACCCACGTGTCAGTGTTCTGCACATGCGTAAACTGAAGGCGGGTTAATTTTAATTTTTCCCAAATGTAGAAACAAATTAACGTATGTATAATAATTATTTATGTGTTACATAACAACAAAGTAAGTAAAAGTGAAAATAAAATATTACTGGAAGTAATAATGAAAATGATAAATAATAATTCAAATATAAATAAAGTGCGCACTGATTCTGAATTTTCTAACCTATAAATTTTGACAAATGGTCAGATGCATCGATATCTGGATTACAAGGATTACAAGCATTACTGAATTTCCTGAATTTCTACTTTATTGTTCTTTATTATTTAATTCTGGTTTAATGTTTAATTGTGCCATTTTATAGAAAAGCAATGCGATTAAGAGATTACAAGAAAATAATTTATTATCTCAAATCAACTGGAATTTGTGTTGCATCTGCAGGGTATGTATATGTTTTGTTTTGATCACAAAATAGTCTTCATTTTTATTTTATTTTTATTATTATCCGTATATAAAAAGGAAAAGAGCAGATGTGGAGAAATTTAAATTGAATGGTGTAAATATTTAGACATTAGAAAAACGTAATGGTTAATTAAAATTTGTTTATTTTTCAGTGGTTGTTGGTTTCTGTATCAATTGCATCAAATTTCAGAAAAAGTTCGAGCAGCTGTTGCAAGTAATGTTTTGCAATTAGAAAATCTCCACGTTCAGTATATTTATGTCGACGATCCTAGACTTAAAGGTTGTAATTTAATAAGGTTTAATTTAATTTTTGAACACTAAAAATAATATTGCCTCCTGTTCATTATTGGATTTAATAACAATTCAGGGAGTAACATATTTTTCTTTTTTTTTTTTTTGTTTATTGTTTATACTCCTGCCCTATTGGCCTTACGCACTTCGACAAGAGTCCCCGAGAAATACTTTTTTGGATTAAGCATAACCATTCTACATATTAAATTTTTCCTATAATTATATTAACCTAATTTTTGCGTCTACAGCCGACTTTGTTAGGAGTACTCGCTAACATATTTTTCTTTAATTACAGATATCTTCATGTTTCGAGAAAAGGATGATCTTAATTCGTATGTGAAGGAAAACCCGCAAAATCTCACTCAAATAATAATTAAATGGTGGAAAACTTTAAACCGTAGTTTAGCTTATAGATTATTGCACATGGCTCGCAATGGTTCGAAAGAAGAACGAGAAAAAGCTGTTTATTCACTGAGTAATCTAAAACACCTGAAAGGTATTTTTGTCTTTTCGTTTTTTCGATTCCATGTGTCGAAAATTCTGTGAAATATTTTTTTCAGACTGGCATTATCGTGGTTTGGCACAAATGCTCGATGCAAGGACCGCTGTCTCCCTGGCAAGAATGCCCAATACGGATTTAAGATTTTTTTTACAACCACCTTATTATCATGAGAAGCATAAACTTTTCGTATGACTCTTTATTATACATATTTGGAACTTTTTAAAATTTTATTGAAACAAAAATTCAAATTCATTTAAAAGAAATTCAATTTTTTTCTAAAATTTTAATAAATTCTTTGAAAAAATTCAATTATTTTCATCAATAGTAAAATTCTTCACAAGAATTTAATTAATTTTATAAATAGTAAAATTCTTTGCAGGAATTCAATAATTTTCAAAACAATTTTAATTTAATTCCTCGAATGAAGTCAAATTTCCTAAAATTTTAATAAAATTCAATTTCAACAAGAATTTAAAATTCTCGAAAAATAATTCAATTATTCTCAAAATATTTTTAAAAAATTCTATATAAAAATTAAATTACTTTTAATGCAATTTTTAAATATATTCGTCAAAAAAAAATTGAAAGAATTCAATTATTTTCAAAAAATAATAAAATTCTTTAAAGAAATTCATTTATTTTCAAAACAACTTTAATTGAATTTCTCGAAAAAATTTCATTATTTTCAAATATTTTTATAAAATTCTTCGTAACAATTTAATTATTTCTTAAAATTTTAATAAATTCTTCGAAACATTTCAATTATTTTTATAAATAGTAAAATTCTTCGCGAGAATTCAGTTGTTTTCCTAAATAATAAAATTCTTTGAAGGAATTCTATTATTATCAAATTTTTTGATAAAATTCTTTGCAACAATTCGATGATTTGCAGTAAATTAATTTTAAAATTGAAAATATTTGAAAAGAAAAATTATAAAAAAGTTAAGAAACAAAAAAGCAAACAACAACTATTTTCAAGCTGCGAACATATTACCGGAACATGTACTTTATTATTAATAATTAATAATTTGATTGATTTTTTGTAATTTTGATAACTTTTGTTGTAGGATCTGATAGAGAGGACACACACAATTCTCTTGAAATTGGATAATTTATGTCAGAGTTGTCATCCTTGTTTAAAGCAATTTATTAACAGAAAGTTCAAAGACTTTCATCGCGTGAGTATAATAGTAGAAAATAAAATTCGCTGTCTATGTTTACGAGCTTTTTGTAAAAGTTTCTGCAGCATGTTTTTTGAAAAATTTAGAGGCAATTGAAAAATGACTCAAATATAATATAGAAGCAGTAAAAGGTAAAAATCTCGTGTAGGAAGGTTTGATATTCGACCACGATTTAGTAAGTGTCGGTCTTGCCGTGCCACCAGCAATAAATTGGGATCCAGAATTTCTTCAAAATTGCTTACAAGCCATTCATCATCATTCCTCTCTTGAGCAACACAGCAAAGGTTTTTAATTTTTTTTCTTTTTCGTACAAAAATCGTTTCTCTCGAAATAAAAATTAGTATTTTATTACTATTACTATAATTTTTTTTGCTAAAAGTACTATTTAAAAATTGTTTATTTTATTATAATGTTTTTTAGTTTAATATTTTTTTCAGACGTTGTAGATGTTGGTGGTCTCTCTGTATTGACGAACATTCAGAACAATTTCGACAATAATTTGAATATCAAGATTTTACTCGCAAAAATATTGTCGAATCTTTCGCTTCACTCCGATTGTTTGGATGATATTTTTCGATCAGGTAAAAAAATTTACTTCCAAACTATAAATCATTTTTATTTAGTATAGATATACAATTTTTTTTGCAAATGGTAAAAATGAATAAAATGTGAATTTTGGTAAATTCAGGATGGATAGGAATTTTGGCGCAATGGTCCAGAGATGAGGATATTCGACTGGCATCGCCGGCAGCAAGAGCGTTGGCAAATTTGGATTTAGATGATAATAAGGGCGAGATGTATTCTCAAAGTATTTTTCCTTTACATCCATTGCAGAGGTATCGAACCCAGAGAAAGATGGATGTGATTTTTATACACGGACTCCTGGGTGGCGTTTTTGTCACCTGGAGACAACGAGATTCACATTTAATACCCGCGGAGATTGTAGGTTTGTCTTCAAATTATTTTATCCAAATGATCCTTTCAACGGCCTTTCTTCGTCTTTTTCACAGAAAGTTAATTATTTTAATTTAATTCTTATTATTTTTTCTACCATTTTTTAATTTACAATAATTATTTTTTTCAATTGTAATTAATTCAATTATTCTTTCAGAAATAATTTTCTTTTAATAATTTTTTTATTCCAATATTAAGACTAAAAATCATTTTTTAAGATGTATTATTTATTTAGGACCAATTTTGTTTTATTATTGTTTTATTGTTGGTTATTTAGGGTTATTGTGATTTAGATTATTTAGAAAACTGATTAAAAATATTCTTTGGGATGAATACAATTTTTTAGATCCTTGTTCGGAGGAATACAGTAACGACTCATTTACTGAGATAATCAAAGGGTATCCACAGGAATTTGTTAAGGATTTGGCTGAGGACTTGAAAATGCATGAATGGAAGCGAATTGGCCATGATTTTGAAGTTGTCCTTCACGATTGTCCCATAAATGTTAATTATCAGGCTTGTGGACCGTACACATGCAAAGGGTAAATAAAATTCGAATTATGTTTCTTACCAGGTACAATTATTTAGGGGGGAAATTTTTAATTTTTGTTACTATTTTTAGAGATGATAATTGCATGCAAGAGGGCAAAGAGAAAAGTTGTAAAACGCAATGTTGGCCGAAAGATTGGCTTTCGAAGGATGTGCCTTCAGTGCGTGTCATTGGAATTAATTATGACACTAAATTGTCCACGTGGACACCTCTTTGTCCTATTGAAGGAATGAGGTAAAGTTTGACAGTTTAGAAATTAAAAAAAATGCCACAAATTTAAATTAATTATTTAATTTCATAATTTAATTTTACTATTTCCATAAATAAGGAAAATAAATTAAAAACAACAATCTTTATGACAATTTTTCTCCAGGAGCACAATTAAAGAAAGAAGCGATGAATTTATAAGAAAGTTAGTTTTAGCCGGTGTTGGAAAAAAACCTGTCGTGTGGATTTGTCATTCAATGGGTGGATTGTTGGCGAAAACAATGCTAGTCGAAGGTGAGATTTACAAAAAGTCTTTGATGATAATTTACCTCGTTTGGAAAAAAATATTAGAAATATTAGTTATCTTTAAAAAAAATGCTTTTGTTTAAGTAGAAAAATAATAATAATAAAATTGGTAAAATGAAATCGTTTTTTAAAATTTAAACATTTGTTTGTGATTTCAGAATGGAAAAATGGAGATAAACATAATATTTGCAAAATGTCGAAAGGAATTATTTTTTATAGTACACCACATCAAGGTTCGAGTGCCGCTGCCTTGAATCAAGCATCGGAAATGCTTGTTTGGCCCTCGATTGAAGTTAAAGAACTCCGAGAACGTAAGTGGAATTTCATTTCGAAATAAATAGTCTTGATTCATAAAAATAAAAGATAATTTTCTGTTTCAGAATCACCAAAATTGATAGATTTACATGCGAATTTCATTAAAATGTTGGATAATTTCCCAATGGATATTGTGAGTTTCAGTGAAACGAAATCAACACTCGTTACAGCTTTAAAATTAAAATTTCAATTTGTCAAACCAAAGTCGGCTGGTAAACATAATTTAGTGTATTTTTACTATTATTGAAAACCATAATTGTTTTGTTAACATTTTAGTTATTATAATTTATTTACTTTTGTTTAGATCCAGGTATTGGGGAATTTTTCGAAATACCTCAAGATCATTTTTCCATTTGCAAACCAGCAAATAGACAATCGTTTTTATACCAAAAAGTACTGAGCATCATAAGAAAAAATGTCGATAATGCAACACAAGAAAAGTCATTGAAAGAATAGTTTTCAAAGACAAAGGTAAATCGCAAAAACATGACTATTTTTCTATCATAATTCTGTAAAAAATGTAAAATATTACATATTTATATATTAAAATTTAATTTATAAACAATAATTTTTTTTGTTTTAATAACGAAAGAGAAATTTTATCAACTTATTCAAAAATTTATTTAACTCGATTAAATAACTTAATTTAGACTAGTCAACATTAACAAAGACCAGAGATTAATATATTATAAAAAAAAATGAATTTCGAAGAAAATTTGAAAAAAAGGAAAATAAATAAATATCCGATTTAACAATATAAAAAAAGTATAAAATCACAAGAAGAACTTTTTGCAAAGTTTTCTTTATTTGAGTCAAATTTTTTCTTTTCTTTTTGTTAAAAATTTGTGTCATAGTCCGGATGATGATGATTATGATGATGATTATGATGGTGACGAGATAAATTAATGCTGCTGTCGTATCCTCCGTATTTACTGCTCGAATGTGATGGATTATAATAATATCCATTCCATTCAGATCGCCAACTATCGTACATATTGTATTTTTTATTCTCCATCATGGATCCGTCAACTAAAATCTGAAACGTCAAGTGAATAATAAAATAAGTGACATACCATCTTTAGGAATGTTGGATAAAACAAAAAAAAAAGAAAAGAAGTGCAATTTTTTTTAAGTAAATTTTTGGGAGTCAACGTTTTGTGCATACATACCTTGTTTGAATTTGACTCGAAGGATTTATCATTCCAAGCAGTGCTCGGGTCATTCCACATTGTGTGAATGTCCGCTTTGTGATAATCGCTCGATCTTTGCATCGGTGGAGCGTGAGACGCCTGAATTACATTTTTCGTTGCCTCCTCATCGAATATCGCCATCACTGGGGGCTTTAATTTTGGCGCACTGTGTCGATTTGCCAACTGTAAGTAGCATTCGTAAATTGAATATTTTGCAAAACAATTCTTTAAAATAACTTTATTTAAATTTGTACTTTTTTCTTTCCCTATATTTTTTCATTCATTTTATTTTATTCATTCGTTTTACGATATTTGCTGTTTTTAAACATAAATAAAACTGTTTTTAATTCTCGAAAGGAAGGTTGAAAAATATTGCGAAAAATACTATTTCAAAAACTTTTTTTTGTTTTCAAGAGAAAAATTGAAAAATATAGAGAAAACTACTGTTTTAAAAACTGGTTTTTTTTGTTCTCAAAAATAAAATGAAAAATATCGTTCGTAACTAGTGCTAGCAGTTGCCAATTTTTGAACGAGCACTTTTTTTGGAACAAACTTCGCCTACAGTTTGTTCCAAAAAAAGTGCTCATTCAAAAATTGACAACTGCTCGCACTCGTTACGAAATATACTATTAGATAATTACCACAGAGACTCCAAAAACGATGATGAAGAGTAATCCACCGATTCCAATGATTATGACAGCGATTGCCCATTGAGGAATTAATTTCTCTTCGTGTTCCGATGAATGTGGAGTCATTATCCTCGGTATCACTGGAGAGAATTAATTTAATTTTTTTTTAATAATGATTCAATGAAGTAAGACAAAATTTTTCTTTTATTTAATTTTCATGGAACTTACCAACAAAGTCAGTAAACTTGGGATCAATGGTAAATATTCCCATTTTCAATGGACCCTTCGTTTTTGTTTCGTTAAATCGATTATTATAGGTTCTCAATGAATCATGGAATATCACTTTTAATTGTTGAGTATTAACACCTTCGTGAAGATTATTCAATTCCACAAAATAATCGACGAGAATACTTCCTGGGCTGAGAAGCAGAAAAAATTATTTTACATAAAATTTTCATCTTTAAAGATTAATAAAATGAAAATTTATAAAATTACAGTAAAAAAATTACGTAATTTTTAATAAAATTATAGAATTCAAAATTATTTTTACAATAACGCACGAAACGCGATATTCAATTTATTCTTATTTCTTTGCATCAAAATTTTTTTAAAATTCAGTTATTAGCTAATTAACTAATCAATTATTATTGTTTATTATTTTTAAAAATTTTAATAAAATTCCTCGCAAGAATTGAATTATTTTCAAAAATTTTAATTAAATTCTTCTCAAGAATTGAATTATTTTCATAAGTATTAAAATTCATCTGGAAAATTAAATTATTTTTCAATACAATTTTTATAAAACTCTTCAAAACGATTTAATTATTTTTATATAGGTACCTAAATAATAAAATTCTTCAGAAGAATTGAATTTTTTATAAATAAAAAATTATTCTCAGGAATTAAAATATTTTCAATAAATAAATAAAAATAAATTTTTCTATAATATATTCAATTACTATTATTAAAGTTTTGATAAATTGTTTTATGAGATTAAAGTTTTTTAATTATACCTAATTATTAACAAACACGATTCTTAAAAAAAGTTGAAAGAAATTCTTCGTGAAATTAATTTAATTTTCCTAATTTTCAATTAAAATTTTTTAAAAACATTTTTTTTCAAAAATCTTAAAGAAATTCGTTATTTTAATACAGTTCCTTTTGAAATGTATTTAATTGAATTTCTTGAATTCAAGTATTTAGAAATATTGTAATGGAATTCTCAGAATTATTTTAAAGATCATTAAAGATTATTAATTAATTAATTATTAATCATTAAAGATCATTTTAATCATTTTCAAAACTTGAAAGTAATTCTTCATGAAATTCAATTAACTATTATTTTAAAAATCTTCAGTTATTTTCAATAAATAATACAATTTATCGCAAGAATTCATTTACTTTCAATACAATTTTAATAAAATTTTTCAAAAGATAAAAATTCATTACCTGAATGCATCGATTCTTATATTCTTGAACCATTTTTTGAAAACGGCAGACTTTGCAAAAACGAAATTCATCTGTGAAGAAATTAAACTATATTAAATACCATACGAATTGTTCTCTTTCAAATAACAATTATTATTACTAATACTATTATTTATTGATAAATGGAACATCATTATTATTATTATAAAAATAAAAATAATAATTATTATAATTAACAATAATAATTTAATATTAATTGTAATAATAATAATAAAATAATAATAGTAATGGTAATAGTAATAAATAATATTAATAATGAGAATGATGAAGTACACTTGAATTTTCGTTTTCAAAGAACAATTTCAAAACCGAAGTAAATTGTGAATTGAAACAAGAGAAAATTCTGGTGAAAAGAAGAAGAAGAAGAAGAAGAAGAAAACAATGTGAAATAATAACAGCGAAAGAGTAAAACCACAAGACAACAATATACTTTAAAAAGCGCACCTCTCGTTCGACCTTGTTTGCAAGATCCTGCCATTCTCGTGTATTTCGATCAAGCAACTCGGGAACCCAAGTGGCATTGTCAATTATACGAATTGTACCCGCAACCTCACACTCATCGTCGCAAATACCCGGGGTCGTTGGTTTTGGTGTCGTTGTTGTTGTTGTTGTTGTTGTGGTTGTCGTCGAAGTACTCGAGACTTCGCTTATTGTGGGAAACTGAGATATATTGAGAGATGAAGCAGTTGCAGTGCGTGCGGCCTCCAACAATTTCTCAATGGAAATTGGAGTCGTTGATGACGTTGGCCATCCAGTGAATTCAGTCGTTGCTCTGCACAAAAATTAATATTTTGCTAATTATAAAATAATTTAATTTAAATTAAAGAAAACAGTCTTATTAGAATTGCTAATAATTCTTCAATTTTAAGATCTCTAACGAAAGTGAATTGAGTCGATTAAATAGAAACTGTCTACAATTAATTAAAGTTCTCAATTAGTTTAATTTATTTTCTTATTTTTCGTTGTCACTTTACATTCCAGATTTCAATTTTTCTAGAAATAGAAAGTAGACGTAGAAAGTAGAATAGAAAAGGAAAACAATTACCTAGTGGGCCAGCCTTTCTGAATCTTGGGCTGCGCAGCAGCTGGACCCTCGCCTCTTGGTGTCTGAGGTGTCGTTATTTTGGCACTTGGTTTCCGTCCCCCAGGTCTACTTGGAAAGACTAGTTTAATTCCCCCAGTCTTCATTGTCGTCGCAATTGGCGTGGCATTAGAATTTACAGTCTTTTCATCTCCAACTTTATCAGTACCATTAGTTTTTTTATTAAAGTCTTTTGGCAAGAAAGCAGTAATGTCCACTTCTGATTTTGAAAACAGATCTTGAAGCGTATTATTATTATTATTCACTAATTTTTGCTCCGTCTTGGTCGTATTTTGCCCTTTTGATTTATTATAATCTTTGGGTACAAATGCCGACACATTGACGACAGATTTTAAGAATAAATCTTGAAGTGGTTTTTTATTTATCGTTTCTTGTGTGGAATTCTTTTGCTCCTTGAAATTTTTCGGCAGAAAGGCTGAAATATCTACTTCGGACTTGGCAAATAAATCTTGAATTGAACTGATTGATTTGTCTTTTGATGGAGAATTTGCCAGTGAGGAATTCTTTGATTCCGGAGTGGTTTTTTCTGTTACGGTGTCCTTTGATTTGTAGCCTAAAAATAATTTGATGAATTTTTGTAGTTTTCAAAATGAATAATTAAAAATGATAATAGGGATTGGAATAGTAGGCTTCGTACTCGAGAATTAATTTTCAAAAAGTATTAAAAAAACTAATTAAACTATTTATTAAAATAATTTCAATCTTTTTTTCAGTCTTCTTGAAATTTAACTGTTTCTAAAAATTACAACCGTAATTATTCAAAAGTTCAATCATTTTTTTGGTGAAACTTTTAAATAAAAAATTATTCAAAACTAATAATTTAATTTCAAAATAAAAATTTTAATATTATTACAGTTTTACAACAATTAAAATTTTCAAAGAATTTAAAGTAATTGAATTTCGATAAATTTTTGAAATTATATATGTAGTTAAATTTCTACAAAGAATTTTATTGAAATTTTCGAAATTAATTGAAATCTTTTAAAGAATTTTAATAAAATTTTTGAGAATAATTGTATTTTTCAACGAATTTATTTAAAATTGTATTAAAAATAATTAAAATCCTTCGATGAGTTTTATTAGTTGTGAAAATAATTGAATTCCTGAGAAGAATTTTATTATTTATAAAAATAATTGGATTCTTGCGAAGAATTTAATAAAAATCTTTTTAAATAATGGATTTTTTTCGAAAAATTGTATGGAAATTGAATTCTTGTGAAAATTCTATTATTTATGAATATAATTGAATTTTTGTAATAAATTTTATTAAAATTTTTAATATAATTGAATTCCTCAGAAGAATTTTATTATTTATAAAAATAATGCTTAATAGAAACTGATATTTTTCACATACAATAAAGTGTCAACCTAGATTTAAGTAAAATAAATTTATTGTTCATATTAGATTTAGGAGTACTTTCGTACGAAAGGGCATGTCTCGTTATATTCTTAAATAAATAAATAAATAAATAATTGATTTTTGTCGAAAAATTTTATGAAAATTGAATTTTGAATAATTGAATTCCTGTGGAAATTTTATTATTTATAAATGCAATTGAATTTTTGCAACAAATTTTATTAAAATTTTTAAATATAATTTGAGTTCCTGAGAAGAATAAATTGTGTTTTGTAATTGAATTCCTGTGAAATTTTATTATTTATGAGAATAATTATATGTTTGAATAGAATTTTATAATTTTTATTCTAAATAATTGAATTCTTTTGGGGTATTTTCTCTATTAAAATAATCGATATTGAAAATATTGAATTTTGAAATTTTTTTTTAATATTATTGAATCATTTGAAAGAATTTTTGATTGAAAATATTTTGAAATGTTTGTAAGAATATTATTTTGAATTTTTGAAAATAATTTTTTATCCAAACTATTAGCGAATTTAAAGTAGTTGCAAATTTTAAAAAATATGAAAAAGTAGCTTTTAATGTCAGAAATTTTAAAAAAGGAGCAGTAAATAGTAGGTTTTAGCTGGAATAGTGATAATAATTACCTGGTGGTAAAAAGGCGCCTATGTCCTCGAGAATTGTGGCACTCTTGGAAGGAGTTGTACTTCTTGCGGTTGTCGCCTCGGTGACTGGAATCGTGGTAGCAGTGCTCTTTGGAAATTGCCTCCTGAGACTGCTCTTGGGATAGTTTTTCGGCAACAAACCCTCCAAATCATCGAGAGTGGTTTGATATTTGAATCTCGATGTGCTCGTCTTTGATGTGGTGGATTTGATGGTCGTTGTCGTGGGAGTTGTGGAAGTCGTCGTGGTGGGAGTAGTGACACTCGTAGTGGAGAATCTCTTATCGCTGTACCTTCGGGGAACAAATTTACCCGGTGGTTTTATCGTTGAGTAGCGCTTTTGATTTGATTGATCATCCACGGGCTCATCCATTTGCAGAGTATTGCCGGCATTGCGAAAACCGCCGGCGAGAAAACCGTTTGATAATTCCGATTGAACCCGATCGAGTTTGTCAATTATGCTCTCGGTCGATTCGGAGGATGTGACTTTTTTACTGGTGGCTTCCTCCTTGCTTTGATCGAATTGCTCGACACGATCAATGACGGGGAAGGGAAGGAATCGAGCGCCGGAAATACTGCGACTAGTTTGAACTGAGGCGAGAATTCGGGATGAATCTTCAGTGGTGATTTCGATTGATTTTGAGGACGACGACGATGACGATGACGATGATAGTGATGATGAACTTTCTGTCGTGGATAGAAGTGAGTTCGGCGATGTTGGTGGTGAGGAAATTTGCTCGGTTATCAATGGCGATGAGGTTACTGGCACTGAAAATGTACCGTTCACCACACTTTTTGTCGTCACCACAGAAACGACAGCTTCTCCAATTAAAATCGATTTGGATGAAGATGATTCTTCATTTTCGGGTTCTTTCGTTACGACCTCTGGTCCTTTCGGTAGGGAATCATCAACATCACTCTCATGAGAATCAGTATCTAAATAGTCTTCTTCGTCATATTCTCTTTCAGAACTCTCCAAATTCGACTCTCCGATTTGACTCGAGGAAGAATTATTTTTCGAAACTTGAGAATCGAAAGTATCCAAAGATAATTGAGAACTTTTTTCCACCTTTTCGTCTTCCGGTTTGGACTCATTTTTAGATTTTATTTCTACACTTATGGCCTTGGAATCGTTTTTACTTGATTCTTGTAAACTGTGTTTTTCCTCTCCTGGTAATTGAAGTTTCTCGTCGATTGCCGAGGGATCGGGATAGTCGACACTAGCTGAAAATAGAAAATCAATTTCAATTTTTGTATTAATTTGATTATTTCTATTGTTATTGATTTAAACAAGGTTAAAATAATTTCGTTAGTAATTCGGGAATGTTTTTTTAATTTTTCTCTGAGTATTCATTGTGTAAGAAAATTTACGTCACTACTTCTGACATTTAAATTTGAATGAAAACTCGTTGACCTATCGGTAACTGAATTTTTTCATTTCATCATACTTCACACGAGACAATTTCCAGTTTTACGAACACGCTTTTTAATTTTATTCAGTTCGAGTTATCATTCGAGTAAATAAAAATAACGCTAATAGAAATAATACAAATGAAAACAATGCAAATAAAAATAATTCAATTAAAAATAATACAAATAAAAATAATAAGAAAAGAATTTGAAGAAATAGAAACAAAAATATCAAAAAAGGAAATTATTTTTTTGGAATTAGATTTATATTGCAACTCGAGCTTCAATTTCACTATAGAAATAAATTTTGACTTGAAAGTAAAAACTGAATAAAATTGAATTGAACAATAGGAAACAAATCAAAAGAGAGAAATTCAATTGTTAGATGAAAGAAAAGAGTAATATCAGATTGTCCTCAAGGTTCTAATCTTTCTCTCTCTCTGGAGAGAATAATTTAAAGTCCCGTGACTCGACATCAATAGAATAACTAGAGCAAAAGCGAGGGAAAGTAAAAGTCCGCTCCGTTAAAAATGACGCAACGATAATTTCGGTCGTTTTAAAAGCATCCACCCACAAAAATACAAAAGTATTCTCAACATCAAGTGAACGTGTATCATGAGAATAAAACTTGTTTGCACTACTTTTCAAATTTATCATCGACAACTTACTATTTTTATTGAAAAAAAAAAAATTACGACAAGTGTATTACATTTCCCAATAAAAAATTCCATTTTTTTCCATTGCGAATATGTGACAATATTTTTTTTTACAATTACACACTCAAGAAACGGAAGTAGTTGAAATAATTTCCAGTTCCTTATATATATGTATATCCATTTTACGACCTAGTTTTAGAGAAAGTTTTAAAAGTTTTCCTCTTTTACTCGATAGAGTGTGTAGAAAATAATTTCACAGTGAAAAGCAGACATCAGAGAAAGTGAAAAAAAAATGTAATGGAAAATGTGTACTGAAAAATATAGAATATAGAACCAGTAATCATGAATTATAAAAGTGAACTATGAAACTTTAAGGTGCTATCTTAATCGAAATGTCAAGATTAAAAATCTCAAACTTTCCCCGGGGGGCTTTTTTTAGAAAGTCTGGTTGATTTTCCATTCAGCTTGTCGTTAATCGAAAATACCGCCTAATTGTCAAAGCAATTCAAATGTTAATTAGTTAATTAAATATCACTAATATCTTTATAATATTTCATTGTTAAAATATTTTTTCGTTTTTAAATTATAGAAATAAAAAATAGAATGAAAGAAATAAAAAATAAACTGAAATAGAAAAAAATAGAAAAAATGGAAAAATATAAAATTAATGAGAAAATTACCATCGGCTGAATGTGTATCATTTTCGTAATCATCGTAGTAATAATAGGAGTCGTATTGAGCTGAAGCGGGATCTTCGTGTTGATTTGCCTGATGAGAGGAATTATTTTTACTGTTTGCATTTTTATTAATGGTCTGTAGATTGGCGGTGTGATTTAATACATCTTTCACGGGAAGATTCTCATAGTCGTGATGAACTCGAGAGCTTCTGGGATCCTGTTCAGATTCAAGATCACCCTCGTAATCTTCATCGACATATTCCTCATCGTTCACTTCATGGCTGATTACTTTTGGCTGCGACGGAACTCTGACATTGTTCTCACGAAACAATGATAATGCTGATAGCGATGAACCTGTTGCTCCGTTACCGGAAATTGGAGCCAGTTGTTGTTGTTGCTGCTGCTGTTGCTGTTGCTGTTGCTGTTGTCGCAGTCCATAAACGGAATTCGTCGGATAATATGGAATTTGTATCCAAGATTGCCTCGAATCTAAAACTGAAGAAAATTTAATTAGAACATTTGCATAATTGTTGAAACCGTTTTTCATTTTTTGATAAAACGGCAAATTTATTTCGGCCTTCTTATTAGAAAATAATTTAATTAAAATTAAAATGTAACTGCTAAAAACTACGAATAGAAAATTTCTTTTTTCGTTTTGAAATTGTTTTATGAATTGAAAAAAAGATCTCAGAGGGAGGTCATTGACTGTAAATGCGAAAATTTACAATCGAGAAGTGACGAGGTCATCAAAGCAGGATAACAAGTTTATTAACGCTAATTGTAATTAAATAATCATGATCTTAGAACGACGATTGGGATTGTTCTGGCGCAGAAATAATTGCGAAATACATTTTATTTTTTTTCACTGTTCAGCCCCGACAATATTTCCAACTTATGGTTTTCTCGCGCGGCAGCGATCTATTGCAACAAAAAATGTCGCAATATTTCTCTCCCGTCAGAAAACTGGCACAGATTTTAAAACGATTGTATTATTAAACAGTCAAGTGGAAAATATTCAAAAATCACGAGACGATTCTGGAAAAATCGAAAAAGATTGCCATTCAAAATTAAATACTGATTCGAAATAATAGTGAATAAAATTTACTTTCTCATTGTATGAGTAAAAAAATAAAATGGTATTTTTATTAAATAATAAAAAATAATAAATAAATTGAACAAATTATTCAATTAAAGATTGAAATTTACAACAGTAAATTAAGAAGAAATTAGACTCAAGGAACGCCTTTGACCCAGTTAGTGCGATTTTTTTGAGGGTCAGAGAGATAATGATAATGGGAAGAGAATGAATTTCGGATGAGCGCTAATTTCACAGCTATTGAATGCAAAATAAATAGCTTTTTTTAGAAAAAGAACGACTGGCATCGATCATCATTTTCGTAATCGCTCTTTATTCGAAACAATGAACTTTGACGAAAGCCATTGTTCCTTGTGGTAAGGAGCCGCCTTTCACGTCTGAAACAGAATCACAGAATCAGCTCGCGGTATGCAAAAGGAGGCAATAATGATGAAATATTTCATAACTCCACAGACTATAATAACATCTTGTAATATTTTCTTTTTTTCGTTTGCAAAAAAGAAGAAAAACTAGAGGGAAAAAAAGGAATGCGTGCCTAGTAATTGTTACTTTTCTTAAAAAAAATGAGAATAATCAAGTTGGATTTCTTCAATATTGTGATTTACGAGTTTATTACAATAATAATAGACTCGTTAGAGTGTAATTGTAAACAATTGTGTAGCGCTGGCATTTTTTTCAATTCTAAACTTAATGGAGCATCACAAAAATGGAGCATGCATCTACTCTTTCCTCTCAAATAGTTGTTTAACATTTTAAGCGCATTTTAAGCGCAATTACTGATATTTAATGAACTCGAAAACTAGGTTTGCGTGTTATTTAAAGAAGAGGGAGGAAAAAATCGCCTTTGATTTAAAAAATAAATGATTAAAAATTGATACTCGTTTCGTACTTTCATAATTTTAAATTACTTGCGTAATTATAAATTTAGATAAAATCGAAAACTGGATTTAAAGTGTCCTGCTTACAAGTTACAACTTTGAGAGGTGAAAAAAATTTGTTCACTAAAATTTCGTGTTTGTAAACTGTTAGTTTTTGTACAAAAAACTTATTTTTTTTGTAAAAAAATAAAATTAAAAAATAAGTAAAAAAAATTAGAAAAAAATAAAAGAAAATAAAAAATTAGATTTAAAAAAAATTAGAAAAGAAAGAAAATTAAAATTAAATTTAGAGAGGAAAATGAGTATATAGACAAAGAAAATATTGTCTGAGGATGAATTTCACTCCATATGCATGTAATTATTTTGACGCGAATCTATAATATGCAAATTGAAAGAAAGTATTTTTTTCTCCAAACAGTCAATTGCAATGAAAAATTATGATGATGAACTAATTGACATAAGTCGATCTTGTTTTTATAGCCGCTATTAAAGTCAATGAAGTTGGTTTACAAGTCAGGAAGTTTTTAAATATATGCTCTCTCTCTCTATAATGCGTAATTTCTCAGTTCACTGAAGAAGTGAAAACGAGTAGGAAATTTTCTAATTTTATTATTTTCAATGATGATGAACTGATTTCCGATAAAATAGGTATAATCGCACATTATATAGTTCACTTTTACTATAATCTTCATGAAATTTCTATTCACAATGATCGTTCAATTTTCTTTTAGAAATTATTCAAAATTATTGATTAAAAAAGTAATGATCTATTATTTAGTTTAAAAAAATTGTTATCTATTATTTGATTAAAGAAATACATAACTATTTAGAAATTTATAAAATTATATTATTTTGTTTAAAAAATAATGATATATTATTTTGTTAAAATAATAGTTATCTACTATTTTGGTGAAAAATAGTTATGTATTAATTTTTTTTTTTTTAATAATAGAAAATTATTTGCAACTATAGAATTATTTAAAAAGAATACAAAATTATTCATAACTATAGAATTATATACAAATAATGCAAAATTATTTACAACTGTATATTATTAAAAAAATAATATTAAATTATTTTACAAATATGTATTATTTACTAAAATAATTATATATTACTCCTGAATAATTTTATAGGACATTCAACTATGGAAAATGGTTTCCGAATAATTATTTTTTAAATTCTCATTGAATTAAATTATTCAAAAAAGTTTTAGTTATATTCATAAGCCATCAAAAAATTCGAATTCTCCGAAATTATTAGTATTATTATTATTATTATTGTTATTATTTTATTAATTTTTACTATTATTATTATTTAATTTTTATTATTATTTGATAATAATTTTAAATACATAAGGAGTCTTAAACTAAATTTGTCTCGTAGTTTTTTTTCTAACAAAGAAATACTTATTTCGCTTTTCAAAATAGATAAAAAAGAATCTGAAACTAAATTTGTCTTTGTAAATTTGTTTTGTTTTAACAAAAAAATATGATTGGAAAAAAATTGAAAATAATTCTCTCGGGTTGGTCTTTATCAATTTTCGTTCACGATTGGGAAAGAATTTAGGAACTTGCTGGATATTTATATGTTTCGATTTTGTATACCTACTCGAGATATGCACTTCTAATTTTAGGATTTAAATTTCGGAACGAGATAAAGAAACAAGGGATGAGAAAAAAAATTACGTTTGCATCCAAGAATGCAGAAGGATCTGAATTCCGGTTCTTCTACAAACTTTGTCATTTACTTTTTCGTTAAAAGAAAAAGGGGAAAAAGAGAAGAAAAAAAGAATAACAAAACAAAGTTCAGGAAACTTTAAGAGTATGTTTATTTTTTGTCCATTGAAATTAGAAAAAGGAGAAATAACGAACGTGTGATTCACTGTTTTGATGTTTTCGAACTGAGGAAAGTATAATTTTTTTTATTAGATCATAAAAAAGTGTTGGAGATTTAACTTTAAACTGCTTTTTTACACTTTCACGCGAGCAAGAATTTTTTGAGTAAAGAAGATATTTACAAATTTTAATAAGTCATAAAATTGTAGAATTAATTAATTAACTTATTAAATGGTAATTTATTTAAATATTCAGAGAAATAACATTTTTTTATTTCTGTAAAATCACTAAAAAAAAATTCGAAAACCGACTTTCAAAAAAAGCAAAATTCTTTCGACAAAAGTGAAAATTCTCTTCCAAAATCATGAATGAAAAATTCACATATGGGAAATAAAAATAAATAAAATGAAAATTAATAAAATTGATAAAATTAGAATAAATGAAATTAAAATAAAATTGAAATAATTGAATTTAAAGTAATATTGAAGATAGAATAATTAAATTTCAAAGGAAAAAAATTGTATAATTTCACCTACACAATAATTTTTTTTTATGTAATAATTATTATTTGCAAAATTCATAACTAAAGCAGAACAATGGAAAACAAAGACTTGATTTCGAAATTTTTATTTCTCAGCTAGGAAAGAATAAAAAATAGTGTAGGACGCATTCTTGAGACTTAGCGAGCCTGACCGAATTAATTAACAATATAATCACGAAGAAAAATAGTTATTGCTCTGATGGAATATTAAAGAAAATATAACGGAACGGAATTTCTTTTTTTTCTTTCGCTCTTTACTCCATAGCAGGAAAAATGAAAGGAAGGAAGAATTATTTATTCCATGCTTCAAATTAATTGGGAACGATTACAAAAAAAAACAAAAAAAACAGGAGAAGAGAGAAAAAAAATCGGAAGCAGACATTCAATGTGTAACAAGGCTACGGAGTTTGTGGATTATTTCGATTGCGTGATATTAAAAAGAGGAAGCGTAATACTTGCAAAACAAATTGAAGTCCAAAAATAAGAACCGGTTGTGGTTACAAGAAATAAATACATACATACTTTTTGGTAACGTGAAACATGAGATAAATTTTTTTCTTTATGACTCAAACCCAGAAAATTCCCGTTGTGACAAAAATTCGTGTTGAAAAAAAATCGATGAATAATTTTGCAACATTTTGTTCATTTTATTTTTAAATTATCGAATCTAATAATTAGCGTTTAAAATATTGTTGATATTTTTATTATTAATAATTAGGAGTACTTAATGTACGAAAGGAGCTGTCCCGTTATGTTTCTAAATAAATAAATAATTATTATTCTTTCGTTTTTATTTTTATTATTTTGAACTTAATTATTTAATTTCTAATTAATTATTTTGTTATTATTATTATTATTTTTTTTTTTTTTGCCAAAAATCTTTTTCAAATTATTAAATTAAAAGCCAAAAACTTATTCTTTTATAAATTATTATTTTTTGTTATTATTATTAATTTATTAACCTAAGAAATTGATTTATTATTGCGAATAATAATTTCAATTAATTTGCACAAAAGCAAATGTTTTTCTTTCCTTTTCTTTTCTTTTTTCAATATTTTCATTTTCTATATTTTTTCAAAATAAGGAATTGTGTTTCGCAATATTAAATAAAAGTTTTTCTCCTCTAGGATAATTGTAAATAATTATGGAAAGGTTGAGAATTCTCATTAAGTCACTCCCTATAACAACTTTTCATTTCTTTGAGAAGAATTACCTAATCAAGCCATTCATAAAAGGCACATTGTGCTCCTCGTTTACGAATAATAATATTATTATTTTTTCTTTTCTTCTTTTAATTTTAAAAATTGTGATAAAAAAACAACTGTCATCAGTGAAATGTTATGTACTGATTAAATAAATAAATATTATATATACATAATTCATAATGAAATTGAAAAGCAAATAAAAAGTGTTTCACATTGAAACTGTAAATGCCTTTCCGCATACTTGACAGAGAAATCAATTGGATATTTTTTTAAAAATAATTTTCTACCGCAATAAATAATTAGAATCAATTTCTAATTGTTTATGAACGAATGAAAAATACATTTTCATTTATTTATTTACTTGAGTAACATAATTTCATCATGCTTTTTATTTCATAAATTCTGAAAGATGTTTGAAATATTCATTAATTTGTTAATTAATTGCTTCTTGAATATTATAAATTCCAATAAGACGATTGCGAGAAAATTATTAATGTTAAATAATATTTTCTTTTATATAAAACTGATTTTTGTATTAAAAAAAATATTTGCTTTTTGTTAAGCCGATTTTTTCGTTGGAAAAAAATAATATTTGCTTTTCGTTAAAACTGATTTTTTTATTATACAAACCTAATTAATAATTATAATAGTAATAATAAAAATGGTAATAATAATTTTAATAAGAATGATAATAGTAACAATACAAATAATAATAGTAATAAAAATAATCAGCAAAAATTAGATTATTATTAAAAAAAGAACAACTTTTGTTTTGCAAAAATGAAAGCAATAGAATGTGAATAAATTAAATTTTTTTTAATTGTTACCATCATTCGGAAAAGTGAATAAATGGGAAATTCCTTGATAAGCAAGACCATGACCTTACATCATAAAGTTTGAGAAAATAATGAATATATCTTTGGCTTTTTAATTGAATCTTTCTTGATTGTGCTCAAGGAATGTTGTTCTTGACAGCGGCTTTTAACCAAACGAAGTATTTACAATAATTAATTATAAATCATTAATTCCAAGCCCTTTGCGTTTAATTGAATTTTGCATGTAATGAAACTTTTATAAATATTTAATCCTTTTAATATATGATTTTTTTGCACAAGAAATTAATAGTGATTAATAAGTTAGTTTTTTAAAGTTTTGTATAAAAATACCTACATTTCTTTTTATTTGTTTAAATTAATTATTTATGGTTAATGTTAATAAACAATAATTCTAATAGTAGTTATTAATAAATAGTAATTTCAATAGAAATTATTAATAAACAATAATTCTAATTATTATTAATTGATAATTAATTAGTAATTATATAAAATAATTCTGATTAATTTGAAAATGAATTCATAAATTGAAGAGATTAAATTTCATTGCAATCAAGTTCTACTATTGAATTCAACTTTCAATTATGAAATAACGTTCTTATTTCTTTATTTCGTCGAATTTAGAATGTAATTAGAAATTGAAACAATTATTCAATATTTAATTATAATTTAGATGGAACATTAATTATTTTATAAATATTTTCTCAATTGGAACTATAATAAAATAGTTGAAATAATTCGGAAATATTTATAATAACCAATTTCAATTATTACTAAATGAAAATGAAAAATTCAATTGAAATCGAATGTACCTAGAATTTATTAAATCTGTATTTAAATATTGAACTTATTAATTCTATATTTTAATTTAATTTTGATATTGAAATGTAGACATTTTAATTGTTGGTAAGAAAAAAAATTTCTAGAGGTCGAATTTTTTGTTGGCTTCAATATAAAGAGTGGAAAGTGACAGTTGTCGGTGATTTGAATGCTCGGCGACAATATTCTTTCAATAGCGTATGGATTGCTTGTACCTGGACGTGATAGTTGCTGATGAGTTTGTACCAAAAGGGAAGAAATCAGGACCATGAAGAAAAGAAGATTGCGAGTCGAAACATCCGGATGTCCCGAAGGTTGTCTCCTCTCGTGCATGTTTTTGCGCCTTTTGGACAGGTCCGATTAGGTAGCAATCCACAAAATCATCACAATGTCACTCGCGCATTTTCGTTGGTCCATTTAAGAAAGGAAGATTTAATTTCTTTCTCTCCCTTTCTTTCGTTTCTTCTTCTTCTTCTTCTTTTTTAAAAAAACTATTTTGAAAACAGAAAATGAGAATTGTAAAACGCGGGACAAATAATTAAATATAAAACGAACATTTTTAGTGGACACGCCAACACAACATTCCGTTTGTCACTGGCAGGCTGAAGGAACCTCGAGAGGTAGAAAGCAAAATGCCACTTTCACTCGACTCGGCGAGTGCGGCGCGTTCTCCGGCTTCGCGTAAGGAGTTGGCATGCCGAGGCCGTCGAGGTTCCTCAGCTACCAGCTTTAACATTATATTCATTCTATCAAACAAGGTGGGAGAAGATCAAAATGACGAGGAAAAAAAAACCTACTCTCATTGTCGCATGTCATAATCACACTCCCATCATCATCATCATCATCTCATCTTGTGCGGCATCTTCAAACTCTCTTTCTCTCTTTCTCTCTCTCTCTCTCTCGCATCTGAAGCTTATTGTTGTAACCAAAAAAAGAATCGGCTCTATTTTCTTGATCTGTTCCGCAAATCGTTGCTTTTTGTCCTCGTACCTGAAAACTTCGATTTACAATAATTAATATACGAGTTAATATAAAAAATTAATTTACAAAATCAGGGTTGCCACAAAAATTTAATTCTTTTTCCTTCTGATTTCCAGACGAAATTTTCACTTTTTCCCTGACCCTAAAAAATATTCTGATTCACTCTAAAAATTGTTAGATACTCAAAGAAATGTTCTTATTACATTTATTTATGAATTTCTTTAATTGTGAAATTATTCGAAAACAGCAATAACTTCTTTTTTAAATAAATATTTAATCATTATTATTTTTCCATAGGACTTAAGATTTTCAAAAATTTCAAATTCAAACCCTTTTGAAATTCAACAACTTACAAGAATATTAATGTGAAACATGAAAAATCATCATTTTAATTTAATTATTATTTTTTAGAATTTTTAACTAAAATTCTTTTTTAAATCAATTATTTTTAATAATTTTTGAAAAAGTTCCTTGAGAATTTTCAAATCCATTTATTTACAATTTACCATATTCTAATATCTTTGTTTGAATTCGTAAAAATTGAACATGTGTCCTTATCAGGCTCACTTTTCGTTCTAATAAAGTTATTATTAAATATGATTTCTTAAGTTTAGGAAGTGTGCGCTTTAAGGGTTAAATATATATTAGAAAATAAAAACTCGAAATAATTTCAACAAAACTTGAATTAATCTTTTTCAAAAAAATTAATTCTACAGAATTGTTAGTTAAAAGTATGAAAAATCCTGATTTTCAAAGGTTTTAATTTGAAACCTTTTCAAACTTCAAATTATTTCTAAAAATTCATGCTAATGCTTTCAATATTTAGTTTTATTATCTAAAATTCATTTTTAAATCAATTTTTATTAGAAAATTTTTCGAGAATGAAATTATTTAAATACAAGAATAAATAATTTATTAAATAGAATTGAATTCTCATAAACAATTTTATGAACAAATTTCTAAATAATTGAATTCCTTCGACATCTTTTAATAAAAAATTGTTTATTATTTATGAAAATAACTAAATTATTGCGAAGGAATTTATAAAAAAAATTGTTAATAATTCAGTGAATTTTTTATTATTTGTGAAAATAATTAAATGTTTACATAGAATTTTTTTTTTAAATAATTAATATTTTTCCAAGAATTTTATTAAGATTTTTGAAAGTAATTAAATTTCGGAGAAGAATTTCATTATTTATAAAGATAATTGCAATTTTTACTAGAATTTAAAAAAAATTTTGAACATAATTAAATTTCTGCGAAGAATTTTCTCACATTTGAAAATAATTGAAATTTTGACAAGAATTTTATTAAGATTTTTGAAAATAAAATTGAATTTCGCGGAAGAACTTTATTATTTATAAAGATAGGAATTGAAATTTTCACAATTTCTAAAAATTTTTGAACATAATTGAATTTCTGCGAAGAATTTTATCACTTTTTTGAAAATAATTGTTGCCAAAAAATTTATAAAAATTTTTAAAAATAAATGAATTTGGGAGATTAATTTTATAACCTATAATTAATAATTTTTAATTTAAGAAGAATTTAAATTATTAAAGTTTTTCAAAAATCTAAGTTCATTAAAACTTTTAATTAAATTCATAAAAATTGAAATTTTATAAAATTTAAAATTAAAACATTTTGAAGTTCATTTATTTATAAAATTTGTATAAGCAACTCTTTTGAAATTCAATTAATATAGACAGTTTATGACGAAAACAAAAAAGACATCAAAATTCAGAATTTTCTTATGAATTCTAAAAATTTAATATTTTTTACAGTACTTTTAATAAAAATCCCTGACTTTTCCCTGATTTCCCTGACCTGTGGCAACCCTGTTTAAAAAAAATGCTAATTGAAAAAATTATTTTTAGAAAAAGAATATTTTTTTCCCCCGGAGATAATAAATTTTTCCACATTCATTTTTTAATGATATTCTTCAAATCTCTTTCATTGTTTATGTTTTTTCAAAAATTTGCAAAGTCAAAAATAAAAATTGATTCTACCTGAGAGAAAAATACATTTTTGTCTTCTACATGCGGGAAAAAATATCAATTAGAATTTCTTCTTGTACCGGATAAGAAAAAGTAAACAATTATAATTAATAATTATAAAGAGACGAAATATTAAAAAATAAATAAAATTAAAATTAAGAAAATAGAGATAATCAAAATAAAGAAAATAAAATAAGAATAATAAAGGAAATAAAAATAGAGACTCAAAAAAATAAATAAAACAAAAATGAATGAGTCTGAAATAAATAAGAATTAAAAAGAAAATAAAAAAGTGAAAAATAAATAAAAGTGCAATCAAGATTAAGTAGGCAATTAAGGAAGACTAATGTAATAATTATTCTCACATGATTAACAGTGAAAGTACCTAGTAATAATAATAATAATAATAATAATAATAATAATAAAAAAATAAATTACAACTTTTTCTTTTTCTTCTTCGGCATTAAAAGAAGAAATGGAAAATTGAAATGTGTAAAAAGTGAAAATAAAAACCTTGGGTTAAAAGCGTTGCGGAAAAAACACCTTGACATATGATTTTTCATGAAAAGTCGAGGCCCAATATACACAAAGGGTGGTAATGACCCGGTCGTGGTGAGGATCAACGAGAACGAAACCAAGAGAAGACGTAGAAAATATTCCTTCTGCAATGCATTAGACTGGAAACGAAGTTAAAGTAGATTACCTTGGCGATGTACTTCTCTTTTGTTTCCCGTCCCTTCACTCGTTCGTTCTCTCCTGTTTATTCCGATTAACATACATATATATATATATATATATATATATATAAATATACACACATGTATTGTATACAAATATATATTTTTTTCCTTATATTTGCGATCGTATAAAATACAAAAATTAGTAAGCCACTTATTTTAGAAAATTTATCTCCTATTGGACAATTCTGTAATTCCAATATTGCTAGGATTTTATGTACATACATTTTCTATATGAAAATGCGTGACAGTATTTTTTTCGATAAAGAAAACAAAAAATAAAATAAAAAAAATTTCCTTTCTAATTTTATTAAACGAATTAATAATTTGTCACGAAATTTAATGTTCTCGTGCAATAACGTTTACTTTATGGGAAAGAGAAAAAGAAATAGCTTTCAAGGTTTTCAACCAGTCTCCTTGAGCAATCTGCGTTTTCACGCAAAAATTTTTTTTTTTAAAGTGAACTTCATTTAGATTTTAGTTTCAGGAAATTAATGGTTCATGCGACTTAATATTGATACGAATTTATGTTTATGCTCTGCCCTTCTCTTCTTTTCTTTGCAATTCAACGCTCACGCTTTTCTGCACAAAAGGACAACACATTTGTCTAGGTCTAGGTGAATGAACTGTGAATTTTAAATTCAAAATTTCCATTCATTCTAGGGAGAAATAACGGTAGATTTTAAAAATAGATTTCTATTAATAAAAATAAAAAAAAGAAGACATATTTTCTTCTTTTCTTCTTATTAATAAAAATATAAAAATTTTAGGAAAAACAAAAGTTTCTTAAAATATAACTAACATTCAAATTGGGAAAGAAATTTCCAAACTTTTAGAAAAGTAATTTAATTTTAATTAAATATTAAATAATTAATATTAATAACTTCTATTAAATCTTTAAACTAAATGTTTTAAATTTCTTTCAATATTTGAATCTATTTGGTTTTGAATCACAAATTAAAAACAAAAATTGAAAATTTATAGAAATTAAAGTTTATCCGAGTCTCGGAAAATTAGTTTCTGAAAGTGAAAAAAGTAAAGTATTTTTCGTTTTTTTTTTTTAAACTCAAATTTGTAAATTTAAGAAAATTGAAAATTATCGACTCTCGTAAAATTAATGTCTAAAAGTGAAAAATAAAGACTTGTTTTTGTTTTCGAAACTTCAATTTGCAAATTTATAAAAATTGATGACCATTGAGAGTCTCGTAAAATTAGTTTATGAAAGTGAAAAAAATAAAGAAAAACTTACAGAAAGTTCTTTTGAACTTTGCATCTCGGAGTCATAACTTATATGGGTGCACTTCACCTACTGTTAGATTTTTTTCCAAGGAAAGGAACACGCCCTCTTCAGCTCCCACACATTCGCTCAAGGATCTCATCGTGAATCTTTGCAATTTATCCTACAGAACACGAATCATAAATCAAAGGTAATTTTAAATCATCTTTGGCACTGAATCAGCAATCTAAGTCTTTTTATATCTCTCCTTAATTTTCTTTTTCAAAAAAAAATAAATAGAAACAATTTTAGTTTCTTCTTCAAAGTATTTACAAATAAACAATCTTACCTAAACCCATTCTTTTCCAGATATGAATCGCAAAAAAATATTCCAGTCATGAACGTGGCTCTTTTGATAAACATAATGAGAAATTTATCAAAAAAAAACATTTTCTTTTTTGCCTGTGATTAAAAATATTCTCTGGAAGAAAAAATTTGTTAAATATTCTCGACTTTTATTTCACTCCCTTGCGATTAGAAAACATTTTCTTATTTTAAATTCAAATAATTTTGATTTCGAATTTGATTTAGATTCAGATTCAAATTTAGTTTCAATTTTAATTTTAGTTTTAGATTTAGATTTAAAGAAAAAGAACTTTAAATCGAAATAAAATGATTCAATTTTTTAATCGCAAGGAGTGAGAAATTTGAATGAAAAAAAAATCGAGGCGATTAATGACACATGAAAAATGTTTCAACAAAGTATTTATGTACTTATAACTTTTCTGTAACTAAAGAATTCCACATACAAATGTTTCGTTTTGTTTTTTGCACTAACTTACATATACACTCGTTTAAATTTGATTCAATGCGGTTAATAGTTCAGATCGTAAATATAAAGTCTTTTATTATAGTCTCATTGAATCAGAAATAAGTGAATTTTTTTTAAACACTGCACTTTGGAATTTTGTTTAAATGTATCCCAGTTCTTTGGTTTATGCCACTTTTTTCCTCTCATTTTATAATAAAAGAACCATAACACATTTCTCAAAACAATAAATTATTTAATAACTCGCATTTGAAGCTCACGTTACAAATAAAAATTCATCAAATTAATAAAATAACAAATTTTTTCATTTGTTTTTCACTCTTTCTTTAAAAGAAAACAATTATGAAAATTCAAAACATGCGAGAAAGTCTATAAATAAATATAATAATTTATTCAATTAATAATAATTGGATATTTAATTCAATTCCCAAAGAGCTTCAATAAAGTTATTACTCAAATTATTGATGAGTAGGAAAAAAAATTAAAGAAATTTAATTATAAATTCGTAAACACGTGCTGAAATCGTTGCGATTACCTTTAGAAAATACTTTTTTTCTTGAAGAATGGTCGATGGTGCGAGATTGGTCAGTCGTTCACGAAGTAGTGTGTTTGTTTGTTTTTGAAGAACTTGGGTCTTGTTTCTTTTTTCTTTTATTAAATCCTAGAATTACATGTGACAGTCACGTAGAAATAGTGGTTTTACTGAAAATTTTTGTTTTAATCTTAACTAGATTATGTTAAAGTAAATTTATTTACTTCATTTTTATATTTCTCCCACGAAAAAAACTAGGGATCCTTATCTAAAAGACTGGTTTAACTATAAAGAGAAAATAAAGAGAAGTGAATTAGAATTTTAAAAAATAATTAAATGTAGATGTTTTTTATTAAATTAAGAAAAACTTTTTACTTTGCAGTAGGCCTTCTAGAGGGTTCGGATGCTGTGGGTGGCGGTGGTGGTCCTCGACGTTCCAATTCCTCGAGATAACCCATTAAAAGTCGGGTACGTTCCGATGCTGTCGCTTCCAAAACAAGAAATCTTTTATCCTTTCGCAGGATCTCCTCAATTTCCAATAAGTAGGCTCGATTTTCCTGGACCTTTTTGTGCGTCTTGTCGGTAATTAATTTTGTCTCCTGCATGAAAAAAAAATTTTCATTAAAGTTTCTTCTAAAAAAGTTGTAAAAACATTCTAAAAATACTCTAAATATTCTAAAAGGATCTAAATTCTTCTAAATATTTTTTTAATTACCTGCAAAAGTTCTCGAAAATCGGCTTTGGCAGCTACGAGTTTATCCTTAATGTATTCTTTGAATTCCTTTTCGCATTTCTGAAATAAATATTCGGAGATTAGTTTTGCGAGGTAATTTGATAGATTTAGTTTTTTTTCAAAGTTCGATAGAATTTGAATGTTTTTTTTAAATTAAAAAAATAGTTGGAAGGAATTTACATTACCCTATCGCTCGAGGAAAATTTTATGTATCGCGGATCATCCTTTAAGAGTTTTTTTATCTCCTTCCAAGAGGCTGTGAGTTCAGAGGAAACAGGAAACTCTGAGGACGACCATATTTCGTCAAGTACTTCTCTGAATTTATCTCGTTTCTTGCGTCCAAGCTGCTCAATGTGTTCGATGAATAATCTCTCCTTTTCTTCGCGATCTAAACTTTCGGCAAGCTCCCAACGATGATCCTTTCTCAATTGACGTTTCGCCTCCCTCCACGCGAGGTCTCCATTTCGAACCTGTTTTTTTAATTTCATTAATTTTCTTCTCGAAAAAAGAAATTTGTTTCTCTTCTATAGTTCTTTATGATGATTTTACATTTTACTTTATATTTTTTAAATTAATAGAATAAAAATTTATGATCGAAATAAAAAAGATTTCTCTTGTTTGTAGATTCGATTTTTTTAACATGTAAATCAATAAAATGAAGAGGCAAAAAAAAGGAAAGGAGGAAATTACCAAATCGGCGAGCAAGGCGCTAAAATGCTGAACGGCTTCGGCGTGTCGATGATGTTGTCTTTCCTTATCACGATCTCTGAGATGAGTTGCCAAAGTTCGTTGCACTTCTCGTTCTCTTTCTCGAAGACTTGCCTCGGCTCTTCTCTCCTTCTCCCTTTTCTGTTTCTCACGATCTTCTTCCGAATCGGAGAATCCCTCCATTTCCTCTTTCTAAAAATATTGACGTATTTTTTAAATACAAAATTATTACCAAATTAATTATAAACTTAAATTTATTTCCTTTTTTTCTCGAAATTTCGAATAAATAAAATGGAATTAAATTTAAATAAATAAACAATTGTACAAGAATAAATAAGAAAAAATGAAAAAATTTTGAAGCCTACCTCAATGTCCTTTCGTGAAATTTTCTCCTCGACATCGTCAATTTCGCCGACTTCCTTCTCCATTGAGACCTCAATTTTTTCCTTTCCATTTTCCTCATTATTCACATCCTTTTTCTGTCTCTTTTCCTTGGGCGCGTCTTTATCACTTCGGTCCTTTGACGATTTTTCCTTATACTTCTCGTCCTTCTTCTCGCGATCTCGTTTATCCGATTTATGATGATCCTTCTCCCGATGACGATGATCTTTGTCCTTGTCTTTCTCCTTTTTACGTTCTTCCTTCAAATTACGAATAAAATCACGAAACCAATCTTCCCGAGCGCTCGCTGAATCTACGCACCTGTATCGCCAATCGGACTCTAATTTTTTCTTACAGTCACTCCAATGCGAATGTCTGTCAATGTCTTTGTGCTCTTTCAGCAATGATATGAAATCCTTTTTAACCTGAAATAGATGCAACCAAAGTGTCAATATTAATAATGAATTAATAATCATTTAACTTATCAACTAGTAAAAATAGAAATATTAAATTTTTTCTCTTTGTGATTTTGAAAATTTGGCAGCTCATTCTTCATGCACATAATTATTTTTGTCATTCTAATTAATAATAACTCTCGCAATCTATTTTTTTTGTTCTCTTTTCAAAATTTAAAAACAAAAAAATTTTATTCCTTTTTGTGGAAAATTTATACCATAAGAATAAATTGTATTCAGATTGGAAAAAGTTATAATAATTAGATAATTTTATATAGAAAATAAGCTGCTCGTGAGTCGTGATTGCTGAAAAAATACACCAATTACATGCTGTAAAAAATAATCACGAATCGTCGTTAATTTTTAATTTGTATTTTTTTTTATTTATTATTTTGTTGCAGAAAATTTTCATTAGGTCAAAGAAAACAAAAATTATTAACAACGATTCGAATTAGTGAATAAAAATGATTTTTTTAACAGCTCTCTCCACTGAAAATAAAAATATTGTTAGTACTTTAATTATTATAAAAGAGTGAGACATATTTGCATTTTTGGGTATAATAATTAGAATCTAAAATTCGTTTTGTGAAAACCAATACTTCTCATATATCCTCAATATTTATAATTATGTTAAAAAGAAAAAGTCATCTTCAGAGTTTTACTTTCGATTGTTTCATTTTACAAAAAAAAAATTTTTTTTATATTTTAAAACAAGAAACAAATTTTGTAATAAGTTTTATTTTAAAAAATAACTCAACATGTACGATTTTTAAGTACAATTTTTAAAGATTTTTTTGAGAATTTCAAAAAAAGAATTTTTTACACAAGATGTTTTAATATAAAAATTTCAAGAAAACAAGATTTCAAAATTGATTTAATTCTAAATATTTATATGTAAAACAATTTAGAAAGAAAAATTAAAACACAAAATTATTTCTCCGAATGGATAAAAGTGATATTAATTTTAATGAACAATAATTTTACTGATAATAATATCCAATTTGCAAAAATATTTTCCTATCATAATTAACTAGAATTATTCCATAATTATTAAGACAGATATTTATTTATATTAAACATTTATTTAAAAATCAAAATTTTTATGGTATTTGTAATATTGTGAGTTTATATTGTAAAAAAAATTATAAGCATTTCAGATAATGGTGAAAAAATTGATTCTATAACTAAATGGACTAAAATTGTAATAAAAAATTAATTTCATTTGATAAAAAGTTCCAACTGTATTTAAATTTAAAAGCAGTAAGTACAATAAATTAACAAATATAAATCAAAAGTTAAGTATAAATTTTAATTTATACAAAGTATAAATATAGACAAGACAACAATTTAAGTAAATAATGAATTTGTTAATGTAATAATAAATTTATTAATTAAGTAATAAATTTGTTAATAATTAAATAGTCAATAAATTTGTCGAGTACTTAATAAGTTTGCTGAAGGATTAATATATTTTTTCTAAATTAACAAATTTATTAGGTAATTAGAAATTTTAATAATTAGGAAATTTATTAATTAGAAAATTTACTAATTAAAAAATCCACAAGGTAATTGGAAAATTCACTAATTAGAAAATTCACTAATAGAAAAATTTATTAATTAGCAAATTTATTAATTAGAATATTTACTAACTAAAAAATTTAATATTTGGAAAATTTATTAATTAGCAAATTTATAAAGTAGTAAATTCGTTGATTACAAACTTTATTAATTAACAAATTTATGAATTAAAATATTTACTATTTAAAAAATTTACTAGTAGGAAAATTTATCAATTAGAATATTTACTAACCAAAAAATTTGCTAGTTGGAAAATTTATTAATTAGCAAATTCGTTAATTAGAAGTTTTATGAATTAAAATATTTACTAATTAAAAAATGTACTAGTTGCAAAATTTATCAATTAGAATATTTGAGGCTCCGGATCTTAAAAGGGCACGCTTACAATTTAAAATCAATGCTGAAAGTGCCCTTTTAAAATCCGGAGCATCATTTACTAATTAGAAAATTTACTACTTGGAAAATTTATGAAGTAGCAAATTTATTAATTAGAACTTTTATTAATTAACAACTTGATTAATTAAAAAATTTACTAATTGAAAAATTTATTAATTAGAATATTTACTAATTATAAAATTTACTTCTTGGAAAATTTATTAATTGGCAAATTTATGAAGTAGCAAATTTTTTAATTAGAAATTTTATTAATTGGCAACTTTATTAATTAGAAACTTTAATAATAAGCAAATTTATTAATTAATTAGTCAATTTGGCATACTAATTATCGAAAAAAAATGTCAAAAAAAATCATTTTTACTGACACGTAAAAAAATTAAGAATCTGGAGGATTAAAATAAGAACATTTTTTTATCAAATTAAAGCAATAATCAAAAGCATTAATGAACATTTCTGTATACAGTCTAAGCCCTTTTCTCCATTAATAATAATAACAATAATAATAATAATATTATTATTATTAAGGGGCCGTACACATAATATGTCACGCGGCTAGGGGGAGGGAGGGGGTCTGAGAATTGTGACTAAGTGTGACATGGGGGAGGGGGGGTGAACTCATGTGTTACGTCACAATCTTTTAAATTCAAAGATTATAAGAAATTATATGTGACAATGTCACTTTTTCTAAATAAAACAAGTTAAAAATGCTTTAAACTATTTAATATCTATTATGTACCTATTTAACATCTATTGGTTTATTATTTATAATATAATATGATAAATAATATATTCTCTTAATTTGAATCAGTTAAAAATCTTGGTTTTAACTGACAATCAGCAGTGACTGACTTTTTGCTTCTGAATCAGTTAAAAAAATAACTGAAAAATTATCCACAAAACACCGAAACTTTTCTAAATATGTATTAAATTTGCTTGCATACTTCGAAAAATTTACTTGCAAAGTTTAGTTAAAATTGTGTAAAGATTTAAATTTTTTACTACAATAAATGTTTATCGTCAAATTTTCTTAAAAATATAGCTTGAAACATTCCTGAACATTTTAATTACATTTTCGACTATAATTTCGTGAATATTTTCAGGAAAGTTTCGCGTTAAACATTTATTGAAGTGGGATATTTAAATCTTTACACAATTTTCACTAAACTTTGCATTTAAATATTTCGAAGCTTGCGAGTAAATCTTTAATAAATTTTTAGGAAAGTTTCGGTGATATGTAGGTAGTTAAACGTGACTAAATGAATCAATCAAAAAAAATTGTATTGAAACATCAGTTATTTTTAACTAATTGTCAGAAAAAAATATTTTTAACTGATTCAATAATTTTGAGTGTAGGATATAATATATAATGTCAAATATATAAAATTCACATTAAAATTTACGTGTGTGACGTGAAGTTATAGGGGGAGGGGGGGTTCAAGGTTTGTGACGAAGTGTGACATAGGGGGAGGGAGGGGTTAAAAAGGGTCAAAAATCGCGTGACGTATTATGTGTACGGCCCCTTATTATTATTATTATTATTATTATTATTATTATTATTATTATTACTATTATTATTATTAAAAAATCAATTACTTAACATAATGTAAGGGGCCGTACACATAATACGTCACGCGTCTAGGGGGAGGGAGGGGGTTTGAGAATTGTGACTAAGTGTGACATGGGGGAGGGGGGGGGGGGTGAACTCATGTGTTACGTCACAATCTTTTAAATTCAAAGATTTATAAGAAATTATATGTGACAATGTCACTTTTTCTAAATAAAACAAGTTAAAAATGCTTTAAACTATTTAATATCTGTTATGTACCTATTTAACATCTATTGGTTTATTATTTATAATATAATATGATAAATAATATATTCTCTTAATTTGAATCAGTTAAAAATCATGGTTTTAGCTGACAATCAGTAGTGACTGACTTTTTGCTTCTGAATCAGTTAAAAATAACTGAAAAATTATCCACAAAACACCGAAATTTTTCTAAATATTGTATATTAATGATTTGCTTGCATAATTCGAAAAATTTACTTGCAAAGTTTATTTTAAAATTGTGTAAAGATTTAAATTTCTCACTCCAATAAATGTCTATCGTCAAATTTTCTTAAAAATATAGCTTGAAACTTTCCTGAACATTTGAATTGCATTTTCGACTATACTTTCGTGAAAATTTTCCTGAAAATTTAACTTAAGTTTTCAGGAAAGTTTCGCGCTAAACATTTATTGAAGTGGGATATTTAAATCTTTACACAATTTTCACTAAACTTTGCATTTAGATATTTCAAAGCTTGCGAGTAAATCTTTAGTAAATTTTTAGGAAAGTTTCGGTGCTATGTAGGTAGTTGAACATGACTAATTGAATCAATCAAAAACAATTGTATTGAAACATCAGTTATTTTCAACTAATTGTCAAAAAAAAAATATTACTATTTGAATTAGTGACTGACTTTTTGCTTCTAAATCAGGTATTTTTAACTGCGATTCAATAATTTAGAGTGTAAGATATAATATATATTGTCCAATGTATAAAATTTACAGTGAAATTTACGTGTGTGACGTGACGTAGGGGGAGGGGGGGGTTCAAGATTTGTGACGAAGTGTGACATAGGGGGAGGGAGGGGTTAAAAAGGGTCAAAAATCGCGTGACGTATTATGTGTACGGCCCCTAATATTACAATATACTTTCTCTTCAATTAAAACTGATTCTAAGAATTCTTTTTAATTGAATCAAACTGATTAATTAGATTTATACATTTTTTAATAATTTATAAAAATGTTTTTTAATTTTTCAAGCTGACATTATTGATTACCTATGAAAAAAAATAATTTTATTTTCATTTAAAGAAATTCGGAGTTTACTTTTAATATTTCGTTTTACTTTTATTTTTGAAAGAATTTTGAATTCAGGTTGACTAATGCTTTTGATAAAGATTGCAATTTGAAATTTCTTTTTCTTACATCGTCGCATGGATAATATAAAAAAAGCTCTGTGGTGGCGTTTTTGTAAAAATCGCCGATTAAAAAAAAGCTCTACGATAGGATTCGTTACTAGTACTACCTCAGGGCTCGTCTGCATTTTCAACGATTGCAAGAGAACTCTACTCATATTTTTCCCAAAGAGACTTTAACTTTTTTTTGAAAAGAAATTTTTATATTTAATTTAAAAATTTTTTTTTTTGGGAAATAGTTATTTTTTTTTTTGTTTGTTTGTCAAGTAACGAGGATTACGAGTAATATACAAATACCGAGTTCGTTCATTCTCATGACTCTGCTTTGGAGTAAAGAATGCGGCGCGCGAGGGTGTGCCAACTGTGCCACGCAGTGTAGGTGGGGATGGTAGATGACATCATCCATGCCACCAACCAGCTTCAGAACCAAGCCACTCCACATACGGAACCTGTCCTGCCTGCCTCCTGACTGAAGTGGAGAGTTCAGAACACATAAGTACACAAGGAACCGTCACATACTAATTTTTATTTTCTCATCATCTATCTCTCTTTCTCCCTCCAGTTTTAATTTATTTATTTTACTTTTTTTCATTAGTTAATTTATTTTAAAGAGCTATCAATTATTTTCTTTTTTTTTTTAATTTAAAAAAAGTAATTTTTATTCATTCTTTTATAATGTATATATATATATATATAACGAGAAAATCTATTTCAGGAACGGGGAGAATATTTATTGTAAACATTCTCCAATTGTTTCGTGTCCTTCATCGATTATGATTATTAGAGATTTCATAAACGAATTACAAGATCGTACAAGTTGAACAAAATAATAAACATACCTACAAAATCTGTAAAGAAAGTGTTTTTTTTTATTATAGCTGAAAAGAAAAGTGGTTACAAATATTTATTTTGAGACGCTGCCTATTTTGAAATGTTCAGTTGGTGAGAAAAATTTTCCAGTTTTTGGTTTTTGTGAAAATAGAATATTAAAATATAGGCAGAGACTCAAAAATTAGCTTAAAAGTTTTTTTTGTCACCTAACTTAATGCCATATTAGAAACTATTTTATTTTTGAAGAATTATTATTATGTTATAATTATGTTGTTATGTGTGCATGCAGAGCACAAACTGGGTGCGCAATAGACATCGAGCTGGTACCACCTTTATCGTATGCTCACCCAACATCGTAATAAGCAGAAAACAAGACAAATATTAATCAGTATTTCTAATTTCATTTTTTTCTAATTTCTAGTTCTTTCAAATTTTTTCTTAAATTGTTTCAATTTACTCTTTTTGAACTGTAAGAGTGATTTATAAATTGCAATCGAAAATACAAAGCTTCCTTATGAGGGAGCAAAAATTTATAAAACAAAAACTATTTGTTAGTAAATTTTCAAAAACTCGTTTCTGCCTACATTGATTTTCAGTAAAAAAAAAAAAATTTCTTTCATTAACAGCTGAAAATAATGATAATTATGTATCGTTTAATTTTTGCAAAGAATTAAACATACCTGCTCTCGTTTTGCTGTTTTCTCCTCCTTTTCTCGTTTTCGCACTTCGAGAATGTATTCGTTGAAAAGACTTTCCCGTTCCCGCATTTTTTCGACGTTTTTAAATCTGTCATCGCGCCCGTGCTTTTGAGCGAAATCACTAAACGATGATCTGTTAAACAAAAGGATTTTTTAATAAATATTTTCATTATAAATATTATAATAATAATAATAAATCATCTTCTTTATTAATAATCGTTGTATTCCGGTAATCTGTTCATAGTTTGAAGTATGTTAGTTGTTATTTGCTTTTTTGTTTCCTAACTATTTAAATATTTTTTCTTTTTGTTTTCAATTTTTAAATTAAATACATTTCAAGGAATAGTATTAAAATTTTGAGAATAATTGAATTTTTCAAAGAATCTTTTTTTTGTAGCACATATTTCTTTATGTTTTTTTGTGTGTATGTGACAAATTTTATTACAATTTTTTAAAATAAATTAATCCTTTCGAGAAATTTTATAAAAATTGTATTAAAAATAATTGAATTGAAAAATTTTTTTATTTATAAAAAAAATTTAATTCTTGAGAAAAATTTTACTATTTTTAAAAATAATTGAATCGTTTCAAAGAATTTTACTATTTATAAAAGTAATTGAATTCTTCCGACGAATGTTATTATTTTTTATGAAAATAATTGAATGCTTGCGAAGAATTTCATTAAAATTTTTGATTAATAATAAACAATAATAATTAATTATGTACTTAATAAGTGAATTTAAAAAATTTTTAATCTGACACTATTCAAAAATTGAAATTTACTACTTGAAAATAAAAAAATTTTTAATTTACATAATAATAATAATAACTTGCATATCGCGTTTCGAGAGTAACATAAAAATATAAAATAATAAATAAAAAATACTAAATCAATAAAATATTAATTTTATTTAATATTTAAAAAAAAAATTTTTTTTGTAAAAAAATTTTGTTAAATATTAAATATACTAGCAAATGTTACGCGTGAAACGAGATATTCAATTTCTTATATTATTATGCAAATTATAAAATTAAAAATTTTGAATTATAAATATTTGAATAATTTTATAATCAAAATTATAAAATTCACTTATTAAGTACAAAATTAATTTAATTATTTTCATAAATAATAACATACTTCGGAAGAATTCAATTATTTTTATAAATAGTAAAATTTTTTGCCAAAATTCAATTTTTTACAAATTTTTAAAAGAATTTCAAGAAAAAATTCATCTTTTTCTTAATTCGTTATAACATTTTTCAAAAGAATTCAATTATTTTCTAAAATTTTTAAAAATCCTTCGAAACAATTTAACTATTTTTAATACAATTTTAAAAATATTTCATGAAAAAATCCAATTTTTTTAAAATTTTCAATAAAATTTCACGAAAGAATTCAATTATTTTTTTTAATTTTAATAAAATTTCACGAAAGAATTCAATTATTTTTAAAAATTTTAATTAATCTTTCACAATTAAATTATTGTATTAAATATAGTAAAATCTTTGCAAAAATTCAATTATTTTCAATTACATTCAATAAAGTTTCACGAAAGAATTCAATGTTTTTCTTAATTCGTTATAAAATTTTTCACAAGAATTCAATTATTTTCTAAAACTTTAATAAATTCTTCGAAACAATTAAATTTTTTTTTAAATTTCTATTAAAATTATTTTAGAAAATTGTAATAAAATTCTAAAAAGATGTTAATTATTTTCTAAAAATTAAAAAAAATTCAATAATTTAATTGTTTAATTTCAATTATTAAAAAACATGATTATTTTAAAAACTTGAAAGAAATGGTTTACAAAATTCAATTACTGTAAAAATTTTGAATTAAAATTATTGAAGAAACTCCATATATTTAAAATAAATTGAAAGAAATTCTTCAAAAGTATTTAATTAGGATTTTCAAAAATTTTAATAAAACTCTTTGCAAGAATTCAATTATTTCCATAAATAATAAAATTCTGCGAAGAAATTCAATTATTCTCAAATTTTTTGATAAAATTCTTCGCAAGAATTCAATTATTTTCATAAATAATAAAATTCCTCGGAGAAATTCAATTATTCTCAAATTTTCTGATAAAATTCTTTTATCAAGAATTCAATGATTTTCAATATCCTACTCATTTTAAAATTGAAAATATTTAAAAAGGAAATTTTGAAAAAAGTTAGAAAACAAAAAAGCAAACAGTAACTAACTTCAAACTGCAAACAGATTACCGGAATACAACGATTATTAATATAGATTTTGTTGAGTATTAAATCAAGTACTAAATAATTTAAATTAATTTTAAATTGGAAATTGTTTAATTTAAAGACTGAAAACTAGAGACTAAAAATCAAAACTGCTTAATTGAACTAATGCCATTAATTTAATTAATTAATTTGAGTTAAATTTACTATTTGTTGGATTAGAAGAAAAAAGTATTATAAATTTCAACTCACTTTCCATGAAGTCCTGCCTCCTCGAGAAGCTTTTGGAATTGGTCCTTCCGTTCCTTCATTTTATTCCTCTTCTCTCGTCGCTCTTCCTCAGCCCTCTCCTTCACGTACTTCTCGAACACTTGCTTCCTTTCCTTGGAGGTGAGCAGTAGATACCGAGGATCGAAAACGATTTTGTGCAACTCCTTTTCCCATGTGCTAAACGCAGATACCTGGAGAGTGAAATTATTTTTAGATCAAAAATATCATCAAAAAATTATTTTCTTTATAAAATGAATACTAAACAGATAGTAAAATAAATAGAGTCTATTATCTAAAAAAAAATTGAACAAATAGCTAAGGAAATTACATCTTTCTCGGCCAACATGTCCTTAAAGGATTTTATTCTGGTTTCCAGAGGGACGATAGCTCTTTCTCTCGCTGCCCTAACTTCCGCCTCGATAGCAGCCTCCTTTCCAATGTCAATAGTCTTCTTCTCCTTTTCTTCTTCTTCTTTAACAACAGTTGTGGTAGTGGCAGCAGCAGCGGCGGCAGCTAAAGAAATTATTTTCAAAATTGACAAAATCAAATTCAATTTTTATTAATTTAATTATTGTTAATTATTGTTAAGTATACCTTTGGGTTCCTCCTGTTTCGCTTTCTTAATAGGAGGTGGCTGGTCCTCGTCGCTGCTTTCACTCGAATCAGATTGCCTTGCTTTCTTGATAGTTGCCAGCGCTTCCGGTGGATTGGAAACCATCTTCTCGACATCTGCACGTCCTATGAGGTCCTCCGGTCTTTCCCAAACTGAAATTCTCGACGAAGGATTGTAGAAGAAGACACGGCCGTCGCCCGTCCAAACCACGCACCTGATGAACGAATAGACAAATATTTAATTAATACAGAAGAATAAAAGAAATAAAAATAAAAAAATTAGAATTTCTTTAATTGAAAATAATAAAGAAACAATGACAAAAAAAATAACAAATCTGTTATTTAGTTATATGAGTAACTAACCAAGGTGTACCAGGAACGGGTGTACTAGAAATTGGTCTCGATTTATCTAGAGGTTTTGTTTCTTTGGGAGTTTCTTCCTTTTTCATTTTTCCGCCTTCTGTGTCTTTTGTGTGTTCTTTGGATTCTTGAGTATTATCGGCAGACATTTCTTGACCCGTTGAGTCTGTTGCACTGATACTAGAGGCAGATGTTGTCACAGATGAGGAGTTATTTGTCACTGCTGATGAACCTGGTATCTCCTCATTTTTTTGCCTTGCTGCCGTTTTGGCATCTGTCAACAAAGAAAGATATTTTTTTAATTAAATGAACAAAAAAAGGATTTGAATTGAAAAAATACTGAATATTTATTCATAATAATTAAATATAAGTGAAAAATTAAAATGACTAAAAGAATTGTAAATAAGAAGAAACTCACTTTCAAAGTCTTTCAATGCTTGCGGCTTCTCCCACACGGATTCTCCAGCTTTGCTATTATAATAATAAAGTCGACCATCTGGTGCTCGATGCTCCGTCCAGAGCATAGCTGCGGCTACCAATTCAGCATCGATTTGTGCTATAATTGCAGGGTCCTCGGCAGGAACTTGTGGTTGCATAACGCTATGCGGCATTTGAGGCATGCCTGCAGAAAATAGTAAAGTTATCGTTTAATTACTTTAAATAATTAAATAATAACAGCGACAATAGAGAACAACTAAAGTTGATTAAAATTGATAAATCAGGGTTGCCACGCTTTTGCTCTTTTCAAATTCCCTGACTTTTCCAGGTTTTTCAGGTTTTTAAAATGAAAATTATTCGAAAACATCAATAACTTCATTTTTAAATAAATATTTAATCATTATCTTTTTTAATTTAGAAATTAAAATATTCAAAAATTTTTAATTCAATAACAAGTAAGAATATTATTATAAAATATGAAGATATCGATCACTCCGAGTCTTCGACTCGGTGTGATCGCTTTCTTCATGTTTTATAATAATTAAAACTTGCTACTTTGTTACTGTAACTTCTTCAAAAATTATTGTCATCATTACAATTATTCATTTTTACAATTTTCAACTAAAATTCTTCTTTAAGGACATCCAGGAAAATCGAGCCCAAAAAGTGTTTTCCCGCGTGTCGTCTCATTCCTAAATAATTAAAGATATTTAGTTCCGATTTATCATGATAATTAGAGGAATTCATAATGATAAAGAATATTCTCGAAATTTGCAAGTAATTTTTGAAATAAATATTGAAAAACGAAATTACAAAAGTTGTATTTTTGGCGAAAGGGGCGAAAGTGAGAGACAATATGGCGGCGAGCACACAGACAAGTGGATCTATGTGTCAGTGGTCAAGGAGGTGGCGCCAATTCTTGGAAGTGGTCGCGACTTGAACTAAGGAAATGTCTCAACCTCAAATTACTCCACTTTCAATCGTTAATAAAATAATTTCCTCGCAAAATTATTGCAAAAACGGAGAGGGCCGCTCCTCGGAGAGTCTTCCTCTATCACCCCTCCAAATATGAACCCGAAATATTTTATCCTCTCAAAATGAGACCGCGATACCAAACCGTTCATAATCCCCTTTTTCCGTATATTTCAACAATTTTTTTCAATAATTATTTATCAAAATTTTTATAAATTTCGAGAGGACCGCTGGTCCCAGAGCATTTCTCTATATTTACCAAAAAATCTCGACTCAAAATATTCTTTTCTTTTTAAATGAGACGTCTATCACGAAACCATTATAATTAAAAAAAATTTCCATTGAACATTTTGAGAAAAATTAATTCTACAGTATTCTTAATTAAAAGTATGAAAAGTTCAAATTTTCAAAGATTTTAATTTGAAATTCATTTTTCAAATCAATATTTATTAGAAAATTCTACGAAAATTCAAATATTTAACTATAAAAATAAATATTTTATTAAACAATTGAATTTTCATAAAGAATTTGATCAATTTTTCGAGAAATTTGATGAAAATTGTATTAAGAATAATTGATATTCTGACAAAAATTTTATTAAAAGTTCTGAAAATAATTGAATTTCCGAGGAAAATTTTATTACTTATAAAGATAATTGAAATTTTCACGAGAATTTTTGTAAATTTTTAAACATAATTGGATTTCTGCGAAGAATTATTTTAAAATTATTTTTAAAAAAATTGAATTGTTAGGGGAAGGTGGTCCCATACCGACCCCTCGTACCATACCGACCCCCTTATGTTTCTTGAAGATGGTACCACTAAAAAAATCGTCAGTACCATCAGTCGAACACTTTCACAACACCAACAACTGGGCCACAAGTTTTATCAATGCGTTTGATTTCATTTTGAAGATTCAAGCAATATTAGATTTTAGCATTGTTTAAATTAATTTTTGACCTATACGGAATTCGAGCTAACAGTGTTTTTTGAATACAGGAAAATTTTTATGAAATTAATTTTGATTGTACATGACCTTAACTTCAACGTACAACATTCAAATTAAATTAATTCCACTGATATAAGTGATTGGCAAAACATTTTGTGAAAATAGTGGGGGTGGTCCGAAACCGAACCCCATATTTTTACATTGTAATTGATAATTCTCTTCTTCCTTGTTGGTCACATGAAGTGAGGATAGGTTTTGCATATTTACTTTTATTTTTTAGGAATTTATAAAATATTTTACTAACAATCACAGCACTTATTACTTAACTTTAATTCTCTTTTGGTTAAATATTTTATTCATTGTCGGTTGTAAAATGTTCTTGACAAGGCGATATGAATTAAGAAAAGGTGTACTTTTCGACATCTTTGGAAGCAGTTAAGTACGAAAACGAAAAAGAATTAATAACAAAATTCGTATATATTTTACTAGAAATAGGGCGAAAATTAAAACAGGCAAAACCATTGCTGCTATTATATTGGAAATTTAGACACTGTTTAACAATTTATATTTATTATCATTTTAAAAAAGGCCTTAAAATTTATTTAAATAAAGTAATAATATTAATTCAAGTTTAACTATGTCAACATAACTTAAAGACATAAATAATCTCAGAGTAAAGTTACTAATGATTCATTTATTTACCTTTTTGTTCAGAAAAAGGTCCAAAAATGTATTTAAATGAAGTCAAAATAATTTAACAGTTCATTACAGACTGTTGAATTTTATTTTAATTACTATAAGAATTTGATATCTTGATTATTCTTGAGATTTTCCCCAAAAAAATGGGGGTCGGTTTTGGACCACCCATTTTGAGAAAGTTAAAAACGTAAATTTTCGCTTTTTCTTTAGATCTTTTATTAATGACAATCAGAAACCTCGGCAATCGTCAGAAAACATAGAAAAATAGTTCCTTTACTCAAAAAAATTTTGACGAAGACAAAGAAACACATTTTTGGCACATTTTTAGCCTTTGCACTTTAGGGGGTCGGTATGGGACCACCCTCCCCTACGCAAAGAATTCCATTAAAATTTTTGAAAATAATTTTATTTTTTAAAGAAATTTAATTAAAAATGTATTGAAAATAATACATAAATTCTAATAAATAAATTGTAGCAAATGCTAGTAAAATAATTAAATTTCTTTGATAAATTTTAATAAAATTTTTAAGAATAATAACTTTTTTCGAGGAATTCCATTAAAATTGTATTAAAAATAATTGAAATTCAGCATTGAGTTTTATTTTTTATAAAAATAATTGAATCCCTGTAAAAAATGTTATTATTTATGAAAATAATTAAATAATATATGAAAATAATTTGTAAATAATTGAATTCATGTGAAATTTTTATTATTTACGAAAATAATTAAATATTTGCGTAGAATTTTATAAAATTTTTTTTTAATTAATTGAATTCTTTTAGGAACTTTTATTAAATTAGTAGATATTAAAAATCATTGAATTAAGGAAAGTTTTTGAAAATAATTGAATTGTTGAGAAGAATTTTACTACTTTTGAAAATAATTGCATTTCTGCAATCATTTGTAATTGCTTCAAAATTCAATTTGTTTTAGTGTTTTTAATTAAAATTCTTCTATAAATCCATTATTTTTTATAAGACAAGTCAAAAAAAATTTTTTTTAAATCTAAGTTATTTTATATTTCTAATTAAATTCATTTAAAATTGAAATTTTACAAAATGTTAAATCAAAATCTTTTAAAGTTCATCTACTTATGAAAATTGTAAACGCAGTTCTTTTAAAATTGAATTAATTTTGAAATTAGATTTCAAGAATAAACACAATAACTTTAGAAAGCAACAATTTTCCAGGGTTTCGATAAAAATTCCCTGACTTTTCCAGGTTTTTTTTAAGGTTTATAAAATCCCCTGACATTTCCAGGTTTTCCAGGTTGCTACGCAACCCTGTAAATTAATTAATTGGTAGCATTTTTGTCATACATACTTAGAACGGTTAATAAAATAATTTTGAAAGAAAATGAATAATATGAGTGAAAGAAGCAAAATATTTACCCCAGCCTCCTTGTGGTGGTCCATAGCCGCCAAAGGGTTGAAATCCCGGAGGTGGCATTCCAAAGGGAGCTGCACCGAACGGCGCGGACATTGGTCCACCAAATTGATTTGGCATTCGGTGCTGCATTGGAACCATGTTTGGCGGTGGCTGCATCATATTTGTGTTTACGGCAGGAGTATTTACAACCGGTGCAGCGGTCACACTGGCAGCCGTACCGTTCGCTTGAGAAACTTCAGTTGTTGATGTCACCTCTGGAGTGTCGATGAGAGATGGCGGAGGACCAGTCCCAGGGGGAGCGGTACTCAACTGATTCATTGCATCAGTATTATTCGAAACTGGCATTTCACCTCCAGCAGCGGTTCTCGTTTCATTTCCTTGGGTAACTGTCGTTGTCGCCGATGTCGTCGTAGTTGTCGTTTGCTTCGCCGCACCGTGCACTAATTGCTCCAACTGAAATTCAATTTTGGAAATTAATTTATGTTTCAATTGAATTTTTCAATTTATTACTATTCATTTGACAAAATATACTTTTAATTACCTGGTCTTGACCCATAACCTTAACGTTTGGACCCTCTGGCTTCGTCCAAGTTGTTTCTCTCGATCTTATATTGTAATAATAACTCTTACCGTCGGTCGTTTTCGTTTCAACCCAAACTTCGCCATTTAAATCTAATCCTGGAATGTTTGCTTGCTGTTGTGCCTGTTGTGGTTGTTGTCCAGGAATCTAGAAATAAATTGAATCAAACCAATAATCAAAATTAACCAAAACGAATTAATTTTAATTGCTAATTAATTATAGCGAAATTTACGTTATTCATGTTTGGTGCTCCCATTCCAGGCGGAGGTCCAAATGGTCCCGCTCCCGCTCCCATTGGACCGTTCATCATATGTGGAGGTGGCTAAAATAAAATAATATTTATCTTTTCCAATAGGAGACGATTTAGAATCAGGGTTGCGACAAAAATTTATTTTTGTTTTTCCCTGATTTCCAGAGAAAATTTTCACTTTTTCCCTGACACCAAAGAATATTCTGATTCGTGATAGACGTCTCATTTAAAAAGAAAAGAATATTTTGGGTCGGGATTTTTTGAAAAATAAAGAGGAATAAAAAAATATCAATTAAACTTTTTCAATCAAAATTATTTCTACAGAATTGTTTATTAAAAGTATGAAAAATTGGAATTTTTAAAGATTTTAATTTGCAACCTTTTCAAAATTCGATTACATATTTCTAAAAGTTCACGCTATAATGCTTTTAATATTCAATTATAATCTAACATTTTAACTAAAATTCATTTTTAAATAAATTTTTATTAGAAAATTCTACGAGAATTCAATTATTTCCATACAAAAATAAATAATTTATTGATTAACTGAATGTTTCTTAAAATCGAATTCATTTGACGAATTTAAAAAAAAAATTTAAGAATAATTACATTTTTTGAGAAATTCAATTGAAATTGCATAAAAAATAATTAAATTCTGCGATGAGTTTTATTATTTATGAACATAATTGAATTCCTAAAAAGAATTTTCTTATTTTTATATAAAATTGAATCTTTGTGAAAAATTTCATTATTTATGAAAATAATTGAATTATAGCAAAGAAATTTATAAGAAAAATTTCTACATCATAATTCAATTCCTGTGAATCTTTTATTATTTGTGAAAATAATTTAATGTTTGCCTGGAATTTTATAAAAAATGTTTTAGGTAGAAAAATTTTATTTAAATAGTAGATATTTAAAATGATTGAATTGAGGAAAATTTTTGAAATTTTGACAAGACTTTTATTCAAATTCTTGAAAATAATTGAATGTCAGAGAAGAATTTTATTGTTTAAAAAGATAACTGAAATTATAACGAGAATTTTAAAAATATTTTTGAACATAATTGAATTTTTGCGAAGAATTTTATTACTTTTGAAAATAATAGAATTATTGCTGAAAAATTTATAAAAAATTTGTAAATAAAATTTTTATTATTTATGAAAATAATTAAATCTTTGCGTAGAATTTTATAAATTTTTTTTTAAATAATTGAATTCTTTTGGAAAATTTTATTAAGTAGATCAGAATTTTCTCATGACATTTAAAAATAAAATTTTTTTCCTGTACTTTTAATAAAAATTCCTGACTTTCCTCTGACTTGTGTCAACCCTGAGAATGAATATTTAAAAAAAGCCACTTACCATTCCTGGTGGGCCCATTAAATTCGGAGGTCCCATCATATTCGGCGGACCCATTGGGCCCCAATTTGGATCAAAGGGTGGCGGTCCCCGAAACCGAGGACCCGCAGGTCCTGGTGGGCAATTTGGACGTGGAGGACCTTCAAAGGGATATCCATTATTGGGACCTCGAAACATTGGTCGTGGACCGAAACCCCTGCCTCTAAATCTCGGAGGTCCGCCGCGCATTGAAAAATCAAAGCCACCTCGACCCCTACCCCTGAAAGTAGTATTATTACTTTGGAAAATAACAATAAAGTCGTAATTTCTTTAACTAAAAGAATATTATAAATATTAAATAAATAATAGTCAACAATTGTAATTACAGGATAGATAATAAATGATTATAATTACAGGGCTCGAACCAGTGAAATATAAGTATTTAAAAATACGGACTTTACGGACCAAAAATGAAAAATTACGCACCATTTTCGGACCAATTACTGACAAAAATATAACCAGTCCGAGTCAAATAAGAGAAAATTTTACTTAAAAAAACTATAAATTAAATTTTTCATAACTATAAAACATAAAGATATCGATAACTCCGAGTCTTCGACTCGGAGTGATCGATTTCTTCACCGAGTGATAAAATCATTATCAATTCAATTAATATTTACAAGAATTTTTAACTAAAATTCTTCTTTAAATCGACTTTTTAAAATAATTTTTGAAAAAGTTCTTTGACAATTTTCAAATCCATTTGTTTACAATATTCAATTTACGAAATTTTAATTATTCGTAAATTCTTCAATTAAATAAATATTAGAAAATAATATTAAAAAAAATTCAATTAAACTTTTTCAAAAAAGTTAATTTCAAAATTCAATTATTTTTAAAAATTCACACTATATTGCTTTTAATATTCAATTATTATCTAAAATTTTAACTGAAATTCATTTTTAAATAAATTTTTATTAGAAAATTTTACGAGAATTATCAATTATTTAAATACAAAAATAAATAATTTATTGAATATTTAAATATTTCTTAAAATTCAATTCCCATAAAGAATCGTTATCAACAAATTTTTAAATAATTGAATTCTATCAAAGAATTTTAATAAAATTTTTATGAATAATTACATTTTTCGAGAAATTCGATTAAAATTGTATTAAAAATAATTGAAATTCTGAAATGAGTTTTATTATTTGTGAAAATAATTGAATCCCTAAGAAGAATTTTATTACTTTTGAACAATATTTAATTTTTTCGAAGAATATTATTAATCATGAAAATAATTGAATTTTTGCAATAATCTGTAGGTAACTTTTACAAAAATGAATTTTTTTTCGTGATTTTAACTAAATATCTTCTATAAATCCATTATTTTTAATAATTTTTGAAAAAGTTCTTTAAGATTTTTCTAATTCATTTGTTTAAATATAATTCAATTTTACAAAATTTCAATTATTCGTAAATTCTTCAATTAAATATATATTAGAAAATAAAAACTTTAAATAATTTCAAAAAAATCCACAATTAAAGTTTCTCAAAAAAAAAATTAATTCCACAGAATTGTAAAAATATGAAAATCTCAAATTTTCAAAGATTTTAATCTGAAACTTTTTCAAAATTCAATTATTTTTAAAAATTTACGCTCTAATACTTTTAAAATTCAATTATAATCTAAAATTTTAACTGAAATCCATTTTTAAATCAATGTTTATGAGAAAATTCTACTAGAATTCAATTATTTAAATACAAAAATAACAATTTATTGAATAATCGCATGTTTCTTAATATTGAATTCTCATAAAGAATTTTATCTATATAAATTTTTAAATAACTGAATTCTTTTAACGAATTTTAATAAAATTTTTAAGAATTTCTTACAGGAATTTGATTAAAAAATGTATTAAAAATAATTGAAATTCTGCAATGAGTTTTATTATTTACGAAAATAATTGAATTCCCGTAAAAATTTTATTATTTATGAAAATAATTGAACGATTGCGAAGAAATTTATAAAAAAATTTGTAAATAATGAAATTCTTGTGAAATCTTTCTTATTTTTTAAAAATAATTAAAAGTTTGTGTAGAATTTTATTAAATTTTTTTTTAAATAATTGAATTGTTTTGGAAAATTTTATGAAAATAGTAGATATTGAAAATAATTAAATTGAGAAAAATTTTTCAAAATAATTGAATTTCGGAGAAGAATTTAATAATTTCTAAACATAATTGAAATTTTGATGAGAATTTTTAAACATTTTTGTACATAATTGAATTTTTGCGAAGAATTTTATTACTTTTAAAAATACTAATTGAATTTTTACAATCATTTGTTATTTCTCTAAAATTATCCAAAATTATATTGTACAATTTACGAACTTTTATAATTTTTGAATCAAATTATGGACTTTACGGACCTTTTTTTTTAAAAAAACGGACTTTTACGGGATTTACGGACCTAGTTCGAGCCCAGTAATTACAAGTTAAAAATTGCTACAAATAATAATCACAAGTCAAAAATGACTAAAAATATTTATAATTACTGTAAGAATAATTAATTACTTTAAAGAAATGAAAATAAAAAGAAGGAGAAAAGAAAACAGTAAAACGTATTACAAGAAGCAAGAAACTTTAGACAGCAATAACAAATAAGAAACGATCCTCGTCTCGTGATATGTTATCATGCAAATAACGACAAAAATTGATCGAGGCATTTAATACAAAAACATAACCATGCAAAAATAATGATTTTATCGTCACCTAAAGCCACCTCGTCCTCGGGGAACAAAATGTCTGTATTCTTCACCCTCAAAGGAATACTCTTCGGATTCTTCGATACCCTCCTCGGTGGGTTCCTGTTCATTTAGAGTCGGTGTTTCTGCATTTACAACGGGCTGCTGATCTCCATTGCCTTCCATTTTTTTTTCTCTCTCTTATTTATAGGAGTATACACAGAGAAAAAAATTGATTTGTTAGGTCGTTTTCAATTCTTCATGTGAACAATCACAAAATTTTAAAGCACTAAAATCACGTCACTTTATTCAATCTACAAGGTAAATACTATTTTATCAGTTTTAAAATCGTAAAACTGCCACAGACACAAATTGCCGACGTTTATTGAAGAAACACCAACATAGGCAGCCTCATTCTGTGAACAGAAAAAAATGCAATATTAATGAGTATGTTTAATGAAAAATTGTGTTTCTTTATTTATGATGTTTCACTTTTCTTGTTGATGGGAATTATATACCTATTTAATAATCCATTATTTAGAAAATAGCTACAAAAACTAGATTTTTTTCCGTTTATATCGCGGTATCAAACAATCAACCATTAATCAACTTGGACGAATAAAATGAAATGAGAAATGTTGAACTGTGGGTGAAAATTTGGGTTATTCTGAGACATCTATTGACGGTTATTGAAAATATTATATTGTGAATGGGACTTAAAGTTTGGTGGCCCAACCCTGACTTGTAAAAGGCGGGAAAAAATTTAAAGACCCAAATCGGCCAAATTGACAAACGTCAACAAAAGTTTCATAAACTGTCAGTATTCAGTTTTGACATTTTGTATAATTTTTTCTATTTCTATTTTATTTTAATTAAAGACTGCAATGCTCGAAAGATCAAAAACCTTTCTAGGTTTAATTGGATTTCTTCTACTTAAGCTACAGGTAAGTTGTATCTTGTATAATTATTTTTGCTTTCTTGTGGTTTTAATTTGCAAACTGAATAAGAAAGTGTAAAATTTTAATTTAAATTACTATTTTTAGGCTCTTATGACAATTTCCACTTTAAATATGTTAGGATTTTCGGAAATAAATTTTTTGGCTAGTGAATTAACACCCAGTGAATGTTTTCAATTGTATAACATGTCTCGAGGACGGCATTTAAAGGTTAGGATTGCATTTTCATTTATTATATCTTTATTATTTATATAGCATTTTTATTTAAAGAACACATTTTTCTTAAAGGTTGAAACCGAAGATTTCTTACGAAGGAAAAGATATGAAGTTCCGTGTATAAATTTGCTTTCAACATGGTTAACGGATCCGGACGAATATAATTTTAATTTTGACAATCTTACTTTAACACTCACGCAAATTGGTAGAGAGGATTTAGTTTTTGAGCTAGATCGAAGAAAAGTGACTATTTCCCCTGAAAATAAGGATTTGGAGTACGTTTAACAAGTGGTAAATTTTTAATAGATTATCCTAATAAAATAAAGTATTTTAAATAATAATACATAATTTAGAGAAAAAAATTTGAAATTTAGTTATAATTTAATTTGATAAATTTTCTAAAAATATATAGAAACAAAATAATAAAAAAATCAGTGCTCAGAGATGAAAGATCAGGAACATACGTCTGTCCTTCTGATTTATCAGAAAAAAGGAAAATTTTTTGGGAATATTTTTTTATATTTACTACGATTCTCACTATAATGTTTTTATGTTTTTGCTGTTGTTTTTGCATTTACGAAAAGCTCCGTTGCACTTGTAACAGGTATTCGATTATTTTCCTTTTAAAATAGAATCAAATAATAAGTAATTATTTTATTAATGTATAATAAAAATACATTAATAACATTTACTAGTTAAATTAATAAATTTAACTAGCAAATGTCACGCACGCAAAACGTGATATTCAATTTATTATTATTATGCAAATTACAAAAATTTTTATTTTTAAATATGAATTTCTGAATAATTTCAGATTCGAACTTTTAAAAAAATCCAATTATTAATTAATTTACTAATGAATTATTCTTGTTTATTAATTTCAAAAATTTTAATAAAATTCTTCGCAAGAATTTAATTATTTTCATAAATAATACCTACATACTTCGTAAGAATTCAATTATTTTTACAAACAGTAGAATTTTTTTGCAAAAATTCAATTCTGTTCAGAATAATTTCACGAAAGAATTCAATTTCTTTCTTAATTCGTTGTAAAATATTGTGAAAAAATTCAATTATATTTAAATAGTAAAATTCTGTACAAAAATTCAATTATTTTTTAAAAATTTTTAGAAAGAATTCCATTATTTTCTAAAATTTTTTCAAGTCTTGGAAACAATTCAAGAATTCCATTATTTTCAAATTTTTTTTTAATTCTTGGAAACAATTCAAGAATTCCATTATTTTCTAAAATTTTTGTTAATTTTTGGAAACAATTAAATTATTTTTATAAATAGTAAAGTTCTTCGAAGGAATTTAATTATTTTTCTAAATAATAAAATTCTTCGGCGAAATTTAATTATTTTTGTAAATTTTTCAAAAGAATTCAATTTTCTTCTTAATTCGTTATAAAAAATTCCAATAGAATTCAATTATTTTCTAAAATTTTAATAAAATTCAATAATTAAATGTTCAATTTCAATTATTAACAAACACGAATATTTTAAAAACTTGAAAGAAATGGTTTATAAAATTCATTTATTTTCAAAATTTTTAATTAAAATTATTAAAGAAACTCCATTGTTTTAATCAAATTTTTAACAAAATTCTTCGCGAGAATTCAATTTATTATTTTCCTACATAATAAAATTCTTCGAAGGAATTCTATTATCAAATTTTTTGATAAAATTCTTTGCAACAATTCGATAATTTTCAATATATTAATTTTATAATTAAAAATATTTAAACAGAAAAATTATTAAAAAAGTTAAGAAACAAAAAAAGCAAACAACTAACTTTAAACTGCGCGAACAGATTATCGGAATACAACGATTATTAATATACCTAGATAATAATTAATAATTAAATAAAGAGAAAAATTATAATTATGTTTGTATTACAAATTTTAAAATATATATGTTACGTTCATTGTCGATTATTGGGCATTGTCGACAATGCCCGGGCAAAGTTGACAATGCCCGATCCATCTTGGGCAATGTCGAAAATTCTATATAATAGCTTCATACGTCATGATATATACAAAACTAATCACACAATAACGTATACAAATATATTTTAAATCAAATAATAGTGCATTTATAAATTACATTTGCTTGACATTTACTACACGTTTGTTATGAATTCTAAATGTTACTCAAAATTCAAAATTTTTAGTAAAAATCTTTAATGAGTACCGGAATTCTAACTTTAGTCAAACTAAAATCAGTAACTAGTTAAGGAAATTTAATGAAATGTAACTGAAAATTTGGGAATAGTTTCAAAAAGTATAAAGAGTAACTGAAAATTACGAAACTGTAACAAAATTTTTAGTTTAAAACTATTTATTGAATTATATTTATAAAATTTAATTACTAATAAATGAATAATTAATATTATTTGATTGAATAAATAGTTTTGTGTATAAAAAGTAAGAAATAAATATTATTAATCAGTTATTTTTTGCCAAAACTTATTTATAAACTGTAAATAAATAATTTTTAAACATTAGCATTATTATTAAATATTTTTAAGTCTAAATAATTTTTTTACTGAAAATCTAGTGCAATAGAAAAAATTTTAAGGCAAACTTAGAAATAATTATTTAAATAAATAAAACTTCCGTTGCTTGTTTCTGAAAAATCCTACAAAAATTTCTAACAGTGTATAAAAGATGCACCTGCAAGACAGGATAACTGAATCGTCTTTTTTTATTCGTAAATAACAATGCCCAAAAGTAAGTGAGCAATGACGACATTGCCCGGGCACTGTCACATTTTACTAAATTTTGTTAAAAATACCCGGGCAATGTCGACAATGCCCAATAATCGACAATGACCGTAACATATATATGTAAATATTTCAGAACCGAACGAAATTGTTGTGGAAAAACTGAAGAAAACGAGGAGGAATATTGCCTTTGTGCTGATAAACTGAAAGAAACTTCGTTCGAAGATTACTGTACGAATAAAAAGAAATCGTCATATTTCAAACAAATGTTTTCAAAATGTAATGAGTATTTCACTAAAAGGAGAGAGGAAAAAAAGGAAAAACTGCGTAACGAAAAGTTTCAGAAACTGAAAAAAAAATTACAAGTAATTATCAAAAGTTAACAATAATAATATTGTATTAATGTTTTTTTTTCTTTTTGCAGAAAATGTACTTGGAGAGACAAAAAGATATTCGAGTAAACCGACAGGAGGAAAGAATTTTAAATTCTTTGACGGAAAGGGAAAGAGACGAACTCGGAGAGATACTTTGTCAAATGAGATTTTTTCTCAATTCAGACAAGGAAACGGAAAGATTACTTTTGTCTGGAAAACGTTCCGGAACATTTATAATCGATATGAAAAATCTCCATCGACCAAAAATTACTCATTCGCATTTAACAAATCAAGAAATAAGAAAATTGAAATCCAGAGATTTCTCAGCCTCATTGTCCGATGAAATGACCGATTGTCCTGTGCAACGAAAAACATGTTCAGAATGTGAAATTACGAAAAGAAAACCCGAAAAAGTAATTATTTACATATTTCAATTTATCATTTCAATAATATAATATTTAATTTTAATTTTAATACTTAAAAATTTGAATTTAAAAAGTAATAAAACTACAAAAATTTCAGAGAAACCATCGAAAATCAAGTAATCATCGAAGAGAGTATGAAAAATATTCAAAACACAAGAGAAGAAATAAAAATTCAAAACTCATTGAATTGGAAGAAACCAGCGAATTCATTAAATGCTACACAATGTCCGAATCAGAACAATGTTCATCGCCAACTATGAAAATTAATAATAGGTAAAATTTTCTCAGATACGAAAATATTAAAATACAATCAATTTTAAAAAAAAAACTAACGAAATTTACAGATTTTACGAATCAGAGCGAAAGACGAATATTTTTACATCGGAGGAAAGTGAAATGACAACGTTTCGTTCTGAAAATTATCAAAATCCATTGAATAATAAAATTCAATCAGATGTAGAAAATCAAAAAAAGAAATCCGCAGATGTTATTAAATCGAAATCAATGACTGAATTGGAATCATTAAAAATAAATCAAGTCTCAGAATTGATTCCAGAAAAAGAAAATCAAGGCGATTTTAAATTTCATAGAACGGAAAATTTATCAAAAACGTTTAACTCTTGTCCAATTGCAACATGTGATAATAAAACGAAAATACGTGACGTTTCAGAAAAAGGAAAACAAAATCAAGGCGATTATTTTAAAATTTATGAACCAGTGGAAATTAAGAATTTATCGAAAACAGATTTCTGTTGGCCACCTGCGACATGTAATAGTAAGATAAATTTGGAGAAATCAAACGAAAATTTAGCATTTTTTGAAAATTTAGAACGTGGTGACACTGAATCGCAATTGGATTTTCGTAAGACTTGTGATGAATTAAGTTTACTTGTTTCACAACAAATGAAACAACAATCGTATCCTTGTGAAAGAAAATATTGTCTCTTGAGAAGGCACTTAAAACATCGAATACACGATTTGAAACAATGTCAATTTAAAGAAAATTTCCATCAATATTATTCAAATAATGATGCACCATCGTGTGGAGTTGGAAGAATTTGTCGCGACACTTACGATGAATTTAAATTGATGAAAGCAATGCCGCACGAAAGGAAAGAAATTAAAAAATCCATTTTCAAAAGAAGAAAAGAATTTCTAGACCAACCTTGTGTTTCGCCAAAGAAAAAATGCTTCAATTACTCTTCAATTGGAACAATGTGATTTTTTTTAAAGAAATATATTTGTGATTCTTATTTAAAGGCTTTTTATTTACTTAGTTACATACGTTCACTCCTCTTAACCTCTTTTACTTGTAGACCTGCAAAAAAATAATTTTTACTTATTAGTTCTAATTAACTTGCTTTATTTAATAATTATAATTTTGTAATTTTTATTAATAATCAATAATTACTTAATAAAGATTATTAGTATTTAGGTTTTTAAGATTTTTCAGTTTTTATGTACTTTAATTTAGAATTTAAATTTACCTGGAGGCAAGGATTGCTTCAGTTTTTCAGCCTTTTCTTTGTCTGTAATGACAAGAGTGTACAGGAATCTTGAGCAACGCACTTTGAATTTTACATTGTCAGCGTTCTTCTTTATTTTGACGGCTAGAATAATTGAAAATAAACAATTTTAATTACTATTAATTTTTTTAGTTTAAAATAATTTAATAAACAAAATTAATTAATATACTTAAAAAAGACGTCGGTGAAGTTCGCAACGTTTATGATTAACAATTAAAAGAAAAAAATACAATTTTTTATGCTGAAAAAAATATCGGTAATTTCTTTGCAATATTAATAGAATATTTTGTTTACAAATTCCTTTTTTAATAACAAAACAATAGATCATTTAGATTATTATTATTACTATTTCAGGGTTGCCACGCTTTTGCTCATTTCAAATTCCCTGACTTTTCCAGGTTTTCCAGGTTTTTAAAACTAAATTTATATTTTACAAAATTTTTAATTCTAACCTTTTTGAAATTAAAAATCTTATAAAAGTTTGTTATAAAACATGATAATATCGATGACTCCGAGTCTTCGACTCGGAGCAATCGATATCTTCATGTTTTATAATAATTAAAAATGTTGGACTGATAAAATCATCATTTTTTACCAATTATAAGAATTTTGTTACTGTAACTTATTCAAAATTACTTTCATTATTTTAATTCAATTATTGTTTTCCACAATTTTTAACTAAAATTCTTCTTTAAATTAATTATTATTAATAATTTCTGAAAAATTTCTTTCAACATTTTCAAATCTTTTTCTTTACAATTCATTTTTACGAAATTTCATCGATTATTCAGGTATTCGGAAATTTTTCAATCAAATATATATTAGAAAATAAAAATTTGAAATAACTTCAAAAAAATTCTATTCAACTTTTACAAAAAAATTAAATCTACACAATTTTAAGTTAAAAGTATGTAAAATTCAAACATTCAAAGATTATAATTTGAGACCTGCTTTTCAAAACTCTATTATTATCTGTAAAAAATTGTATTGCATATTTATAAAAATAATTGAATCTATGTAAACATAAATTGAATATTTTTGAAAATAATAGAATTATTGCGAAGAAATTTATTAAAAATATTTTAAATAATTCATTTCTTTGGGAAAATTTTATTAAAATTGTAGATATTGAAAATCATTGACTGGAGGAGAATTTTTAAAAAAAATTGAAGTTGTTAAAAAGAATTTCATTAAAATATTTGAAAATATTTAAATAATTGAATTTTGAAGAAAAATTTTAATATTTATAAAGATAATTGAAATTTTGACGATACATTTTTTAAACTTTTGACTATAATTGAATTTCCGAGAAGAATTTTATTACTTTTGAAAATAATTGAATTTTTTTGATGAATTTTAATAAAATTTTTAAAGAATAATTATACATTTTTCGAGAAATTCCATTTAAATTGTATTAAAAATAATTGAAATTTTGCGATGAGTTTTATTATTTATGAAAATAATTGTAAATCTATAAATTTTTTGATTATTTATGAAAATAATTGAATTATTGCGAAGAAAAATTGTAAAGGCAACTCTTTTAAAATTGAATTTAAGAAAATTTAGATTTTAAGAATAAGCACAATAACTTTATAAAACAATAATTTTCCAGGATTCCAATCAAAATTCCCTGACTTTTCCAGGTTTTTTCAAGGTTTATAAAAATTCCCTGACATTTCCAGGTTTCCAGGTTGCGTGGCAACCCTGTATTTTTACAAATAGATTAATTTAATTATTATTAAAAGTATTATTTACGTGAATTTGACAGGTAATGTATATTATTAATTGAATCTTAAATTTTATTTTTAAAATCTGAACTTTTACTTTTTGATTTAAATGGACTGAAAACATTAATTAATACTGTCACAGACTTCTCACTCATCTACTAAAATCTACTATTTACTACTTTTTATACGATTTGCTACTACTTGGATACTTTTTTTAGATTTGATTGAGAAAAGACGGAAAATCTGTAAATTGTACAATATAATTTGAAGAATTTTAGAGAAATTACAAATGGTTGCAGAAATTCAATTATGTATTTTAAACGAAGTGGCTATTTCGCCAGATGTCGGGCGAAACAAGAAAAATTTTTTATTTCTCTTGTTGTAAAAGTACACAGTGTCGGGCGAAATAAGAGAAATAGTTTATTTCGCCCGTTGGAAAATAAAAATTTGCTAAATTAAAAACTGGCGAAGTAAAATAAACTATGTTAAAAAGGTGGGAATTTTGAACTATAAGTAAGTGCAATCGGAAATTGAGTTTATTTTTAAATTATAAAATTTATTATTTATATATTAATTCTGGCCAATAAAAATAAACTCCTCCTATTTTCAAAATGCAATTTTTTATTTGTTAGCTGAGTTAAATTAATATTTAAAAAATAAAACATATAATACCAACCCCCAAAGAAAAAATGGATGATTTAGACCAATAAAAATAATAAACAAACTCCTCTCATTTTCAAAATCAATTTTTCTATTTGTTGGTTGAGTTAAACAAAGTGGAGAAAAAATTAATATTTAAAAAATAAATCATATAATTCCAACCCCCAAAAGGAAAAATGTATGATTTAGACCAATTAAAATAAAATTTAAACTCCTCCTTCTTAAAGAAAGCTATTTTTTTATTTGTTGGTTCAGTTGAAAAAATGGAAGAATATTTATAATTTTAAAAACATAAAATTTAAACATAACCCTTAAAAAATAAAATTGATGTTTAAGACCAATTAAAATAAAATTTAAAGTCCTCCCTCTTAATGAAAGCTATTTTTATTCGTGGGTTCAATAGAGGAAAATGGAGAAAATATTAAACTTTAAAAAATATAAAATTTAGTATCTACCGCTCACGAAAAAATATACTGCTATTAGCCAATAAAAAAAAGATTCAAACTCCTCCTACTTAAAGAAAGAAATTTTTTATTCGTTGGTTCAGTTAAACAAAATGGAGAAAATAATTAATATTTGAAAAATAAAACATATAATCCCAACCCACAAAAGAAAAAATAAAGTCTACTGAACAATAGAAAATTAAATTGAAACTCCTCCTATTTTTTCGGAAAGGGTTATGGTTAAATTTTATGTTTTTAAAATTATAAATATTCTTCCATTTTATCAACTGAATCAACAAATAAAAAAATAGCTTTGTTTAAAAAGGAGGAGTTTAAATTTTATTTTAATTGGTCTAAATCATACATTTTTCCTTTTGGGGGTTGGAATTATATGATTTATTTTTTAAATATTAATTTTTTCTCCACTTTGTTTAACTCAACCAACAAATAGAAAAATTGATTTTGAAAATGAGAGGAGTTTGTTTATTATTTTTACTGGTCTAAATCATCAATTTTTTCTTTGGGGGTTGGTATTATATGTTTTATTTTTTAAATATTAATTTAACTCAACTAACAAATAAAAAATTGCATTTTGAAAATAGGAGGAGTTTATTTTTATTGGCCAGAATTAATATAAATAATAAATTTTATAATTTAAAAATAAATTCAATTTCCGATTGCACTTACTTATAGTTCAAAATTCCCACCTTTTTAACATAGTTTATTTTACTTCGCCAGTTTCTAATTTAGCAAATTTTCATTTTCCAACGGGCGAAATAAACAGGGTGGCCGCAAGATTGACTTTATCAATTTCCCTGACATTTCCCTGACATTTTACTGACATAACAACGAATTTCCATGACAAAAATTTTTTTGTTTAGAGCAAAAAATGTATTGCATGACCGTCTTAATTTCTTTAATTGCCCTGACAAAAAAATTTTTCCTGGCATTTCCCTGACTTTACTGACAAAAAATTTTTTTTCCTGACATTTCCCTTCTTCTTTAATTGCCCTGACAAAAAAATTTTTCCTGACATTTCCCTGACTTTACTGACAAAAATTTTTTTTCCTGACATTTCCCTGACTTTACTGACAAAATATTTTTTTCCCTGACATTTCCCTGACTTTACTGACATGTGGCCACCCTGATAAACTATTTCTCTTATTTCGCCCGACACTGTGTACTTTTACAACGGGCGAAATAAAAAAATTTTCTTGTTTCGCCCGACATCTGGCGAAATAGCCACTTCGTATTTTAAAAAGTAATCAAATTCTTCGCAGAAATTCAATTATGTTTAAAAATTTTTTTAAATTCTCGTCAAAATTTCAATTATGTTTAGAAATAATTAAATTCTTCTCCAAAATTCAATTATTTTCAAAACTTTTTCTCAATTCAATGATTTTCAATATCTACTATTTTCATAAAATTTTCCAAAAGAATTCAATTATTTAAAAAAAAATTTAATAAAATTCTACACAAACTTTTAATTATTTTAAAAAAATAATAAAAATTTCACAAGAATTTCATTATTTACAAATTTTTTTTATAAATTTCTTCGCAATCATTCAATTATTTTCATAAATAATAAAATTCAATTACTTTCAAAAATAATAAAATACTTCGCAGAAATTCAATTATGTCCAAAAAATTCTCGTCAAAATTTCAATTATTTTCAAAAGTAATCAAATCGAAGAATTGAATATTGTAAAAAATTGGATTTGAAAATTGTCAAAGAACTTTTTCGATAATTATTAAAAATAATCGATTTAAAGAAGAATTTTTGTTAAAAATTCTTGAAAATAATAATTGAATTGATAATGATTTTATCACTCGGTCATCTTTAATTATTATAAAACATGAAGAAATCGATCACTCCGAATCGAAGACTCGGAGTTATTGATATCTTCATGTTTTATGGTTATGAAAAATTTAATTTAAATAGTTTTAAGTTAATATTCGCCTATTTGACTCGGACTGTATTTTTTTTTATAATAAAATTTTGATAAAATTCTACGTGAGAATTCAATTATTTTCATATAAATAAATAAAATCTTCGCAAGAGTTCAATTATTTTCATAAATAAAAATATTATATTTTATAATAATAATTAAATTAATCTATTTGTAAAAATAGTAATAATAATAACCTAAATAATCTATTGTTCTTAATTACAGTTAATTTGTTATCTGGCGGGCCAAATAAACTATTTCTTTTATTTGGCCCGTCTTGAAATGTATGGAAGTGGGGTGACGGGTCAAATAATAAAAGTAACTTATTTGACCCGCTGACAGGACAAATAGACACTCTGTTATAAAAATTTGAATAGAAAAATATTTTTTGTTTTAAACTTTACGAAGTTCACGAACATTCAAAAAGTGGTTAAATTCTTAAGAACTTGTTTTTATTAGAAAAATAAATGAAAACTTACATTTCGCGTCCTTCCTCCTCGCTTTCAAAAGGAAGTCTTTAATTTCTTTGATTTCTCGTGGCTGGAAAAGTGAATAAAATTAATTTTTTTAATGAAAAAGAGAAAGGTAGAATGTCAAAAATTTGAGGTTAGAATTTGTAACTTTTAGTATAAGGCAAAATTACACATTTATAAACAAAATTACACAAATAAATAGACTCGAAAACTATTTGTAGAATTATTAAATTGAAAAATAATAAATATTATCAAAGGGAGACAGAATAATTTAATACTCACCATGTTTACTGTTTTCGAGAAATGTAAGGACTTGAAAAACTCTGAAATGAATTATACAAATACAAGGGTTAAACTTCACAAATAATGCAACTATTAACTTTAAATTAACTACAAACGATTAAACAATTAATCTATATCTAATTTCGTAAATAATAATACATGATTTTGTTGATAAATTGCGATTAATTTTTTCTAAAAAAGAAACACAAACTCACCAAGTACACTCTACACCGGAAGAAAGTGTCAATTTCCAAGGCTCCTGAATAGTAGGAAAAAGAGTCAAATTAGCAACTAATAGTGAACTTGAAATTCCTAACGAAATGTATTTAAATAGTAAGGAATTCTTGAAAATTATTTTATAAATTTGATTAATGCGGTAAAATGTAATGTAAAGTGTTTATAATTTCAGATTTTTATTAAAATTATAAAAAAAGATTGCAAGCGGTAGTGCGGGACTTTTAAAAATCCTAAAGGCGGGAATTTACAAAATACAATTTTGAAAATGCGCCTTAAGGTTTTTCATCGCGGCGATCGTCAATTTATAAATGGATGTAAGTCATGTAAGTATAGGTAAAATATTTAAAAAGATTACCTAAAGTTACGTTTTTAAATGTTGTTGATCATCAAAACATGTTGAACCCTGTCAGTTAATGTTCATATTTGGTTTTGTTCAATGGTTAAAAGAGTAAAAATTTGATTATTCCAGATTATTCGCAGATTCATTCACGTGAGCGGTATTATTTATTTATTAATATAATATTTGTTGTATTTGTTTGAGAAAATAAAAAAGTCGTAAAACTATTAAACAAAAGGTGATTTGTTTAAACTAGGGTGTACGAATTACACCGCAATTATGGAACATCCTTTGCCACACATAATGGAAAGTGCCGATGACTTTGGTGGCAAACCGAAAGATAGGTTAGTCTCCATTTTAGATCAAATTGAAATGCATGTAGAAAAATTACGAAAGGATGCCTCAAGATTGGAAGAAGAAAAGGATTCATTATTAACAACTCTAGACACACTTCGCAACAATGAAGTACTTATTTCTTTAGAAGATTGTAAGTGAAAAATGCTTTGTTTTGTTTGCCTTCAGTCACTCGGTTGACCTAGAAGTCAGAATCAGAAATTTCCGGAAGTTTTTATAGTATGATTTTCAATACCTTGTTTAGTTTTTAATAGCCTTTTAATTAACTCAAAGACACTCACAATCAGAGAGATTTATTTATATAAATATGAAAATACTGTTGCATTATTTTTCGCTTTTTGGATGATAAATTGAATACCTATATTTTTCTTGGAGAATTAGTTTTTATTTTCTATTTTTACGAAACGATAATTTCGTTTTAAAAAGTGTTTGAAATAATGAAATGTTTTTGTTGATTCACATACTGATGAAATAGTATCTAATTGATTTATCTTTATTAGCGGACAAAGATGATGTTTTGAGATACGCCGAGAGATTGTCTATGAGATGTTTGACAGTTGATGTACTCGTGAAGGTTCAACGCGATCATATCCAACAAGAAGCCTTACATCAAGTAATACATTGATATAATAGTTTTTCTAATTGTTCTTTTTGTATAGTGAATTGATCAAGAAAACAGGGCTCGAACCAGTAAAATTATTTAAAAATACGGACTTTACGAACCAAAAATAAAAAATTACGGACCAATTGCTGACAAAAATATAACCAGTTCGAGTCAAATAAAAGAACATTTTACTTAAAACTATAAATTAAATTTTTCATAACTATAAAACATGAAGATATCGATAACTCCGAGTGTTCGACTCGAAGTGATCCATTTCTTCATGTTTTATAGTAATTAAAAATGACCGAGTGATAAAAAAATTATTTTATATTATAATATCAGAATATTGTTACTCTAACTTCAATTCAATTACAATTTTCTACAACTTTTAAATAAAATTCTTCTTTAAATCAATTATTTTTAAGAATTTTTAAATCCATTTCTTTACAATTCAAATTTACGTGAAATTTCAATTATTCGAAAATTCTTGAACTGAAATTAATTTTTACATCAATTTTTATTAGAAAATTCTACGATAATTTAATTATACATAATTTTATCAACAAATATTTAAATAGTTGAATTCTTTCGACAAATTTTAATACAATTTTTAAGAATAATTACATTTTTAGAGGAATTCGATTAAAATTGTATTAAAAATAATTGAAATTTGGCAAATGACTTTTATTATTTATGAAAATAATTTAATTATTGCGAAGAATTTTATAAAAAAAAAAATTTATACGAAAATACGATTTATACGAAAAAATTTATGCGAATTCTATTTTTAATACTTGAATTCCAATGAAATTTCTATTTTTTTGGAAAATAATTGAATTTTCGTGTAGAATATTGTTAAAACTTTTGTTTAATAGTTGAATTCTTTGGAAAAATTTTATTTAAATAGAAGAATATTGAAAATCATTGAATTAAGAAGAATTTTTAAAAATAATTGAAATTTTGCAATGAATTTTATTAAAATTGTTGAAAATAATATTGTATTTTATTAATTTCGAAAGTAATTGAATTCTTTTGATGATTATTGTTATATATGAAAATAATTGGATTTTGCAATAAATATTATTAAAATTCCTGAAGAAAATTGAATTTTTTGGAAGAATTTTGCTATTGATTTAAAAAGATACTTGAAATGTTGAAAATTTTTATTAGATATTTTGAAAATAATTGAATTTCGGAGAAGAATTTTATTAATTTTGAAAATAATTGAATTATTCTTGTGCGATGAATATTATTATTTATGAAAATAATTGAATTTTACAATGGATTTTATAAAAATTTCTAAATATAATTAAATTTCGGTGAAGAATTTTTCTATTTATAAAGATAATTGAAATGTTGCAGAGAATTTTTTTTTAATTTTTGAAAATAATTGAATTTTTGGAAAGAATTTTAATATTTATTAAGATAGTTGAATTCTTTCAAAGAATTGCGTTTAATTTTTTATCATTGAAACTAATTTTAATAGAATTGAAATTAAAACTTCAAATAATATATAAAAAAAAATCCGCAATTTAAGTTTCTCAAAAAAAAAATTAATTCCACAGAATTGTTAGTTAAAAAATATGAAAAATTCAAATTTTCAAAGATTTTAATCTGAAACCTTTTCAAAATTCAATTATTTTAAAAAATTTACGCTCCAATGCTTTTAATATTCAATTATAATCTAAAATTTTAACTGAAATCAATTTTTAAATCAATTTTCATCAGAAAATTCTACTAGAATTCAATTATTTAAATACAAAAAAATTATTTATTGAATATTTGAATGTTTCTTAGAATTGAATTCTAATAAAGAATTTTGACAATAAATTTTTAAATAATTGAATTCTTTTGACGAGTTTTAATTTTAAAAATTTTTAAGAATAATTACATTTTTTCGAGGAATTCGATTAAAATTGTATAAAAAAATTGATATTCTGCAATGAGTTTTATTATTTATCAAAATAATTGAATTCCTAATAAGAATTTTATTATTTACCAAAATAATTGAATCCCTGTAAAAATTTTATTATTTATGAAAATAATTGAATGATTGCGAAGAAATTTATAAAAAAATTTGTAAATAATAAAATTAGGGGTAAAGTTTTTATTATTTTTTGAAAATAATTAAAGGTTTGTGTAGAATTTTATTAAATTTTTTTAAATAATTGTATTCTTTTGGAAAACTTTATTATAACTTTATAAGTATTAAAAATTATTGAATTGAGGAAAATTTTTGAAAATAATTGAAATTTTGCCAAGAATTTTATTAAAATTTTTGAAAATAATTGAATTTCGGAGAAGAATTTAATTATTTCTAAAAATAATTGAAGTTTTGATGAGAATTTTTAAACATTTTTGAACATAATTGAATTTTTGCAAAGAATTTTATTACTTTTAAAAATAATAATTGAATTTCTACAATTATTTGAAATTTCTCTAAAATTATTCAAATTATATCGTACAATTTACAGACTTTACGGACCTTTTTTCAGAAAAACGGACTTTTACAGGATTTACGGACCTAGTTCGAGCCTTGAGAAAATAATTAATTTTTGTTTTTTAGGTGAATGGCTTAATTGACAAATTAATTGTCAATTTACGTGACGATCCAAGTGCCACTAGACTGAGATGTGCTTCGTTTATGAATGCCTGCTCTTCACAGGGCATAGGCCATTCCGATAAAATGTTTGAAACAGCCATATTAGGATGCACCATGGACGATCAAAAGAGAGTGAAAAAACGATTGCAAGGTTTACTTGACTATATCGATAAAGTCCAAACAATAGAGCTCCCTTAAATTGTGTCCGGCAAAAGTTACTTTCTCCAATAATAATTCCATTTAATGCATTTTATAACTGGTTTTTCCACAATCAATATGTGAACAATTTTGAGAATTTGATGAAGGAAAAATCTTAGAAAAAGCAGCAAACTCTTTTTTCTTCGTTTCGTTCTTTTCGTTTTTAAAGAAATCAAGTTTGCGTTTAAAACTAATATGATTTGTCATTAAACTGCAATAAATCATTTTAGTCAAATTGGCAATTAGAAAAATTATTTTATTTTTCTTTTTATAACACATTCTCGTGAGATAAGAAAGAATAAGTAACTTGCAAATCGAGTGAGATTTAAACTATGATACTTTTTTTTCTATAAAAATAGTTATTGAAACAAAATGTCTTCGTATTATATGTATATAAATTTTTTCTTCAAAATTCTTGTTTATCGTCAATGAGATTAAAATTAAAGAATAAGAGAATTTCTAAAATCTAGTCGAGTTTTTTTTTATTTCTTTATTTGAGGATGCAATAGACTGCAGGACGGTCTGGAATTTTCGTCGCTTTCAACTTTTTATCCTTTAATTATTAAAATTCAAATTCTTATCAGCTCTCGTGTAAGTTATCAATTCTTTCATTGTTTCTTACGATTAAAAGTGCGAATGTTATCTTATAGCTTCTTAGGGAAGAATTAATTATAGTTTGAAATCGTGTAAAAATTTGTCTTCGAATACTTTCCAGAAAAAAGCAATTTAAATCAATGACTTAGTAAAATGTACTATAATGTCATTTTCAAGTCAATTTGTCACAATTTCTTTTTGATATTAAAATATTAATTTTTAATACTTTATATTAAAAAAAAGTTATTTAAAAAATAGAAAAAATTTAAATTAAGAAAAAATGTGTGTAAATAAAAAAAGTGTATCAATTTTTGTTTCAAAGTAGGGACTTGAAAACGGCTTTATTGTAATGTAAACTAAAAAATTCCTTTAGTAAATAAATATTTTTATTTATTTTTTCTTAATTAGAAGAAACTTATCAGCTTTGATTATATTAACAAATTTAATGTAAAAATTACAAAAATAACTTCTATTGTCATTTCTGTGATAATAAAAGTTCAATTATAAAATTTGTAGCCTTTATTGAAATAAATTACTTAAGTACCTTATAAATTAAAACATTTTTATTATATTTATCTTTAACTTAAGATATTTGGTTATAATTATATACTCACACTTCATTTTTTTTCTATAAATAATTCTTAAATATTTTTTTTTACACTCGGGCAAAGATTCATACAATTTTCTTTTAAAATTTAATACTTTCGAACATTTTTTTTATAATATAGAAAAAGAAGACGAGAACACTCGAGTATTAAAAATACAGGAAACACAAAATTAGAAAAAAACAAATTTTTGCTTATAATTTAACAGGAAAAACAACTGAAAAATGAAGATAAAAACTATGTGATATTTGTTAAATTACATATTTACAATTGGCTCGTTGTGAGAAAACTTAACAATGAGCAATATATAATTACATAAAAAAATATGAAAAATGTTTCTTCGCACCTGTTGCTTTGGAGAAAGGCACCCTTGTGTAATTATTAAAATATATTATCTGGTTTTTTTCATTATCTTGTTTCATTACAAGTAATGCAACCGTCATTTGATAGTTTTTTTGTCATGAGATTAATTCTTAAAATTTATAATCAGTAATCATTAAAACAGTCGACAGGAACTCTTGACAAAATGTTTCTTTTTGTGACTACGAACTTTTTTGCCCGATGGTCGTAATACGATCGTTCCGTTACTTGCAATACGACCTCCTGTCGATCCATTGGGACTAAAGGCACCTGAAATAAAGAAAAGACGTTTAAGTACATTTAAATATAGAAAAAAAACGTTTAAATACATTTAAATACAAAAAAAGACGTTTAAATACATTTAAATTAAATTTGTTGAAAATTATGATCAAAAATATAAATAAATAAATTATTCAAATGAGGAGAGAAAGTAAAATTAGTTGAATATTTAGTAAACTTTTTTAAAGGGTGAAAAATCAGTTTCTCTTTTTCATTTTCAAGAAACACAATAGTGCGCCTCATTAATTAAATCTTTAAATTATTCTATTTCTATTTTGGGAAAAGCTATTAACAATCGCGATGACCTCGATTCTTGTGAGAGAGAGGGGGGGTTTTGTTAACGTCTCGAAAAATAAAATTGATTTCAACTGAGATTATTAGAACTCGAGACAAGAGTTCCCAGATATAAATGATCAAGTGACCAAGTGAAACACCAGTACATCCCAAGGATCGCGTGACCACAATGTAAAAGAATATCGATCTTTTAGCGAATCATACAATTTACGTGTTCATGTGCAGTAAAAAAAAATTCTCACATATATAGTTACAATAATTATTTCTTGAAAATTTGCGTGCGTTGCCATTTACGATTATTTCGATAAATTACAGTTTTCACTTTTCAAAAGAATTTTTTTAATTCTACTTTTCCTTTCAACGCCTTTTCATTCTTTTTCTTTTAATCCAAATATTCAATTTTTTTATTTCTTAATTTATTCAATTTATTACAATTTAATTATAATAGATAGAATTAATATTCACCACATAATAAATTCCCCCTTGTCTCGAGTTCTAATAATATTTAAATAATATTTTTTTTCGATTTTACGAAGATATGTGTAAAAGTTGAAAGAAAAAATACTCTCTTTCACTTTTTTTAGACAATAAAAATCGAAAAAAGAATTTATGGAATTATAAAAATATTCAATTAATAAATTAATTAAATTATTAGGTAAAATTAAATATTCTCAAATACAAATTTTAAGGAAATTAAATTAATAAAATGAATCAAAATTTAATATTTGAAAAAATATAAATTGAAAATTAAAGAGTTTTTTTTAAATCAATTAAATTTCCTAAAGAAAAGACGAAAAATACTTTGCAAAAATTACATTTTCTTAAAATAATATTTTGGGGGGGGGGAGGGGATTATTACTTATAACAGAAGGTGTTCTAGGCTCTGAAGAATACATCCTGAGATCGTCTTCGTCCTCATTGCGACGCATTTCTAAAAGACAACGGGTCGCCAAATGTCTAAAGACATTCATCACTCCAACATCTTCTTTCACCGAAGTCCTCAAAAGTTTGCAACCTAAAGCTCGGCTAAGTCTTTCTGCTTCGTCTCTAAAATATAGTGAAACAAATGAAAATTATTTACTTTCATAAATTCATTTTTTGAAAGTGAAAAACATTTTCTTTTCAATGATAAAATCAATTTTATTGAAAATTCAATAATAAAATAATTTTTTAATACTATAAAATAATAAATTTGCAAAAATAAAGTAGAACAATCAATTTCTAACAATAAAATAAAATAAACTTATATTGCCTAAAATAAAAAAGATGTTTAATAATAAAATAAAATTGTAATAATATTCTATCTGTATTTTTATTTTACTACGTTTCCGCTCTTCTATCTTTTAGATTTATCGAAAAAATGGAAATAAAAATACACCACTCGTGTTTTTGCATGCTATGAATCAGTTTATGTTTGATAAAAATAAAAATAATACACAATAGAAAAAAAAACTTACGGATCGACAACACATTGATCGACGAGGTCCATTTTATTTTGCACTAGAACCGTTGGTATTTCACCACATTCGTTCTCAACCTGTAAAAAGGCCAAATGATGAATAAGTAAAGTGAGTATAATACTTTTTTTTAAATGTATACAATTAATGTCTGACCTATATTTTAATTTCTAGTTATGGATTTTTTTCATAAATATTTACAGGAAATTAACCATTATTTTTATTATTTTGCTAATATGTATAAAATTGTCTTTTATTTCGACACGTGTTCAAAAGAACAATTTTTCCCTTCTTGAATTCAATTAGATTTGAAAGCGAAAAATATTCTGAATCACAGTTAACTTTTCTAATTTTTGTCATTATATATCTAAGTAAACATAAGATCTGTTTAAGATTCTAAAATTTGAAATTTAAATTTTGTCTTCGAAGGCTTTTAATAATAGTGAAATTTGCATACTTTTTGACTTGGAAATATTTCATTAGATTTTTAAATTTGGGAGAAAATAAAAAAAAATACATTTTAGGAAAAAATTATATTTAAAACATTAATAAAAGAATAAACAGAAAAATGTAAAGAAACTAAAATTTAGACTTTGTAGTTGAAAATTGTTAGAATTAACTTATTTGCCTAATTTAAATTTTCAAATTACAATTCATGTTGGTAACTTAAGTATATATTGTGAAGAGTCAACAGTCCTATAAAATGTACAATCACGTATATCTTGTTGAGACACACTCTCTTGAGCAGTTGCTTCCTCTTCACAAATACATACCTTGAATCTTTTCACTCTCTCATTTCTCCTCCGCCTTTTCAGACTTACAACAAAAACGATTTAACGACTTTCCACACAAGGAACTTGTGCATCGCGACCGGGTTACGAGAAACTTGTTCTAGCTTTTCATATTTATATTCTATGTGTACAAAGACAAACCTTTTTTTCGATTCTTAATTATTACAATTTTCCCCGAGAAATTGTAAATAAAATCAACGTATAAGTAATGATGATAATTTCAAAACATTTTAATAAAAAACTTTATTTATATTTAAATTTTTTCTATTTTAACCATTTTTAGATATAAGCAATTTAATAATTGATAAAAATAGATTCAGCAATTTCTATTTTTTCTTCTTTTGTTCTATTCTTTTATTTCGATTCGTTGAATTTCTTTAATTATCTTTATTAAAATTTCTTTAAATTTCGATCGTTGATTGATTTTGTGCTGATACAAATTGCGATTGTTGTCGTGAAAATAAATTCTGAAGGACATGTTGCGTCGATTGAAAAGGGGATCGTTCCTTTTGAAGGAAGTTGTAATTTTTGTGTTTCTGGAGCATTTACCTTCAACTTCCAGGAGGGAATGGCATCGAAGGAATCTCTGTCAGTGACTGAATAAGCCAGAACACAAGCGTGAGCTCCTCGGTAATAGGCGGCAGTAATTGCATCGAATTCTTCTTGACCTGCTGTGTCCCAGAGCATCAATCGAACGTCCTCGCCATCAACCCTGAAAAATAATATCAAAGGAAAAAAAAATCCTTAGAATTCCACTAAATTATTGCTTATTATAATTTAGAAAAATAGTTCATTTATTCCATATTTTATTATTAATAAATATAATTATAAATAGAATAAATTACTTTCTACTTTTTTTATGTATTCTATTTTTTCCATTATATTCCATATTTTGCCAATTTAATTAAAAAACAGAAAAACAATTTTTACTTTCTCGTCACGAGAAGATATTTTAGTTGTATTACAAAAAATGTCTATTTCGTATTATTTTATATGTTTATTAAAAAATAGACGTATATTTTGTAAAAAATGAAAAAAACATTCGAATATGCAAAATTATAAATTGAGGAGTAAAAAAGGACAGTAATCAAAAATTGCGAAGCTTTTAAAAATGTTGAAACTCACTCAATCTCCCTTTCGAGGAAGTCGACCCCTATTGTTTTCTTGTAGTCCCTCGTGTAAGTTCCTTTACAAAATCTTTGGATCATGGAGGATTTTCCCACAGCACCATTGCCCACTATTACCACCTACAAGAGAGAAAATTCATTAATTTCAATAAACTCAACAAAAGAAAGCGATTAAACAAAATAAAAATGCAACAAAGTTAATAAATAAAGACAAAAGAAGTTAAGGCGAAATTAAAACAAGGAAATAATTAATTTTAATTAATTTTAATAATTAATAAGGTTAAAAATAAAAATATTAAATATTATTTATTAATTATGATTAAAGTCAAACAAAATTCTCGAGAAAATTAAAAATATAGAAAAAATTAAATTTTAGAATCAAATAATTAACTAAAATAATTAATAAAATAAAAAAAGGAACAAGAATAAGAGAAAATATATGAAAGACTATATTTGTAAAAATACAAGATGTTGATAAAAAAAATTTACAATTAATAAATTTAAAAATAAAAATATTAAAATAAATCAAAATTAGAAAAGAGTTAAATTTTGAAACGAAATATTCGACTAAAAATAATTATTAGGTAATAATAATTTACAGGGTGTCTACTATTTTCGTTTAACAAAATTCCCGGTTATTTCCCGGTTTTTCCCGGCTATATCCTAATTTTTTCCCGGTTTTTTTTCTTATCAAATGTAAATTTAAATTTGATTTTAAACATAAATAAATCATTAAATTTTCTGAAAATAATGTTTTTTTCAATAATTTTAATTAAAAACTTGTAAAATACTTGAATTAAACAAAGAATTTTTTCAAGTTTTTAAAAATAATCTTGTCTCTTTATAATTATAATTGAAAATTGGATTTTTCAATTTTATTAAAATTACATTGATAATAATTGAACTTCTGCAAAGAATTTTACTATTTATAAAAATAATTGAATCCTTCTAAAGAATGCTATTATTTATGAAAATAATTTAATTTTTGTGAAGAATTTTATTAAAATTTTTGAAAATAATAAGCAGCAATAATTAATTATTTACTTAATATGTAATAAACATTTAATTTGCTCAAGAAATAAATAAATATCATTTATTTGAACATTCAGAAATTTAAAATGATAAAAATTTAAGAGAAGTTCAATAATTATAATTATTAAATAATAATTGGAGATTGGAGCGAATACAAAATAGGTTTTTGCGCTTCGCTGCTAAGCAACTCGATATTACCTATGATTTTTTTTCACATGAATATGATGACGTAAGGAGGCAATTGAAGATCCCGACAATTTCATCCAGATTTCTGTACTCGGATTTAATGTTTCTTTTTAAAATTATAAATGGAATGATTAATTGTCCGGATATTTTATGTAAAATAAATTTCTCTGTGCCTTACAAACCATCACGTAATTTTCTTCTTTTCAAAGTTAAATATCATAGAACAGAGTATGGTGATAATAATGTTTTCGAACGTATATGTCGTGAGGCTAATGAAAGTGCACATGATCTAAATTTTTTCGAAAATTCAACTCTACGTTTTACCACTGCCCTGCGCAACTTATTATTTGAATATTACGCAGCGTAATCAAATAATTAATTATTCATTGTAATTAATATTCTTTTTTTTTTTTTTCTTTTTCTTATATTAGTACTTTGTACGAAAGGGCGTTTTATATTTTGTAAGCCCGTTGATACATGAAAATAAAATAAAATAAAATAATAGAATAGTATAATTTTTAGAAGCAAAAAATTGATTTAAAACTGTAAGAGGGACTTAAAATTTTAAAAATAAAATTATAATTATGGTCACTAACTTCCCTTGATTATTTTCGAAAAATTTAAATAAAATTCTTTAAAAAAATTCAATTATTTCTCAAAAAAAGTAAAAAAATTTCAATGATTTGTTTAGAAAAATTCAATTATCTTGAAACAATAGAATTGAAAAATTACAACAATTTTATTTTTTAGATTTAAAAAAAATTTTGCGAAAGTTCAATTTCATTAAACAATTTTAAGTATGTATATTTTTTTAAATTAACTAATAAAAATTTTAATTATTAATCTTCGCAGTAAGAAACATGAATACATTAGAATTTTACTCTTTATAATATTCAATTATTAATCAATTATTAAATTAAAATACTTTGAAAATTCTATTTGTTAAAAAGTTTCTAATGAATTTCTTTAACAAATTTAATTACATATTTTCAGTCGAATTTCACAATATTTCTATTAACTCCATAATTTTTTTAAAATTTATTTACATAATATATTTGAATTGGTAACTGATTTTTTATCATCAAATTAATTATTTTTAAGTAACTTAAATTTAGAGAACAGTATAAATATCTATAAAAATTGAAATAAAAATTGATTTTTTAAAAACAAATTAAAATAATAAAACTTTTTTAATTTTTGTGAAAAAATTCCCGGTTCGGTATAAAATTCCCGGCTAATTCCCGGTTTTTCCCGGTCAAATAAAATTCCCGGTTATTTCCCGGTTTTCCCGGAATTCCCGGTTAGTAGACACCCTGAATAATAATACAGTACATGTTCCGGTAATCTGTTCGCAGTTTGAAGTTAGTTGTCGTTTGCTTTTTTGTTTCTTAACTTTTTTTATGATTTTTATTTTCAAATATTTTCAATTTTAAACTAAATGTATTAAAAATCATCGAATTGTTGCAAAGAATTTTATCAAAAAATGTGATAATAATAGAATTCCTTCAAAGAATTTTATTACTTAGGAAAATAACTGAATTTTCTCAAAGAATTTTATTAAAATTTAAAAAAATCCTAATTAATTTTTTTTGAAGAATTTCTTTGAATGTTTTTTTAACTAATGAGTGTCTTTAATAATTTTAATTGAAAATTTTGAAAGCAATTGAATTTTATGATGAAAAAATTTTTATTAAAATTGAATTGTAAATAATTTAATTCTTGCGGAAAATTTTACTATTTATAAAAATAGTTGTATTGTTTCGAAGAATTTATTAAAATTTTAGGAAATAATTTAAATTTATGGAAATATTCTAAAATATTTGAATACATCCGAGGAATTCAATTAAAATTGTTTTGAAAAGAATTGAATTTCTGCAAAGGATTTTACTATTTATAAAAATAATTGAATTATTGCGAAGAATTGTACTATTTATAAAAATAATTAATATGTTTCGAAGAATTTATTAAAATTTTAGGAAATAATTGAAATTTATGGAAATATTTAAAAATATTTGACTTTAAATAAGTAAGGTTTCAGTATATTCATAAAAATAATTGAATTATTGCGAAGAATTTTACTATTTATAAAAATAATTGAATTTTTTCGAAGGATTTATTAAAATTTTTTAAAAAATTTAATTTTTTCGAAATGTGTTAAAAATTTTTTAAAAAATTTAATTTTTCCGAGGAATTCAATTAAAAGTGTTTTGAAAATCATTAAATTTTTGTAAATAGGTATTTTATTATTTAAAAAAATAATTGAATTCTTTCTTGAAATTTTATTAAAATTTTTGAAACTATGAACAGTAATAATTAATTTTGTACTTAATAAGTGATTTTTTAAATTTTGATTATCAAATTATTTAAAAAATTTATATTTGAAAATAACAAATTTCGTAATTTGCTAGTAATTAATAAATTAAAATGGAAAAAAAGAATAAGAAAAAACATATAAAAGACTATATTTGTCAAAATAAAGAGCACTGACAATTTGCCAGAGAAAACAATATTTTCCAATTAATAAATTTATAAAAAAAATTAGATAAGAGTTAAATCTGAAACGAAATATTCGACTCAAGTAATTAATTAATTAATTCAAAAAAAAGTGAAAAAATAAGAGAAATCACGCATAAAAGATAAAATTTATCGAAATAAAAGGTGTTGACAGAAAAATACATTTTTACAATCTAATTGAATTTTAATTTCTACCGTTATTGTATTATATCGAGAAAATTACCATATATAATTCGTAATAAAAAAGAAAAATAAATAAAAATAATCTGACAAATGTGAATAACGACTCCTAATTGATGATTAATGATCGTTCATATCAGTCAATAAAATACGAAAGTGATGGATATAAAAGTTTTTCCATGTAATAAAAAAATAGGTCTGAGAAGAACACGCTTGCCTATAATAATCAATAATACTAAAACATATATTGTGGCATAAATATAAAAAAAATAAATAAATATATTACTACAAAAATATTTTCCATAGCACTATTTACTAGAAAATTATTCCACTGTATTACAATAGTTGATATTCACACGATAAAATTAATTTCAAACATTCTTTAAAAAAACCGAGTTATAAGAATGGAATTTCAGGATGATACACGTCCCCTAAAAATTTAACACGATAAAAAGAAATTATACGCTGATAAAGATTTTCTCCAAAAAGATTTTTTCATTCCATGATTTTTTTTTAGAATTTTTTCCCTACAATTACAAGTTCCAAAATACGATTAAAAAAATTTACCTGAACGATTAAAAAATTATTTTAATGAAATTTTAAATTCGATGTCTCCAAAATTGAAGAAAATTTTCTCTATTTCTATTGTTTCATTTTCGATTTTTTTTTCTTTTTGTCAACGATTTTTTTTTTGAAAGCTAAAAATTTGCTTTGAAAAAAAATCAATGCTGGAGTTAATCTTTTAAGGAAAAAAAAGAAGGCAATTTTCCAGTGATATTTGCGCAAGGTGCAAATTAACTTGTGAATGAAAGTTGTTCTGCGTGGACAGGTGTATTCGCCTGACTTTATAAACCGTTTCCTGCATTTATTCAAAAGACATAAAATGAATAGTGTATTTGGTTCAATATTTTCGATATGGTATTAAAAAGAAAATAAACAAAAAACCGGTTTTTTTTCAAGGACCTTCGAAATTCGACAGTTTGATAATGAAATTCGATTGCATTATTATCAACGTAAATTAGAGAAAAATGAATTTTGAAAAAAAATATTCAATTATTTTAGAAAAAACATTCAATTATTTATCGAAAATGGTAATTATGTAAAATTGTTAATTAATAGTAGCATTTTAATAAATTATCTACTGTAGAACAATTAATTAATCGAATTGGAAAACACACATTTTGTAATTTTCAAAAAATGATTTACGATTGAAAGTTCATATTTTCCCATATGAGAATTTATGGAGAAAAGATGTTCATCGACGGTCGTTTAACTTTATAGCAAAGTGCAAGCAAAAGGTAGAGTAAAAGTTAACGCTTGCAGTTCTCGCATACCTAGGACATCATATTACATGTATGTACACGAGTACCGTTAAACGTGATCTCAACAGAAGGCGAGACACGATTATTATCAAAGCAGATTTATTTCCTCTAGAATATGATCTCTCTTTGTAAAATTACAATTTCTTTTTTCTACTTATTAAAATTACTCGCAAAATATCAATCATTAAATGCTACTTCTGCCAGGCAAAAACAACCAGTCGCTAATTATACGTGCTTCATTATAATTTCCTTCTTAAGAAGAAGAAGAAGAAGAAGCTGTTTGCTCTTAATGGAATCTTTTTATTCTTATTTTAGGCGAAAGTCGTTTGCCTCAATTAGACTAGTGCCAGTGACACATTTTTTCTCAATTATTAATTTAAATTCAAATTTCTCTACTCTTCTCTCAATATTCAGAAATGTCATAAAAATTAATTTGAATTTTATTTCGTTTAAAAAGAGAAATTTTGATTAGTTTATTAAATAGAAAATCACTTACGATTTACTTATCTCTCCCTTTACGAGTTCTTTTTTTATTGGCAAATTCAAATATTGTACTCACTGTCAAAAATTTATAATTAGAAAAAAAAATTGAAAAAACAAAAATACATTGTCGAGATGAAATTATTTTGAGTTGTAAACACAAATTTTTCATTCTTGTAAAAACGGCACTAATTAAAGAGAATCCGTATGAAATAAAAACAAAATGAACAAGTACTTATAGTTAATAATGTATATATAAAAGATGAGTTACCTTGAGGGAAATCTCGAGCTCTTCCTCTCGCATTCTGACCACACCACGATTAGCATAATAATATCCCACTAGAATTTCTTTAGCCGCTCCTGCGACTCCTCGACATGGAAAACTTATGCCATAAACTTTAATCAAGGCTTTCCGGCAAGAATATTGTATCACCTTTCCCGGTGTTTTGAGCCGGCATGTTTATCATGAGAACGGCCCATGGCCATTTCGGCTTCTCAACTATACAAATAATCCTTTAGGTTTTTCTCTTCTCCACTTCTTTTTTCTCCGCAAAAAAAACGGTTAAAGCTTCGTCGAAAAAACAATCAAGATGAAAATTGCTTTACAGAACAAACACACACTGATACGCGCCACTGGCCGACTGAAACACGAAACAGAAAATTACCTCTCAACCTGCGGAACAACGTCTTGAAATAAACGAACAAACACCTGCGATCTGCCGCCGCCAGGTATTCACCAGAGCTGCCAGGTACCCTCACCAAACACAACTGCGCTTGCGCTACAAAAATGCTTTTATTGGTGAAAGAAACCGCGCCTGTATATCCCCGTTTTTAAAAAGTCCAAAATGTAATTTGATCAAAATTACAAATTATGTCAAACTAACAGCTAATCTTTGATTCGCTGCTTTTTCAACAGATGGTTACTAAAATTTTATTTTGAAAAATTTGGTCACGTTCCCCGAAGAGGAACTAAAACGTTTTGAAAAATGAAAATAATATTCAAACTCCTCCATTTTACTAACAGCTAAATCTTTGATTCGCTGCTTTTTTGACAAGATTGATAATAAAATTTTATTTAGAAAAATTTAGACACGTCCCTTTAAGAGGAATTAGAAGCAGATTTTTTTAAAAAGATCAATTATTAAATCCAAATGGTCGCTTCCCGCAGAATTAAAAATTTTTTTAGGTTCGAATTATTTTTGTAAAAGTCATAATAGAAAAAAAATCCTTGGTCAAATGATATATAATTTTTTCAAATTGTTCTTTGGCTTTTTTCGTGTGGTGATTTTTACAAAATTGTAGATTTATATCAAAGGATTAAGGTATTTGTCGCGCGACTGGTCACTGTCAAAAGTTTGTATCCGTTGACTGTACTTATGAAACGATTATGAATGCGAGTTTCCGAAAAACTTTTGCGGACGTACAGTTTGACATACAGATGTTCTCAACGCGACAAGTAACCGCAGCCTTAGGGCACCGTTTTGCGTTGCGTTTTGTAACTAGACCATGAGTGCAAATATAGCGAACATATATCTTCATCTCTCTCACACTCATAGCCTAGTTACAAAACCCAACGCAAAACGCTACCATGGGACTGCGGCCTTACTCTCGTTGCTCCTGCCTGCGCAGGCAGGCAGCCTGCAGAGGTGTAACCGCAGCCTTAGGCCGCAGTCCCATGGCAGCGTTTTGCGTTGCGTTGTAATGAGAGAGAATGCAGCAAACGTATATTTGCATCTTTTTCTCTCCCATTACGACGCAACGCAAAACGCTGTCATGGGACTCCACCCTTAAACACTACTCTACTACTACTTTACTACCTGGCACTAAAAGTGTTGGCAGCCCTGCTTGATGGTTTAAACCGTTTTCAGATTTATTAAATTTCTTTATAAATATAAATACTTTGCTATAAATTATCAAAATATACGGTCGAAAGAATTAAAAGTATTAATTAAACTATATAATTAGAATTTGTATCACAAAAGGAATAAAACATTTAATTTACATATTTTAGGGACTTTTAAAATTCGTTTTGAAGAGTATAAAAAGCAAATAATAAAAACCAGAATTTGTTTAAAAAAACACCTGTTCTAATAAACCATATTTTTTGTTTATTATTAATACAGTAATAAAAGTCGACGACGGTATTGACATAACAAAATCGATTATCGGGTTAGATCAACGGCATAAGACAATTTTTTTTTGTTTCATATTGACTCAAGAAACATTTTCTTGATCGTTTTTATAATTTTTTTTTCTCAACTAATAAATGTAGTAAAAGTGTGCGCATTTAAATACACATTTATTTATTTATAAAGCACAAGGTATAAAAAAAATAGAAATTGTAAATGGAAGAAATGAAAATAAGTATATTATTTTCTAAATTACTTGATATGTATAAAATATAAAATAATTGTACAATTTGTAAACACTAAAACTAATTAAAATTGTAAACACTAAAATAATATAATTAATAAGATTTTCAAAAAAATTTAAAAAAAGAAAAATTCATTTAAAAAAAATCCCTTAAAAAACAAAAAAGGGAGAAAAAGATTTTACGAAAAACGTTCAATTTATAAATTGTTAAAGAATCATTTCTGGGTAATAAATTTGAAAAGCAAAAAAAAAAAAAGAATTAGAGTGATTTGCATAAAATAACTAGTGGTGAGTAATGATAACAGAACGATTACGTCACTGTTTATCCTTTTACACTAATAATTAACGTTAGTAGTATGCGCTAGACCGAATTTTTACTGTCATATAAAGATTAATAATAAATCATATAAGATTGGTCAAAATTAACAACTTATCAATCGTATTTGTCATATTTGAAAAAAAAGAAAAAAAAACACTAAATATCTATGTGCGCTTAATTGCTTAGAATAATTCGCTACTGTACATTGCGATTTGGTTCCATTTTAAATAAAAAAAAGAATTTGTCTTTCCTGTCCATTTAAAAATCATTTGAAATATTTTTAAAAAAATTGGGGAAAATATTTTGTACAAAACACGGATCGAAAATAATTAAATTATTTCCGAATGTTCAACGAGAATGTGTCTTTTTTAAATACTTCTTTAAGTTTTAAATATATATAAAAAAAAATTCCAGTTTAAAAATTGATTATTATAGCAAAACGCGTAACAAATAAAGCAAGTTATAATAGACTTAATATATCGTTGATGATATAATTGATGCCGACGTTTTGGTAAGCAAATAATAAATTGCTTACAAACTTTCGTGAGTTTATTGAAAAATTGTAATCGAGTTATAGTAATGGAATTTTTTTTTCTTTACTATAAACACCTAAGACGAATCCACTAAATTAACATTTAACGATTGTTGTTCTTATCGTATTACTTTTCGCGACTGTAAAAATTAATTTTTAAATTATTTTTCCCTTTGACAAAAAAAAAGATTCGCTAAAATCAATAGACACCTAAGGCATTTGTTTTTTCTCTCTCTAAAAAAAAGGAAAAAAATCCTAGACTCTCTAGAATCTTATGTATGGCAGCCATAATTGTGAAAAAACGAAAAAAAACATGTTACGACGATAAAAAAATAAACAAGTACTGTTGTCTACATCTTTCTCACTCTCTCTCTCCCTCTTTCAGGATAATCTTCTTTACAAACTGAAAACAGTACTTTTTGGATATCACAAACTTCTTGTTATTTAATAAAAAAATTGTCGGAGTTTTCTTCTTTTTTTATCGATTAATTTCTATAGACCTGATAATCTCTTGCCGTGTATTGACGTGCAAAAGATTTTCTCGTATCCCAACTCATTTTCGTAGACCGTCTGTACGAATTGTAAACAGGTAAACGTGTGAACATTGTTATTTCACCAGGCAACATTACTCAGTAAGCCGATGCTTCTTTATATTCGGAGCCCTCCATGGTGAAAAAATCCTCCAATTTCCACTGGAGTGTCTCAAATGTTGGCCTCTTCATTGCATCCTTGTTCCAACATTCCAACATAATATCATACAATGCCGCGGGACAATTTGGTGGGCACGGCATTCTGTAGCCGTGTTCAACTTGATGCAATACTTCAGCGTTTGTCATTCCTACGAGAGAAAACAAATTATTTTTTTAAATTTATTTCATTCAACAATTTAATCTATCTTCTACATAATCTATATTAATAATCGTTATTTCCCGGTAATCCAGGGCTCGGATCGTCTTTAAGACTCAAAAAAAGTCGCTTTAGTCGCATAAATTTACAACAAAAGTCACGAAAAGTCGCATAAAATTTCCGAAAAAGTCGAAAAAAGTCGCATGAAATCTTAGAAAAAAAAGGCCAAAAAGAAAACACAAAATTGTAAAAAAAAATCACATTTCTCGACAACAGATACATTAATACCAAACAATACGGAATTAATTAGGTATTTTTAACATTTTTTTTTAAAAACTCTCTTTAAAATGTCAATTATTTTTATAAATAATAAAATTCTTCTTCGAAATGCAATTATTTAAAAAAAATGCTAATAAAATTCTTCTCTTTAATTTAATTATTTTCAAAAGTAATAAAATTCTTCGCAGAAATTCAATTATATTTAAAATTTTTTTTTAATTTTTTATCAAAATTTTATAAATAATAAAATTCATCATAAAAATTTAATTATTTTCAAAAGTTCTGATAAAATTCTTTGCAAAATTCAATTATCTTCAAATGTACGAAAATTCTTTGAAGAAATTCAATTATGTTTATAAATATCAAAATTCTTCTGCAAAATTCAATTACTTTAAAAAAAAATCTGTTAAAAATGTCAATTATCTTTGTGAACAATAAAATTCTTCTCTAAAATTCAATTATTTGCAAAGAATTTTAATAAAATTCTTGTCAAAATTTCAATTATCTTTATAAATAATAAAATTCATTCTAGAAATTCAATTATTTTCAAAAGTAATAAAATTCTTCGCAGAAATTCAATTATTTTCAAAATTTTCTTTAAATTTCTCGTCAAAATTATCATTATCTTTATAAATAATAAAATTCATCCTAGAAATTCAATTATTTTTAATTTTTTTTTAAATTTCTCGTCAAAATTTTAATTATCTTCATGAATAATAAAATTCATCCTGGAAATTCAATTATTTTCATAAAAAATAATTAAAAATTTTTTTTTATAAAGTCTTATAATATAAAATAATGATTTTAACACTCAATCCTCTTTAATTATTATAAAACATGAAGACATCGATTGCTCTGAGTCGAAAACTCGGAGTGATCGATATCTTCATGTTTTATAACAATTTTTTATAACTTGTTTAATTTCAAAAAGGTTTGAATTTGAATCTTTTGAAAAATTTTAATTCCTATGAAAAAATAATAATTAAATATTTATTTAAAAAAGAAGTTATTGATGTTTTTGAAAAATTTGAAAGAAATTTGTAAATAAATGTAACAGAACATTTTTTTGACTCAAACTTTTTCCTTTAAATTTAAAAAAAAAAATTTTAATTTCAGTCGCATTTTACTAAAAAAAATTTCGAAAAAGTCGATTAGTCGCATTTTTTCACAAAAAAGTCGAAAAAAGTCACATTTACTTAGAAAAGTCGAAAAAAGTCGAAAAAGTCGCACAATCCGAGCCCTGCGGTAATCTGTTCGCTGTTTGAAGTTAGTTGTTCTTTGCTTTCTTGTTTCTTAAATTTTTAAATGTTTCGAATTTAAAATTTGAAAATAATTGAATTACCTATTTCGAGAAATTTCAATAAAATTGTATTGAAAATAATTGAATTCTCCCGAAGTATTTCTTTGAATTTTTTAAAAATAATTCAGTTTCATTAAAATATTTTTGTTAATAATTGTAATTAAAAATTTTATTACTAATAAATTTTATGACAATTTTTTGAAAATAATTGAATTCTTTGAAGAAATTTTATAAAAATTCTACTGAAAATAATTGAATTCTTATAAAAAATTTTATAAAACCTTTAAGGAGGTAATTAAATTTTTCAGAAAAATTTTATTAAAATTTTTTAAAATAATTCAATCCGTTCAAGAAATTTTATTAAAATTGTATTAAAAATTAGTGAATTCTTGAGAAGAATTTTATTATTCATAAAAATAATTTAATTATTGCGATAAATTTTATTATTTTTTGAAAACTTTTGCAAAAATCGAATTTACTGTAGAATTTTATTAAAATTTAGGAAAATTGAGTTGCTTAGAAAAATTCTATCAAAATTTTTTGCAAATAATTGAATTCCTATAAAGAATATTATTATATGTACATTGAAATAATTGAATTATTACAAAGACTTTTATTAAAATTTTAAAGAATAATTGAATTCCTGCGAAGAATTTTAATATTTATCAAAAGTTTGGAGAATAATAAATAAATTGTTTAGAAAAATTTTAATAAAATTATTAACAATAATAATTGAATCCGTTCAAGAAATTTTATTAAAATTGTATTAAAAATAATTGAATTCCTGCGAAGAATTTTAATATTTTTGAAAATAATTGAATTCAATAAGAATATTTTTTAATTTTTTAATCTGAAATTATTTAAAAATTAAAGTTTATATTAAAATAAAAAATTTTGTAATTTGGATAATAATAGTAATAATAATAATAATAAAAATAATAACAATAATAATAAAAAAATATATAATATATATATATTTATAATATATATTTGCTATTGTTAATAATGAATTAATTAATTTAATTGAAAAAAACCAAATATCTCTAATGAAAATACACTTGAAAAAATGAAACTAAAGGGAAAATGATTTTCTCTTGTTTGACTCACCAGGATAAGGAATTCTTCCGTAAGTGACCAGCTCTGTGAGAAGAATTCCAAAGGACCATACATCGGATTTAATACTGAATTTGCTGTAGTTCGCAGCCTCCGGTGCAGTCCACTTGATCGGGAATCTGGCTCCTATTCTCGCCTCGTACTCGTCCTCCTTTATCAACCTGGCGAGACCGAAATCTGCTATTTTAACGACATTTCCATCGGCCACGAGAACATTACGAGCGGCCAGATCTCGATGAATATAATTCTGTGACTCCAAATACGCCATACCAGCTGCGATTTGAGCCGACATATCAATCAACTGTTGGAGATTTAAACCTCTTCCTTTTCCTGAAATTCATTTTTTTACAATTACATTTTCAATCATTTTATTTATTTCAAGAAACAAAATTCAAGAAAATATTAAAGCCATAAATATAAATATAAAAGATGTAAAGATGGAAATTTTGAGGTAAAATTTCCATTCTTTTTTTGATTAAAAACAAAAAGAAATACACTTTTATTCTCACCTTGCAAATATTCGAGGAGACTTCCATTTCTCATAAGTTCCGTGATTATGTAAATTGGCTCTTCCATCGTACAAACGGCATAAAGTTGAATGAGTTTGTCGTGCCTGAGTTTCTTCATTATTTGCGCCTCGGCCAAGAAATCTTTTGGATCCATTGTTCCTGGTTTTAGTGTTTTTATTGCCACTGAAGTTGTATTATTCCACAGACCCTCCCAAACTTCTCCAAATTGACCTTGACCCAATTTGCGAACAAATTTCAATGTTGTCTTATCGATTTCCCATTGATCCCTAGTTCGATGACTAAGTCCCTCGGTTACGGGTTTCTCAACCTATAAACAAAAAATTTCAATTTATTGTCGATAACAAAGAAAAAATCAAATTCAAAAAAGTATTTCAATGAATGTGAATTATACGTGAGACACGAGAAATTATTTTTCAACACTACTCACCTAATTTTATACACATTAAACTTGGTTATATTAAAATTTATTCCAATTTATTTATTAAATTTATCAAATTTAATACATTTAATATTCAAAATTCAACTGATACGAAAATTAATATTTTGTATGAAAATTAATATCCTGATTTTTTTCTTATTTAATATGCAGATTAAAATTTTTTAATTTTTATTTTAAAAAAATTTTAATTTCTTAATAATTATTTTTAACTAAATGAAAATTTTAATTTCTAATATAGAAGAAAAGAAAAAAAATTAGGTACATTTTTGAAGAAGTGGAAAACAATAATTGAAAATAACATATTTTTGTTTTGAAAAACGAGAGATATGTGAATATTTAAATTCTAATTAGTCTTTTTTTTAGCGTGAATCATTCATAAAAAATAATTACTCGCATACATCGGTCGAAAGTTTTAAAGCAAATGAATAATATTTAGCCTGTGAAAGTATCATGATTATGAAAATGAAATGAAAGTTCTCAAACGTAAAATACGAAAAATCTTCCTTACGACTCAATTAGAACTAAATAAACAGAAAAAATACATATTTTACATAATTTCTCTCTTTAATCCTATTAAATATATTAAAACTGCGATAGGTAAATCAATTGTTTTCCTAGCAAATAAACACAAAAACAAGCAAACCCGAAAAAGAAGTGTTTAATTAGCTGAAAAAATTTTTCCGAGCAATAAAACTGTTATAAATTAATTAATTAACTGATTATTAACTAATCAATTAATTAACTAATTATTAACTAATTGTATAAATACCGCAGATATTTTCTACTGAAAATAATTTGAAACAGCAAAAAGAACAAAAATATAGAATAAAAAAATTAACAAAAAAATTATATCAATTAATTAAAATTAAAATAATTAATTTATTTATTAATAAATAAAAATAAATGAAATAAAACGAAAAAAGTCGATAAAAAGCAATTTTTGCAGAATTTTGCGAATTTTATCAAAAAATTTTCAATTAAATTTATTTTGTTTGCTATTTGCTTCATTTGTCATGCTTCAGAGAAAAGTTTCCCGACATAGAGAAATTTCCAAAGTTTCACGAATTTAATGATTAAAAAAAAAACTAATTACAAACTAAAACTTCATTTGTTAATTACAACAGGAAACTCTCCTTTGCACATAACTAAACAATAAGTGAAATAGCGTTTTGTTAAGCAAGACTGCAACAAAAGTGTTTGAAAAAAATTTGCCTATTAACACAAAGAACAAATTATTGAATTTTTTTTTATATAATTTTTAAAATTATCAAATTAACAACAATTGAAATACCAATATCAATATTGAAAACTGCATAATTCATCGTATTTATAAATTTATAAATTTTCAATTGTACATAATATAATTTTTTGATTAGTTATCTTATTGTTTTTTTTTCTTTCGTATTAATCAGTCTTTTATCAAAGTTGTAAATTCCTTAGGAATTTTTTCCTTTTGTATATCTAAAAAAATGCATATTTTTATGATTATTAGAGAAAAGGCGAGGTGAATTATTGCAATAAATATTATGAAAAAAATTACAGCAAAATATTCTAAAAGTGAAACTAATGTCTATGACAAATAAAATCCCACATAAAACACGCTTGTGCTGTATACATGAAAATTGAATTTAAAAAAATGACTGGTCGCGAATGTTTATAAGTGACGTTAAATTAATTTTATATGATTATTATGATTGGGACATTCAATTTACCAAGAAAATCCAGCGAGAGTTGGGGTAAGCAAAAACAGAACAAACAAAATCTATTTCAAATAACAAACTTTGCGAAACAAAATTATTAGTTCTTAATAAAAATCAATCGTTTGTCCGCAATCGTCATTTTTCCCATTTGAAAATAATTAAAATTATTAATAGAATTATTTTCAAATGTTTTAGAAAATCCCAAAAAAATCTGTAAAAATAATCGTAAATTGTTATCATAAAAACTATTAAAAGATTTCATCATTATAATCAAAAATCGATCGATAATAATCATTGTAAAAATATCCATATAAGAATCTCAAAAGCAGAAATTTAATTTATCCTCAGAAATAAAAAAAGTCCTGAGCAAAAAGAATTTAACAAATAAAATTTCCAATTTAAACCAAAGTCCAATTTGGAGTTTATACAGTGCAATAAAAAAACCATTTATTTTATTTTATCAAAAGAAAATACTAAAAATAAATTTGCAATATACAACAATAATTATTTGTATATCATCATGCAATTGGTTGTAGTTTTGTACAAGAGATTTCCAAAGAATGCAATAAAAAAGAAATAAAATAAACGAATTATTTTAACTTTATTTCTTTTAAAATATTAGGATAAATATTAAAGAAATCCCTCGTAAAACTTTATATATTTTCTAAAAGCAGCAAGTCAAGTTTTTTTCTGTTTTTCTCATTTCAGGTACATTTAAGTAAATAATTTTTTCAACATGCAACGAGCTGTCTAAACTCCACTCAGACAATATAAATTTTATTAGTAAATAATCCAGAGAATTACTTCTGAAAATTAATTCGCTTACCTGTACACATGGTTTGCATAAATTAACACAAAGTCCATCGGCGTCTTTACTGTAATGTTCGACAAGATCCTGAAGATTCCTGAATGTTGTTCGCCTTGCAATAAAGAAACCACCCTCGTCCAGTTGCCTTATACGATAATGTTTCACCGTATCTCCGTCTCGCACTTGAATTTTCATTATTTTGGAAAGAAAGAAGAAATTGGAAAATTAGTATCTATTTTAATCGAAAATTCGATTTTAATGAATATTATTATTTCTTTAATTATTAACTATCTATAATCATTAACTAATTAATTATTAATTATAATAATTCCAAATATAATTTCCATGAAGAATAAATTTTAATAAATTTTACTAAAATATAAAATTAATAAATTTTAATAGAGGAAAAAATAAAAAATATTTGTTACTAATTATGATCCACAAGTTTCGAACGCTCAAATGAACGAAATATTTTTTATTAAAACTATTTTTTCATAAATTACTCATGGCAAAAAATAAAAAGTTTAAAACTGAAATCTAATATTTAGAAACTAATTTTTTTTAATGACGTAAAATTTTAATAAAAATTTAATTTGAAGAAGAAATAAATAAATTTTGTTCATTTGAACGTTTAGAACTTGTTTCCCTAAAGTTCTGAATATTGAAAGAATGAAATATTTTTTCATAGATTAACTCATTGCAAAAATTGAAAAATTATAATTTACATTTATAGACTAATTTTTTTTGTAGTGACTCAAAATTGTAATAAAAATTTAATTTGAAAAAGAAATAAATAAATTTCGTTCAATCGAAAGTTTGGAATTTTAGAACTATTACCTACTAATTTATTTTTTTAAATCAAAACTTAAGGTGAATAAAAATAATTCAACGTGTGCAATTGTTATTAAACGATTATGTCGATTATGAGAATAAAAATAATTCAACGTGTACAATTATTGATAAACGAGATTATGAATAATGCATTATTAATTAATGTCTAGATATTATAAATAATTGATAAGGATATAAATATAAACAGTGAATTATTAATTTTATTGTAAATTTACCTGAAAGTGAATAGTCATTGTGTCGACTTTCGGAATCTCGAATTAGAAAAGCTCCGTGAGCATTTTCTGGCAAAAGGAGTTTCTTCTCAGCTTCGATTCTCTTAATTTTCCTGAAGTACCATCTAAAAGAAATAATAAAATATGAATTAATTTAATTTTTATCATTCACTCTAGTAAATAATTACTTCATTAAAAAAATATTATTCTCTACCCTCTTAATTTTTGAAAGTCATATTTCACTGATTTTCAGTGAAATATATACAGTAAATAAAATTTAAATTAATTTAAATTAAATTTTAAAATAAATAAAATATTTTTTAAAATAAAAAAAAGGGAAATACTTATTTCTCAATTATATTCTATTTTATTAAGTGAATTACATATTTTTTTTTGCAAACATTGAAAATATTTACTTTTTTCAACAGGTCAATAATATCATCATCATAATTATCATCAATGAACGATACCTTTTTTAAATTGCAAATTAGACGCAAGTTTTATAAAAAGGAACGGTAAACTGTAAATCTTGAATGTGATTTGCGTTTAATGAGAACCTACAAGTTTTATAAGGTCGGTTAGGAGTCGACGGCCTTGTGCTTTCAGTTTTTAATCTTTTATTTCTTAATTCAAAGTATAAAAGGGAATCAAAGAAGAACAGAAAAAGTAAAAGAAGAGACTAGAATTTCACAATAATTATAAAATACAATATATAATTTCTATTGCAAAATATTTTCCTATATATATTTCTGTGCAATTCATTAAAAATTAAAAACACAGTTCATGTAACTCGTGTGATTTACGATTTTATTATTCCTTTTTAATATTAAATCATATCCAGAACTAACAAAAAATTCGATGGGGAAAAGTTTCCTTTTAGTTCCAGTCTATTATTTTTATTGTTAATTAGAAATATTTAAACTAATTAATAATATCAGGCTTCGCACTCGATAATTACGTTTAAAAAAAGTCACAAATTCGTTTTTAAGATTAAAAAAAAATAGTAAAAAAATATTTATAGTATCAAAAAATTAAATTTAAGGACTAAAAAAAATCATTTTCTCGATTCATAAAAATTTGATTCAGTATTTCCCTGACTTTTTCCTGACTTCTATCAAAAATATTTAATTTCTTTTCCTATCCTGCCTTCAATTCTAAATTTTTATAAAGTCCAGTTATTTTCCAAACGTTTAGTTAAAATTCTTCAAAAATACGATTATATGTAAAAATAATTTTTAAAAGTGAAAAAATAACATTTATTTCAATTAAATTTGACAAAATCTTAAATTAATTGTAAATTTAACTTATCTTTTTAAAATATTTACGAGAATTTAATTAACTTCAAAAAATTTTAATTACAATTTTCCAAAGTCATATTTTTTTATAGTTTCTAAGTTAAAATATTAAAAACTGGAATAATTTTTGTGGAATATATATGTAAATATATATGTTTCCACGGGAATTAATATTTTAAATAATTTCAATGTAAAACCTTTTTAAAATTTAATTCTTACTAAAAATTACAATTGTGATTCTTTCAAAATTCAGTTATTTTTTAAAAATTTTTAAATAAAATTATTCAAAACTAATAATTCTTTTGGAAAATAAAAGATATATTAAATTTAAAAATCATTTGAAATCTAATTATTTTAAAAAATTCATATTATAATGCTTTTAATATTCGATTATTATCTACAACATCAAAAGTAAATTAACTAATTTACTAATTAATTATTCTTGTTTATTGATTTCAAAAATTTTAATAAAAATTCTTCTCAAGAATTCAATTATTTTCATAAATAATATTCTTCGTAAGAATTCAATTTTTTTAAATTCGTTATAAAAATTACAATAGAATTCAATTAATTCATTTTTTTATCATTGGAATTAAGTTGTTCAAAAATTTCAAATTCAAACTTTTTCAAATTGAACAACTTGTAAGAATATTATTATAAAACATAAATATGACCGACTGACAAAATCATTATTTTATTATTGTAATAATATTGTTACTGTAATTTCTTCAAAATTATTTGTATCATTTCAATTCAATTAACATTTTTTAGAATTTTTAACTAAAATTCTACTTTAAATCAATAACATCAATTATTATTCAATTAAACTTTTTCAAAAAAATTAATTCTACATAATTATTAGTTAAAAGTACGAAAAATAATAATTTAATTTTACGAGAAATCAATTACTTAAATACAAAAATAAATAATATTGAATGTTTCTTAAAAGGCCGTAGCAGTATAAGCATGTAAAAATGGCCCCCTCTTGGATTGGGTCCATATTCAGGGAATAATTTTGACCTATTATGAGACTTACTTTCACCAAGTTTCAACTCGAAAAAAAATTTTGTTTTTGAGTTATACAATTTTTTTGAAAGATTCAAAAAAATTCAAAAATTTTTTTTCCCTCCGAAATGGTTGAACCGATTTTCATGAAAAAATTTTTTTTGTACAATACAATATGAACAGTTAATAAAAAAAATTTTTTCGACCAAATTCTAACAAAAAAAGTCAGTAAAAAGTCAGTAAAAAAAAATTTTTTTTTAATTTTTTTTTAAAAAACATTTTTTTTTATTGAAATTTTTTTTGCACAACCGCCATTTTTTTCTATAAAATAATAGTCATTTCAAGAGTAACATATATTTTTTGCAAGATGATTGAAAGGGTACTTCATACTTTAAAAAATAAAAAACCGATTTTTGGCCAAGATTTTTAAATTGCTGAAATAGAAATTTTTTATTATGACGAGTAATTAGATTCCGTTTTTTGTGAATGTTAATTATAAAGTTAAATTTTATTTGTTACAATTCAAAATGCAATGAAGAACATTGACTTAATTCGGAAGTGTAATTAAGCCGCAATGTACAATAACAACATCTAAGCCCGGGTTGTTTTTTTCAACTGCAATATGTACTTCGAGTTGTGTAGGAGAGAAAATATTTAAAATCAATAATTATTAAAATTTTAATTACAAATTTTACTTAATAAACTTTTATTTCACTAATTGTTTGGACAGTCACAAAATCTTTTACTTGGCGGAACTTTTTGCATCAAAGATATTTTTGTTGGGATTTTAAAACTTTTTGCGTCATCTCAACTTTTTAAAAAATTAAATAATTAATTGTAAAAATATGCTGGTCTTTGATCTAATAATTTAAAATAAAATACCATTAAGTTTTAAAAAAGAATTCATTTAAGATATGATTCTTTACAGAAAATTTTACATAATTTTTAGAATTTTTATTCTATACACTCTAAAAATAACATAAATTCTTCTTGATGCTCTGGACCATTTAGTTAATTTTTTTTTATCTTGTTCAATTTTGTAGCATTTAGATTTTTTATTTTTTAATAAAATATAAAAATTATTATGTGTAGAATCCGAATTAAATATTGCACAAGTAGAGCTAAATTTCTTATTCAATATTTTTATACTTTTATTTGTTGCATTATTTTTTTTGTTTAAAATTTGTGTTACTTTCATTAATGTCATATACTTTTGTAAATTTTATAATTAACATGTTCTTTATATTTACTATATCCTTTTTTCTAATTTTAATTTTACCAGAACAATTAGTTTAGTCTCTGCGTTTGTCTAAATGTCAAAAAATTAAATTTCTTTGAGAAAAATCAAAATTTGTCAAAAAATACGGAGTGTATTAAAATTTCCTGGAATATATATCAAGATTTTAACCCAATCAATAATATTCTAGAATGTTTCACATAACCGTTTAGAAGTTTAGTCTCTGCGTTTGTCTAAATGTCAAAAAATTCATTTTTTTTATGAAAAATCAAAATTTTTCAAAAAATACGAAATGAATTAAAATTTCCTGCAATATATATCGAGATTTCAACCCAATCAATAACATTCTATAATATTTTACATATCCGTTTAGAAGTTTCCTCTCTGCGTTTGTCTAAATGTCAAAAAATTCAATTTTTTTGAGAAAAATCAAAATTTTAAAAAAAAATTCCAAGTGTGTTAAAATTTTCTGAAATGTATATCGAGATTTTAATCTAATTAATAATATTCTAGAATATTTCAGAAATCCATTTAGGATTTTACGCTCCACGTTTGTCTAAATCTCAAAAAATCGCTATTTTTTCGGTTTTCCTGGCCTAAATTCTATAAAACTATATAAAATATTGAATAAACTTAACAGAATTCTTTCTTTTTTGATTCTTTTTCCAACGAAAAAAGAATGAGCCAAATCGGTTAAGATTTACTCGAGTTATTCAATTTTATCGAAAAACAGCCGATATTTCGAGAATATATATTCGCGGTTTTTGCTTTTTACTTGGCGGCGATTCTCTACCGCGAATCTTGATGTCTGCAAAGTATTTAATTACTTTTCAAAAGAATTGAATTCTTGTTATGAATTTTGATATTTATCAAAATAATTGAATTTTGGAAAATAATTTTATTAAAATTCCTTAGAATAATTTATTTTATGGGAAGAATTATGAAAATAATTGAATTTTCGCATAGAATTTTATTAAAATTTGTAAAAATAATTGAATTTCTAAGAGGAATTATAATAAAATTTTCAAAACTAATTGAATTTCTGAGAAGATTTTTATAATTTGCAAAAATAATTGAATTCTTAAGAATATTTTGATAAAATTTTTTAAATAATTAAATTCCTTTAAAAATTTTATTATTTATGAAAATAATTAAATTTTTAAAGCGAATTTTATTAAAACTTTTCAACATGATTGAATTCCTGTAAAAATTTAATTATTTATGAAAGTAATTGAATTCTTGCATTGAATTTTATCACAATTTTTAAAAATAATTGAATTTCTGAGAAGAATTTTATTAAATTTTTTGAAAATAATTGAATTTCTGAGAAGATTTTAAAAAAAATTTTGAAACTAATTTAATTTCTGCAAAGTATTTAATGACTTTTCAACAGAATGATGAATTTTTGATATTTATCAAAATAATTGAATTTTAGAAAAGAATTTTATTAAAATTCCTTAGAATAATTGATTTTATGGGAAGAATTTATGCCATTTTGTTGTTTATCAAGCTAATTGAATTCTTTTGCAAAATTACTTGAAAATAATTAATTTTCTGCGACGAATTAAATGTTATTTATGAAAATATTTGAATTATTGCAACGAATTTTATTGTTTTACTGAATAATTGAATTTTTCTTAAAATTGAATTCTTTCCTCAAGTTTTAATATAATTTTTTAATAATAATTGCAATTATTAAGGAATTTATTTAAAATTGTATTAAAAATATTTGAAATTCTGCGATAAAAATAATTGAATTCGTAAATGAAATTTTATTATTTATGAAAATAATTTAATATTTTCGTAGAAAATTGTATCAAAAAGTTTTTTCTATAATTAAATCTGTTGATAAATTTTATGAAAATAGAAAATATTGAAAATTATTGAATTGCAAAAAACTTTTGAAAGTAATTGAACTTTTGCAAAGATTTTTATAAATTTTTGAAAAATAATTGAATTTTTGGCGAGAAAAATTTTGCTATTTGTAAAGATAATTGAATTCCTGACGAGATATTCGTGAAAAATTTTTAAAAATAATTGAATTCTTGGGATGAATATTGTAACTTATGAAAATAATTGAATTTTGTAAAGAATTTTATTAAAATTCCTAAAAATCATTGAATTTTTGTGAAGAATTTTGTTATGTATCAAGATAATTGCATTAAAACTTTTGTAATAATTAAATAATATTAAATGATTAATTTTTGTCAGAATAAAGAGACTGTGAAGCCTGAATGAATGAAAAATGAACTTACGGCTCGGCTTCGATGGATTTGAGCTTGGCGACATAATTACTGGGAATATAGCCCTCTTGTCGTGTTCTCTTGCTCCTGGCAAGCCACCAATCTCCCTGTGTATCATTTAAAATCTCCAAGTGTTCACCTTTACGAAAACTGAGATCTTCATCGGTGCGTGCATCATAATCGTAAAGAGCAACAAAAATCTTGGCCGTTGGAACATCTGTGTGTGGTATTTGTGGCATTGGCCTAATTGGATCCGGTGGAGGTGTAGGAACACCACCCCCAGGGCTCGCCTGAGAAGCCACAGCCAATTCTATACTAGGATTTCCTATCCTATCAGGCTTCTCCTTTTCCGCATCTGTCTGATTACTAAAGCAATTTCCCATTTTTCCCCTTTATTTTATTTCCTTGTCAATTGTCAATTTTTGCAACGACCTCTTCTGGTTTCAAATAAATTCAATTATATATATATAGATATATATCTTTAAGCGAACTTTGAAATTCGCATGTCTCTTTTTTGTAAATTAAAAAAATTTATATCTCTTGTTGTCATAGATAGAGCTCTTGTTTCTTTTTCTCTCTTAATTTTCTTGAATATCTTGAATATACACTTGGTTTGATAGAAAATTAATCAGTCTTGAAAATTAAATTTATTTTGTATTTGTTAATTTCGAGAGCACTGACCGTCGACAATCTCTTCTCTCTTCAAACGATCGAATTCTCACGTCATCGAACATACGCGTGCGTGATCATTCTACATTCAAAATCCGCTTTCGAATTGGCGAAAGCAGCAGACTGCAGATTAAATATCCTTGAATGATTATAGACAAAACTTTTTTTTTCCTAAAGAAATATAGAAAAAAACTGCACTCTATTCATATAAAATTTCTTCTAACAGTTTACAACAACATTTATGAAAACTTGATTAATAAATTAGACTTAATGTCTAGAATGCAGAGAGGAACTTACATACACAAAGTACCGGAGACAATTTTCTAACAATAACTTCCTGATTGTTGGTTCTTTTTAAATCGTAATTAGCACCACGTTTAACCTCTATAAAGAGGAATAGTTGTAATTTGATAAAAATTTCAATTTAAATACACACATTATGTTTAAATCGTTAAAACAAAAATGTATTATGATGATGAATTTTCAGGAATTAGTTGAAGGCAAGAAATCGCCATTGTACCTTCAGAAATCAACACACTGTTTCCGTCAAAAACGACACATGCACTCTAAAAATTGGTAACGGAATACAATCCGATTGGAAGTAAATTTCACGGGAAAATCACAAGCACCATTAGAACTATTTTATACAGGTTCAAGGCATTGTTTTCGAGGCGTTTTTTCGCAATTATTTCACAAGATGTACAAAGTGAAAACACCCATCGTGATGGTGGTACCCAAGTCAAACAGAATGTCTTCGGGTATGTTCGGTTTTGTCTTCGTGAAGTAGGTGTGGAGTCGCGGCCATTTTTAAACGACCATAATTTACGCGGTAAAATTTAAAAAAAAGTCATTTTTGTTTAAAAAAATAATTTAGTTTAAAAAAAAGTAGATATAAAAAGAAAAAAGGGTAAAAAGTATTAAAGTAATTTTTAAATAGTCTAGAAAAAAAACAAGAACATTAAGCCTAATTCACAGGCTTTGTTTTGTAAACACGACTTAAACTTTTTAAAAAACACGGGTTGTCACTTTTTCTTTTTTGTTTGACAATATTCAATTTCACGAAATTCGTAAATTCTCGAGCTTCAATTAAATAGGTATATATTAGAAAATAAAAACTTCAAATAATATTAAAAAAATGTAATTAATCTTTTTCAAGAAAATTAATTTCAAAATTCTATTATTTCTAAAAATTCAGGCTAATTGCTTTTAATATTCCATGACAAAAAAAAATTTATTGAATAATTGAACCTTTCTTAAAATTGAATTCTAATAAAGAATTTTATTACCAACTAGCAAATGTTACGCGCGGAACGTGATATTCAATTTATTATTGTTATACAAATTACAAAATTTTTTATTTTAAAATATAAATTTTTTAAATAATTTCATAATCAAAATTTAAAAAATTCACTTATTAAAAATACAACATATTACTGATCATATTTTCAAAAATTTTAATAAAATTTCACGAAAGAATTCAATTACTCTCTCAAATTTTAATAAATTCTTCTAAAAAATTCAATTATTTTTTTAAATAGTAAAATCTTTACAAAAATTCAATGATTTTCAAAACAATTTTAATTGAATTCCTTATAGAAGAATTTAACTTTTTAAAAAATTTTAACACAATTCGAAAAAATTCCATTTTTTTCTAAAATTTTTATAAATTATTCTTAAAAAAACTTTTTTAATTATTTTTATAAATAGTAAAATTCTTCGCAAAGAATTCAATTATTTTTATAAATAGTAAAATTTTTTGGAGGAATTCAATTATTTTCAAAACAATTTTAATTGATGTCATCCATCAATTAAAAAATTTAAATTCATCATTCAAATATTTCTAAATATTTCCATAAATTTCAATTATTTCCTAAATTTTTCAAAACCATTTAACTATTTTTATAAATACTAAAATTCTTTACATAAACTAAATTATTTTTGATCCAATTTAAATAAAATTACACGAAATAATTTAATTATTTTCAAAAATTTCCATAAAAATCAATTTCAACAAGAATTTAAAATTCTCGAAAAATAATTCAATTATTCTCAAAATATTTTTAAAAAATTCTATATAAAAATTAAATTACTTTCAATGCAATTTTTAAATATATTCGTCAAAAAATTGAAAAAATTCAATTATTTTCAAAAAATAATAAAATGCTTGTGATGAATTCAATTATTTTGAATAGGTATACTTAATTTTAATAAAATTCTATAAAGAAATTTAATTATTTTCGAAACAACTTTAATTGAATTTCTCGAAAAATTTTATTATTTTCAAATATTTCTATAAAATTCTTCATAACAATTTAATTATTTCTTAAAATTTTAATAAATTCTTCGAAACATTTAAATTATTTTTATAAATAGTAAAATTCTTCGCAATAATTAAATTATTTTTATAAATAGTAAAATCCTTTGCAGAAATTCAATTATTTTCAAAACAATTTTAATAGAATTCTTCGAAAGACTTAAAATTTTCAAATATTAACATAAAATTTATTTATTTTCTAAAATTTTAATGAATTCTTCAGAACAATTCAATTATTTTTATAAATAGTAAAATTCTTCACAAGAATTCAATTATTTTCAATACAATTTTAATAAAATTCTTCTTCATAAAATTAAATTGCTTTCAAAATTTTCAATTAAAATTATTAAAGAAACTCCATTAGTTTAAAAAAAATTCAAAGAAATTCTTCAAAAGAATTTAATTAGGATTTTTCAAAATTTTAATAAAATTATTCCCGAGAATTCAGTAATTTTCTTAAATAATAAAATTGTTTGAAGGAATTCTATTATTATTAAATTTTTTGATAAAATTCTTTGCAACAATTCGATGATGTTCAATACATTCATTTTAAAATTGAAAATATTTGAAAACAAAAATTATAAAAAAGTTAAGAAACAAAAAAGCAAACAACAACTAACTTCAAACTGCGAACAGATTACCGTAATATGTACTTTATTATTATTAATTTTTAAATTATTGAATTTTTTTTGACGAATTTTAATAAATTTTTTTAAGAATAATTACATTTTTCGAGAAATTTGATTAAAATTGGATTAAAAATAATTGAAATTCTGCGATGAGTTTTATTATTTGTGAAAATAATTCAATTTCTGCGAAGAATTTTATTACTCTTGAAAATAATTGAATTATTGCGAAGAAAATAAAAAATTTGCAAATACTTGAATTCCTGTAAAATTTTTATTCTTTATGAAAATAATTAAATTTTTGCGTAGAATTATATTAAAATTTTTTCGAAATAATTGAATTCTTTTGGAAAATTTTATTAAAAATCATTGAAAAGATATTAAAAAATTGAATTAAAATTTTTGAAAATAATTTAATTTCGGAAAAGAATTTTATTAGTTTTAAAGATAATTGAAATTTTGTCGAGAATTTTTATAAATTTTTTAACATAATTGAATTTATGAGAAGAATTTTATTATTTTTGAAAATAATTGAATTTCTGCAATCATTTGTATTTTTCTAATATTCTCCAAATTATATCGTACAATATACGACCTTTTTTCAAAAAACTGAATTTTACGAACTTGAAGCAAATTTACGGACCTAATTCGAGCCCTGGAATTGAAAATGTTAGGAAAAAAAAGTCCAGTGGCTTGTTATATCAACTTTATCAAACATGTTAATTATTTAGCAAATAGTGTCACTGTTTTATGATTCGCGTCCATGTTATAAATTCCGCTCATCAATATTATATTCATTCATAATTAACATATTAAAGCATTCAAACAATCGCCCAGTGCGAAATATCGCACCCAAAAAACATTAAAAATTAAAAAAAAAATGATGTTATAGAATTCCAAAAATTCATACTTTATAAACAACTTTCTATTATTCACAGAATAATTAGATTTATTAAGTCGACGAATAATTGGAATAACAGTTAACATTTTTCATTTTTAAAAAGATTTCAAAAGCTTGCCACTGAAAAATGTAACTATTCAGTTTTTATATATAATAATAATCGAAGATGATGACGAAATATCGTCTCATAATAATTCTTTTGAATCAGTCTCTCAAATTTTCTTTTTTTTCACTGCTTTTAAATCTCTAATTAATTTAACTAGCCTATATCAATTATAAAAATCGTTATTATAAATTGTAACTCCAGGACGAGTATTAAAAAAATAAAAATGAAAAAATTGTTATTCAGTGGCAGTTTCGTCGGCAATTGGAATTTCGAGGATACGAGGTCCATAGAGTAAGACATAGGCGCAATGCCAATCGCCACCGCCGCTTAATTTTAGGATATCTTCACTCGTTATTATACTAACATTATCGTCATCACATTTTATCCAAGTGTCACCTTTTTGACGTACCCATGCCACGTAATGTCCACTACTACTCGAACGTCCTTGATGCGTCAAAACTGCTTGTAATGTGTAATAGCCACTGTTGTTTGAGCCAAGATCTGCAATTAAAATTATAGAATCACATTTAGTTACATTAATTAAAATGTTTGTAACTCTATTTTCTAGAAATAAGTTTTAGAAAAGTAATTTATTCACCATTTTCGAAACTGAAGGGTTCTTGTGTCGTTTTCTGCTCTTTATCGTCATTCTTGTTTCGTTTCTCTTTCATATTGCGAGCATCCTCCAATTGTTTGTCCTCAAGTTCCTTGAATTTTTCCCTAACAGGAATAAGCTTTTGTTGTAGTTCAGGTGAGCACAATTCGAAAGCGTCAAACTCGAGGGGAAATTTGACATCTTTGAGTATCTTGGCGTTTATCGCTTCCTTTTCTTTGTAATAGAAACGAACAAATTGTATTGTCAAATACGCTGGCAGCCTGCTAATCTTCGACTAAAATGAATTGAGAATTCGTTAAATTTATTCATTAAACATTTCCTCTTTCGTATAATTACCGTTTTAGTGTAAATTGCATCTCGTCCTAAAGTTGATGAATTTTTGGTAATTTGTTCCTGCATTTTATTTCTGAGTCCCGAATGCATATACTTGACATCCGTCGAAATAAAACAACTGAGTTGTAAGAAATCCTCTTTTCCTTTCGATGGCGTCTCCTCTTCCGATTCGACGCATTTTAATTCAGTGTCAAATGTCCCACCGAAATACTGTTCAATTAAAGAAGAATGTTTACTTCTCTGCTCACTGTCGCCAATTGCATTCGGATATTCCTGCAGAGAACCAATTGAAATTAATTAATCTATATTAATAATCGTTGTATTCAGGTAATTTCAGTTTGTTTCTTAACTTTTTTAAAAAATTTTCCTTTTAAATATTTTCAATTTTAAAATTGATGTATTGAAATCATCTAATTGTTGCAATAAATTTTATCAAAAAATTTCATAATGGAATTCGTTAGAAGAATTTTATTATTTAGGAAAATAATTGAATTCTCGTAAAGAATTTTGTTTAAATTTTTGAAAATTCTAATTAAATTCTTTTTGAAAAATTTCTTTGCACTTTTTTTTAAATATTGGAGTTTTTTTTAATAATTTTAATTAAAAATTTTGAAAATAATTGAATTTAAAAAAAAATTTCTTTCAAGTTTTTAAAATAATCGTGTTTGTGAATAGTTAAAACTGAACATTTAATTATTGAATTTTATAAAAATTTTAGAAAATAATTGAATTATTTTGAATAATTTTATAACGAATTAAGAAAAAAATTGAATTTTTGCAATGAATTTTACTATTTATAAATATAATTGAATTTTTCCGAAGAATTTATTAAAATTTTAGAAACTAATTGAATTCTATTGAAATTTTTTATAACGAATTAAGAAAAAAAATTGAATTCATTCCTGAAATTATTTTGAATATAATTTAATTTTTGCAAAAAATTTTACTATTTTTAAAAAATAATTGAATTTTTCGTAATATTTTATAACGGATTAAAAAACAATTGAATTCTTTCGTGAAATTTTTTTGAAAATAATTGCAGACTTTGCACTCGATAATTAACTTTAAAAAAGTAGCAAAAAGTAGCTTTCAAACTAAAAAAAGTAGTAAAAAAGTAGTTATTGAAAAATTAAACTTGACGACCAAGAAAACTCGTTTTAGAGACTTCACAAAACAGACAAAAATCTCATTCAATATTTTATTTTCCTGACTTTTTTTTCTAATTTTCATCAAAAATATTTATTTTAAGCAAATTCTAATTTAAAGAATTGAATTCTTATATGAAGATTTTTACAAAACTTTTTTTAAATAATTAAATTCTATTTGGAAATTTTATGAAAATAGTAGATATTGAAAATCATTGAATTCCGAAAAGTTTTTAAAAATAATTAAATTTTACAAAGAATTCTATTAAAATTTTTGACAATAATTGAATCTCTGTGTGGTATTTTATTAAATTTTTTTGAAAATAATTGAATTCCTAAAAAACATTTTGTTATTCATGAAAATAATTGAATTCTCAAGAAGAAATTTATTATTTTTAAAAATAATTCAATTCTTGTGAAAACAATAATTGAATTTTCCAAAGAATTTTAATTAAATGCCTCAAAATAATTGAATTGTCAGGAATAATTTTGTTATTTATCGACATATTGAATTATATCAAAAAGAATTCTTTATGTACCTAAATAATTGAATTCTTGGGAAAAATTTTATTAAAATCTAAAAGAATAATTGAACTATTTCAAAAAAATGTAGTTAAAATTGTATTTAAAATGATTGATTCCTTTTGAACAATTTTATTAAAATATTTGAAAACAATTGAATTCAATTTTTTGTACAATTCTTGTAAAATTGTATTAAAAATAATTAAAATCCTGCGATGAATTTTATTATTTATGAAAATAATATTGAACAGTTGCTAAGGATTTTATTAAAATTTTCAAAAATAATTGAATTCTTTAGAAGAATTTTATTATTTATGAAAATAATTAAATTCTTGCGAAGAATATTTTATTAAAATGTTTAAAAAGAATTGAATTTCTGTGAAAAAATTTTGTTATTTTTGAAAATAATTGAATTTTTTGAATAATTAATTTAAAATAGTATTAAAAATAATTGAATTCTTACTTAGAATTTTATCAAAAATTTTTTAAAAAATTTGAATTTCTATGAAAAATGTTAATATTAGTGAAAGCAATTGATTTATTTTGAAGAACTGTATGGAAATTTTGTTAAATAATTGATTTTTTTGAAAATGATACTCTAAATTAATTACATTCCAGTGAAAATTTTATTACATATTTATGAAAATAATTGAATCGTTTTAAAGAATTGGATTATAATTTTTGAGAATTTTAGTTTTTTAATTTTTAGTATTAGCGAATTTAAAGTAGTGGAAATTCTAAAGAAAACAAGAAATAGTAGCTTTTAGAAGCTGAAATCTAAAAAAAAGTACCCAAATAGTAGCATAAAGTAAAAAAAGTAGTAAATAATTATATTCGTTCGTGAAATGTTATTAAAATTTTGTTTAAAAATAATTGAATTTTCTTAAAGTTTGAATCTGAAATTATTCAAAAATTCATGTATAAATGGAACATGACGTTCCGCGCGTAACATTTGCTAGCAGGGTGACCACTTTTTTCATAAAAAAAAATTAACGGTCATAAAGAATAACTCTGAAAATAAATTATTCCATGAAAGATTGAAAGAATTTCCTGATTTTTAGACAAAACTTTGACTTTTTCCCAAATCCTAAAAATATTTTACTTTACTCTAAAAAAAATTTTGAACTTAAATAGATTTTTTGAAATAAATATTTAATTATTATCCATTATTTTTCCATATAGGTATTCAAATTTCAAATCCTTTAAATTTAAATAATTTTTAAGAATTGCTATTGTACCTAACTTATTAAAAACTTCAATTTGAAATTTTTTAAAATTCAATTTATAATAATATTAGTAGGTATCTAATATTAATTTAACATTCTAAAATATAGAAAAATTTTCTTATGAATAATTGTAAAAAAAACTAATTGATATTAATGCAAAATACGGTTTTTTAAAAATTTATTTTCTATAAGAAAAGAAATTTTATTTATTTTTATTTACTTTATTTATTATTTAAAAATTAATTTTTATAAATTTCGTATCACTTTTGTTCTAATCAGTTCAAATTTTTAATAATTCAAATTTGTTTTGTTATAATATTATTGCAAAAAAAAATTTTAAATTGATTTATTTTTCACTATTTTATAGGATGTGAAATTTTTTTAAACAAATTGAATTAAAATTATATTTTGTTTAATTATTGTTAGAAATAGAAAGAATTTAAAATTAAATTTAATATTTTCTTTTTCTAAGTCTGTTACGTTGGACAACAAAATTCATATAATTTTCTTATAAATTCTAGAAATTGAATATTTTTATAGTACTTTTTCCCGGTCCACCCTGGCTAGTTTAAAAATAAAAAAATAATATCTAAATAAAGATTAAGTATTAAAAAATACATTTTTAAGTAAAGATGTAAAATTATTTTAAAAAATTCGTTGTTGCATTTCCCTGACTTTCCCTTGAATTCTCTGTGGTAACCCTTCTAAAGATCTTTTTACGTTTAAAAATGTTAATTATTAGATTATTATTAATACCTTGGACGGCAATTTGTCCTTCAACATTCGAATAATTTCAGTCCAACATTCATTGGCGTCTTGCTGTTGAAAGCCACCGTGGTCCGATTTCTCGGCGAAACGTGGAAAAGCTAAATGCACCATTTGAACTAAAACAACTGGCGGCAGGGAGGCTCCTTTATCCATACCCTCATATAAATCACGAAGAGCCGCTGTAATACTCTGAGCAGGTACAATAAACGAATTACCGGTGGAGGCAAGTCCGCCAGGAAAATCCTTTAGAGCGTCACGCAATTCAGGTACAGTCTTTAAGCACTGAACTGTCGCATTTAAATAACAGGTGTTACCAAGATTAGTCAAACCTGCCGGCAAATCTAGAGCAGTTGCCAATTCAGATTCATTCATATCCTCGAGAAATAGAGGTTTCTCGGTAGGCTCCATTGGCACGTCTTCCTCTTTCGAGCCCATCATCAAAACAGTAACACCCTGATGAACAGGAAATTAATATTAAAATCTAATCAATAAAATCCAACGTCTCAAAAAGGAGAAAAACTTACGTCCTTGAGTTTCATTATTCCCCAGTCCTCGTCCTTGAGCGTCATTCCTTTAAGCATAACTTTTTGTCTCTCTGGTTGAACACCCGTCAATGCAAATAGTTGTGCCTTAAAAAGCATCGGTTCCTCGTCCGTATTAACTTCTACATTCGGAAAAAGCTCCTTACCCCATTTCACTTTAACTAAAAAAAACAATTTTCATACAGTTTTAGAATATATCCCTTTATTTTCTATAAATGTTAACGTATTAATTATAGGTTAGAAATTTATAAAAACATTTTCTATTTTACTTACTCGAATATTGTGGCATTTTTTTAATTTACTCACTCTTTCCAAAAAAAGACACTTATTACATATATAATTCTAAAAAATTCAATAATATTATCAATACAAGTGAAAGAAATGTGTTTAAAATAAAGTGCAAGTCAGACTTCTTCTTCTTCTTCTTCTTTAGTGGCCTGTTGCAGAGCATGCAGCCATATCTATGTGTGACCAACATATATAGTTAACCTCATGATCCAAGTAACAAGGTCTCGCCACGCGCAGGCAAAAAAAACGTGGAACCAAGCACCAATCAGAATGCGGACGAAGTGACGACCATATTGAAAGTCTAGCCGCGTATTTTTAAATGTGTTTCAAATCCAGAAAATAAGATTGTTATTGTTATTAATATATTTTTATTTTTAATAATAAATATTATTAATTGTTATTATTAATATTAATACGTATAAAATTATTGATAATAATAATAATAAATATTACAATAAATGGTAATTAATATTAATAAATTATTATGAATGTTATTTTATTTTTAATAATAATTATTATTTTTAATTAGTATTAATATTAATAAATATAAAGTTATTAATAATAATAATAAATATTGCAATAAATAGTAATTTGATTTTCAAGATTCCAAGCAACATTCACTGGCTCTTCCAGGTTTCTTTCAGATTTATAATATTCCCTAAATTTTTAAGGTTTTCCAGGTGAAAATAGAGTGAAAATACTCTGATTCACCTAGAAACGTGGCCAACTAATCACCTTTTAATGATTTAAATTCTGTACCGAAGTGAATCTGTGCCACGCAGCAGTTTAGTCCTTACTGGAGTTTCGTCTCAGTATATATATTGAAAGTTAAAAGTGATATGCATAATAATAATATGTGACTGTATATTTGTGACTGCATAATTCTTTTAGTTTAATTTTTTATTAAAGAGAGAAAATATAAACACATACAAACAATTAATCACACGAGGATTTTATAGCGGTAAGTATATACAGTACGCAATACAGATATTAATTATTATTCCTTATAAAAATTATTTCGATTTATACTCGCTGTTTCCATAAAAACTAAATAATTGAATTTGTTTGGTTCATTAAAATAATGAAATTTGAGAAAGATAAGTATTCATGAAATATAATCTCACGTGGCAAAATTGGAAATTTTTATCTGATGTTTGAAATTTAGGCGCTTGTCAAAAACGGTTCAATAAAAATTAGGTTTCAAAATTGTGAATTTTTAAAATAATCTAAATTTATTTAATAATTACTAGTTGTTAAAAGAAGGAATTAAAATTATGATCGAGGAGGCGAAATTTGGAAATGTGTCAGCTCGCGACAGAGTTGAACTAAACTGAAATATTCAAATTTACAATAATAAAGTAGCGCCACCTTTTTAATAAATGGACCGATTTCATTCTATCTTCTTTTGAACTAGGGAATTTTTTCTTAGAAATTTAAATATAGTAGCATAATTTTCTTAAAATTTTTAATTCATTAACAAATTAATATAGGTTTATTAATAACATAAAATAATAATATAATAAAATAATTTTTACATAATTACATTAATTTTATTACTCACATATTTATATATGTTTCTTAGATAAAAATGCCGAACGTATGTGCAGTTGCTGGTTGCAAAAATAAGTATGATAAAAATAAACCAGCTTTAAGTATGTTTACTTTTCCGAAAACTGAATTTTATCGCAAACAGTGGCTTAAAGTTTGCAAAAACCCAAAAATCAACGTAAAATACGGTAAGCTTAAAGACATTGCATAACTGTACTATCATAAACGATTTTAAAAAGTTAAATATAAGGAGACTTATTCTGAACTAATAAAATATATAATAAAATATGTAATATAATATAATATAATATAATATAATATAATATAATATAATATAATATAATATAATATAATATAATATAATATAATATAATATAATATAATATAATATAATATAATATAATATAATATAATATAATATAATATAATATAATATAATATAATATAATATAATATAATATAATATAATATAATATAATATAATATAATATAATATAATATAATATAATATAATATAATATAATATAATATAATATAATATAATATAATGTAATGTAATGTAATGTAATGTAATGTAATGTAATGTAATGTAATGTAATGTAATGTAATGTAATGTAATGTAATGTAATGTAATATAATATAATATAATATAATATAATATAATATAATGAAATATGTAATATAATATAATATAATATAAACGTTGCATTTCAATTTCGAAGATACATGACAATTTAACAATAAATAATATCATAATTTTATACATTACAGCTGCAATATGCTCTGAACATTTTCCAAATAGTACGTAATTATATAAATAATGTAGACAAAATAATATTACGTGCTACTTGGGTATTTTTTATTGTAATTTTATATTATATAAATAATATATTGTACTATTACAGTTGAATGTCCAAAAGATTATGTACCGAATAATAATGAAGTGGACCTACTTGAATCATTAGAGAAAGAAATGGCAGTTGAAAAAATGGCTGAAGAAGGCTTAAAATATATTGCAGGATACGTTGCATATCGTTTTGGGAAAGATGATTCACTTGGTTGTCACACATCCAGATTGCCAGAGCAACCTGATAATGACTGGATCTGTCATTTGTCTAAGGGATATCTAAAATATCCTTCAGATAAATTGCTTGTGGCAGCCAAGATCATGGAAGAGGAGTTTCAGTCTTTTCATGGCTTAACGTTTTCCAAGGAAAACAAAATTTATCAAAAAGTTGCAAATAAGGTTAGTGATAAATTAGAGGATAAATTAGATATAAAGGTATTATTGTGTCTGGTACGTACACGAACGCACATAAGATTGCGAATTTTGAATAGGAAAGTATATGAGAAAAATTCTAAAAGGAAAGCTAAAAAACGTGTAAAAAAATTCGCTAATACTAAATAGCGTGAATTTTTTTTGAAACTGATGTAGTGAAATTATACAGAAAAAATAAAAAGAAACATGCAATTTATTTATAGGGCATTTAATACATAATGATAAATGAATGTGGAAACTTTAAACCGAATAATTGAAGCTTTCTACTAATAAGAATAGAAAAAATAATAATAATAAATATTATGACATTATTATTAAATTATAATTGTCAATAATGAATTATTAATAATAATAATAATTATTATTTTTATGTTTATTATTATTATTATTATTATTATTATTATAACTAATAATTCGCTTTTTGGAAAATGTTTATTTAGTATCTAATTTATCTACTAATTTACCACTAATGCCTTATTTTGCAAAAGGTCAATTCCCTGTAATGTTCGCAATCCCAATAATAGTTAATAATTAATATTAAAATTGAATGTTGTTATTAACAATTCCTAAAAAAATTCAAAATAAAAAAAGGTTGTCTTAGTTAATCTGGCTCAAAATTTATCTCATCATTTATCCACTGAAAATTGAAAAGAAATTGTCCCTTCAGTTCTTGCAGCATTAGAGATAAATGTAATGTTTTTAAATATATAAATAAATATATGTGAATGTTATGTATCAAGTTAATAATAAGTATTTAATAAAAAATATTAATATTTAATAAAGAATTATTTTACTTTTAATTTATTATTCTTTATGTTCTTTAAATTTGTTTCTGTATTTGATTCAAAATTTAGCGCTTCAATATGGTCGTCGCTTCAGGTAATCGCTATGATTGGTCGGCTTTTTTATGGTGCGCGAACCGAGTTAAAATTGAGCCCGACTTTGGCGAGACCTTGTTACTTGGATCATGGTTAACCTTATATTATAAGGCTATTCAAGTTGGGTGGGGGAAAATTCAAGATGGATGCTAACTGGTGCACAACATTCACAGATGATTGTGCCGCCCGCACCACCGGATTCAAAAATCACTCCGTAACACGTTGTATCGGTTAATGCGGTTAATGCGGTTAATGCAAAAGAAAAGATAATAGAAAGTGAAATTATCAAATTTTGATAAACATTTACAGAATGAATAGTGTATTTAACCATTTATTTTGAAAATTCGTGTTAATCAGTGAAAATACCGAAAATATAAACGTTATAAACGATATACAAAAACAAAGATATTGAAAACATAACCCATAAACATAAATAAAAATTTGTCCATTTAAAAAAATGTGCGGTAAATTATTTTGTTATACCAAATAAACTTTAGTAAACTACAAGTAAACCAAGTAAATATGGTTTTTACAAGTCGAATATTGTTCTTCGCGACAAAACTACCAAAAGAAGAAAAGGTATGGAAGAATTCAAGGTTTTAATTTTTATTCTGGACAAATTACATTTGTTTTTGCTAATTAATAATGGTTTTTTAGTTATTTGACTCATTTTGGTAAAGTAAAATGATTTTCCTTATTATTTCAGCCCATGAGAAAGTTTCTGCGGACAGGTTTCTTGGATAATCTTCGAATACATGTGAAAGCTGGTCATGGTGGTTCAGGACTTCCAAAATACGGTGGAAAAGGTGGAAGAGGTGGTAATGTTTTTATTCAGGCATCAAAATATTACACATTAAAAGCCACCGATAGATTGATACGAGCAAGGAAATTGGAAGCTAAACCAGGAATGAACAGTACTGCACGTGGTTTGATCGGCACTGTCGGAGATGATTTGATTATCAAAGTTCCAACCGGAGTGGTTGCTCATGACGAAAATGGCATCGTTATCGGTATTTTTCTCCTTATTCCTCTTATTTCTTTTAATCCCTATTGCAGGGCTCGAACCAGTGAAAGTATTTTAAAATACGAACTTTACTGACCAATTACTGACAAAAATATAAGTAGTCCGAGTCAAATAAAAGAACATTTTACTTAAAAACTATAAATTAAATTTTTTCATAACTATAATTATTTTCATCATTTCAATTCAATTATTATTTTCAAGAATTTTTAACAAAAATTTCTCGTTAAATCAATTATTTTTAATAATTTTCGAAAAACTTCTTTGACAATTTTCAAATCCATTTGTTAACAATATTCAATTTTACGAAATTTCAATTATCCGTAAATTCATCGTCAATATCGTCAATCGTCAATAAATTCGCAAAAACTTCAAATAATATAAAATTTTTAATTAAAAATTCTACTAGAATTCAATTATTTGAATATAAAAAATAATTTATTTAATAATTGAATGTTTCTTAAAATTCAATTCTCATAAAGAATTTTATTTTATTTCTTAGTAGAATTCTACTAATTCAGATTTAGAGAGTGCGATGAGTTTTATTATTTTTGTGAAAATAATTGAATCTCTAAGAAGAATTTATTTTAATAACTGCAATAATTTGTAAACACTTCAAAATTAAATTTTTTTTAGTGTTTTTAACTAAATTCTTTTATAAATCCATTGCTTTTAATAATTTTTTTTCAAAATTTTAATTATTCGAAACTTCTTCAATTACTTAAATATATATTAAAAAATAAAAACTTCAAATAATTTTTAAAAAAATTCGCAATTTAACTTTTTCAAAAAAAGTTAATTCTTCTACAGAATTATCAGTTAAAAGTACCTATGAAAAATTCAAAGTTTCAAAGATTTTAATATGCAATCTTTTCAAAATTCAATAATTATTATTTCTAAAAATTCACGCTATAGTGCTTTTAATATTCCATTATGTATAATCTAAAATTTTAACTGAAATTCATTTTTAAATCAATTTTTTTAAAGAAAATTCTACTAGAATTCAATTATTTCAATACAAAAATAAATAATTTTTTGAATAATAAATTGAATGTTTCTTAAAATTGAATTCTCATAAATAATTTCATCAACAAATTTTTAAAGGGTAATTAAATTCTCTCGACGAATTTTAATAAAATTTTTAAGAATAATTACATTTTTCGAAGAATTTAATTAAAATTGTATTAAAAATAATTTACATTCTGCATTGAGTTTTATTATTTATGAAAATAATTGAAATTCTGCTTTGAGTTTTAGAGTAGAACGGGGTGAAATAGCCATTGTGCAAAAAAGCCATTTGACTTTTATTTGAAAAGTATTAAACCGATTTATCAGCTATTTAGAATATAAATACTATCAGTTAATACGCAACTTTTGATACTAGTTTGGATGTTGTACCTATATTAATATAATTTTTATTGTAATTTTAATTTTTTAGTTGCTCTGCGTATAATATTTCGATGAACTTTTCGAACATATTACAACCTGTTTAAGTGAACGGGAAATAAAAGTAAATGTTTGTACATAAGGAGAAAACTATACTCAAAACGTAAACAATGTTAATTTTTGGAAATTGAACTGAATTTAAAATTTATTTTAGCTTTTAGAAAAACTGGTCTTGGGGGTGAAAAAGCCAGGGACAAAAATCCATTGAATATTATGTGAAATTCATTTGTTTTCTACTTAAACTAACCTTCTAATTTTACAAAATTTTCGCGTGTTTACTTAATAAAATTAATTAAACACGACAAAAAAATAGTATAAAGTGCGTTAAAAAATAAACAACGAAAAAACGGTTGCAACAAAATATGGCATCTGTGGTGAAATTTAAGGAAGACTTTAAAAAAAGGTACAAAAACTTGGCAGTGTAAATCGAAAACAGGTAAACTTAACATTATATTCAATTTTCCTTGATAAAAGCTCTTTAAAATTTATTAAAATATTTTAAAAATAAGATTATTTGTCATGTAAATAAAGGAAAACTATAAAAATACCAAAATTAATAACATATTTTGCTCAAATCGCGAGGTGGCTTTCTCCCCCCACCAGGTGGTACAAAAAAGCCATTTGCAGAGCTTTCGTAAAACTCTTATAACTTAGTCCTTTCATGGGATAAAAAATATTTCCGTCAAGAATATTCAAGCTTAATAACTAAACTTTCAATGCCAATTGGAAATTTGAGAAAAAAGTTTTAAATTCAGATTTTATAAATTAAAATGTAAAAATGTGGCTATTTCACCCCGTTCTACTCTATTATTTATGAAAATAATTGAATTATTACGAAGATATTTATAAAAAATTTGTATTTTTTAATTGAAAAATTTAATTTTTTTTAAATATTTGAATTCTTTTGGAAAATTTTATTAAAATAGTAGTTATTGAATATCATTGAATTGAGGAACATTTTTGAAAATAATTTAAATTTTGCCAAGAATTGTATTAAAATTTTTGAAAATAATTGAATTTCGGAGAAAAATTTTAATATTTTTAAAGATAATTTAAATTTTGACGAGAATTAAAAAAACATTTTTGAACATAATTGAATTTCTGCAATCATTTGTATTATAAATTATATCGTACAATTTACGAACTTTTCGTCCTTTTTCAATAAAATTACGGACTTTACGGGCCTGTTTTCGGTCTTGAACAATTATGATTATTCTTTATTATATTATTTATTTAACTTTTAATTCTTATCAAATAGGGAAATAGCTTCAAAAGCTGAATTCTAAATTCAATTTTCAGGAGAAGTGAATGAACCAATGTCGAGATTGAAGATAGCAGATGGTGGAGTTGGCGGTTGCAAGGAGACAAATTACTGTGGAAAAAGGGGTCAAGCTAGAACAATAATTTTAGATTTGAAATTAATATCAGACATTGCTGTCGTTGGTTTTCCGAATGCGGGAAAAAGTACTCTCCTAAAAGCGATCTCTCGAGCTTCACCTAAAGTCGCCGAATATCCATGTACGATAATATTCAAACTTTAATTCAACGAACCATTTAGCTAAAAATTGAAAACGATTGCTAAAAAAGAAAATCACTTTTGTTTACAGTTACCACCGTGAGACCAAATATCGGAATAATGGGATTCAAAGATTTGAGAAAAATAACAGTCGGCGATTTACCAGGTTTAATAGAAGGAGCACATCAAAATGTCGGTATGGGTTACAAATTTCTAAAGCACATTGAAAGATCAAAAATGATATTGTTCGTCGTTGACATTCAGGGTTTTCAATTGTCCCCAAAGCATGTTTATAGAAATTTTCTCGAGACAATTGTACTGCTTAATAAGGAAATTGAACTCTACAATCCTGATTTAATCGATATGCCGGCAATGCTTCTTATTAATAAAATGGACACACCGGGCGCTGAAGATACTCTAAAATCACTTTATTCGAAAGTAGAGAATCTAAAGAATCACCTTGACGAATTTCCAGAGGAAATACGACCCGATAATATTGTCAAATTCTTGGATATTTACAAAGTATCGATGCAAAATATGCGTCATGACGAGAAGGAATTATTGAAATATAGGATAAGAAATGCATTGGACAAGTGCACGTCAGAGGAAGAATTTGAGAATATGGGCGCCGAACCAGTTTTCAAATTAATTGAACAAATGAAAAAGAATTCGGAGAAAGTCACTCCACTTTTAGTTTAAATTAATTTCCTGTGAAACGTATAGGTATGTAAATATTATATTATAGATTTTTTATCTCAATTGTTAAAAGGTTTTTAACTGTAAAAAAGGAATAAACTTAGAGACGGAAATTTTTTATTGTTCGTATTTGTTTTTATCTCAATTGTTTAACAAAAGTTTTCTTTTTTAAAAAAAATAAACTTTGTGACGGAAAATTTTGATTTTACGCATTGTTTTTATCTCAATTTTATTGTTAAAAAGTTTTTTTTTCTACACAAAAATAAACTTAATGACGGAAAATTTATTTGTCGAGTATTTTAAAAACAAAAAAAATCGTTCATTTAGAAAAAATGTAGGAATATTTTTCTAAAAAAATTTCTCTTTATTTCCACACGTGCGGACAGAGGGAAATTCTCATACAATATTTTCGAAGGCACTGTGTCGGTATGACGTGAATTTCTCACTTGACATTGACTTATTTATAAATTTGGCTGGTCCAAATTCAATGTTAAGTACAGTTTCCGTTAAGTTCTAAACGTTCAGTGACCTGCCAACTTTCAGTCAACTCGCTTTAATTTTTTTCATTATTATTTATTTTTCCCCAGCTCATTAATTATTTGACGGATTTAAATATTTTTATTCTATGTTTTGAATTTTTACTAAAAAAAAAAGAAAATGGAAAATCCAATTATGGAGAAAGTTGTAAAATTATACAATGAAAATAAATGGCGAGACATTATTGAACTGTTGAATAATTGTGACATTGAAAATAGTCGTCAATTACTTTGGGTATCACCGAATTTCAAGAATTTGTCGTGGATTAAAAATATAATTAATGAAACAAATTTAAAAGGAATTGTCAGTGTCGGTTGTGGCTCTGGTTTACTCGAATGGTTAATTCAACAAAATTGTGGTAAAGATAACTTTTTTTTCTTTCTTTTTTTTAGATTAAAAAAAAATTGATTATAATAAAAATCACATGCATAAAATATTTAATTTTAGATTGCGATGTTCATGGTGTTGAAATCGATAAATCGTGGTGGTGCTGCAAATATTCACCTCCAATATTTCTAAAAAAAATTACATTCGTAAGCGATACGGAGAGTACTGTTTCAATTGAGAAAAATTATGCTTTACTATTTTGTTATTTTAATAATGAACCAGTGTTTTTGAATTATTTACGTGAATTTAACGGGAATGTTATTTTTGTTATTGGTCCGGATGAGGGGCAAAATCGTTACACAATGCCTTTGCCGTTCGATAAGAAATTTACTGAGTACGGTTGGCACTTGAGTAAATCGCAAGAAATCTCATTTTCTAAAGACTTTATATGTATGTATGTTAGATAGTTGCAATTTTCCTTTTTTTGTTTATAAATTCTGTAATTAAAATCTTACCTTTCTGATTTTTTACGAGGTTTTCTTTTTTGAAAAATAAATGTCATTGGCTGTGACGTTCAGCAAAATACTTTGATACAAATCTGCGCCAGATTCCCATAGAATTAATCTCCATGATGCTAGTTTTCGACAAATCTCCAGAGTTTGCGTTATGTTCGGAACTCCTTCACCTAAAAATAATTAAATGTAATTTAATTCCCAAAATTAATGTAATAAAGAAGATTAAATTATTAATAAATAAATTAAAGGAATTAATTATTAAGAAATTAAACAGAATAAAGGAAAACGTATATAAAAATTCAATCTAATGAAAATAAAAATTTATCAATCTAAGAAGAAATTAGAATTTAAATTTAGAAAGTAAAATGAAGAAGTAAACATTAACCTTCAAGAAGGCATATAGATTCGAATTGTAGATAAACATTTTTTAGAGTGACTTGTTCGATTCCGGTTCGTGACACCTCTTGACAAACGGCTTCTAAAAATATTTTCTCCATTACTGAACAACATTTAATAGCTTGCACTCGGGGATTTGCTATCATTTCATTTAAAGCGGAAGTCACATCCAAAATAGTGACGAATTCCCGATTGCTACCTTCGGCGATTTCCGTTGCTCGACGACAAATGTCCAAGGCACGTCGTGCATCGCCAGAAACAGAAGCTACTTTTCTATTTTTCAAAGGAGAAAAAGAATAATTATTAAGTTTCCGCAGAAGATTAAAATTTAATTTCAAATTTATAAACGAAATAATAAATGAATAATAATAATAATAATAATAATAATAATAATAATAATAAATAAAATAAATACAGAAGTACAATTTTTGCAAATTTAAACAAAATGAAAATAAGATATTAAAAAGAAATAAAATTATAAATATATATGTAAAATTTAAAAATATAAAATGAAAAATTTAAATACCTGGCTACAAGTTGAATAGCTGCTGGCTTAAAGCCCTCCATATCTTTCAGTCTAGTTTTAACGATTTCCATTAACTGGATATGATTGTAGGGACTGAATGTTAATCTCGTTAATCCTAAACGAGAGGTGACACGACTCATTAAAACTCTCTCGGGCAAATCCATTGTATTGGCAATTGTTATCACAACCAAATGTGAAGCTTTGTGCGTTGGCCAATCCAAAAGATTATAAACCACCTCCTGACGTTTTGTACACAAAAGGTCCATCTAAATTTAAAAAAATACGCTTTTTAATGTGTCATTTAGAACAAAAATTCAAATTCCAATTTTGTTTTACGAACAAGTAACAATCAACACTTCATAATGAATAAAAATCATGCAAATAAATAGAGTGTTGAAAAACGAATTTACAACTAAATGTAGTTTTAAAGAAATTAAAAGTCTTAAAAGTTTGTTTTAAAAATAAAAGAAAAGTCTGTTCGTGAAAAACAGAGGAAAATAAACAGAAAAAAAGAGAAGAAAAAAGCGAGAGCAAGAAAATAAAAAAATAAATAAATTTAAATAATAATTAATAAATTAATTAAATTAATTATAAGGTGGCAAACGATACGAAAAGAAAATTAAAATAACCTCATCAATAAGCAACAAAGTCATATTTCTACGAGGCGCAGGTGTCGTAAACCTGTGATGCAGATAACGATGAGATTCTTCCCACGTGCTTATGCTTCCTGTCAATTTCTTCTTTATTTGCACGTAAGCCTGGCGAGGTTCGGTCAATTTCATTCCATTGATGTCGACAAATTCAAACGGCGATAATTCGCCTTTTGATTCTAATTTTTTCAAACATGAAATAACTTCATTGACAGTTGCCGTCTTTCCCGTACCCGGAACACCACTTATGTAAATGCACCTAGAAAAAAGGAATTCATTACAAGAATATCCAATTTTTATAAGTTTTTTCGAACGAATCCGATAAAATTTATAAATTTATATTTATAAATGGTTAAATTCTTTGCAGGAATTCAATTATTTTCAAAACAATTTTAATTTAATTCCTTGGATGAATTCAAATATTTTTAAATATTTCCATAAATTTCAGTAATTTCCTAAAATTTTAATAAATTCTTCGAAACAATTCAACTATTTTTACAAATACTAAAATTTTTTGCAGGAATTAAATTATTTTTAATCCAATTCAAATAAAATTACGCGAAATAATTTAATTATTTTCAAAAATTTCCATAAAAATCAATTTCAACAAGAATTTAAAATTCTCGAAAAATAATTCAATTATTCTCAAAATATTTTTAAAAAATTCTATATAAAAATTAAATTACTTTCAATGTAATTTTTGAACCTATTCGTCAAAAAAATTAAAAGAATTCAATTATTTTCAAAAAAAAATAAAATGCTTGTGATGAATTCAATTATTTTGAATATACTTAATTTTAATAAAATTCTTTATTCTTTATTCAATTATTTTCGAAACAACTTTAATTGAATTTCTCGAAAAAATTTCATTATTTTCAAATATTTAACTATAAAATTCTTTATAACAATTTAATTATTTCTTAAAATTTTAATAAATTCTTCAAAACATTTTAATTATTTTTATAAATAGTAAAATTCTTCGCAAGAATACAATTACTTTTAATACAATTTTAATAAAATTCTTCTTCATAAAATCTAATTGCTTTCAAAATTTTTAATTAAAATTATTAAAGAAACTCCATTAGTTTAAAAAAAATTCAAAGAAATTCTTCAAAAGAATTTAATTAGGATTTTTCAAAATTTTAATAAAATTATTCGCGAGAATTCAGTAATTTTCTTAAATAATAAAATTGTTTGAAGGAATTCTATTATTATTAAATTTTTTGATAAAATTCTTTGCAACAATTCGATGATGTTCAATACATTAATTTTAAAATTGAAAATATTTGAAAACAAAAATTATAAAAAAGTTAAGAAACAAAAAAGCAAACAACAACTAACTTCAAACTGCGAACAGATTACTGGAAAATGTATACTTTATTATTATTAATTGTTAATTTTTAGAGCTCTTTTAATTTTTATTTATTTATTCCTTCAATTTAATTTTTTATTAAATAAATAATAAATTTTGAGGTCAGGAAATGTTGGAGAAAAGTGAAAAAATCGATTTTGAAAATTTTCGATTATTTCATATGAGTGATAAGGGGCCGTACACATAATACGTCACGCGGCTAGGGGGAGGGAGGGGGTCTGAGAATTGTGACATAGGGGGGGGGGTGAACTCATGTGTTACGTCACAATCTTTTAAATTCAAAAATTATAAGAAATTAAATGTGACAATGTCACTTTTTCTAAATAAAACAAGTTAAAAATGCTTTAAACTATTTAACATCTATTATGTACCTGTATTTAACAAATATTGGTTTATTATTTATAATATAATATGATAAATAATATATTCTCTTAATTTGAATCAGTTAAAAATCTTGGTTTTAACTGACAATCAGCAGTGACTGACTTTTTGCTTCTGAATCTGTTAAAAATATAACTGAAAAATTGTCCAAAAAACACCGAAACTTTTCTAAATATGTATATATTAAAGATTTACTTGCATACTTCGAAAAATTTACTTGCAAAGTTTAGTTAAAATTGTGTAAAGATTTAAATTTCTCACTCCAATAAATATTTATCGTCAAATTTTCTTAAAAATATAGCTTGAAACTTTCCTGAACATTTGAATTACATTTTCGACTATAATTTCGTGAAAATTTTTAGGAAAGTTTCGCGCTAAACATTTATTGAAGTAGGATATTTAAATCTTTACACAATTTTCACTAAACTTTGCATTTAAATATTTCGAAGCTTGCGAGTAAATCTTTAATAAATTTTTAGGAAAGTTTCGGTGCTATGTAGGTAGTTAAATGTGACTAAATGAATCAATAAAAAAAATTGTATTGAAACATCAGTTATTTTTAACAAATTGTCAGAAAATAGTATATTGTGCAACAAGTACAGAAAGAAGCTGTTTTCGAAGTCGGAAAATCTTCTTTCGTACGTGTTGCACACAGTACTTTGTGCAACACCTTTTGGTTTTGATAAAAAAAGCTGTTTGGAAACGCTAGTTGACGCCAACATACGTACTGTTTAGCAGGGTTTGGAACGTATGTTACCGCACGTAATATACGTGGTTTTCTACGCGTATATTACTGTAAAAAACAGGTATTCTACAAATAGAAAACAAATACCTATGTATATCACTAAAAAAACCTAAAAGTTTAAGAACTTTACGGCACTAGTGCAGCAAAGTACTGTTTTGCGCCTACTTTACAGGCATGTAAAGTATTACTCTCCTTACAGGTGTTGCACAAAAAATATTTTTAACTGATTCAATAATTTAGAGTGTAGGATATAAAATATAATGTCAAATGTATAAAATTTACATTGAAATTTACGTGTGTGACGTGACGTTGTAGGGGGAGGGGGGGGTTCAAGGTTTGTAACGAAGTGTGACATAGGGGGAGGGAGGGGTTAAAAATGGTCAAAAATTGCGTGACGTATTATGTGTATGACCCCTAAGTTAATTTATTAAAAAAAATAAAAGAGAAAAATTAATTTTTACCCTCCAATTTCCTCAGTGAGTTTTCCCTTGAGAAACGTGAAGATATCGTTAAATTCAGCCTCCCTGCATGGCAACGATTTAGGCACAAAACTAACGTGCAAACGAGTACGAAATTCTTGAAGATTTGTTTTCGGTTTTGAAACTGTGGAATTTCTCGTTTGTGTACTTGGTGTCAGTGTACTTCTCAATTTTGGAGTTGCCACACGGCTTTTTGGAGTTCCCACACGACTTTTTGGAGTTCCATTAATAATTTTTTCAGGCAATAATTTCTTTCTGACAGGAGTGGAATTTTTAGTTTTTGACGTATTTTTCCATTCCGAAACTGAACTTGGAGTTCCCTGGTTCAAATCTTCTGTTTGAATAATACTCTTCCTTGTTCTGGTACTAACTTTTCGTGCATTCTTAGGAGTTGTTCGTTCATTAGTAAGCGTTTGATTTTCATCGACTGAATTTAAAGGCTCTCTTGTGGACATTCTTGTCCTCATTGCTCGTTTCTTTGGTGTTTCACATAAATCATTTTCATTCGATTCACGTGTTCCATTACGTTTTTTACTCACTGATCTGCTTCTTGAAGTTGAATCCTCCTCACCATCACAGTAATCTACTGTTTTACGATCTCTGAGATTCCTTCCACTTGACATTAGATTTTCTTCAGAATTTAATGTCTTACGAGCAGAACGTGCACGACTAGGAGTTTCAGATTCATTTTTTATTTGTGGGGCTGTTGAATTACGAGTTATTCTTGCTGGAGCTGTTTTGAGATCTTTTTGAGATTTCCTAGTGTTCGTTGTTTTTTTATTACTTATATCTAAATTTTTCATTGATCGAGACAAATGATCGGGACTGTTCTTCATTGGACTTTTGGGTTTAGCATCAATTATACCTTCATCGTCGGAATTTTCAGAATTCATAAACTTTTGGACTGTACTTTCCAATTTATCGTGATCTACTTTAATGCATAATTTTAATTTTAATGGATTATCCATAGCTTGTGCCACGTATTCATCTGAAATAAATATATATATATATATTTATTAGGTGAAAATAAGAGTGAGGATCAAATCTGTTTAATAAATGAACTAGCAACAATTTACTTCATTTTTTAAATAAAATTATCAATTTTAAAAATAATTGAATTTAAAAATTTTAAATTCAAATTTTTATTGAAAACACTAAAATAATTCAATTTTGGAGAAATTGCAAATAATTTATTGCAGAAATTCAATTATTTTCAAAAGTAATAAAATTCTTCTCATAAAATTCAATTATGTTTAAAATTAAAAAAAAAAAATTTTTTGTCAAAATCCAAATTATCTTTGTAAATAATAGAATTTTTCCCCAAAGTTCAATTATTTTCAAAAATGACAATAAAATGCTTGTCCTAATTTCAATTACTTTCAATATCTATTATTTTAATAAAATTTTCCGAGAAAAATTCAATTATTTAAAAAGAAATTTAATAAAATCGTACAAAAACATTTAATTATTGTCAAAAATATTAAAAATTCCACAAGAATTCAATTATTTACAATATTTTATAAATTTCTTCGCAATAATTCAATTATTTTCATAAATTTTTAATTATAAATTATTATAAAACAAAGAAATCGATCACTCCGAGTCGAAGACCGGAGCAATCAATATCTTCATGTTTTATAGCAAAATACTTTTATAAGTTGTTTAATTTCAAAAAGGATTAATTTAATGTCTTAATTCCTGTGGAAAAATAATAATAATTAAATATTTATTTAAAAAAGAAATTATTTATGTTTTTGAATAATTTTACAATTAAAAAAATTCGTAAAAATGTAACTGAACATTTTTTTTGAGTAAAATCTTTTTCCTTTATTTTCTAAAAATTCAAACATTTTTATTTTCAATGAAAATTTGTAATTGACAAATAGAAATTATAAACATTTGTTTCGTTTATTTAAAAAAAAACTAATGAATTTTATAAAAACAATTGTAATTAAAAAATTGAAATAATGTAAATCATAATTTTTTAACAAATTTTCTATTTTTTATAAATAAACAAGAGAAAAATTTGCATAATTTAGATCAGTCAAACGAAATTTGTTATTAAAAAAAGCTTATAATAAACAAAAATGGGTAAATTTTTCATTTGTTAATCAACCTTTTTTTTTAAAATTTTCTAATTTCTAATACCTATTATTTTATTATGAATTATGAAAAAATACCTGCAAATTTTTTTTTAAGAAAAAAAAAAACAAAAGAATACCCAAAAACTAACTTCAGGTGTGGACAGAATAAAAGAATGAATTATAGGATTATTATAGCTAATAATAATTAAATGATTAAAATGTGATTAAAATTAAACATAAGAATAACAGAAGGTATGAAACAATGCATAACCTAAAATGTCAATGTCAGGGCAAATATTTGCTTTGTTGACTTTTATTACATGTAAATAAACAGCAGGATATATTAATAAAAATTAGTATTTTTTTATTTATTTACCAATTTCATCTTCTGATACATCTTGCTCTTCTGTAGAAACATTTCTCCTTTTTGTCTCTTTTTGTTTTCTTGCATTAGTTTGAGATTTTTTGCCTCCTCTTTTAGAATTTTTATTACTTCTCCTCGTTGTTGGAGCCATTTCACTAATTCTTTTATTATTAATTACCCTTTTTTTAATAAAAAAGAGATTAAAAAACAAATAGAGCGCGTTGGCACCCGGCTCTTTAAATAGGTTAGAAAAAAACAGCGGGAAAACAATTCCTAATGCTCCGTTCACCTGAAAATATAGAAAAAGAGAGGAAATAAATGAAGATGCGCCTTTAAGGAGAACAAAAAGTGTTTCACGAATTTATGTGAGTGTTTACAAAAAGATATTTATACGTTTGACATCATAATTAAATTTAAAAAATTTAAATATGTTAACTACTCCTATAAGATTTATAATTTTTATTTAATAAATTAATAATTAAAAAAGGTGATTTATTCATTTAATATAAAATAAAAATATAATAAATTCTCAGAATTCTCATGTTACTTATATATAAGGAAAGAAATACAAAATTCTAATTGAAAAATTTATAACAAAGCATTACTAATAAAGTTTTTCACTTATTTTTCATTTTATACGCTATAATAGTGTTTTAAAGCAATTTTTTAAAAATTCCGCATTTTGAAATTGAAATCCGCATTTTTGCGCATGCGTCTCCGCAATCATGGTCATAAAGGTCATAAAGGCCTAAGCACAACTACTTTGCGAATGTCGTTCGCGAATGTAAAGCATGCGTTAGAAAAGGACACAAATATATCTCTGTTCTTTTCTAACCCATGCATTGCGTTCGCGAACGACCAACGACATTCGCAAAGTAGTTGTGCTTAGGCCTATAGAGTCTAATTTTTTAAATATCTCGCTTAAACGAAATTTTTAACCATAAGTTTATTAGGATTTTATGTTTCATTTTTAAAGAACTATTTTTTGCAATAATAAAAATCGATTTTATTTTTTTATTGATTTTATTATTGCAAAAAATAGTTCTTTAAAAATGAAACATAAAATCCTAATAAACTTATGGTTAAAAATTTCGTTTAAGCGAGATATTTAAAAAATTAGACTCTATCCCATACACTTTCTATACAATGTTTGTGCACCAGTTAGCATCCATCTTGAATTTTCCCCCACCGAACATAGCCTTATCAGGTCTGGCAACACTGCCAGAGAGTTTGAGAACTTGTTATCAAAAGTGATTAGTACAATTACAATTAATCAACGCCCTATACTGAAAGTGCAACAATTAAAGATTTTGTTTTATAATTTTTTGATTTGCGATTATTTACAATTTTCGCCAATCATGGCTCTACCATCTACACTGGAAAATCTGTTCAAGTAAAAGTTTTATCTTTTTGCCTGTTTAATTAAACAAAGGGAATATTATAATTGTTTTTTATTTGTTAATTATTTAATACATATTTAAATCTGTTATAAAATGTTTGAATTTTTTTGTTAACAAAATTAAATTATTTTTACTTACAAAACGAACATTTATAGCAAAATAATTTAATTTTTTACAAGCGTATTTATTATTGTACTTTTGTAATTTTTTATTATAATACCTACAATAGTTATTATTAAATAAATTAATTTTTTCGATTTTTGGAAGACGTATATAAAAGGTAAAAGAAAAACACTCTTACTTTTTTATAAAATCAGGTCACTTTAATAAAAAATTTTTTTATAAAAATTAATACAACACAATTTTAAAAAGAATTAAATTTAAACAAAAAATAAAAAACAATTTTTACCTATAGTTAAAGTCAATAAAATAAACATCACGTCAATAAATTAAAAAACCATAAATAAACGCAATACAACAAAAAAATAAAATATTTAAATTTACAAATCACGATCATACTTATTAAAACGAGTGATTAGTCGGATTAGTCAAACTGACTGAGCCGGTGACAATTTTCGCGTTATATACAGTCGATGGGGTCATGACCCGCAATCAAAATATTATGAATTATAACCATTATTTCAATTTATTAAGCAAAGAAAAATAAGAATTACTAAGAAACTGTATATCTTCCTTCTTGAAAATAATAGTAAAATTATTTCATTTAATATAAATCATCTCAGAAATTAATCGATTTTTATAAGAAATTTCATAATCTAAAATTTCTGCATCATCAAAATTAAAAGAATGATTATATTCAGTTTGATGTTTGTTCACAACAGATTTGTGGTTTTTGTTTTTATGCTCGCTAATTCTTTTTTCAAAGTACGCTTTGATTCACCAATATATGTTGCAGGGCAACTATTACAATTAAATTTATAAACAATATTATTCCGATCCCACTTTTTCGTCAAGTCCTTTCCTCTAATTTTATTACAGAGCTTAAGCTTTTTTCCACAATAGGAATAGAAAGTAAATTATATTTTTTTTAAATATTAGATAATTGATAATAAATATCATTAAAAGGAATACAGATTTTAGGTAGTTGTTGATAAATACTAACGATATTGTTAGTTTGTTTTTTATCTATTGTTTTATGAATTAATGAATGTTTTCGAATTTTAATATTTTTTTGTATAAATTCTAAAGGGTAATCGTTGTTTTGCAAAATTTTAAAGATTCGTTTAATGTTTTCATTATGAAAGGACTTGTGAGACAATAAAATTGCTCTATCATATAAATTGTAAACAATGTTCTTCTTTTGTTGAATTGGATAACGTGAAAAATAATTTATCAATCTATTAGAAGAAATGGATTTTTGATACAAATAATTTCTAGTTCATGAGTGAATTTTAAATTAATATTGAACGAATTAAACGAACCTGACCACCGATATGTCGTCTATTTTATAAAAAAGTAAAAGAGTGTTTTTCTTTTACCTTTTATATGCGTTTTCCAAAAATCGAAAAAATTAATTTATTAAATAATTGTGGAAGAATTTACTAAATATTTAAGTTATTATTAAATAAATTCAGAATAGATTGTTACGATAACCAAAATTTAGATATAAAACTTGGACTTTCAACTAATCTGGTTTCCATCAGTAAAATAATTATATTTTATCAATTTTGTAATTCCTCTCAAGTGTTTTTCTCTTCAAATTTTTCGGATTGAATATACAATTTGAATGCGTATTTTAAAAATAACTCATCGCATAATATAAAATTTAGCACTAAACATGTAGAATTTGTTTTTAGGTATATAGACGAGCACAAGGCGGAGTATATAAAAACTCTTGCAGAAGTTGTTGCTATAAAATCGGTCTCAGGTTGGCCTGATAAGAGAGATGAGGTCGTGAGAATGATGAAATGGGCCGAAAAGAGAATGAAATCATTAGGTTCATCGACTGAATTGGCGGACGTGGGCACGCAAGAATTACCTGGAGGAGAGGTGATTCCATTGCCACCGGTTCTATTGGGTCAACTAGGTAAAGATCCAAAGAAAAAGACTGTTCTCATTTATGGACATCTCGATGTTCAACCTGCCTTAAAGGAAGACGGATGGGACACGGATCCTTTTACTTTGGTTGAAAAAAATGGAAAGCTCTACGGTAGAGGAAGTACGGACGACAAGGGTCCAATTCTTTGCTGGATTCACGCTCTAGAAGGCTATAAAGCTTTGGGTATTGATATTCCAGTTAATGTCAAGGTAATCAAAACTAATCCTTAATTTTGTTTTATACTTCGGACTCATCTACTACAACCTACTACATATTTACTACTTTTCTTACAATTTCCTACTATTTAGATACTTTCTCTCTCGCCAACAGTTGAAATAAAAAAAAAGATTCTAAAAGTTGTAATAAAATTCTTTGGAACGATTACATTTTCAAAAAATTTTCGAAAATAAATGATTTTCAATATCTAGAATTTTAATAAAATTCCAAAAATGAATTTTGATAAAATTCAAGAATTAAATTATTTTCTCAAATAATAAAATTTTTTACGAGAATTCAATTATTTAAAAAAAAATTAAATAAAATTCTTCGCAAAAATTCAATTATTTTCATAAATAATATAATACTTATCAAAACTTCAATTATTTTTAAAAAAAAACTGATAAATTCTTTAATTCTTTCTTTAAATCTTTACAATTATCTAATTATTTTTCTAAATCATAAAATTTTTCACGAGAATTCAATTATTTAAAACGAATTAAATAAAATTCTTCGCAAACACTCAATTTTTTTATAAGTAATAAAATCATCACAGGAATTGAATTATTTAATATATTTCATAAAATTTTTCGAAAAAAATCAATTTAAAAGTTTTTATGAAATTCTACCTCAAGAATTCACTTAGTTCACAAGCAATAATAACATTTTCCATAAAAATTCAATTATTTATTAAATTTTTTTAAAAAATGCAGGAAGAATACAATTATTTTTGCATGAATAATAAAATTCTTCTCAAGAATCCAATTACTTTTAAATATTTTAATAAAATTCTTCACAATTATTCAATTATATTCCCAAATAATAAAATTTTTCACAAGAATACAATTATTTAAAAAAAAATGAAACAAAATTCTTTGCAAAAATTTAATTATTTAAAAAAATAACAATAAATTCTTTAATTCTTTTTTTAATTCTTCTCAATTGAGCTTCCGGATCAAAAACTCGATTTACCGCTTGAAAGGCTTAAATTATCGAAAATATTTAGATTCAAAAAAATACTTTTAAAGATTTATTTAAAAAGATTTAAATAAAATTCTTCACAAGAATTCAATTATTTTTAAATAAATAATAAAATTCTTCTTAGTAATTCAATTATTTTTGCTTCCTCGTGAGGAAGCTTTGTAGTCGTTTAATTTACAAAATATTTAAAAATCCTTTTAACAAATTTTCTTCTATATAGGACTATGTTATATAAGACTCTAAACAATTGTCCGGATGTGTGTGTGTGTGTGGATCCCGATTTTTGTGAACACGATAACTCGAAGAGGTTTTAACGAATTTGGCTAAAATTTACCAGGTATATTTATCATAAAAATATCTCGAAATGGATTGATAGACTTTAAAACATTCTCAGAAAAAAATTTTTTTTTGACTTTTTTCTAAAAAATCTTTTTTTTTTAAATTTTTTTTAAGTTGGTCATTGAAGTTAATATATAATAAAATCTTATTCTTTGCATCAAGACGAATCGATTGGTATATAAAAAGTATAAATTGTATGAGAATTTACAGAGTTAATCACAATTAAAGCTAAAAAATTCGCATTTTTATCAAAAAATGAGTTCTTTCCGCAAAATTATGTTGCCGTATAAGAAAATCTTACTCATTTATTTCTAAAATCTTATTCTTTGCACCAAGACGGATCGATTGGTATATATAAAGTATATTTGTATTTAAATTTATAGAATTAAAGCCAATTACAGACAAAAAATTTGCACTTTTAATAAAAATTCATTTTTTCTTAAAAATCATGTTGCTGTACAATAAAATGTTATTATTTATGGAAAAATAAATCAAAAATCTTATTCTTTGCATCAAGACGAATCGATTGATGTATATAAAGTACATATTCTATTGAAAATTATAGAATTAATTACAATCAAATTTGAAAAATTCACTTTTTTACTAAAAATTTTTTTTTATTTAGATTCATATTACTGTATTTCTATTAAGGCGAATGAACTTTATTTTATAAATGTTAAATTGTATTAAAAATTATTTAAAAATGAAATATATTTATCGTTAATGCTTCCTCCACGAGGAAGCAAATTTTTTTTGCTGATCGTAAAGAGGAAGCAAAATGTTCATGTAATGAACATCTGGATTTACAACTTGTTTTAAAAGTTGTTAAATTCTTTATAAGAATTAAATTTTGAGAAACATTCAATTATTCATTATTTATTTTTGTATTTAAATAATTGAATTTCATTTGAACTTTCTAATAAGAATTGATTTAAAAACAAATTTCAGTTGAAATTTTAGATAATAATTGAATATTAAAAAGCGTTATAAGTAGTTCGATTTTTTTAGAAATATTTAAATTATTTTCTAAGTTTTAATTTAAATTCTACTTCTTTTTTTTAAACTCCTTTGTATATACAGAAATTTGTAAAATGCAAACTATTCCTTTGTGGGCTTATTAGCCCTAGAAACGTATATTTTTAATAAATAAAATAAATAAATAAATTTCTTCAAAAATACTATTACCTATTTATTTAAAAATAATTTTTGAAAGTAAAATAATAAAATTTATTTAATTTTAATTTGATAAAATTTACCAATACCTAATTGGAAATTAAAATAAATAAATATTTTTAATTTTTAAGAGAATCTAAATGTAATTACATTTTTGAGAAATTCATTGAAAATTGTATGAAAAATAATAAAAATTCTCTAAAGGATTTTATTATTTATGAAAATAATTTAATTCTATGAAAAATGTTGTTATTTGTAAAATTAATTGAAGTTTTTTGAAGAATTTTATGAAAATTTAAAAGCATAATTCAGTCATTTCGAATATTTTAATTAAAATTGTATTAAAAATAATTGAATACTTACGATGACTTCTATTATTTATAAAAATAATTAAATTCTTATGAATAAATGCTATCAAAATTAAAAAAAAATAATTATTTTTATTTTAAACATTTTATTGAAATATTTTAGGTAATTGAATTTTTTGAAGAATTTTATAAAAATTTAAAAGAATAATTCAATTATTTCGAATAATTTAATTAAAATGTTCAATTTTTAGTTTTAGTAGATGAGTGCGAATCCTGAGTTTGTCTTCGAGAGAAAAAAGTGTGGAATTTATTGTCTTCTTCTTAAATGACTTTAGGCGTTTTTTCATTACAGTTCGTCTTCGAGGGAATGGAAGAAAGTGGAAGTGAAGGTTTAGATGAATTATTGTGGGCCCGTAAGGAATCATTTCTGAAAGATGTCGATTACGTTTGTATCTCTGACAATTATTGGCTGGGAACGACAAAACCTTGCATAACTTATGGTCTCCGTGGGGTGTGTTACTTTTTCCTGGAAATTAAATGCGCCGATAAAGATCTGCACAGCGGTACGTTCGGTGGTTCAGTTCATGAAGCAATGTCCGATGTTATTTATCTCATGAATTCCCTTGCTGACGTGAAGGGGAAAATTTTAATCGACGGCATTTACGATAATGTCGCTGAATTAATTCAAACGGAAATAAAATCCTACGATAATATTGAATTCGACATTGATGAATATCGCAGTAGTATCGGTTGCACTAAATTAGTTCACGAGGATAAGGTGAGCAGCTTTTTGAATTGAATAGAATTTGATCTAAATTAATATTTTTACTGAGATTTATTCTTTTTGCAGAAACAATTATTGATGCACAGATGGCGAAATCCGAGTCTTTCGCTTCATGGAATTGAGGGAGCTTTCAGTGAGCCTGGTTCAAAAACGGTGATACCGGGAAAAGTCGTTGGGAAATTTTCAATGAGAATTGTACCAAATATGACGCCCGATGAGGTGGAGAAGAAAGTGACGAGTCATTTGGAGAAACTGTGGAAAATAAGACAGAGTCCAAATAGTATGAAAATATTGATGAGTCATGGTGGAAAGGCGTGGACTGAGAATCCGGATCATCCGCATTACTTGGCGGCACGGATTGCCACGAAACATGTCTACAAAGTTGAACCCGATTTGTCGCGGGAAGGTGGATCGATTCCAGTGACACTGACTTTTCAAGAAGTCACTGGAAAGAATGTTTTATTATTACCAGTTGGTGCCGGTGATGATGGAGCTCATTCGCAAAATGAAAAGGTCGACGTTCGCAATTACATCGAAGGAGTGAGTATTTCTTCAATTATTTTTCAATATAGTTTCAAGTTACATTTCATTTGAATTTTCAAGATTTGAAATTGTCTTCAAATTGAAAATAATTTCTTGCAGACAAAACTACTTGGTGCATATCTTTACGAAGTTTCTCAACTTTAAAAAATCGAGTTTCCAAACGAAGCCTTTGTTTAATGCAATTTTTCCGAAATTGTGATCAGCACAAAAGACTGGTTTATGGTATGAAATACTTTTATTTTTCACTATTTTAATACATTTATAAAGAATTTATTATGCCTAATAAAGTTTACCGACTAAAAATGTTTCTAAAATACTTTTCATAATAAGTAATAGTTTCCCTTTTATTTTATTTACTACGTTTTCAGTTTTTAAAAATGTTTTTCGATTAGAATAATGAAACTAAATTCAATATAGACTTATTTTGGGAGAAAAAATATAGAGAATAGAGGAAAATGAAAAGCATTCACGATTTGTAAGCACATTTATCAAAAAGTACAGCAAATCAATTTTATAACAAGGTGTAAAATTGTAAAATCTGTAATAATTACAAATATGTATTTATCACTACCACCCAAGCTGGATTGCCTTTATGGGCTTCTACTGGCAAATCAATGAGAACGTAATTTGAGCGCTGTTCCCACTGAAAAGAAAATTAAAAAACAAAAATTAAGATATATTTTAAAAAAAATTTCGAAAATTCTTACCGTAAGTTCGTAGGGATAACCAAGAAGATTTATTGGAGTTAAAGCTGGAATATTGATAGCTGATAAGCCCAGATTATTATTTTTTGGCCACGAGAGTAGAATTGCGTATAATTTTGTGCCGTCTTTACTTTGCGTGTACCAAACATCTCCAGACAATGTGTCATTCTGAACATTCCAGGGTTTCGTTTTATAAATTGCCTCTCCGTTCGTTGATAACCAATGTCCTGAGACAAGAAGAAGAAAAAATTAATTTTCAAAATTTATTTTTCAATTTTTTTCCATATATTTTACCCATTTCACGAAGTCTTTCTTCGAAAATCGGTGAAATTATTCCCTCCTTCGTTGGACCAACGTTCATCAATAAATTCCCATTACAACTGACAGTTATGACTAATTCTCGAATTAACTCCTTCACGGACATGTAATCCTTCAGATCGGCATTCCTTCGAAAACCCCAAGATTTTCTGTCGATTGTCATACAATTTTCCCATTTATGAGCTTGCAAGACTCCTAGTTAAAGCAAAAAAAAGTAAAGAAAAATTATTTTTAGAATTTATAGAAAAAGAAAATTGTTAATTTATAAATTTAAATTACCAGGATCGTAGCGATCAGTGCAAGTGTAAAAATCACCGTGATGACAGGGAATGTCCCTTCCCCATCGATCATTGACAACTACTGTTTCCTTGACAGGACTGTAATTATACAACCAACTTAAGAATTCCTTCGACTCCCAATAAGTATCAGGCGCTTCCCAATCACCATCCGACCAAATTACTTCCGGTTTGTATAAATCAACGAGTTCGTTTAATTCGGGAATTATTTTTTGCGTGACAAAACTGTTAGTTGTGAATTTATTCTTCTTATCCTCGAGGTACAATGGATTGAACCATTCATAGAGAGAATGATACAGACCGAATGTCAAATTTGTTTTACTTCGTATTGCCTTTGACAATTCACCTAAAATTCAATTCATTTATATTATTAAAAATTGACATTAATATTGTTACAAATACAAGTACGCAACAAAAAGGCAGAGCTTACTTATTAGATCCCGCTGTGGTCCGACGTCCTTAGCATTCCAACTGAATGAATATTTCGAAGGCCATAATGTATAGCCCTCATGATGTTTACTTGTTAAAATTACATATTTCGCTCCAGATGCTTGAAAAATTTCACTCCATTGTGTGGCATTAAAAAATTCGGCCGTAAAATCTTTAGCAAAATCTTGATAGGAGAAATTTGGATGATAACGCTTTTTCATAAAATCCGTGTACAGTGGATTTCCAGCTACAAATGAAAGTACAATACAATACAATAGAAATCGAAATGAAAATTTATTTATTTATTTCAAGCTTCACATTATCATAAATAATAAAATTTTTTTAAGGAATTCAATTATTACTTTCATAAAAAATAATTTTAAATTCTAGAAAATAATAATTGAATTAAAATGATGAAAATAATTTTGATAAAGTTACAGTAACAATATTCTTATAATATAAAATAATGATTTTATCTCTCGGTCATCTTCAATTATTAGAAAACCTGAATAAATAGATCACTCCGAGCAATCGATATCTTCATGTTTTATAACAAATACTTTTATAAGTTGTTTAATTTAAAAAAGGTTTGAATTTGAATCTTTTGAAGAATGTTAATTCCTGTGGAAAATCCTGCTCCAAAAATAAGATTAAAAATAGGAATTGTGCAAATATTATTCTTCTTTTTCTAAAACAAAATAATAATTTTGTTAAAAAAAATTGTGATTCATAAACAAAAATAATGCAAAATAAATAAATTTTCTATTTCTTAATCACAGTTGTTTAACAATTTTCTAATTTTGTTTAGAAGTAAAGAACAAAAATCTGCATAATTTCAATTTGACAAAACATAATATTTAACAAAATTTTAGTCTTTTAATGAAAAGAAGTGAAAAAAATTCTGATGATTTCTATTTGTCATTACAATTTTGAATTAATTGAATTAATTATAAAATAAAAATAATTATAACACAATAATATTTAATTTATTTTATACAATCTATCTAAAGATAACAAAAAACAAAAGTATAAACAAAAGACAACTTCAGAGTGTGAGGAACAGAAAAAGTAAATGAATGAAAGAATTAAAGAACATTCAAATTATTATAGTTAATTATTTAAAGTAAAAATTTAAATGTTATTACAGTAGAACAATTAAAATAAATTTTCAACGATTTCAATTTAATAATCTTTTCAAATTTAATTATTTGTAAAAAAAATTGAACTATAACGCTTTTAATATTTAATTATTATCTCAAATTTCAACTGAAATTTGTTTTTAAATCAATTCTTATTAGAAAGTTCAACTGAAATTCAATTATTTAAATACAAAAATAAATAATATGAATAATTTAATGTTTCTCAAAATTTAATTCTTATAAAGAATTTACAAACTTTTAAAAAAATAATTGAATTACTAAGAAGAGTTTTATTAAAATTATTTTGAAAAAAATTGAATTGTTACGCAAAGAATTTCATTAAAATTTTTGAAAATAATTTTATTCTTTAAGGGCATTTGAACCATGATGACGTCACAGATTTAAAACTAATGCTTTGCACAAACTGTGACGTCATCAAGGTTCAAATCCCCTTAAAGAAATTTAATTAAAAATTTATTAAAAATAATACTTAAATTCTAATAAATAAATTGTAGCAAAGATTATTGAAATAATTAAATTTCTTTGATAAATTTTTAAGAATAATAACTTTTTTCGAGAAATTTGATAAAAATTGTATTAAAAATAATTGAAATTCAGCATTGAGTTTTATTTTTTATAAAAATAATTGAATTCCTGTAAAAAATGTTATTATTTATGAAAATAATTTGTAAATAATTGAATCATTGAGAAGAATTTTATTATTTATGAGAATAATTGAATTCTCGTAAAAAATTTTATTATTTGGGAAAATAATTGAATAATACATGAAAATAATTTGTAAATAATTGAATCATTGAGAAGAATTTTATCATTTATGAGAATAATTGAATTCTCGTAAAAAATTTTATTATTTGGGAAAATAATTGAATAATTGAGCTCCCGAATCAAAAAACTCGATTTGCGTTCGTACAGGGAATTTTCAAGTCAGTCAGGCCCCAAAAAAAAATAAAGGAAAATAAAATAAAAAATTTTTCAAATACATATTCTTGTAGATAATGAAAAAGCGCAACTCTTTTTCCTTAAAAGTATTTTTTCGAATCTGATTATTTTAGATAATTTAAGCCTTCCAAGCAGCAAATTGAGTTTTTGATCCGGAAGCTCAATAATTGTGAAGAATTAAAGAATTTTTTAATTTTTTTTTTTAAATAATTGTATTCTTGTCAAATATGTTATTATTTGGGAAAATAATTGAATAATTGTGAAGAATTAAAGAAAGAAATAAAGAATTTTTTAATTTTTTTGAAATAATTGAATTTCTGAGAATAATTTGATTATTTATGAAAATAATTGAATTTTTGCGAAGAATTTTATTTAATTCTTTTTAAGTAATTTAATTCTTGTGAAAAATGTTATTGCTTGTAAAAATAATTGAATTGTTGCGGTAGAATTTCATAAAAAGTTTGTAAATTGACTTTTTTCGAAAAAGTTTATGAAATATATTAAATAATTCAATTCCTGTGAAGGTTTTATTACTTATAAAAAAATTGAATGTTTGCGAAGAATTTTGTAAAAATTCAATTGTAGAATTTTATTAAAATTTGTAGATATTAAAAATCATTTATTTTCAAAAATTTTTCGAAAATGAAATCGTTTCAAAGAATGTTTTTTTATTTTGACTGTTGGCGAATTTAAAGTGAGGCCAATTTCCCCAAAAATATAAAGAAAAAAGTGGCTTTTAGTGTAATAAATCTAAAAAAGTATCCAAATGATAGCAAATTGTAAAAGAAGTAGTAAATAGTAATAATAAAAAGTGTGTTACCTTTCCAATTGTACCAAAACCATTCGGATCCAAAACTGGGAACACTGAAAACTCCCCAATGAATGAAAATTCCAAATTTCGCATCATCGTACCAAGTAGGCAAAGCTCGTTTATCCAAACTATCCCAATTTGGTTCGAATTTTTTTGAATGATCATAGGAAATTTGATTTGCCAATGAGGAGTCGAAGAAAAGGAAAATTGAAGACAAAGCAAATAAATAACGAAGAATCATCTTTGGTAATAAACACTTACGTGTTCACTGGAAAGAAAATTTTTGTTGTTAATATCTTTTTTCATTTTTAATTCTTTTCAATCAGTTAAATTATAATAAATTACCGGAATACAACGATTATTAATATAGATTGTAATTAAAAACAAAATGATAATTTCAATAGAAACAAATTTTTATCAAATTTAATAAACTTAAAATGAGTTATGTATACATTTTTGTAATTACGAATTACGCATGTATATTATTTATTTTGTGAGAAAATCGATAAAAAGAGTGCACTGACCATTAAAATTTTTTTTTATCCCCGGCACAAGAAAAGGAGAAAATTAATGTAGTACATAAAAGAAAATTGTGATTTCAAGTCCTTATTATTAAAAATACCTTATAAAAAAGTAATAAGAATTGTTTCCATAGAAAAACTACTATTTTCAACAATATCACATTTGTCCATTTGAGACAAAATCTTGATAAGCTTACATATTTAATTAGCTTTCCACTGTTGCACACAAGTGTAAACTGGTCACAACAATGACGAGCCAACACAAAGAAAAGTCGACAAAATTTGTCCACATCTGTCATTCAGATTGGAATTTAAAATTGCTAATGTAATTACAATAAATAATTGCCGAATTCTAATAGAAATATACCGAACTTGTTGGATTGAACAAAAATAAGTCAATTCTTGAACGAATTAAAATTACAATTATAATTTTCAAGAGTTTTCACCGTTTTTACAAATATTTTCGCAGTCTTCTTTTTGAATTTTGAATTGTGATTGGTGATTATCGAGACGAATGAAAAGAGAGGATTATTTGTTTCTTTGTAAACGCGCCTTGATCATTTTTGTCAAGGTCATTCGTCACCAGTCTTGATTTTTGATGGTCATTCGGTTTTTCTCCGGCAAAAATATATATATATAGTAAAGAAAAACAATTTTCTTATTTAAAAATGTTTAAAATATTAATTGAACCTGAAACTAGTGGTATAGTGAAACAATTAGCGACTCTTATTGAAAAAAGTGCAAATGAAGCAATCGCTAGTGAGGATATTTTCAAAATTGGCTTGTCTGGTAAGGATATTGTTGGGTTAAGGTTAATTTCAATAAAATTGATAAGTAGTTTTACTTATTATTATTTTAATTATTCTATTTTTCCGTTTGTCATTTTTTGTTCAAGTTGGACATTTTTTTGGAAATTTTATATCTTTATGAAGAATCAATCATTTTTATCAATTAAATTTTAAAGCTGATACAATGATCAATACTTGGCTCTTTAAATTTTTCGTTGGATAAAATATTTTTTTACTACTTGTTATTAAAATTGTTTATTGTCCTATTTTTGTAAAGTCTAACTTTACAAAAATAGTTACTTTTTATTAAAAAATGTTTATTTTTGTAGTGATAAATTTTTTACTATTTTCCAAATTATGGTAAATTTGATAATGAAATGTTAAATACGTTAAATACCTATTAAAACCATTTAGGTGGATCTATGGTGAATTTTTTGGTTGATGGCTTACCGACAATTTCAACTGATTGGAGTAAATGGCGTTTTTTCTTTTGCGATGAAAGAATTGTTTCGTTTGATCACGCTGAATCCACATATGGATCTTATAAAAAGAGCCTTATAGGAAAAATTCCAGTATCAGAGGATCAATTTATAAGAGTTGATCCAGAACTTTCTGGTAAGTTTATAACATTGTAATCGTAATAATAATTATTATTATTCAGGGTTGATACGCAACCTGGAAACCTGGAAATGTCAGGGAATTTTATAAACCTTGAAAAAACCTGGAAAAGTCAAGGAATTTTTATCGAAATCCTGGAAAATTGTTGTTTTCTAAAGTTATTGGGATTCTTCTTGAAATCTAATTTTTCTAAAATACTTCAAAATTAATTCAATTTTAAAAGAATTGCGTTTACAATTTTCATAAGTAGATGAGCTTCAAGAGATTTTGATTTAAAATTTTGTAAATTTTCAATTTTAAATGAATTTAATTAAAAATATAAAAAAAATTTTAAAACTGCAATTCTTCTGAAATAAGTTAAATTTTTTAATATATATATATAACTAGTTTTATTAAAAATAATGGATTTATAGATCAATTTTAGTTAAAAACACTAAAACAAATTGAATTTTGAAGCAATTACAAATGATTGCAGAAATTCAATTATTTTCAAAAGTAGTAAAAATCTTCAAAGACATTCAATTATTTTCAAAAATTTTAATTATTTTCAAAAACTTTCCTTAATTTAATGATTTTCAATATCTACTAATTTAATAAAAATTCCTAAAAGAATTTAATTAGTTAAAAAAAATTGTAATAAAATTCTACCCAAACATTTAATTATTTTCATAAATAATAAAAATTTCACATGAATTCAATTATTTACAAATTTTACCTTCATATATTATTCAATTATTTTCATAAATAATAACATTTACAGGGATTCAATTATTTTTATAAAAAATAAAACTCAATGCTGAATTTCAATTATTTTTAATACAATTTTTATCAAATTTCTCGAAAAAAGTTATTATTCTTAAAAATTTTATTAAAATTTATCAAAGAAATTTAATTATTTCAATAACATTTGCAACAATTTTTTTTTAGAATTTAAGTATTATTTTCAATAAATTTTTAACTAAATTTCTTTAAAGAATAAAATTATTTTCAAAAATTTTAATTAAATTTGCGTTACAATTCAATTTTTTTCAAAATAATTTTAATAAAATTCTTCACAGAAATCCAATTATGTTTAAAAATTAACAAAAATTCTCGTCAAAATTTCAATTATCTAAATAAAAAATTAAATTCCTCTCCGAAATTCAATTATTTTCAAAAATTATATTAAAATTCTTGGCAGAATTTCAATTATTTTTTATACAATTTTCATCAAATTTCTAAACAAATGAAATTATTCTTAAAAATTTTATTAAAATTTGTCAAGAGAATTAAATTATTTAAAAATTTGTTGATAAAATTCTTTATTTAAGTTCAATTTTAAGAAACATTCAATTTAATAAAATATTTATTTTTGTAGTTAAATTTTTGTAGAATAATGGAATTTTTTTTAATTATTTGAAGTTTTTAATTTCTAATATATTTAATTGAAGAATGTCAGAATAATCGAAATTTCGTAAAATTAAATTGTAAACAAAAGAATTTGAAAATTCACAAAGAACTTTTTCAAAAATTATTTTTAAAAAATTGACATAAAGAAGAATTCTTCTTTAGTTGAAAATTCTAAAAATGAATAATCGTAATAATGATAATAATTTTTGAAGAAGTTACAGTAACAAAGTAGCAAGTTTTAATTATTATATGTTATTGAATTTCAAATTTTTGAATATCTTAATTTCTATATAAAAAAAAATAATGATTAAATATTTATTTAAAAATAAAGTTATTGATGTTTTCGAATAAGTTTCGTTTTAAAAACCTGGAAAAATTCTGTTTTTTAACCTGGAAAACCTGGAAAAGTCAGGGAAATTGAAAAGATCAAAACCGTGGCAACCCAGTTATTATTTGTTTTTGAAAAAATTAACCAGATTCTTTTATTTATTTTTAGCGGAGGAAGCTGCAAAGGATTATATTAAGAAAATGTCTGTTTACTTTCCACCTGATTGTGTACCAAGGTTTGATGTTTTATTACTGGGAATGGGTCCAGACGGTCACACCTGCTCGTTATTCCCTAATCATCGTCTATTAGAAGAAACAAGTCTCTGGATCTGTCCCATTAATGATTCGCCAAAACCTCCTCCATCGAGAATTACTCTAACATTCCCAGTTATTAATAATGCTAAAGTTTGCATTTTCGCTATATCAGGAGACAGCAAAAAGAATATGGTGAAGGTAAGGAAAACAAGCCACCAAACAAAATTTAAATCATAAATAATGTTTTGATAAATGATAAATTAAAAATTAAAATATTTTTCTACACTAATTTCTTTAATCAAAGAATTATTTACTGAAAGTAATTGTTTTTTTTAAAGCGTATATTGAAGGACAAGGAAAACTTGCCAGCAACGAGGGTTCAACCCATTGACGGTTCACTCTATTGGATTCTCGACCAAGACGCAGCAAAATTATTGGACCAAGTTTCATTACAAAGAATAGAAAATTCCGATAACATTCCAACGTCTGTTTAAATTATTTTATAAGTGCAAATAATTTTTGTATATTTTGTACAGATCCTTCTCAAAAAATTCAAAAACAAAGGAAAAAATCATTATACCGAGCAGGATTGTCATCTATTTTATAGTACAATTTTTGAGCTTTATAAAAAAAACACACACACACACGCTGGTCTGATCGTACTTAATATTAATTTCATTAAAATATATTTTGTTGACAATTTTCAAAAAAAAAGAAAAAAATTACCGACTGTTATCGTTGAAACAAAAGCGAATGGATTTTTATCAATGCTGCCTTATTAAACAAATTTATAAAAATTTCTGCAAATGTTAAAAATATCATTAATGTGAAAAATCAAAAAAAAATTCTATGTTTAATTTTGCTTATGTAGCATTTTGATCTGAAATTAAAAATTATTTATAGCTTAATAATTGATAATAATTCTTCTTGGCTGCTTTTTTTTATAAACACTCTTAGGAAGACTTTTACAATTTTTAACAAGTAGGATCGATAAGGAAAATATTTGTTTGTTATGTTATCGTGATTGAAAAATAATAAGCATTTCGATTTTTTTCATATTTGGAAATCATAATACGAAGGTTTTAAAAAAATTAACAAATTTAATTAAACTTCTTCTTTTTGTCTTATTATTAATTAAACTGATATTAATTAACATCTAGTTAATTACATTTTAGTAACTAATTAATTATTTTATAAATTTTTCTTTTTAGTTTCTATTCAGATTATTCAATGTTTATAAATTTCAAATTGTTTCATTTTTTATTATAATTTAAAAAAATATATTATTTTATTGTTGAATTTATATTGCTTTGGTAAAATTTTGTCACACAAAAATATTGACAGATTCGATTATTATAAATACCTGATAATGTGATTAATTGCTTAATTAATAAAATAAATCAAAATGGATCGAAAAACTGAGTCCGAATATTTATTTGAGCGAGAAATCAAGAGATAAATGAAACTCTAAAACCTAATTTTGAATTAAATTACGATTGATTGATTAATTAAATTTATTAAATTAAATTAGGAAATTTTTTAAATTAATTTTCTTCAATGTACTTCTAGCGCCACTGGTGGCGATAATCAGATTTTCGGACACGAGTATAAATGACGTGGGACGCGAAAGTTTGTAGACTCTTGAAACACGTGTTGAAACAATTATTTCTAAAAAAAAGTCTCGAAAAAATGTTTTACTGTTAATTACGTTAATAATTTGTGGTTAGTTTAATAAATATTAACAACTATTAAAATGGTTGTCATAGGAAAGAAGAAGGTAAGTTATTCAAATTACTGACAATTTATTACAGCTTGTAATTCAAATTTGGAGTTTTTGAGGTTAGGTTCTCTTTAATTTTGTATTTATTTTTCCTTCAAATTTTTAATCTAAAGAGTGCGTATTATTACAAAAACTATTCGAAACAATAATAAATACTTTTAGTATTAAGTATTACATAATTTGAAAATAATTACTTTATATAATTATTATTGTAATTTCAGTATAAATCAGGTGAAGGAGCTCAATTCCTAACGAGGAAGTCGGCACTCAAAAAGTTACAACTTTCTCTCAATGATTTTCGCAAATTATGTATATTAAAAGGAATTTATCCAAGAGAGCCTCGCAATCGGAAGCGAGCTCAAAAAGGCAAACCAGGAATCAAAATTTTGTATCACAAAAAGGATATTCAGTTTCTAATGCACGAGCCGATTATTTGGAAATTACGTGACTATAAGGTATATAGTCTATTGTTTCTTCTTCTTTTTCTTCTTCGTCCATTTATTTTTTTTCTTATTTAATAAATTATTTTTTCGATTTTGGAAGAGGTGAAAAGTTCTTTATTTATTGCCGAAAGAAAAAGAGGAAGAACTCTTCTGCTTTCGTCATTTAATAACAGAAGTGATCTAAAGGACGAAAAGTTCCTAATTTTTACGATATAGTTTTATTTTCATAAATAATAAAACTCAATACAGAATTTCAATTATTTTTAATATAATTTTAATCGAATTCCTCGAAAAATGTAATTATTTTTAATAATTGTATTAAAATTCGTCAAAAGAATTCAATTATTTTAAAATTTGTTGATATAATTCTTTATGAGAATTAAGTTTTAAGAAACATTCAATTATTCAATAAGTTATTTATTTTTGTATTTAAATAATTGAATTCTAGTAGAATTTTCTAATAAAAATTGCTTTGAAAATGAATTTCAGTTAAAATTTTAGATTATAATTGAATTTTTAAAGCACTCTATCGTGGATTTTTAGAAATAATTGAATTTTCAAAAGGTTTTAAGTGAAAATCTCGAAAAATTTGAACTTTTCATACTTTTAACTGACAATTCTGTAGAAGAATTAATTTTTTAAAAAAGTTAAATTGCGGATTTTATTAAAAATTATTCATGGTTGCCACAGAGCCTGGAAAACCTGGAAAAGGTATGGAATTTAGAAAAGGGTATGGAAAACCTGGAAATAGAATGGAATTAAAAAAAATTTCTGGAATTTCGACTGTTTTTAAAGATTTTTAACAAAATTTTAATTTAAAATTATTATTCAATGATTTTCATAAATAAAAACATTTTTTTCAGGGATTCAATTATTTTCATAAATTCATAATAAAACTCATCGCAGACTTTCAATTATTTTTAATTTTTAATACAATTTTAATGGAATTCCTCAAAAAATGTAATTATTCTTAAATATTTTATTAAAATTCAGCAATGAAATTCAATTATTTAAAAAACTTTTGCTACAATTTTATTATTGCAATTTAAGTAGGGTAGAGTGGGGTAAAAAAGCCATGGTGTAAAAAAGCCATTTGAGTTTTATTTAAAAACTATTAAGCCGATTTATCAGCTGTTTAGAATATAAATACTATTAGGTAATACGCAACTTTTGAATCTAATTTGAATGTTGTACCTAGATTAATATTGTTTTTATTGTAATTTTAATTTTTTGTTGCTTTTTTGAAAACATTTTGGTGAACTTTTCAAACATATTACAATCTGATTAAGTGAACGAATAGTAAAAGTAAATGTTTGTACATAAGGAGAAAAGTATACCGAAAACGTGTACAATGTTAATTTTTAGAAATTGAACTGAATTGACAATTTATTTTTGCTTTTTTTAATAACTGGTCTTGGGTGTAAAAAAGCCAGGGCAAAAAATCCATTGAATATTTTGTGAAATTCACTTGTTTTCTATTTAAACTAACCTTCTTATTTTACAAAATTTCTCGTGTTTATTTAATAAAATAAATTAAACACGACGAAAAAGTAGTTCAAAGTGCATTTAAAAAATAAACAATGAATAAACGGTTGCAACGAAATATGTTATCTGTGGTAAAACTTAAAGAGAACTTCTAAAAAAGGTACGAAAAATTGGCAGTGCAAATCGAAAACAGGTAAACTTAATATAATTTTCAATTTTCCTTGCTAAAAACTCTTTCATAATTATTAAAATATTTTTCAAATAAGACTATTTGTCATATAAATAAAGGAAAAATATAAAAATACCTAAATTGATAACGTGTTTTGCTAAAATCGTAGGGTGGCTTTTTCACCCCACCAGGTGGTGCAAAAAAGCCACTTGCAGTGCTTTCGTAAAACTCTTATAACTTAGTCCTTTCATAAGATAAAAAATATTTCCGTCAAGAATTTTCAAGCTTAATAACTAAACTTTCAATAACAATTGGAAATTTGAGAAAAAAATTTTAAATACAGATTTTACAGCATCAAAAGTGAAAATGTGGCTTTTTTACCCCACTCTACCCTATTATTTTCAATACATTTTTAATTAAATTTCATCAAAAAATTGAATTATTTTCATAAATAATGAAATTCTTCGTAACAATAAAATTTTTTTCAAAATAATTTTCATAAAATTCTTTGTAGAAATTTAATTAATTTCAAAAATTTGTCAAAACTCAATTATTTTTAATGTCTATTATTTCAATAAAATTTCACAAAAAAATTCAATTATTTAAAAAGATATTTTAATAAAATTCGTCTCAGGAATTCAATTATTTTCAAAAGTATTCTAATTCTTCGCAGAAATCCAATTATGTTCAAAAATTTACAAAAATTCTCGTCAAAATTTCAATTATCTAAATAAAAAATTAAATTCCTCTCCGAAATTCAATTATTTTCAAAAATTATATTAAAATTCTTGGCAGAATTTCAATTATTTTTAATACAATTTTCATCAAATTTCTAAACAAATGAAATTATTCTTAAAAATTTTATTAAAATTTGTCAAGAGAATTAAATTATTAATAAATTTTGTTGATAAAATTCTTTATATGAAAATTCAATTTTAAGAAACATTTAATTATTTAATAAAATATTTTTTTTTGTAGTTAAATAATTGAATTCTCGTAGAATTTTCTAATAAATATTGATTTAAAAATCAATTTCAGTTAAAATTTTAGATTGTAATTGAATTTTGAAAGCATTATAGCGTGGATTTTTAGAAATAATTGAATTTTCTAAAGGTTTCAAATTAAAATCTCTGATAATTTGAAATTTTTATACTTCTAATTAAGAATTCTGTAGAATTAATTTTTTTCAAAAAGTTTAATGGAATTTTTTTTAATGATTTAAAGTTTTTAATTTCTAATACATTTTTAATTGAGGACTGTCAGAATAATCAAAATTTCATAAAATTAAATTGTAAAAAAAAAATTTGAAAATTCTCAAAGAACTTTTTCAAAAGTTATTTTAAAAAAATTGATTTAAAGAAGAATTTTAGTTGAAAATTCTAGAAATGAATAATCGTAATGATGAAAATAATTTTTGAAGTAGTTACTGTAACAAAGTAGCAAGTTTCAATTATTGAATTATTATTATTGAATTTGAAAATTTTTGAAAATTTTAATTTCTATATGAAAAAATAATAATGATTAAATATTTATTTAAAAATGAAGTTATTGATATTTGCGAATAATTTTCGTATTAAAAACCTTGGAAAAATTCAGTTTTTTAACCTGGAAAACCTGGAAAAGTCAGGGAATTTGAAAAGAGCAAAAGCGTGGTAACCCTGTTATTTGAGGTTTTTATTTTTTAATGTATATTTAAGTAATTGAAGAATTTTCAAATAATTAAAATTTTGTGAAATTGAATATTGTAAACAAATGGATTTGAAAATTGTGAAACAAGTTTTTCGAAAATTATTAAAAATAATTGATTTAAAGAAGAATTTTAGTTAAAAATTTTGAAAATATTAATTGAATTGAAATGATGAAAATAATTATAGTTATAAAAATTTTAATTTATACCTAGTTATAAGTAAAATGATCTCTTCTTTGACTCGGACTGGTTATATTTTTGTCAGTAGTTGATCCGTAATTTTTCATTTTTGGTCCGTAAAGTCCGTATTTTTAAATACTTTCACTGCTTCGATACAAAAGTTTTGTTTGAATTTCTAGATTTTCAATAAAAAAGTTGGTCGAGCGAAGGCAATGAAAGACTTTTCCGAAATGAAACGCTACTTGAGCAATCATCCAACAATGAAAATTGATCATATCGTGAAGGAACGTTATCCAACGTTCATCGATGCCCTGAGGGATTTGGACGATTGTCTCACACTTTGTTTTCTGTTCAGTACATTTCCATCGATGCCACATGTGCCAAGGGATCAGAGTCTCCTCTGTAGAAGATTAACCGTCGAATTTATGCACGCAATGATTGTGGCCAAAGCAATTAGAAAAGTATTCGTTTCCATTAAGGGTTATTATTATCAAGCTGAAATCAAGGGTCAAACAATAACTTGGATCGTCCCTCATCATTTCTCCTTTGAACCACAAAAGAAGAACGAAGTCGATTTCAAAGTTATGTCAACATTCGTCGAATTCTATATTGTTATGCTTGGTTTCGTCAATTTTAGACTCTATCATTCTTTGAATTTATTCTATCCACCAAAATTCAACACAATTGGTAATAACTATTACCATAACTTATAACCAAATTTTTTATTATAATAATATACAATAATTATAATTCAGCTAATTGGGAAATTTCTATTTTTTTTAGAGAAAAACGCGAGTGCTCTGGTCGATGAGGAGGCATTTGTGTCGGAGAGAATTAGTGCTTTGAATATTTCTCTACTGCCGGCGAATTCGGTCGCACAGACTTTAGAGGAAGAGGAAGAAGTCGAAATTGACAATTTTTCGAAGGTAAATATTGTTTTGTTGATATAAATAAATTGTTAAGTCTTAAAATGTGAAAAAATATTAATATTTACAAACTATCAAGTCATAATATCAATGAATTGTTATTTAATGTTGAATAGGATGCAGATCCAACAGCACAAGAAGAAGTAAGAAAAGAGGTGGAGAAAATCAAGACATTAAAAAATTTATTCAAGGGATTGAAAATTTACATAAATCGCGAAGTGCCAAGGGAGCCACTAGTTTTCATTATCCGTTGTTTCGGAGGAGAAGTTTCCTGGGATAAGTTGCTTTTCGTCGGCGCTTCTTTTGAAGAAAGTGACGAAACAGTGACGCATCAAATTATTGACAGACCAAGTGTTGATAAGGAATATTTGTCAAGGTATTTCAAAGCAAATAATTTCGATTGTTTATTTATTTATTATTTCTATAATTATAAGATTTATTTATTATATTGTTAAAGAGTTATTAGTTATAAAAGTTCTTAGAGAGTAATTAAAATTAAAGATCTTAAAGTGTTGTTAGAATTATAAAAGTTCTCAAAGAGTTGTTGGAATTACAAAAAGTTCATAAAGAATTATTTTACTGAAAATTAATATTCCGTACTTAAATATCAATTGATCAACTTTAGATATTACGTTCAACCTCAATGGATATTCGACTCTGTGAACGCACGAGAACTACTTCCTGTAGAAAAATATTTAATGGGTGCAGTACTTCCGCCTCATCTTTCACCCTTCACGGACAATCGACGAGATCAAACTTATATTCCACCTGAGGAGCGAGTACTCATGGATCCCGAGTATCGTCTTAATAATCGTAAATTTTTACACATTTCATTAAATTACTATTTAAGTATTTTATTCCCTTTGCCTAATTCTAATAATTTTTGCAGTCGAAGAAGAAGACGATGACGAGGAGGAAGAAAATGATGACGAAGAAGAAAATGAAGAAGAGGAAAAAGACGCGAGTAACGAACAGAAAGAAATTAAAACTAACGAAGAAGTCGAAAACGAGGAAAGTAAATCCGACTCCGAGGACGAAAAAGAAACCGAAGTGTGCGAACGAGAACAGAAATTAAAGGTAATTATATTTTGAATTATTAAATAGTAAATACAAAATAAAAATTATTAAATACAATTTAATTTTCCAATTTTCTAAACTTGTGGTTTAATTTTAATTATTTGATTTAATTTTTTTTATTTTATTTATTTTTTCCTTCATTTTTCTCTATTGAGTTAAGAATCGAAATAAATTTCTTTGAATTTCCAAATTTCGAAATAGAAAATGAAAACAAAAATGGGAGAAGTGACGAAGGAAATTCCTTGGGAAAAGGATCGCCAAGAGAGACAGGAGTATCGACTACGTGAAAAGATGGTTAAGAAGAAACATCGTAAATTATACAAGAGTATGATGAAAGGGCGAGAAGACAGAGCCAAGGAAATTTGGCTTTTGAGAAAAAAGAGACGCATTCACGAAACAGCGGAAAAGGAGAAACAAAAAGAACTCCGAAAATCAAAGAAAACTAAAGTTCAATAATATTTCTTTTATAGGTATGTTAAACTAATTAATTTTATTTCATTTATTATTAAATGACTATAAATTATATATCATTATATAATTATATTATTATAATTCAAAGAAGAAAAAGAAACCACACATCCCAAATAAACTCTTCTTTTTATTTTTCACCAATAAAATTTTGTTTCACCTATTGGAAATTCTGCTCCAAAATTTCTTTTTTTTCAGAGTTCCTTTTCTTACATTAAAACAAAAAACAGTTTCCTTATTTATTCCCTTTAGATATTTTAGTTCTTTTATTAATTAATTAATTCGATTTTTACAGGGTTGCCACAAATATTTAATTTTATTTTTCCCTGACCCTAAAGAATATTCTGATTCACTTTAAAAATTATTAGATACTCAAAAAATGTTCTATTACATTTGTTTACAAATTTCTTTAATTGTAAAACTATTCAAAAACATCAATAACTTAATTTTTAAATAAATAGGATATAATTATTATAATTTTTCCGTAGTATTTAAAATGCTTCAAAACATTCGAATTCAAACCTTTTTGAAATTCAACAACTTATAATAATTTAAATTACCATAAAAATTTTCAAAACAAAGATAATTATTTACAAAAATCTTAACAAAATCTTTCACAAGAATTCAATTATTTTTAAAAGCAGTAAAATTTCTCAAAAGAATTCAATTATTTAAAAAAAAAGTAATAAAATTCGTGGCAAGAATTCAATTATTTTCATAAATCCTAATAAATCAATATTATTCGGTAAATCATTTTTAAATCAATTTTTATTAGAAAATTTTAGAAGAATTCAATTATTTAAGTTAAAAAATAAATAATTTATTGAATAATTGAACGTTTTTTAAAACTGAATTCTCATAAAGGATTTTATCAACAAATTTTTAAATAATTGAATTCTTTTGAAAAATTTTAATAAAATTTTTAAGAATAATTCCATTTTCGAGGAATTTGATTAAAATTGTATCAAAAATAATTAAAATCCTGCGATGAGTTTTATTAATTATGAAAATAATTAAAATTTTTCTAAAATAATTGAATTTCGGAGAAGAATTTTATTATTTATAAAGGTGCTTGAAATTTTGACAAGAATTTTTTTTTTAATTTTTGAACATAATTTAATTTCTTTTGTTAAAAGTCAGTTTTTGGATCTTAATATAATTCTTGTTTTGAAGTTTAGGCCAAAGAATCCGAATTTTTCATTAAAAAATTTTGAAGACAATTTTTAAGTTTGTAATTTAATTTCTACGAAGAATTTTATTATTTATATAAATAATTGAATTCTTGCAACGACTTTTATTCAAGTTTATAAACATAATTGAATTCTTGAAAAGAACTTTGTTAAATTTTTTTAAATAATTGAATTCTTGCGATGAATTTTATAAAAATCGTTTTAAATAATTGCTATTATTTGAAAAATTTTATGAAATTTTGTATATTAAATAATTAAATTCCTGTGAACATTTTATTACTTATGAAAGTAATTTAATTATTTCGAAGAAATTTATTAAAAATTTTGTAAATAATTTAATTCCTGTAAAATTTTGCCCAGAATTATATTAAAATTTTTAAAAATTATTTAATTTCGAAGAAGAATTTTATTATTTATAAAGATAATTGAAATTTTGACGAGGATTTTTAAAACATTTTTGAACATAATTAAAGTTCTGCGAAGAATTTTTATAAGTTTTGAAAATAATTGAATTTCTGGAATCATTTGTAACTTTTCCAAAATTCAATTTTTTTTGTATTTTTAACTAAAATTCTTCTATCAATCTAGTATTTATGAAAATTGTAAAAATTATTCATTAAATAATTTATTAAGTCATAATTTTATGATAGTTTGTAAAAAATTGAGTTATTTAAAAAGAAATTATTGTCAGAAATAGAAAAAATTGAAAGTTTTGTATTAAAATCCATGGTAATTTCATAGTTTACGAGGCAAACAAAAAGAAACATCAAAATTTAGAGTTTTCTCATGAATTTTAAAAATTCAATTTTTTCCAGTACTTTTACTAAAAATCCGACTTTTCCCTGATTTCCCTGACTTGTGGCAACCATGTTTTAATTAATTGAGAAATTCGAGTGTAAATGTTTTTTTAAAAATAAAATCCAAAAATAGAATCGAATTTTTTCTGTCCGAATATAAAAAGATATTCAAACAAGTTGTAAAGTTAATGTATTTTATTATTATTACTATTTTTATTATTATTATTATTACTATTATTATTAATATAATTATTATTATTTTTATTATTATTAAGCCTATATATCACAGTGACACCATTTCAATACAATGCAATAATATAGAATTTGTATTTATATTGAATAATCTTTGGATAATTTGGAAGTGAGACATGAAAATTTTTGAGACTAAGCATTTTTTTGAAAAGCTCATAAAGAGGAATAAAATGTACGATTATATTTTTTGTATTTGAATGCGATAATATTGGATGTGTTGAGCTGTTTGTAAATATAGTTTTAAATATTAATATCAACATTGAATAACAGTGATCAATAAATTACATTTATTCATAGAAAAAGGCGTTCATGTTTCATATACATGGACATCGTTGAGCTAAGAATTAAAAAACAGAAAAAATTAAAAAAAAAAACTAAAAGAAAATAGTCAGGCTATTTACTTCGATAAAGTCATGATTACTCGGTCCCGGTAAAAATTATCTGTACACGACGCTAAAAAAACGCTTTCGATTTTGCGCTTTTAACGATTTCTTTTTAGAATATCGGCGTTAAGATTTTTTTTCTTCTTCTTTAATACGGGTAATATTTATTGCTTATTGTACTAAATTGAAAATTGTCTTCAGCGCTACAAAAAAAACTTTTTTCGCGTTATTTACAATTTTTTTTCGTTATTCCTTGTTTTAAATGCCTTTCGAATTTCGCGATTTAAAAATTTTTTTTTGAACTTCATAGCACCGAGGCTCCCATATAAATAGTTTTTCTAACTACTGAATAATGTACATAAATCGACACGAATATTGTCAAATATAAATTGTACACACAAAAAAAGTAGAGTTAAAATTAAACTCAATAGAAAATTTTTGGAGGAAATAAAAGAAAAAGATCTAAAAGAGTTTTTAAAAAATGAAAATTAAAAATTTTTCTGTTAAAAGATATTCTTTAAAAATTCGGGTATTTTTTTTGTGTACATTTTACAAGAGATAACTTTTTGAAGTATTTTTTTATTTAATTTAAAAAGGAATGAATAGCTTCGCAAAGAGACGCGATTAAATTTGAACGAATTGCCTAAAAATCGTTTTTTTTTTGTTTTTATTAGGAGAAACTTTTTTTTATTATTATTAGGCAAACCGTATATTATTATAAAAAAAACTACTATTATTGAAACAACGTGAAAATAGTAGAACGAATTCCGCTGATCGTGCTTATCACAGAATAAGTAGAACGTATTTTTTCTTTCTTTCTCTTTATCGATCCCACAGGGATTCTCACGAGTTAAAGAGAGTAAATTCGATCATTCGCATAATAATTTCAATTATTAAATACCTAAAGTTGAAGTGACTGAGAAAAAAGCTTTTTTTTTTGTCAATTCTGAGCCTTTTTTTTCCTTATAAAAGAGAAGATCTACCTTCGCCTTAAAAAAAGGCTAATTGGTTTCGTTAATATTTATATATTAGATGCGCTGATATTTCGATGAACTTCTCTCTATTCTTTTCTTCGACAAAATGATTAGGAAAAGAGAACTTTGTTCTTTGACGAGATTGAAACGTTTTTCTTCTCTTTCTCTCTCGAGAGTAAAAGAGAGGGAGAGAGAGAGAGAGAGAGAGATAGATGAATAAATAATAATTTACATTTGAGTAGAAATGACGATGAAAAAGAAACTAAGTTCATTTAATGAGCTTTTTTTGAAAACGTAAAAACGTGGAGAAATAAAGCTCGCGATTTTTTTTTCTTCTACACTAAGTACTTAGTTTATAAAAATTGCGGAATAATTTAATTAAATTAATAGTTCCTAGTGCGCATGTTCATCACGTCATGTTAACTCCTAAGGCCTGTCTTACATGCTCATAAACGACGTAACTCGTCGATACTGCCGGCGCAACCTGTACAAATTAAATATCATCGATTATTCATTAAATCAGAATAAATACTTTTGCCGAGTATTTTAATTTCTCGATTGCAAAAGATTTTCTTTTTTGCAGTCGTGAATCAAATTTTTGCAATTTTACTTTTTCTACGCACAGAAAAAATATATACTTGACTCAGATCCAACTAAACTTTTTATTTGGTTGGTATGAAAATTTTACTTAGTTCGAATAAATTTTATTTGTTCCGAACAAAGTTTAAAACAAATAAAAATAATTTAGTAGATTCTGAGAAAAAATATTTTTATTTCTCTCAATTAAATAATATTTGGGTTGAAATAAAATTTTTCTCTGTGTGTAAAATGTAGAAAATTTGATTTTTTTAGAGAAATTAGTTTTGAATGAAATATGTTTGACTCACTTTTAGAAAATTGGGTGTGAGGCCTCGGTATAAGCCTCGAAATCCTTCACGATGAAGAATATTTCGAATAACACAGATCATACTGGAAGAACTTTCAGGTACAACCTGAGCTTGCAATCGTGTTCTGACTAGAGCTAAAGGATACGAGCAAACTTGTCCTGCTGTGCTTGATATTGTACCACAAAATAGTACAAGCCAAATTGACGGATGTTCATCCTTATTGTGCGTCCTTATATAATTATTCTTTAGTGTCTGTGAAATAAAATCGAAAGATTTATTATTATCTTGTACTGTTTTTATTTTATTCAATAGCTTTTTTTTTTTTTTTAGTTTTTTCCAAATACTCTGTTCTTTTTGTTTTAATTTATTTTCTTGTAACAAAACTAATTTTTAATTTTCTCACCTCATACACAGCCAAATCAATTCCTGCGTAAGGAAGAATTCCAATTAAATTTGGAACGTAGCCTCTGTAAAATGTTTTTAGACCCCCATGACTGTATATTTTTTTAGCAGCATCTGAAATTCCGCTGAATTCTCCTGTTTTTCTCAACGCCAATCTCGTCTTCATTACCTTTAATTGTAAACATTTTTCTTATTAGTTTCGACAAAATAATAGAATTTTTATAATAATTGTTACTATTTTGTAATTAAAAAGGCATTTTTGTAAAGCATAGGTACAAAAACAAAAAATTTAAAATAATTAAAATAACGGTTTTAACAAAAAAGCAAGAAAGCAAATAATAATACTAATTATAATAATAAATAAAAAACGGTTAAACGATTTTAACAAAAAAAAAGCAAGAAAGCAAAAAAAAAAAAAAATGCTAAGAAAGGGTTCACAAATAATACGAATAAAAATAACAATAAGAAGATGAAGAAGAAGACAAAAAAAGAATAATAATATAAATAATAAAATGATAATAACGAATAAAATTGTACGTGAAATTAATGTCTTTTTAATCAACGGTTTAGAAGTTGCATTGGAACATTATTCGTGCAATAAAAAAATGAAACTCACTTCTAGGGGATAAATAATCGACTGACTAAAGCCACCAGCTACGGAGCCAGCGATAAACCTTTCATAAATATTGAGTTCTTTGTTGCTGTTGATTCCTTTGATATATCGTTTGACTTGCTCGTAAGCAGCAAATTTTAGGGCAGATTCGGGACCTATTTTAAGTACATTAATTCCATTTCCTCTCCAGTAACTCGTTACTCCACCTTCGCGTAACATATATTTGCCACAACTAAAAATATTGCAATTTCGTGTCCCGTGGACCTGGAAAAAAATATTTTACGTAGATTTTAATTTCTTTTTGTTCTAATTCAGCTATTTTCTTATATTTTTATTTTCTTTTCTTCTATTTTTTTGTTAACATCTTTTTGTATGCTCTTTGAAATCTCTTTGAATAATCTTTAAACTTTCTTTGAATTAATTTTTCTTTTTTAATGAAATAAATTTGAGAAAAGAATTTTTTTTACTTTCTTTGACTTAATTTTTCAGTTTTAATGAAATCTTTTTTAATTTGAAAATGGAATTTTTTGAGAAAAGAATGTTTTTTGACAAAAATATAAAATTCTCTTTGAATATAATTCCTTAAAATCTCTTTGAATACTCTATTCAAACTCTCCTTGGATTGATTTTTCTGTTTCAATTAAAATCTTCTTAGAAAAAATTGAATTTTTTGAGAAAATATCTCTTTTCTTGGTAAAAAAATATAATTTACCTGCAGATAAACTTTTATCCGATCCAATGGCGCTGTGCAAGTTCGAGAAACAGCACCAGCGATTCCTCCGGCGAGTAAATGTCTCCACCACATACCAGTAATCATTTCGCTATTTGTGAAATCATCGGGAACTCCAATATCCTCTCCAATGTCCATATACTAAAATCATGTCCAAGAAAAAGATTCAATTAAAGGGAGTTTTTTTCTCAAATAAAAAAGAAAAAGTAGAAATTAATTTTTTTTTCCAAATCATATCAAAATTTATTCACACCTTTCATTTTTATTCGACATTTTTGTTCTTGCAGAAAAATTCGTTTTGAATAAATTGCTTTTTTTCTCTTTTTAATTTTTTCTTTTATACACTTTTAAATCAATGAAATTTTCTTCTGTTTAGTTTTTTTCTATACTTTTTAATTAATGAAGTTTTCTTCTTTTTAATTTTTGTTGTATTCTTTTTAACTTTTTTTATTTAATTTCCAATTAATGAAATTGTAATAAATTTGATTTCCATTTATTTTTACCTCGGCGTCTGATAGATAAAACTAATTAGACATTATCGGGCTTTATTACATTTTATTTTTAATAGTTAATTATGAATAAAGAAGATTATTAATTAATTATCATAAAGTAATTAACGTAAATGTAAAAATAAAATTTTCGAATAAATATTTCTGTCAAGAACCACGTGAGAATAATCAATTCTCTTCACATGACATTCAAAGCAATTTTTCTCTTAATTGCAAAAATATTAAATCCACTCGATAAAACGTTTTCTTCGAGAAAAAAATATTAATTAAGATATGATTATTACATTCTATTTCTTTTGAGTAAACAAATTCTGATAAAGAGCCAAATTAAAAGAGCAAAGGAAAAATGTCGAGTTGAAAATTTGAAATTAAAACAAATTTAAGAATGAGTCTAAATATTTTTTGTCTTTTTTTTGTTTAGAGAAAGAAAAATAATATTTTAAAGATAAAAACTAGGGAAAAAAGTTTTTTTTTCACACTCAATTTTACTCGTTCGTTCACATCATTTTGACCAAAGTGCCAATTGGCTCTTCTCGTGATATTAATCGTCTCTCACATCGCTATCTGTTGCCTTTTTCAAAACTGCCTTGAACCGGATTCATATATATTGTTTGAAATTAAATTGCAATTTGTGAATAATCAGGAATAAATTTACAATAAAAAAACGGAAATTAACATTTTGAAAGACATGATTTAAAATAATTTACAAACTTTTGAAAATTATTAACAAACTTTAGAAAATTATTTCCTATAAAGTTTGAAAAATAATTTACAAAATTCCGAAAATTATTTACAAAGTTTAGGAAATAATTTACAAAATAATTCACAAAGTTTAGAAAATAATTTACAAATTTTAGAAAATAATTTACAAAGTTTGGAAAATAATTTACAAAGTTTAGAAAATAATTTACAAAATTTAGAAAATAATTTACGAAATTTAGAAAAGAATTTACAATTTAGAAGAGAAAACATTCAATACGATGTAAAACGAAATTTATCAAATATTTTAGAAAACATATTTTTTTTCAACAAGTGTGTAAATACAGACTGACGAAATTTCTCTTGACATTTGATTAAAATTCATTGAAACTTTTTCCTTATTATTAACACAAAACAGCTATTGGCAAAAAATATTTTTTTTCAAAAGAAAAAATAATTCATCGAAAAACAAAAATTAGAAACTAATCTACGCAATTTCTATTAATTTCACTACGAGGATAATTTTGGTACTTAACTTGAAGTGAATTTCAAGTAAAAGGTCACTCTCGATATTATCCAAGGAATCCATATTCGATGTTTCTTCTGTTAAAAATCGTATTTTTTTCTTTTCAAGTGTCGAATAGATTTAGCAAAAAAAAATTTTTTTTTGTATAAATTTGCAAAAAAATGTAAACAAGGAAAATGTTTTTTTTTTCCTAGTTCAATAATTAATTGAGGAAACAAGACACAAAAAATCACACTGACGAGGCACACTGAGAGAGGCGAGAAACCATCCAAGCTTCCGCTATAAAAGAAGTTTAAAATGGGCAAACAGCCAATGCATTATTTGGTGCCTGGCCCAATGTCAGGTCTAAATATTTTATTCGGCCAACGTCTTCACTATATCCTTATTCAGCTGACAACTGCCTAGGTCATTGAATAATTTATTTTAATAAACTTTTAATTATCTAATACACAAGCGACAGACGACAAAAAAAATCAGAGAATTTATTTTCCCCAGGCGAATTTTTTCCTCAATTTATTCAAATTTGGAGAAAATTACTATTTTATTCAGTGCGACATTTACAAACAAATTTAAAAGAATTTTTATTTTTTATTTAAAAAAAAAAAATTGAGGAATAAATAATTCCGTAAAAAGAAATTTCTGAATTTGAAATTTACTTTTTTGAAAAATAAAGTTCAAGTTTAAACTTGAATTTTATGATTCGAAAAGAAACGTTCATTGGAGATAAAAAGTTTTTTTAGTTTCAGATTGCGAAGTAAGTTATTCGTTATTACTATTCCACGTGTGTTGTAAGGGTCAAATGACTCTACTGATCTTATTCAATGATAATATGTGCACTGAGACATATGAAACTTTTGTTAAAAGAAAATACAAAACTTTTTTGTTCAATTTGTTCGCTAAGTGAGGTCGTACTTTAGAAAAAACTACACTAAACATCATTTAATGAAATTTAGAATGAAATTTACAAAAAAGAATTATTCGAGAGAAAAAATACCAATCCATAAAAGTCTCTACCAGTCTGAATTATTGAGACATATTGAGCACAAAACAATTTCAGATAATGAAAAACCAAACAGCTGACACTCAACGGATTATGGAAAGTGATGGAAAGTAATAAATGTCTACTTTGAACTCTAATTGAGGAAAAAAATCCAGACCAGGATTTCATAAATCTTTCATTTGCAAATTTAATTTCCTAGAAATATTCCAATATTCCAGTATTTTCCAATTTACGAATTTTCAATTTCCGAATTAGCAATAAAAATAAAATAGTAATAAAAAAGGAAAGAATTTTACACTCAAAAGTCAAAAGATTTTTTTTCCGTTTCATAAAAGTGACAGGCAGACCTTGAAAAACAACTATCGAACCTTGAATTAATTTTTTTCATTGCTACAACTTACTAGGGCAATAAAAAAATAATAAATAATTAAAACGAAGAAATCTATTGAAAGAAAGTAAATTAACGTAAAAGGGCAAATTATTTTCAAATTTACAACTAGATAGCAATGAAAAAAAGGGATTAACTATTATCAAATTCGAAGAATTGGAATGAATCACAAAATTGTCATTTCCCTCGCATCCGGAAATTTTTAACCGTCACCTTATCAACAAAAAAATTAACTTCAATCATCAAAGATGATAACAATTTCATAATCGAATTATTTTTCTATTTTTAATAATTTTTTTTTCGCAAAAGAAATCATGAAATGGAATTTGAACTCGATAATAATCATTTCAATTTTGACGTTTGCCTGAAGAAAATATTTCCAACTCACATATACTTTATACAATTTAGCGAATCAGGAAAAGAACTTCAAGATATTTTACAAACCGTCACTGAATTTGTTTACAAACATATTAATTATTTTGCAAAATTTTTTTGAATAACAATAAATGATAGAGAGAAGGGAAAATTTTGTTAAAAATTTTGAAAATCTTCGCTGGAAAAAAATTTAGAAAAGTAGTTTTTTATTTTTGAAAATATTTTTATATTCTAAATTGTTTTTACGTTTTAAAATACTTTTGTAGTTTAAAATATTTTTGTATTTTAAATATTTTTGCATTTTGAAATATTATTTTCGAAATAAATCTTCTTTCGAAATTTTCTTTCAAAATATTCGCGACGAAAAAATTGAGTCAAATAGCAAATAGAATTGATCAGCTGACTTGAAAGTATTTTAATGCACTAGAGAAACTTTCCCTGTGCGAAGGTCGAATAAAATAATTTTATTCGGATCTGATTTATGAATAATGAATAATATAAAGAAAGAAGTGAAATTAATCATTAAGTAACTCGTTTTCTTTTGGGAAAAAAATCCACCTGTCACTATCAATACTCATAATTTCTGATTCATAAATATTCACGATTAAGGAAAACTTGACTTTTCTACCTGAGTTTTTGGTCCGTCAAACGAATTTCAATTTTCGTAAAAAGAAATTTACGAAATTTTTCAAAGATGGACCAAAAAAAAGTCCTTAAATAATTATAATAGATAAATTCGAAAATAAAGCAAATTTCCATCAAGAGCAAGACAAATTTTTCTAATACGAAAATTTGAAAATTATTCAGAACTTTTCGATAATATTTTTCATTCAATACAGAATTAGAAGAGTAAAATAGAAGATCTTGTGCTCTAAAACGGCGGTTGTCCTTTCTTAATATAGAAAGACTCATACATAGAAAAGATTCGTTCACGAGATAGAATATTCTTGCTTCAAATACTCCCCAAGTAATTTGTCCTCAAATGAATTTCGAAAAAACAAATTTTGAAAAATGCTTTTTAATTTTTCAGCAGTTTTCCAACTAGTGAAAAATCGGGACTTACCCGTTCGAGAAGTTTTCGATATTGAGTAAGAAATTCAATCCAATCGCGGCAAGAATTTTCGAAATGATCCTGTTCCAACATTTTGTTGATAAATTTTTATCCGTCACACAATTCACAACAAAAAATGACTTTCTTCACACACTTTGAAAGCACATGGAGTTGTTTGCAATGAAAAAAAATTGCAAATTGACAATTAGAGATGAAATTTTAACGAGCATGAGGAGCTCGGCGACCGGCATCGATACCGAGACTAAATTTTAAATCGAGAATTCTCAATACAAAAGAGAGAGAGTGTCGCGACGACTGTGTAATCGGAATGAAGATAGCGACTGGGGTGCTCAGTCAGGGGAATTCTCCTCCCACTTTTCCAAACGGTATACACGCATCGTCGTCACTCGGGTTTAACTTGTGTGATTAAATACGTCATTTTATGTTACACCGAGACAGACAACAGTTGGCCTACTCTTTTAAAAAATAACGAGGCCTCCAATCGAGAAACTTTCCTTTATCCAATCTTCTCTTTCTCCCATGTTCCAAAAATTGCATATTTTGTCTCTACCAAAGAGCATGATCATGATAATGATGATGATGATGATGATGATGATGATGATGATGATGATGATGATGATGATGTAGAAAAATGTCCTTGAATATAATCAGTGATTCGAAAACAACTGACATTCCCAGAAGAAAAAACAAGTTTCAATATCAACATTAATTCACGTCTTTTTCATAGAAACCGATGAACTGGAATCAAAATTCTTTTAAAAAATTGGTAATTTGAATTCAACAAAATTCTTGTCGATTTATTTCGCCTTTCGCTGGAGTTTGACTACTTTCAGTAATCTGGAAGAAAAAGAATATTTATGAAAAGGAAACTTTAATAAATTCTAGAAAGTCAATTTATATTTTTTGGAGTACCTCGAAATTCCATGGTCCAAATATTTCACATACGTTTATATATTGTCCAGGAGAAATATTTCTTTTACTCCGACAGGTAAATGAAGATCGAAATCTGTCTAGTAATTAATATTCGCAAAACAATAATTAAACTAAAATATATAACTTTGTGTAATAGACAGATTAAATTCATAGAAAATTGCGATTTATCTTATTCTAGATCAACTCGGATGCACTCGATTTTTATTGCGGTCATGGTTACTTCATTTCTGGTTTTCTACTTTATTGAGTAAATTTCGAAGAAAAATTTCTTCATATAGAAAAAAATTTCTAACTGCTAAATTTAGAAACAAATTTCTAAATTGTCAAATTAAGAAAAAAATTTTGTGTTGTTTCTAAACTTTTAATTTTTTTCCAAACAAAAAAATCGTTTTCTAATTAAAATCAGATCAGGAAATAATTTACGAGTAACGATAATTCTCTATTATCTATTGTTTTTATGTTTTGAGATACAAATGACAAAAAAGTAATGATAAAATTAAGGAAAGACATTGAGTTTAAAAAAACTACTGTTCGAAAAAACAAGGAAAACGAATAAATTTAAACATTTGTTTCCTTGTGAAATTGTCAAAAGAAATTTCCTTTTAGATTTCGTTAATTGGAATTAATTTTTGTCAATTGAAATTCCAGAAAAAAATTCATTAAATTGAATCAATTTTTGTCAATTCAAATTCAACAAAAAAAATTTAATTTGAATTAATTTTTGTCAATTCAAATTCAACAAAAAAAATTTAATTTGAATTAATTTTATTCTCAATAATTAAAATTCAACAGACAAAATTTTTACTTCATGACTAATTAATCTCTCCTTTCGGTTTGACATTTAATCATCCAGACGATTTCCGTGATAGATTAAATTATATCCAGTAAAGTCTTGATTTACAAAATATTGCATTCCTGCGACAAGAGAAAGAAAATTCATTTTCGATTTTTTATTTTCAATATTAGAAGTAAATTTCAATAGTGGTCAATTACAATGGCAGTAAGTTTCCATGGTAGTGAAAATTTCAAGGAGGAAAATAAATCGACGATAAAGTAATGAATAAAAATTTGCAAAGCGTGGATAATATTCATATTTGGTTCGAGTCGTGCATTGCTACGATTATATTCTGAGCGACCATGACGTCATTCGCGTGCTTCATACACTTTTATGACGAAATATTATATGCATAAATTAAACGACCTGCTAAAAGGCGAAATAATTGTCGACACTAAATCCTCTAAAATTCGAAAAGAAAAAAGAAATTAAACTAAATAATTTTCACTAAATCCTCTAAAATTCTAAAAACACAAAAACCTATCAAAATTAAAAACAATTCGTTAAAATCTCAAAAAATAATTAACAGGAAAAAATGGAGACATTTTTCTAATTCCTTTCACGTGAAATATTTTCTTCAATGAAGAAGTCTCACAGGTGCAAAAAAAAGAAATTTATAAGGAAAATGACAATTGATAAACTTATATATCAGTCATAGAGGAAAAAGTGAGATAATGCTACTCATCAATGTCAGCAGTATATAATTAATCAGTTTAAAAAGATGAGATCGATGAATATCAAGTCACCATCATCATCATCGAAAAGAATTTCTATAATTTCCAGACACAAATGCGCCACTTGTTCAGCTTGCAAGAAAAAGAAAAAGAAGAAAAAAAATTACCAGACGTAGTTCACAACTGGAAAATATACACCGTCACATATTGAATATATCAATTCTTTTCTCAATAGAACTAACAACTGATAATATTAGTTGATTAATAATCGTTCTTGCATGACATTACGCAATATAAAAGTATCGTAATTTACGAATTGTTATATTATACAAACTATTATTATTATTACGAATTTAGTTCATTTTACGATTATTATAATTTACTAGGTTTTAAATAATATTTCTACAATAATTACGAACTTAATTCATGTTTACGATTATTATGATATATAAATAATAAATATTATTTAAACGATTATATTTATATTATTATAAATAATATTTCTTGAGTAAAGAAACATTTAAATAAATAAATTTTTAAGAAAAAATATTTAATTTTTCAACACGAAAAAAAAATTCAGTAAAAATTGAATTAAATTCAAAATAAATACAGAAATAAACATTTTTAATAGAAAATTTAATTTGTTTAAAAAAATTCTTTGGTTGATTTTCTTCGAAAGAAAACGAATTAAATATTTCCGAGAGTCTTTTCTTTTTATGATAAAAATAGAAATTTTAAGAATATCATTACTATTTTTCAAATTTAAATTAACTCCGACAGACAAACTTCTGCTTAAAATGGACTTCAATTTACACAATTTACAAAATGATTGTTAAAAAAAAGAGAATCTAAAAATCATATGAATAAATAATTAACAATTTTCTCAGACTGCAAAAATGTGTATTTAAATTTAAAGATAAGGTGTTAAATTCAAGGTCCCAACTTTATGACAATGATAATAAAAAATTAGACATTCAAATAAAAATAATATTATTATTAATAATAATATTAATAATATTTATCAAAAATAAAATTTATTAAATATTATTATTAAAACTAATATTATTATATCAACAAGAATATTAACAATTAAATAATCTAGAAAAAATGTACGAGAAAAAGTACGAATTTAGAAAGTAGAAATTAGAATTATCTAATCTTTCAGAATCAATATGAAAAGAAGAAGAAATTCTTTTAATGGCCAAATTTTAATATAATTTTCCCTTTTTTGTCAATAATTTAAATTTTATTAACAGAACCGAAATTCTAATTCACTTTATTGGTAGTCAAAGTGTTATGTAATTCGGGAAACTCGTTATCGATTTAAATTCACCAAAGACATTAGAAATTCTCAGTATTTTTGGAAATCGTCTTCAAAATTCCTTCTTATTAAAACTGAATGACTGTCAATTTCAGAAAAATAGTAAAACAATAAAAAAATTTTTAAAAATGACAATTATTATCCATAGCGCCTGACACTCAATTCACAATTGAAGAATCACTCTCGAATAGAATAAAAGATACTCCAAATTTCTCAGAACAAAAAATAAAAAAGTCAATTAAAAAAAAAACTATTCGACACTTGCACTTGAAAATAACTGACCTACTGAAACTTAATTTACAGCATTGTATTTGAATATACCACTTAGGAAATCGAATCAAAATTTAGAAACTTATGATCATTGGATCATCACAGAAGAACTAAAACAAAAAGATTTTGTTGAAAAAAATTCTTTTTTTCACATGTTGTCTCTAAATAGAGGTGATATTTTGAAAAATTAAATCAAGTTTTCGTTGCAGAAGATTTTAATAGTAATCTATGATAAGAGAGAGAGAGTAAAAGGTGCGCAAGACGAGATGAGGGCCAAAGGGAGGTTTGAGAAATATTGCGCATGGCTATCAGAGTTTTAGTGCCGGTTCTTTCTTGAACAGCTGGATTTCAAGGTCATTTTGAATAACACGCGAAAGCACTGTGAAAAGCTATACGTCACAGAATGTAAGAGACGAGCCCTCTTCCTCGACGAATCAAAACGACAATCAAAATTGTCGTCACGTTAAAGTATAATGTTTAATCACGTAACACATGTTACCAAAGAGAGAAACAATTTGCAAAACGATACAATAGCCGCACTAGTCTGCAAAAACTAAAATTTCAATTTAGTAGAGAAAAAAAAATTAAATAAGTTCAATTATACTTATTAATAATAAAATTATTTGAATAAGAAATTTATTTCTTTTTTTTCCTATTTTAAAAATAAATTTTTCATTTAAATAAAAATTGTAATAAATTTGTCAGCTATCAATTTATAAGTTAATTTTTCTTTATGAATTGAAAACTTTAACTAATTCAAATTAAAATTTAAACTTCTGATAATTTTCTATTGTCTACGAATAGGAATTTTCGTAATTACTCACCGTAGAATGACGCCAATAATGAATAAGTTCATGGATATTTGTACTGGGAGCGTAGAGTAAAAAATCTCTCCATTCATTGTAACTAATATTGAGACTCCCATCTTTGTCCATTCTACAAAATGCGTGCAATTTTAATAATTTCTCGAGTCACTTCGAATTTTTTATCAGACTGATTAAGAGAGTAAATACTTTTTCTTTTTCCAATAATTTTCAGAAAATAAAATAAAAACCTTTGCAATAGTTTCCTGGCTTCTGCTCTCTCCATTTCAACTCCCAAATCCTTGAAGGCTCTAATTAATTCCTCGAGATCAATTTTTCCTGAAAAAGACAATAGAATCAGTATATTTACACGCAATTATTGAGAAAGAACACTGAAAAGTTCAAAGTTTTAGATTGGATTTTAAATTAATTAGTCAATGGGAATTGAAAATTTAATTAAAATAATATTAAACAAGTTGTAAATCCAGATGTTCATTACATGAACATTTTGCTTCCTCTTTACGATCAGCAAAAAAAATTTGCTTCCTCGTGGAGGAAGCATTAACGATAAATATATTTCATTTTTAAATAATTTTTAATACAATTTAACATTTATAAAATAAAGTTCATTCGTCTTAATAGAAAGAATAAAATTTTCTTATACAGTAATATGAATCTAAATAAAAAAAAATTTTTAGTAAAAAAGTGAATTTTTCAAATTTGATTGTAATTAATTCTATAAATTTAAATACAAATATACTTTATATATACCAATCGATCCGTCTTGGTGCAAAGAATAAGATTTTAGAAATAAATGAGTAAGATTTTCTTATACGGCAACATAATTTTGCGGAAAGAACTCATTTTTTGATAAAAATGCGAATTTTTCAGCTTTAATTGTGATTAACTCTGTAAATTCTCATACAATTTATACTTTTTATATACCAATCGATTCGTCTTGATGCAAAGAATAAGATTTTATTATATATTAACTTCAATAACCAACTTAAAAAAAAATTTTTGAAAAAAAAATTTTTTTAGAAAAAAATCAAAAAAAATTTTTTTTCTGAGAATTTTTTAGAATCTATCAATCCATTTCGAGATATTATTATATATTAACTTCAATAACCAACTTAAAAAAAATTTTTTGAAAAAAAAATTTTTTTAGAAAAAAATCAAAAAAAATTTTTTTTCTGAGAATTTTTTAGAATCTATCAATCCATTTCGAGATATTTTTATGATAAATATACCTGGTAAAGTTTAGCCAAATTCGTTAAAACCTTTTCGAGTTATCGTATTCACAAAAATCGGGATCCACACACACACACACACATCCGGACAATTGTTCAGGGTCTTATATAACATAGTCCTATATAGAAGAAAATTTGTTAAAAGGATTTTTAAAAATTTTGTAAATTAAACGACTAAAAAGCTTCCTCACGAGGAAGCAAAATATTTAAATCATTATAAAAAGTTTTATTACAATTTATTAAAATAATTAAATTCCTGCGAAGAATTTTATTAAGAAAATAATTCAATTCTCACAAATAACTTCATCAAAATTTTTCAAAGTAATTGAATTTCTGTGAAGAATTTTATTTAAAATTCTTTAAAATAATTTAATTCCTGCGAAAACGTTTATAAATTATGAAAATAATTGAAATCTTAGGGGAGACTGGGGCGAAAAGTTAAATTTAGCATAAATGATTTTTTTTTGGCAATATAAGCCGCTTAGATGCAAATATTTGTATATCAATATTGTAGGGCAACTTGTCCTCTACAACTTTCAATAAAAAAAGTTCCTGATATTTTCGCAAAAAATACATGTTTTGTCCTTTTTTGAAAATTTTGTTTTTTTTAACTTTTCGTCCCATGCTGGGGCGAAAAGTTAAATTCTATTTTTAGCCTACTAAAACTATTTTCTGATAGGTGATAAATAGTAGATAAGTTAAAGTATACGTAAACAAGTAATTTAGTAAATAAAAGATCTTTGTTTACTTAACAAAAGCTTTAGAATAGTTAGAAAGTTAAAAAATTGAAATTTCAAAAAAAAAAAAATTTTTTGGTTTATTTCACGTTAACCGGCCTATTTTTTGACAGAGTACTTGCCCAATGTCAAATAAATAATGTTTAAACAAATAAACCCAAAAAAACGAAAAATAAAAAAAAAAATTTTAACAACATGTAAAAATACATTTAACTTTTCGTCCCAGAGTGCGTTTTTGGCTTTAACAACAAATATAAAAATCTGACTAAAGATATTTAGCAAATACCTTCAGGTATCTCTTCAGGGGACCCAAATAAGGATCTAAAAAAATCGCGATGAGAATAAATTCAAAAAATATACTTAAATGTTGATATTTTCTTTTTCGAAAAAATTTTCAAAAGTAGGTTGAAAAAAAACTTTCAATATCGACACCACAAAAATAAACAGAATTGCACACAACTCCGGACATTTATTTAGGGTGGTAACACCCTTCTATAATTAAAATTGCAATGCTCTAACTATTTTCGTTCGAAAGATAATGAATTTTAACGGTTTTGTCAGTTTAACTTTTCGCCCCAGTCTCCCCTACTATAGGATTTTATTCAATTTTTTGGAAATAATTTAATTTTCTCGAAGAATTTAATTAAAATTGTATTGAACATATTTCAATTCTCGTAAAGAATTAAAAAAATTTGACAAAATATGTAATTCAGTTTTTGCGAAGAATTTTATTGAAGTTTTTTAAAACAATAAATAATAATAATTAATTAGTAAATTAAATGTAAATATTAAGTTTTTAATTTTAATTTTGTAGCATTTTTTCAGTATTTTTAACAACAAATATTTCGATCATTTGAACGTTCAAAACAGGTAGTTAATGTTTTTTCTAACAAAGTTTGGTATTTTAAATATTATAATATGCTTCAAAAATTTTTTAAAAAATTAATTAGTTAAAATTTTTTTAAATAAATATCAAATTTTTCAAAAAATAAAAATTCGAACTACTCTTGTAATTTTTATTAATTTTCATTGCCGATTTTTTTATATACTTATTTCATAATTCTGAACAATCAATCGTATGGATTTTGAAAAATTTTAATTTTTTCGAAAAAAATCATATTTTTAGAAAAATTTTAATTTTCTCGAAAAATCTTTTTTTTTGAAAAATTTTAATTTTCTCGAAAAATCTTTTTTTTGAAAAATAAAAAAAATTGTAAATCAGTTAAAAATTACTTTTATTAATTTTCTATAGTGTATCATCAATTATTTTAAATAATTTTCCGAAAGTTCTTCGAGAATTAAAGTATTTAAATACAAAAATTCAATTTTTTATAATAATTGCAACTGTCCATGTTTTTTTCTTCAGTTTATTAAGGTACCTATATTTTCAAAAAATAAAAATAATCAAATTTTTGAAGAATTTTAATCGTAAATATGATTATGATTTCTCCAAAATTTTAATAAGTTCAAAAAAGTAAATTTTTATTTGTTTTATTCAAAGATAATTAAATCTTAAAAAATTATGCATAAAATTCTAAGAATTAAGTATTTTTTAAAAATATTTTAATGTAATTTTTCTAAAATGTTATTATTTTTTGTATGTATTTGAATTTTCGGAAATATGTAATTGAAAGTACTGATAATACTAAATTTTAAAAAATTAGAAGCTAATTTTCATTTTTAAATTTATGTTAAAAGATAAAGATTTTTAATTCAAATTTTTGATAATTCAATTATTTTTAAAATTCTTCAAAAGTTGATTTTTAAAAATTCTAACAAAATACTTGAAAAAAATTAATTATTTTCAATTAAATTTTACAAAATTTCAATTATTCAAAATCTTTTTAAATTGTATATTTCAAAAATTTAAATAAAAAAATTCAAAAATAATTTCTAAAAGATTTATTTATAGTTATTTTTCGCACTATAAAAATTAAAATTCAGAAAAATCTCAATTTTCTAAATTTCCCTAACAAAAAATTGTTTCTCCTGACATTTTCCTGACTTTACTGACATGTGGCCATCCTGACAAATTTAATTATAGAAAAAAACAATTAAATTTTTATAAATTCAGGAAATGTATTTATTCAAATGAACGATGTTATGTAAGTTTTGTTAATCTCGAAAATTTGAAGAATCTAGTTTCTATTATTGCATGAAATAAGATAAATTTCATTATTGATGTAACTACATGTCAATTTGTTTCCTTCAATAATGAGAATTTTATATTTAACGCTTCAAGTAAAGAAATCTGTTCAATAATGTTTCAATAATGTTGAGTTCCTTTTTGTTTTGTTTCGATTATTATCTCACCTCTCGTTCAAATAAGCCAAAAGACGTTAACTATGTACGAAATAAACAATAATAAATATTCTCTCACCATCTTGATTTTTGTCCATATCAGAAAATTGTAATCTCAAATTTTTTTCATGTTCCTTGATATAATATACAAATTCGGCTAAACTAATGTCACCACTATTTGTCTGATCAGACCTCGCAAGAAATTTCTGAAACAAAATTAAAATTTTTAATTTACCCAAGGCATTATTATTATTATTATTCTAATTAATTTTATTGTTTTATTATTATTGTTATTATATTACTAATAGAATTATTTTATCCTGTAAATGTTTATATTAATAAATAGCGAGAAAAATAAAAAATGTATTTCTCTATTTTAGATATTGAAGGTTTTTTTTCGATGACCTTAAATTGAATTTAATAAAGTATTTTAAAAAGACTTGCTACATGTTAGAATTAGCTTTCATGAAACCGTACAATTGCATAAAATATCTTAGACAACTGAGTTGCTGAGAACAATGTTAAATTAATTTAAACGTAAACAATTTATTTGAAAATTGTTGTTGTTTTCTTTTTTTTTAGTTTTGATGCAAAAGAAAAGTTTTTGGTGAATTGGCAGAAACGAATAATAATTTGAATTTCAACAAAGAATTTAGAGACTAAAAATGTTGTTTTTCTAATAATGAGAGTTAAAAATAGAAATGAGTAGCTTTTGAGAGAAACAATTATTACTTTTCCAAATGTTTACATCTAAAGAAAGGGAAATGTTACCTTTAATCGTATTTTAATTACAATTAGGAAAAAATAGAAAAATTCTGCCTTCTCTCGAAATGTTTTCAAGAATATTATAAAGCAAATTTTGATCCTTATTATATTGACATTCCAGACACAAACTTGAAAAGAAAGCGTTGGCCTCAAATAAATATTTATCAAATACTTATTTTTAAGTTTTACTATCCGAGTTGAAATTATTTATAAATTTCTAGGCAACGTATTCTCTCTTTACGAAAAGAAAAATTTATTTTATTTGCTACTCTTTTAATATGAAAACAATTATTTTCCTTTAAAAACCTCTTTTTTAATATGAAATGTAAAATACATCCCCTTTTTTATATTAAAAACTGCAGATCATTTATGATTCTGATTTTTCTATTCCTAGTAATAGTATTGTGGACTTTTTTCTTAAAATTGGGAATATAACTTAACCTTAAAAATATTCAACGGGATAAAAATCAAATCATATTTAATTTTTATGTGACCCTGCAACTATTGGATTGTTATTATGTAAACTCAAGTTTATAATGCAACAACAAATTTACTTAGATTACAACAAAGATTATTTTGTCGACAATATTAAAAGCAAATAAGAAGGGTCAATAAAATTGTACAAAAAAAAAAATACCTCTGCATAGTGTCTGTGAACACCAGCTTGATGAAGTGCTTTGGAAAGATCGTGAACGTCAATTCTTCCATTTCCATCAAGGTCGAGAGATTGAAATAATTTTTCCAATCTTTCTTCATCCTGAGCCGGTAATTCATGTAAATAATGTGGTGGCAACTGATCTTGGGAATTGTTCGTTCCATGTTTATCCCGACTGCCCGGCATTTTCAGTGAAACTCGGAAAAAAAATTTTCAAATTCCACTTTTTTCACTACTGTTACACTACAAATAGTTAACTTATCCTTTTTCTATTCACCTCTATTAGTTTTTAGAATTATTCTAATTTTGTAAATTAATTATTTTTAATGTCGTTTCCAATCGTTCCCGCACAAATTTTCATATTTGAAATTTTTTCTCTTTTGAAAGTACCTTTTCGATTAATTTAATCACTTTCAAAACATGATTCAAGAGTCAATGATTCACAGGAATAACCGAAATATTGATAATTACCTGGAGATATTTAAGACAGGATATTCGTATAGTTAGAAAAAATAACGGTTACTAATTCTTATTCAGAGAGACGATTTTAATGATTGGCATCAGCAATGAAGCCTACACGTCGATTGTCACTTAGAGCGCGCTTAAATTATTATTCAATTTCAATTGAATAGTTGTGGAGCGACAATTTTAATGCGAATAAATTTCACGAAGGTTCACAAACGTACTGAGAAATATGAGACTTTCAATAAAATTGCCTTTCGCATATATGGAACACTTCAACACTTCTCTCCATGTGTTTCTTCCTGGAATTAAATGCAAATTTTGACGATCAGTGCCATCTGTTAGAAATTTGAAGTACATACATCTGAGCCATCTGAGCAAAGCTAGTTTTGAAAAGACGCGCCATTTTTAAATGTTTGTAAAAACAATTAATAATAAATTGAAATGTACGTTTTTTATTATTCTATGCATTCTATGAAATAATAGATAATTTGCAGCAAATTTACAACTGGGGAAACAGCAATAGTTGTCAGAAAGTAGAAATATGCTCCAGCGCCATCTTTATTAGGATAAGATAAGATAGATAACACTGTTATCCAGATGTCAGCCATTTTTATTTTCTAATTGCATTATGTATTTTTATAAATAAAAACTAAATTCTTATTAATTGTGGGTCATTATTTAATGATTCAATGTCAAATTCAGATTTATAATACAGCTTTCGCTTCAAGAAATCAGTAAAACTGGTTTGTTTATGCTTGAATGCCTTATCTTTAATATTATATGAAAAAATGGTGACGTTAGAATTCGTGTGTATATAATAGCAAATAATTCAATAATTACTTGCAAATTAAAATAACTCGCAAACGCTTTTTATAGTAAACAAATAAAAGAGGAGATCAAAAACGTCTTTTTCTATTTCTGAAACAAATCGTTAGAAAGTTTCTTTCTTTTTTTGGAAACGACGTACATTTCAAGTGAGTTATGAAAACAATAGCTTTTTTGTTTTCATTCTTTACATAAAGCATGACTACCTGTGTGTTTTATTGAGAATCTTTATTATTTGCCTAATAGAAATGTTTGCATTTGTTTTGTTATTGTCAATCTTGTCAATTATTGCAAAAGTTTAAACGATTCTAACCTCAAAATTGAAGTGTTATTTTTTGCCTTTCTTGCTAAGACGTAAAAATTGAACTTATTCTTTTTCTAGTAAAAACACAAATGGCCTCGGCAGGAATGTCACCAACGGAGGACGACGAGTTGACTCTTCCTCGAGCGGCGATAAATAAAATGATAAAAGAAATTCTGCCCCACGTTCGAGTGGCTAATGAATCACGCGAATTGATTCTCAACTGTTGTACAGAATTTATACATTTATTATCATCGGAAGCAAATGAAATTTGTAATCAACATCAAAAGAAAACAATAAACGCCGAACACATTTTACAAGCTTTGCACAATCTTGGATTTGGTGATTACAGTGCAGAGGCTGAGGCTGTTTTACGTGATTGTAAAGCCGTGGCAGCAAAGAGGCGAAGACAAAGTACAAGACTGGAGAATTTGGGTATTCCAGAGGAGGAATTACTTCGTCAACAACAGGAACTCTTTGCGAAGGCAAGAGAGGAACAAGCTGTCGCCGAACAACAACAATGGCAGCAATTACAAGCTGTAGCTCAAATGGCATCAATGCAACAAATTAAAACAGAAGAAGATGATTATTCGTAAAAAAAAGTAAAAAAAAAAAATAAAATGGAAATTAAATCTCCCGTCAATTTTTCTGTGACATTAATGAACTGCAGTTTATAATTATATCTATAATATAAGAGAAAGGAGAATTTAAGTTAAAAGAAGTGTACAATGACAAATTTAAGTTTATAATAAAAAATAAATACAATGTGATACAAATTTAATGTCTCACTTTTATCGCCACAATTCTGGATTAATTAAGGCATTAGTCTGCCGTATTCAGATGATAAGTGACTCTTCTTCACAGCTTCTATCACTTTTGACACGTAATGATACCTACAAGAAATTAAAAAGGTAATATACAATTTCCTTTCATTAAAAAATCCAATTTAAAGTAGTTACCAATTTTTCTCCGTTAATGCAGTCAATGTCATCGCATTTCTAGTCACTCCGTGTATTTTCCTACGTAACTTCTCGATTAATTGTTTCTCATTTTCATGAAAAGTCGTCTCAGCTATATTCCAAAAATATAATTAAAATTAACTATTAATTAACTATAATAATTTGAAGTTGTCTTTTGTTTTTTATTATCTTTAGATAGATTGTATATTTTATTATTATTAGCAATTTATTCATTCAATTTATTATTGTTATGCAAATTACAAAATTTTTTATTTTCAAATATAAATTTTTTAATTAATTTCATAATCAAAATTGAAAAAATTCACTTATTAAGTACAAAATTAATTATTACTGTTCATATTTTCAAAAATTTTACGAAAAAATTCAATAATTTTCTAAAATTTTAATAAATCCTTTTAAACAATTCAATTATTTTTTTAAATAGTAAAATCTTTACAAAACTTCAATGATTTTCAAAACAATTTTAATTGAATTCCTCGGGAGAATTTAATTTCTTAACAAAATTTTAACACATTTCGAAAAAATTAAATTTTTTTCTAAAATATTAATTAATCCTACGAAAAAATTCAATTATTTTTATAAATAGTAAAATCCTTTGCAGAAATTCAATTATTTTCAAAACAATTTTAATTGAATTCCTCGGATGAAATCAAATATTTTTAAATATTTCCACGAATTTCAATTATGTCCTAAAGTTTTAATAAATTCTTCGAAACAATTCAACTATTTTTATAAATAGTCAAATTCTTCTCAAGAATTGAATTATTTTCAATTCACTTTTAATAAAATTCTTCTTCATAAAATTCAATTGCTTTCAAAATTGTCAATTTTTTGATAAAATTCTTTGCAACAATTTGATGATTTTCAATACATTAATTTTAAAATTGAAAATATTTGAAAATAAAAATTATAAAAAAGTTAAGGAACAAAAAAGCAAACAACAACTAACTTCCAACTGCGAACAGATTACCGGAACATGTATTTTATTAAAATTATTAAATAATGTTATAATTATTTTTATTTAAATTATAAAATAAAAATAATTATAACATTAATTAATTAAAGATTGTAATGACAAATAGAAACTATCAGAATTTTTTTCACTTCTTTTCATTAAAAGACTTTAGTCTTTTGTTAAATATTATGTTTTGTCAAATAGAAATTATGCAGATTTTTGTTCTTTACTTCTAAACAAAATTAGAAAATTGTTAAACAACTGTGATTAAGAAATAGAAAATTTATTTATTTCGCATTATTTTTGTTTATGAATCACAATTTTTTTAACAAAATTATTATTTTGTTTTAGAAAAAGAAGAAAATTTTTTGCCCAATTTCTATTTTCAATCTTATTTTCATCATTTTAATTTAATTATCATTTTCTAGAATTTTAAATTATTTTTTATGAAAAAAATTGAATTTCTTAAAAAAAATTTTATTATTTATGAAAATAATTGAATTTTTGGACAAGAATTTTTTTGAGCATTTTTGGAAATAATTGAACTTTGGAGAAGAATTTTGTTATTTATAAAAATAATTGGGATTTTTACCAGAATTTTTTTTTTAATTTTGAACATACCTGAAATTTTTAAGAAGAATTTTAATTTTTGTTTGAAAATAATTGAATTTCTGCAATTATTTGTAATTTCTCCAAAATTGAATTTTTTTAGTGTTTTCAACAAAAATTTAAATTAGAAAATTTTTATATTCTATTATTTTTAAAATTGCTAATTTTTTTAAAGAAAGGTAGTAAGAAGTTGGCCGCGCGCTTTAGCGCGCGAATTGTTGCTAGTTAGAATTAACTATTATAATAATTTGAATGTTCTTTCATTTTTTTCATTCATTCACTTTTTCTGTCCCTCACACTCTGAAATTGTCTTTTGTTTATACTTTTGTTTTTTATTATCTTTAGATAGACATAGATTGTATATTATATTATTATATTACTAAATTCCTTATTATATTACATGTTGTATTGCACTGTTTATTGTAAACAATTGTAACATTGTAACATTGTACATTCATTGTAATAATTTCAAGTCATTTTAATTTAAGTAATTTTTAAAGAAATACTTATTATGACATATAACTGAAAAACTAATTAGAATTTCTCATTACTTTTAATTAATAACATTTTATGCAATTTATTTTGCACAATAATTCAATTACTTTCACTAATAATAAAATTGTTCACGAAAATTCAATTTTAAAAAAAATTTTTTAATTAAATTCTAAGCATGAATTTAATTATTTTCATAAATAATAAAACTCATCAATAAAGTTTTCTAATTTTCCAATTTTTTTTTAGTTTTTTTAACAAAAATTTAAATTAGAAAATTTTTTAATTCTATTATTTTTAAAATTGCTTATTTTATTTTAAAAAGGTATAGGAAGAAGTAAGCCGCAAATTGTTGCTAGTAAATTCCTTAAGATCATTATTTATTAATTATTTTTTTTTACTTCTTCGATAGAATTTAAAATACTCACTCTCTTGTCCTATAGACGGAATAAGAAAAAAATTCAATTGACCCTCTTTTGACGCGGCATTCATATCTAAACCACTGTGAGTTTGCAGTCTCGAATTACCGAAAACTTTGTTATAAAATTCCTTCATCATTTCCAGAGTACTTGGAATAAAATCCTGTAATTCGGCCTTATTGTGTAAAAATATAATATGAGGATAATATTCCACATAATCTTGATCCATATTTGTTGTTGACGCAGGTTTCAACATTTCCGCCGTTTGCAAAAATCTAAAAAGCAAAAAAAGAAAAAAAACAGTAAAGGAGAAAATTAAGAAAGAAAAAATGTTAATTAAAGATTAAAATAAGGAATAATTTATCCACCTTACTAAATTGGGATCGACAAACCAGTCTTGAACGAAAATAATTACGTGACAAACGGAGAACAAAAATGCCGCAAATTGTAGTGATTGTAATTCTAAATTTGTTTCTGGGTTGACAAAATCAGTTGTTCCCTTTTTCTGATCGAATAATGTTGTGTAATCAATTATTGAACTCGATAATATTGGTTGTGTGTCCAAATAAATAACTCGATTTTTTGTCACGTAAAAATCTATTCCACTTGTACAATTTGATCCACTTTCTTGTTGAGAAATATTTTGCGCTGGATAAATATCTGATCTGCAAAAAAAATAATTTTCATTGGACTGTAAATATTTTGATTTTAGGATTTAACTTCTACAAAGTTGCCACAGGTCAGGGAAATCAGGGAACAGTCAGGGATTTTTATTAAAAGTACTGGAAAAAATTAAATGGTTAGAATTTATAAAAAAAACTCTTAATTTTTGTGTCTTTTTTTCTGACAATAATTTATTTTAAATAACTTAATTCTATTGAAGAACTGCCATAAAGTTATTACTTATAAATCATTTAATGAAGTATTTTTTTGAAAAATTTTAATTTCAATTCTGTTGAAAGAATACAACTATCTTAAAAAATATTAAAATTCTTACCAAAAATTCAAATATTTTCAAAAAATCTGAAAAAAATCTAAGCAAAATTTTTCGATAAAATTAAATTATTTTCCGGAATTTTAATAAAATTCATTACAAAATTCAATTATTTTCATAAATAATAGTAATCATCACAAGAATTCAATGATTTTCAAAAATTTTAATAAAATTCACTGCAAAATTTCAATTATTTTCAATATTTTACTATTTTAATCAAATTTCCCAAAAGAATTCAATTATTAAACAAAAATTTTGATATTATTCTACACGAACATTCAATTATTTTCCAAAAATATACAAATTTCACAAGAATTTAATTATTTAAAATAGAATTTGCATAAGTTTTTTCGAAAAAACCAAATGTTTTTAAATTTGGCATTAAATTCTTCGCAGTATGTAGTTGAATTATTTTCAAAAATTTTAAAATTATTTTCAGGCATTTAATTATTTCCATAAATAATAAAATCATTTGGAGGAAGTCAATTATTTTCAAAAATAATTCATTGCAAAATTTCAATTATTTTCAAATTTTTCTTAATTCAATAATCTGCATATATCAATTAGTTTAATAAAATTTTCCAAAAGAATTCAATTATTAAAAATAAAATTTGCATACATTTTTTCAAAAAAAATTAATTGTTTGCAACTTTTTTATAAAATTCTTCACAAGAATTCAATTATTTTCATAAATAATAAAACTCATTGCAGAATTTCAATTATTTATAATAAAATTTTGATCGAATTCCACGAAAAATGTAATTATTCTTAAAAATTTTATTAAAATTGGTCGAAAGAATTCGATTACTTAAAAAATTTGTTGATAAAATTATGTATAATTGAATTCTCATAGAATTTTCCAATAAAAATTGATTTAAAAATAATTGAGTTTTAGAGAAGTTACTAATAATAATTGCAATATTTAGAAATAATTTAATTTTGTAAAGGTTTTAAATTAAAATCTTTGTAAATTTGATTTTTTCATAATTTTAATTAAAAATCCTATGGAATTAATTTTTTTTAAAAAGCTTAATCGAAATTTTTTAAAATTATTTTATAAGTTTTTATTTTCTAATGTATATATTTAATTGAAGAATTTTCGAATAATCGAAATTTCGTATAATTGAATTGTAAACAAATGATTTGAAAATTCTCAAAGAACTTTTTGAAAAATTATCAAAAATAATTGATTTAAAGAAGAATTTAAATTTTGAAATTTTTTGTAGAAAATAATAATTGAGTTTTTAGAGTGAATCAGAATATTCTTTAAGGTCAGGGAAAAAGTCCAAATGTTATCTGGAAAACAGGGAAAAGCCAAGGAAAAACAAAATTAAATTTTTGTGGCAACCCTGTTCTAATTTTAGTTATTTTTAGCTAATAATAGTTTAAGTTTAGTTTTTGGCCTAAACTATGGAACAATAATATATTAAGATCTAAAAACTTGACTATTAACAAAGTTCAAGTTTAGTTTATTTTGAATGAATTAAAGTAAGAGAGGAAGAATTTTATAATAAAAAAAGAAAATAATAATTACATTTCACTCGAAGCAAGAAGTGACATAATTGTCGATTTTCCTGCACCCTGAGGTCCCAGACAGCCAACCACAAGGAAATCTTGTTGGTCGCACAAAAAATCCAAAGGTCCTTCACAAAGTTGCATATTTTCATCGACAAGTTTTATGCAATTTGTCATTTCGACACACATTGATATGATGGAACGAGCTGGAAAATTAAAATTTTTATTAGATTTAGAATTAAATTAGAATTACGAATAAAAACTTTTTTTAATGCATTTTACGTTCTGGTGTCTTGTGTGTAGAACCAGCATGACTCTCCGATTCTTTTCTAAAACAGAACAAGTAATTATTTTTAAAAATACAGAAAATAAATTTTATTAAATTAGACAGAGATTCTGCAGGAAGGATTATTTATGTTTCTATAATTCCAAAATGAAAGTATTGTTAAAGAATTGTTAAAATTATAGAAAATAATGATTTTATTACTTGGTCATCTTTAATTATTAGAAAACATGAAAAAGTCGATCACTCCGAGTCTTCGACTCGGAGCAATCGATATCTTCGTGTTTTATAACAATAATTTTGTAAGTTGTTTAATTTAAAAAAGGTTTGAATTTAAATGTTTTGAATGTCTTAATTCCTGTGGAAAATCCTGTTCCAAAAATAAGATTAAAAATAGGAATTGGGCAAATATTTTTCTTCTTTTTCTAAAACAAAATAATAATTTTGTTAAAAAAATTGTGACTCATAAACAAAAATAATGCAAAATAAATAAATTTTCTATTTCTTAATCACAGTTGTTTAACAATTTTCTAATTTTGCTTAGAAGTGAAGAACAAAAATCTACATAATTTCAATTTGACAAAACATAAAATTTAACAAAATTTTAGTATTTTAATGAAAATAAGTGAAAAAAATCTGATAATTTCTATTTGTCATTACAATTTTGAATTAATTATAAAATAAAAATAATTATAACAATATTATTAATTAATAATAATAAAGTACATGTTCCGGTTATCTGTCCGCAGTTTGAAGTTAGTTGTTGTATGCTTTTTTGTTTCTTAACTTTTTTATAATTTTTTTTTCAAATATGGGTGTATAAAAATATATGGGTGTATATAAAATATGGGTTCTCCGTGTAGCGCAGAATTTAATGTCCCTGGTGTTTTTTAAGAAATTAGTTTCATATATTGTAATAAATACAACGTGGATAACTTATTTCCATGATAACAAATAACAGTCTATTGTCGTTCTCATTTAAAAGTTTATAATTTTGCTTAAAAATCTATTTTAAGGTGCCAAATCGTCATGGTGTAATCAGTCCCCACGACCATTTTATATATAAAATGTTATTTTTTTAGTAAAATATAATAATAAATATAATGAATATTGACATTTTCTTATTGTCTAAGTTAGTAGAATGGAGAAAAACAAAATACTTGTGAAAAAAAATTTATTTTTTAAATATTTTTGTAGTTATTTCTTGTCCCTCGTTTTCGCGTCATGGTATAATCACTTTGTAAAACTGCATACTTTACATAAAAAATCAAATCGAAAAATTACTTAACATTAATAAAAATCATTAATAAACTCTCCTAAGTAAATTACTAAAAAATAATTTAATACAAAAAATTTTTTTTCTGTTTTATATGTGTTACAAGCATGAAAGTTGCATAGGGAATCACAGAATCGTCATGGTCGAATCATAATATATTTGCAATAAAATGAATAATTATTTATATTTTACGTCAAAACAAGTTTAGTAGTCTAAGGTTAGTGAAAACAAATGACGTTAAAAAAGAAAAAAATTAAAATCGCTAATAATTTGTTTAAAAAAATAGTTTTATTTGCGCGTCATGGTCGAATCAGTGCGTCATGGTGTAATCAATTTATTTTACATGGGTGTTTATTGTAAAAAAGAAAATTATAATTATTTTGTCTGGCCTACCACGAATATTTTATTCTTGAATGTTGAACTTTAAAATTCTATATCGACTTTTACTTAATTTGAAAAAAAAATTTCAAAAATAATAAAATCCAAATTGTGCGCTACGCGGAGAATCACCCATATATTCAATTTTAAAATTAATGTATTGAAAATCATCGAATTGTTGCAAAGAATTTTATTAAAATTTTTAAATACCCTAATTAGATTCTTTTGAAGAATTTCTTTAATTTTTTTTTAAACTAATGGAGTTTCTTTAATAATTTTAATTGAAAATTTTGAATGCAATTAAATTTTATTAAAATTGAATTGAAAACAATTGAATTCTTGCGAAGAATTTTACTATAATTATAAAAATAATTGAAATGTTTCGAAAGAATTTATTAAAATTTTAAGAAATAATTAAATTGTTATGAAAAATTTTACAGAAATATTTGAAAATAATGAAATTTTTTCGAAAAATTCAATTAAATTTAATTGAATTTTTTTTACGAATATATTTAAAAATTGCATTGAAAGTAATTTAATTTTTATATAGAATTTTTAAAAAATATTTTAAAAATAATTGAATCATTTTTTAGAGCATTTTTGTTGAAATTGAATTTTATGGAAATTTTTGAAAATAATTAAATTCTTTCGTTTAATTTTATTGAAATTTAATTAAAAATAATTTAAATCCTGCAAAGAATTTTAGTATTTATAAAAATAGTTGAATTGTTTTGAAGAATTTATTAAAATTTTAGGAAATAATTGAAATTTATGGAAATATTTTTAAATATTTGAACTCATCAGAGGAATTCAATTAAAATTGTTTCGAAAATCATTGAATTTTTGTAAAGATTTTACTATTAAAAAAAATAATTGAATTGTTTAGACGGATTTACTAAAATTTTAGAAAATAATTGAATTCTTTCTTTCTTTTTATTAAAATTTTTGAAAATATGAACAGTAATAATTAATTTTGTACTTAATAAGTGAATTTTTTAAATTCTGATTATCAAATTATTTAAAAAATTTACATTTGTAAATAAAAAATTTTGTAATTTGCATAACAATAATAAATTGAATATCACAATCCGCGCGTAACATTTGCTAGTAATAATATAATTTTATACAATCTATCTAAAGATAAAAAAACAAAAGTATAAACAAAAGACAACTTCAGAGTGCGAGGGACAGAAATAGTGAATGAATGAAAGAATGAAAGAACATTAAAATTATTATATATGTTAATTTTTTAAAAAGTAATAAATATTTTAACAAAATTCTTTCATTTTTGAATTATAGAGACATAAATAACCCGCAACGATTGACTCGACAATAAATAAGAATTTTGATTTTAATTTAAATAAGATAAAAAAATTAACAAAAAGAAATTACTTATTTCCATTTCGTTGACTTGGAGAAACAGCTCTGCTTTCTCCTTCTCTTGTTTTCAAAATAAAGGTTGGTCTATCTGCTAATTTAATAAGAGCTCTTCCATCACTTTCCTTTACTTCCGTCTCCTTCGACATTGTACTCGAAATTATTTTTCTCGGATTCATAATAAACAATTAGCATCTGTTTCCTTGTTTCGTACGTTTCGTACTTACCAAAATTATTAATGTTATTAATTTAACCTAAAATTTAGTCTATTTTAAATTCTTTAAGCATACATGACCCTAGTCTATAATTATTACATATTTTTAAACTTTATGTACACTTTAAATATACACTTTATAGAAACGATAGAAACTACCAGAAAGTTTCGTAATTTGTTTATACAAAAACAGTAAACAAAATTCACATGTTTCTCTAAACAAACAATCTTATTTGTGTTGCATTTTAAAATATCTTAATTAATCAGTAATCCGTTTGAATTAATTTTCAGATAGACAAAAAAACCAAAATATTTATTATTAAATAGAAAAACAAATGAAAGTGCGAACTTTTTTTATTTTTGTAAATTTTGAGGTTAGAATATTTCAACAATGTTTTGACAGCTCATCAGCTGATTTAGCAGACGACGTTTTCTGATTGGTTAAAAATTGTTTAAGCTAGCCAATGAAAATTACTTCGGAACCTAACCTAACTTTGACACTCTGCAAGCTCTGTAAAAAACCGGATCGTCCACAAAAAGGCATACGACCTATTTTTAAAACACATCACACATGTTACGTTTTGTGATTTAATTTGGGCTTCGATCCAAATAAGTTTAAAATAAACCCAGTCTTCTGTTCCCTTCTGTTGATGTTCCAGTAGCATCGAGATAATTCTACATCCATTTTAAATGCATCCGAACCGTGTGGGAGTTCTCAGTACTTTTTATCTAGTCACCAGTGCAACTACTATTTTTACAACTATAAAATAATATATAAAATAAATTTAACTATAAAAGAAAAAAGTTTAGCTCTTATATATAAAAAAAAGGAAAAAAATTAGATATTTTTGAACCAGTTGAAAGGTTTAACCTCAATTTTATATTGATTCTCTATAGCTTTCTTTGATAATTAAATTAACATTTTATATTTGTTTATTTTAGGTGTTTTTCACAAGTGTTGAGTTAATTTGAGAAAGAAACGAAAGAAATAATGACTAAGGAAGAATTGACATCGCAGGAATGGAAGGAAAAGGGCAATACGGAATTTAATAGAGGCAATTGGCAGGAGGCACTCTGTTTTTATACGAATGCAATAAAATTGTCGGTGGATGATAATTTCGATAAGGCAGTATATTTGAAAAATCGAGCTGCAGTTCATCTGAAACAATTAAATTACGAGAAGGCAATTAAGGATTGCGATGATGCTCTGAAAATTTCTCCCAACGATCCAAAGGCTCTGTTTCGTCGATGTCAGGCTTTCGACGCTTTGGAGAAGTACGAAGAAGCTTATCGTGATGCTCGATACATAATTAATGTCGATCCTGGTAATAAAGCAATACAACCGATTATCGCCCGTCTTCACGAAATTGTTCAGGAAAGAAGCAAACAGAATTCCCGTGTCAGCACTAAGGTAATAAAGCAATATAATATAGACTAGCAACAATTCGCGGCTAACTATTTACTTCATTTTTTAAATAAAATTATCAATTTTAAAAATAATTGAATTTAAAAATTTTAAATTCAAATTTTTATTGAAAACATTAAAATAATTCAATATTGGAGAAATTGCAAATAATTTATTGCAGAAATTCAATTATTTTCAAAAGTAATCAAATTCTTCTCATAAAACTCAATTATGTTTAAAATTTAAAAAAAAATTCTCGTCAAAATCCAAATTATCTTTGTAAATAACAAAATTTTTCCCCAAAGTTCGTAAAAATGTAACTGAACATTTTTTTTGAGTAAATTTTTTTCCTTTATTTTCTAAAAATTCAAAAAATTTTATTTTCAATGAAAATTTGTAATTGACAAATAGAATTTATAAACATTTGTTTCGTTTATTTAAAAAAAAGACTAATGAATTTTATTAAAACAATAATTGTAATTAAAAAATTGAAATAATGTAAATTATTCCCTTATGAAAATTGAAAATTTTCTACAAAAATATTAAGAAACGGGAATATGTAATGTTTTTTTTCCCAATATAAAAGAATGAGTTTGTGAATAATATTATTATTGAGAAATAAAAATTATGCATAAAATGTGTATTTATTTACTATTTCTTAATCATAATTTTTTAACAAATTTTCTATTTTTTATAAATAAACAAGAGAAAAATTTGCATAATTTAAATCAGTCAAACGAAATTTGTTATGATAAAAAGAATGGGTAAATTTTTCATTTGTTAATCATCATTTTTTTTTTTAAATTTTCTAATTTCTAATATTATTTTATTATGCATCATGAAAAAATACCTGCATATTTTCGATTTGTCAAAACAAAATTTTTTTAAAGAAAAAAAAACAAAAGAATACACAAAAACTAACTTCAGGTGTGGACAGAATGAAAGAATGAATTATAGGATTATTATAGTTAATAATTGATGATTTTATCATTTTCAATTATTGTAAAATATTAAGATATTGGAGTGATTGTAGTAATTTTCTAGAAAAAAATTCCTTTCAGGTTTCTCAAATGTTCGAATTGGCGTTTAATTTACAATCGGATAGAGAGAAGAGGGAAACGGCGATGAATAATTTGCTGGTACTCTCGAGGGAGAAGGCCGGTGCTGAAATAATGTTCGCCGAGAATATTATTACAAAAATAATCAAACTCTTGAAAGTTGATAAAAACGACGATATTGCAATTGCTGCGATTCGAATTGTTGCCGAACTTTGCAAGGATAATGCAGTACGAACAGACAGTCTTATAAAAGAAGTTGGAGTGCCTTGGTTTTTAGAGATTGTTAACAGCAAAAATGAAGAGCGTGTCAATGCATCACAATATTGTATGCAGGTAAAGAAACGTTTTCTAATTTTTCTGCAACTGTAACTAAACTCAAAATATTTCTATTTTTATAAATGCTTCTTCTTCTTCTTCTTCTACTACACTTTTTAGAAATAACCAGTAAATGCTACTTTCATAAAATTCTTTAAAACAATTAATCTATTTTCAAAAATTGTAATAAAAATCTTTGCACGAATTCGATTATTTTCATAAATTTTCATAAATTTCTCCGCAGAAATTCAATTATTTTAAATATTAAAATTTCTCGAAACATTTAAATTACTATTATCAAATTGTATTAAAATTCAATATAAAAATTAAAATATATTCATTACAATTTTAATTAAATTCGTCGAAATCGAATTTGCAAGAAGTCAATTAATTTTATAAATCCTACATAATAAAAGTCTATGTAGGAATTCAATTATAATAAAATTTCTAGAAAGAATTCAATTTTTTTTTAATTTTAATAAATTATTCGCAAAATTTAATTATTTTCATAAAAAATCAAATTCTCCAAAGGAATTGAATTATTTTCATTAATAATAACATTCTTCGGAGGAATTTTCAATTACTTTCAAAAATTGTAATAAACTTTTTTTGTAAGAATTCGATTATTGTCAATACAATTATAATTCAATTCCTCGAAAGAATTTAATTATTTTCAAAAATTTCCTTCAAAATTGTTCAAAACAATTGAATTTTTTTTTAAATTTTCAAAAATTCTATGCAAGAATTAAGTTATTTTATAGAATCAAAATTATAAAAAAGTTACAAAAAAGGAATAATAATAAATTTAAAGTGTTTCAAATTGATATTTTCAAAAATTTGTATTTTAAATAATTTTACTTAAGAATTTCAAAAATAATTGAATTTCAAAAGATTTTAAATTGAATTTTTTGAAAATTTGCATTTCAAATATAATTTTACTTAAAAATTAACAAATAATATTGAATTTTAGAAATATTTGCATTTGCAATTTTTATAAATAATTGAATCCAAAAATGTTTCAAATTGAAATTTAAGAAAATTCGTATTTTTAATCATTTTTCTTAAAAGAATACATAAATATTTGAATATTAGAAGATTTGCATTTACAATTTTTATAAATAATTGAATCTCGAAATGTTTTAAATTAAAATTTTCAAAAATATATAATTTTAATTAAAAATTACAAAAATAATTGAATTTCAGAAATATTTTCGCTTAAAATTTTGATAAATAATTGAATTTGTATTTCAATTATAATTTTACTTGAAAATTGCATTATTAATTGACTTTTATAAGAATTGCGTTTATCATTTTTATAAATAATTGAATTCAAAAATATTTCAAATTAAAATTTTAAAAAATTCGTATTTTAATTAACTTTTCTTAAAAATTACAAAAATAATTGAATTATAAAAGATTTTTATTTACAATTTTCATCAATATTCTGATGAAACATAATTGATAAAACATTTCAAATATTTTAAATTAAAATTTCAGAAAATTTTAATTTTGAATAATTTATTTAAAAATTCTGAAAAAGTTAGTTTTTGAAAAATTTTTATTCATTTTTTTTTAAATTACTGGATTTTTAAATATATATGTATTTAATTGAAAAATGTTCAGTCTGTCAAAATTTTATGTAACTAAATTGTAAATTCAATGTGCTGCTGGAAGTTGAAATCACAAGGAACTTTTTCAAAAATTTTTAAAAGTAATTGATGAATTTTACTTAATAATTCTAGAAAAGAAATGTTGAAAATAATTTTAGAAGAGTTAGAGTAAAAAAAATTTAATGATGTTTTGAATAATTTACCATTTAAAAATATTCGAAAATAAATGTATTTATTATTATATTTTTAGAGTGAAATAAAATCTTTTTCTAAAATATTTTTCGTCAGGGAAAATGTGAAAAATCTCTCTGGGAATGAGGGAAAAGTGAGGATAAAAATAAAATTCAATTTTTGTGGCCGCCCTGATTTGTTATAATTTTTTACAGACAATTTTGAACTCGTACAGTGGACTGAGTAATAAACCGGATTCAAAACCGAATAACGAGCTTTGTGAGAAATACAAGAAGGAAATTGACACTATTTTGTCGTGTTTGGTATTCAGTACAACGAGTCGTATACTTTCTGGTATTGCCCGGGACGCAATTATCGAACTACTAATTCGAAATATACACTACACGGCGCTAAATTGGGCAGAACAATTGGTTGACATCAGAGGTGTTCAACGATTAATGGAAGTTGCCAGTGAACTTACGGAATATAAATACGAGTCAGCGATGGAGATTACCGACTCGACGAGAACTGTCACAAGCGTTTGTCTGGCAAGAATCTACGAAAATATGTATTACGACGCGGCGAAGGCAAAATTCATGGACGCTATCGACGAATTTATCAAGGACAAACTCTTGACTCCGGATATTGAGTCAAAGGTAATACAAAGCACCGGAATTCCGGTATTAGTTCGATTAGTTTAAAATTTAGATATTTAATATTCCGTTTTTCCTTTAAAAAGATTTGCTTTTTGAAATTTAATGAAAATTCTTCATTTTTTAAAAAACATAATTTTTCTAACAGTTTTTCTTTAAATTTAATTATTTGAACAACTCGTAATAGAAATCGACAAGATATTTCTAACAGTATCTTGAATGAAAGATATTTTTGATTAAATAATTGAACTTTGCAGTCGTACTCAAGTACCACCGGAACCATCCTGGTAATAAGTTTATTTTAAATTTTTTTCCAAATTTTCAAATTAGAATTCTTCAAAAATACGATTATATTTTAAAATAATTTTTAAAGGAAAAAATAAAATTCATTAAAATATTAACAGGGTTGCCACAGATCAGGAAAGTCAGCCAGAGAAAAGCCAGGAAAAGTAGAATTGGTCAGGAAAATCAGGGAAAAGTCAGGGATTTTTATTAAAGTTCTGGAAAAAATTAAATTTTTAGAATTAATAAGAAAATTCTGAATTTTTGTGTCTTTTTTTAAAAAACTTTAATTTCAACTTTGTTGAAATTAGTTTCAATTTTAAAAATTTTAACGCAATTATTTAAAAGAATTCAATTATCTTAATAAATATTAAACTTCTTTCTCGAAATTTAATTATATTAAAAAATGTTTAAAAAATTCTCGTCAACATTTTAATTATCTTTGTAAATAGCAAAATTAATTGTAAAATTCAATTATTTTCATAAATAACAATACCTATTCATCACAAGAATTCAATTATTTTCAAAATTAATAAAATTCTTCGACAAAATTCAATTATTTTCAGGAATTTTGATAAAATTCATTGCAAAATTCAATTACTTTCATAAATAATAGTATTCGTCATAAGAATTCAATTATTTTTAAAAGTAATAAAATTCAATTATTCTGAAAAATTTAAATAAAATTCATGGCAACATATCAATTATTTAAAAAATTTTTTCATTCATTCAATGATTTTTCAATATTCTACTATTTTAATAAAGTTCCCCAAAAGAATTGAATTTTTAAACAAAAATGTTGACAATATTTAATACGAACATTCAATTATTTTTCAAGCAAATAAAAATTTCAAAGGAATTGAATTATTAAAAATAGAATTTTCATACATTTTTTTTAAACTAATTGTTTGAAACTTTTTTTTATAAAATTCTTCGCAATAATTTAATTATTTTCGTAAATAATAAAATTCATTAGAGAATTTTAATGATTTTTAATAAAATTTCAATCGAATACCTTAAAAACTGTAATCATTTTTAAAATGTTATTTAAATTCGTCAAAGGAATTGAATTATTTAAAAATTTGTTGATAGAATTATGTATAAGAATTCAATTTTAAGAAACATTTAATTATTCAATAAATTATTTATTTTTGTATTTAAATAATTGAATGATCTGGTAGAATTTTTTAATAAAAATTGATTCAAAAATGACTTTTAGTTCAGATTTTACATAATAATTGAATATTAAGAGACATTTAGGCTGCGTCTACAACAGAAAAAATAATGTGTAGGAAATTGTGTAATATATAGTGTAATTGCCCCTGACAGTTGTCAATGCCAAAAACAATACACATTACACTACAAATTACACATTATTTTTTTCTATTGTAGACGCAGCCTTAAACCTGAATTTTTAGAAATAATTGAATTTTAAAAAGGTTTTATTTTCAAAATTGGAAAATTTTTAATTTTTTTCAAAAATGTTCTCCAATTCAATGATTTTCAATATCTACTATTTTAATAAAATTTTTTTTTAAAAAATGCAATTATTTACAATAAATTTTAATAAAATTAATTCAATTATCTTCATAAATAATAAAAATTTCATAGGAATTCAATTATTATTTAGAATTTTTTTAAAAATTTCTTCGCAGTAATTTAATTATTTTCATAAATAATAAAGCTCATTGCAGAATTTTAATTATTTTTAATAAAATTTCAATGAAATTCCTTGAAAACAGTAATTATTCTTAAAGATGTTATTAAAATTCGTCGAAAGAATTCAATTATTTAAAAATTTGTTGATAGAATTATGTATAAGAATTCAATTTGTAAGAAACATTTAATTATGCACTAAATTATCTATGATTGTTTTTAAATAATTGAATTCTCATAGAATTTTCTAATAATAATTGATTATTTATAAATGAATTTCAGTTAAAGTTTTAGATAAAAATTGAATTTTGGAGGAGTTAAAATAAATAAAAATAAATAATTGCAATTTTTAGAAATAATTGAATTTTGATCAAGTTTTAAATAAAAATCTTTGAAAATTTGAATTTTTTATACTTTTAATTAAAAATTCTATGGAACTAATTTTATTTTCAAAAAGCTTAATTGCAATTTTTTAAAATTATTTCATGTTTTTATTTTTTAATGTATATTTCAAAAATTATTAAAACTTGATTTAAAGTAGAATTTTATTAAAAATTTTTAGAAAATAATAATTGAATTGAACATTCTTATATTATAATATAAAATAATGATTTTATTACTCGGTCATCTTTAATTACTAAAAAAAGGAAGAAATGGATCACTCCGATTTGAAGATTCGGAGTGATCCATTTCTTCATGTTTTATAATAATTCTATTCATATTCTTTCAAGTTATTGAATTTCAAAATGTTTGAATTTGAAGTTATTGATATTTTCGAATAATTTTACAATTAAAGAAATTCTTAAATAAATGTACCTAATAGAACATTTTTTTTGAGTATTTAATCATGTTTAGAGTGAATTAGAATATTCTTTGGGGTCAGGGAAAAAGACAAAATTTTGTCTGGAAATCAGGGAAAAGTCAGGGAAGAAGAAAATTAAATTTTTGTAGCAACCCTGATTAAATTTATTCCAATGAAATTTGACAAAATTTTCAATTTATTAAAATTATTTCCGGAAATACAATTATTTTTAAAAAATTTTAATTACATTTTTTCAAGAAACAATATTTTGGAATTTGTGACTTAAATTATTCAAAACTTCAATACTTTTTGTTAAATAAATTATTTTTTTTAGAATTTTTGAATAAAATTATTGAAAAACTTTAAGAATTTTTTAAAAAAATACCTAATGTATTTAATAATTTTTTTAAATAAAAATTTTAATATTTTTATACTTTTGCTTCCCAAAAACTTTTTAAAATTTAATTAATTTCTAAAATTGCTGATATAACGCTTTAAATACTCAATTATTTTTTAAAATTTTAACTCTAATTTTTTTTAAATCATTTCCTAGCAGAATTCAACGACGAGAATTGAATTATTTAAATAGAATAATTTTTGAAAATTATTCATAAAATAATTTGTTTTCAAAAATACAATTACATTTATAGATAATTTTTAAAGATAAAAAAATAAAATTATTTAAAATATAAAATTTTACCATATTTCCAATTTTTTAAAATTCTTCTTCATAAAATTTAATTGCTTTCAAAATTTTCAATTAAAATTATTAAAGAAACTCCATTAGTTTAAAAAAAATTCAAAAAAATTCTTCAAAAGAATTTAATTAGGATTTTTAAAAATTGAAATAAAATTCTTTGCGAGAATTCAGTTATTTTCCTAAATAATAAAATTATTTGAAGGAATTCTATTATTATTAAATTTTTTGATAAAATTCTTTGAAATATAATTTCTTTTCAGGTACGAGTCGTGGTGTCAATAACGACCCTCCTGCTAGGACCACTGGACGTCGGAAACAGTGTCGTGGCAAAGGACGGAATAATGCAAATGATTTTAGTGATGGCTGGCACTGACGACGTTCTCCAGCAGAAAGTAGCTTGCGAGTGTATAATAGCGAGCGCATCGAAAAAAGACAAAGCCACGGCAATCATTAGCCAGGGAGTGAATATTCTCAAGAAATTGTATCAGTCGAAAGACGATTCAATTCGTGTTCGTGCGCTCGTCGGTCTTTGTAAACTGGGCGCCTCGGGTGGATCGGACGCGACATTCCGTCCATTCGCCGAGGGCGCGACACTGAAACTCGCCGAGGCTTGTCGACGTTTCCTGATAAATCCCAAGAAACAAAAGGATATGCGCAAATGGGCCGTGGAGGGTCTCTCGTATCTCACATTCGACGCCGAGGTCAAGGAGAAATTAATCGACGACAAGGAAGCGATACAAGCAATGATCGAACTCTCGAAAACCGGTGACAAGTCGGTCGTTTACGGCGTTGTCACGACACTCGTGAATCTATGCAATGCCTACGATAAGCAGGAAATAATTCCCGAAATGTTGGAACTCGCGAAGTTTGCCAAACAACACATTCCCCAGGAGCATGAATTCGATGACGAGGATTTTGTTCGTAAACGATTGTGTATTCTGGCGAAAGCCGGTGTCACGACTGCACTGGTTGCACTCTCAAAGACTGACAGTCAGAATTGCAAGGAATTGATATCGAGAGTTTTCAATGGAATTTGCAGTCAGCAGGAGAATCGTGGCATTGTCGTGCAACAAGGTGGGGCGAAAGTTCTCCTGCCCTTGGCACTCGAGGGCACTGACAAGGGAAAGAAACAGGCCTCACAAGCCTTGTCCCGTTTGGGAATAACCATAAATCCCGAAGTCGCTTTCCCAGGACAACGATTGTTTGAGGTTATTACTCCGTTGATAAATCTCCTGAGTCCCGAGTGTGCTGCTTTGGAGAATTTCGAAGCACTGATGGCACTTTGCAATATTGCTGGTGTTAACGATGCGGTGAGAAAGAGAATTCTGAAAGAGGGTGGACTGCAGAAGATTGAGAATTACATGTATGAGGAGCATGACATGTTGAGAAGAGCCGCCACTCAGTGTATGACAAATATGGTGATGTGCGAGGAGACGATTCAATTTTTCGAACAGGAAAATGATAGAGTGAAATATCTGACGATTCTCTGTGAGGAGGAGGATGTTGACACAAGTATGGCAGCTGCGGGTGCATTGGCAGTTGTCACTTCGGTCAGTAAGAAAACTTGTTATAAAATATTTGACGTACAACGCTGGCTTGATGTACTTCGTTTTCTACTCGCGAATCCAAATATGGATGTTCAGCATCGCGGTATTGTTATTGTACTCAATATGATTAAGTGCACGAAAGAAGTGGCGAGTAAAGTTATTGAAACTGACATTATGGAGATTTTAATGGCTCTGACGAAGAGCAACGATGTCGATAAGAAAATACAAAAAATCGCCGCCGAAGCTCTCGAAGAGGCGAGTAAATGGAAAGTTATCGAAAAATCCAGTGATATGGAAAATACAGTGGACTGAAATGTTAATCTCTCTCTACCGAATGTGCCTTTGTGAGTGAAGTATTTAGATTTTAATGTTATTTTCAATGGCTGAAATACGTAAGTTTTGTACTTAAAATTTATATCGACTGTTACTTAAATTATTCATTTCCCCATAGGAAAAATATTAAAAGTGTAATTAAAAATAATGGATAATTTTATAGAAATTAAAATTAAATATATTACAAAAATTAAAAATGTTTTTTAAAAATTCTGACAAATGTGAGAAATATTTTTATTGTGTAAAACACAGCCAACACAATTATTATACCAACAATAACATTAATTCTTTTTATATACATTATTCAAAAAAACTGAAACAATATTTACCATTCTATTGTTTGGTCCTCGTATTCGAAAATAATTGACTGTTATAATTTCAAAAACGGATGTTTGAGAGCTTCTGCTGCTGTTATTCGTAATCGATGGTCCACCTCCATTAGTTTCGATAATAAGTCAAAACCTTCTAGTGGAAAACTTTTCCCTGAAGACTCCTTTAAACGTAAATTTTATTTAATAACACTCTCTTTAATTTCTGATAAAATTGTAAAGTTTTTCAAACATTTCTAATTTATTAGTTTTGTAATTCATTTCTTTTGTATTTCTTATTAGTCGTAATAAAATATTTATTTATTACTTTTCTTAAAATATGAGTGTAAAGTGGAGAAGGTGCGGAAAAAGGCACTTTTTTAGCAATTAGAAAATATTTTAAAAAGTATAGAAAAATTCTTAAAAGTGCAAAAAGAATTATTGATTCATATTTGCTTGAAGTCCGTAAAAGTCCGTTTTTTTTTTAAAAAAAAGGTCCGTAAAGTTCGTAATTTGATTCAAAAAGGATGAAAAGTTCGTAAATTGTACGATATAATTTGGATAATTTTAGAGAAATTACAAATGATTGCAGAAATTCAATTATTTTCAAAAGTAATAAAATTCTTCGCAGAAATTCAATTATGTTCCAAAATTTTTACAAATTCTCATAAAAAATTCAATTATTTTTAGAAATAATTAAATTCTTCTCCAAAATTCAATTATTTTCAAAAAATTTCCTCAATTCAATGATTTTAAATATCTACTACCTATTTTCATTAAATTTTCAAAAAAAATTCAATATTATTTAAAAAAAATTTTAATAAAATTCTACACAAACTTTTAATTATTTTCAAAACATAATAAAAATTTTACAGGTATTCAATTATTTACAAATTATTTTATAAATTGTTCTTCAATTATTTTCATAAATAATAAAATTTTTACGGGGATTTAATTATTTTCGTAAATAATAAAATTCTTTTAAGGACATTAGCGACAGAGTTGGAGCGCCACCCTCGAAGGCTAAAGTCTTACGACAGTTCCGAGGGAGGGTAAAGGGCTCCAGAAGAAGGGTTACAGGTTTTAGTGGGTCGGGCTGGTAGTAGATCGCCAGTTTATTAAATTTATTATAACATTTATTTATTTATCTTTTTTTTTTAATATTTCCTTTTGTTTCATTTTACCAACCCCACATAACCTTGGAGTGCGGAATCCAAGGTATCTGTAGGCAGATTTCCCAAAAGTCCCTAAGCAAAAAAAAAAAAAAAATAATAGAACTCAATGCAATGCAGAATTTCAATAATTTTTAATACAATTTTAATCGAATTCCTCGAAAAAATTCTTACAAATTTTATTAAAATTCGTTAAAAGGTTTCAGTTCCTATTTAAAAATTTATAGATAAAATTCTTTATGAGAATTCAATTTTAAGAAACATGCATTTATTCAATAAATTGATATTTTTGTATTTCAGTAATTGAATTCTAGTAGAATTTTCTCATAAACATTGATTTAAAAATGGATTTCAGTTAAAATTTTAGATTACAATTGAATTTTAAAAGCATTAGAGGGTACATTTTTAGAAATAATTTAATTTTGAAAAGGTTTCAGATTAAAATTTTGGAAATTTTGAATTTTTTACATTTTTAACTAATAATTCTGTGGAATTAATTTTTTTTTAAGAAACTTTAATTGCGGATTTTTTTTGAAATTATTTTAAGTTTTATTTTATAATATTTATTTAATTGAAGAATTTACGAAGAATTGAAATTTCGTAAAACTGAATATTGTAAACAAATGAATTTGAAAATTTTTAAAGAACTTTTTCAAAAATTATTAAAAATAGTAGATTTATAGAAGATGTTTAGTTAAAAACACGAAAAAAATATTTAATTTTGGAGAAGTTTCAAATTATTGCAAAAATTCAATTATTTTCAAGAGTAATAATATTCTTCGCAAAAATTAAATATTGTTCAAAAGTAATCAAATTCTTCTTAGGAATTTAATTATTTTTACAAATAATAAAACTCATTGCAGAATTTCATTTATTTTTAATACAATTTTAATCGAATTTCTCGAAAAATGTAATTATTCTTAAAAATTCTATTAAAATTCGTTGATAGAATTCAATTATTTGAAAATTCCTTGATAACAATTCTTTATGGGAATTGAACTTTAAGAAGCATTCAATTACTCAATAAATTATTTATTTTTGTATTTAAATAATTGAATTCTAGTACAATTTTCTAATAAAAATTGATTTAAAAATGAATTGCAGTTAAAATTTTATATAATAATTGAATATTAAAAGCAATATAGCGTGAATTTTTAAAAATAATTGAATTTTGAAATTAATTTTTTTGAGAAAGTTTAATTGAATTTTTTTGGTATTATTTTAAGTTTTTATTTTCTAATATTTATTTAATTGAAGAATTTACGAATAATTGAAATTTTGTAAAATTGAAGATTGTAAACAAATGGATTTGAAAATTGTCAGTAATTTTTGCACTTTTAAGAATTTTTCTATATTTTTAAAAATATTTTCTAATTGCTAAAAACATGCCATTTTTCCGCACCTTCTCCAGTATACACTCATATTTTAAGAAAAGTAATTAATATTTTAACATAATTCTTTTCATTTCGTTCTCCAGAGATCATACAGATTCATTTCTAAAATTATCATTTTTTTTTAAAATTAGACCGCAACGACTTTATTCGAAATATAATGGTTTGACCCATCTATCAATTCTAGATAAATTATATATTATAGGTAAAATAAAATTAATAAAATAACGTTGATTTAAATAAAATTAAATAAAAAGCACTGAATAAATAGAAATGAAAGAAAGCAAAAAAGTAAATAGAATGTAAATAAAACGAACAAAATAAAATACCTCATCATTTTTAACATTTTTGTCTCTGTCTCGTAACTTTTGACAAAGTTTTACGATATCAACTGGTGGTATTTGTTCAGGAATTGTTATCTTTTTTCCTAATTTAACGAAAAAAAATGAAATGCATATTAATTTTGTGAAATAAAAAAAAGAAATTTAATTTCTTTTTGGAAAACAAAAAAGAAAGAAAGTTAATTGCTTTTTGGAAAATAAATTTTAAAAAGGACTTACCTAATTTTCGTGCGCATAGATGAATTTTATCGGATCCAAAAATAGTAATAATTTCTGCCAAAGCAGTACCGTCATCTGGAGAACGGAAAAATGGTTGTGTTGCACTGAGAATTGATAATAAAATAACTCCACTCGCCCAAATGTCAATTGCTAGAATTAAAATTGAATTTAAATTAAAAGAATTTTATTTAATTTTATTTTTTTAGAGAGTAATTATTATGAAAGAGAAAAAATTTATTGAATAATTTAAACCTGGCGTTTGAGCAGGATGTTTTAAGAGAACCTCTGGTGCTCTAAAACCTGGAGTACCAGCTCGAGGTGCAACTTGTGCAGGTCTTATCAAACAAAGAGAGCAAACTTTAGGTTTACCGAAGCAATAACACTTTTCTTCAAGCTTTCCAAGAGACGTTGGAGAACTTTTATTCACCTGAAATATTAATTCATTTAATTATCAAAATAAAAACAATTTTCTTTTTAGAAAACAATGCTTTTCGAAAAAGTGTTATTTTCTATCTGAAATTTTACCTCAATTTCTCTTTTCTTTCTTGTACTATCAGCGACAGGAGGTGTTAACGGTTTAATATTACTTTTATTTAGATCTCTTTTGTAATTTTCAGCTAATCCAAAATCAACCAAAAGATATCTGCAAAGTAAAAAAAGAATATATTTCAATTAACCTAAGTAGTTTAATACATCAATAAATTTTTATTTTTATTCAAAAAAATTATTTTGAAAACAAAAAAAATACCTTCTATTCGGACGGTCGTATAAAAAATTATTTGGTTTGACATCTCTGTGCATAATATGAAATTTATGCACCCTTTGCAAGGCAGTTAATAAGGCACGCATATAATGTTTTGTCTCTTCCACGGTCATATCTTGTACGTAATCCTAAGAAAAAAATTATTTTCTTTAGTAAAAAGAAAAAATTTTAATTTAACAGGGTGTCCAGCTACCTTGAAAAGTACTTGAATTTTTTTTGCTCCTTGAAAACCTTGAAAACACCTTGAATATTATGACAAAACCTTGAAAATTTAAAATTCTTAAAAATGAGATTTATTTCCTTGATTTAAATTGAATTCTTGTCAATATTTCAATTATCATTATAAATATAAAAATTCTTCTCCGTAATTCAATTATATTCAGGAACTTTAATAAAATATAATGCAAAATACAATTATTTTCATAAACAACAATTATTCATCACAAGAATTAAATTATTTTAAAAATTAATTAAATTCTTCGCAGAAATTCAATTATTTTCAAAAAAATCTAAAAAACATTGTGGTCAAAATTTCAATTATTTTTATAAATAAATAACAATAATCTTTGACAAAGTTCAATTATTTTGAGGAATTTTAATAAAATTCATTGCAAAATTTTATTATTTTCATAAATAATAGTATTCATCACAAGAATTCAAATATTTTCAAAAATTTTAATAAAAATCATTTCAATTATTATTCAAGAAAAAAATTTTTACATTAATTTAATTATTTAAAATAGAATTTGCATACATTTTTTCGCAATAATCAATTGTTTTAAAATTTGACATTAAATTCTTCGCAGTAATTCAATTATTTTCAAAATTAATAAAATTCAATTATTTTCGAAAATTTTAATAAAATTCATTTCGAAATTTCAATTATTTTCAAGAATTTTTCTTAATTCAATAATTTGTATGTACCTATATCAATTATTTTAATAGAAATTCCCAAAAGAATTTAATTATTTAAAAACAATTTTGATTGATGTTTCTTAGATAAATCGATGTTCTTTATATTTATAATATTTTATCAATAAATTTTATTTAAAGTTATTTATGAATTACTGTTGTATGTAGAAATTATAAAATTGTTTATAAATAACAAATATTTTGGAAATTAGTACCTTAAAAATGGATCTTGAAAAAAATTATTTTGAACCTTGAAAACCTTGAATTTTTTTTTAAAGAATCGCTGGACACCCTGTTTAAATAAAATATATATAAATAGAAATATACCATAAATCGGTCATGTCTCATAAAAGGCATAACTAGAACTACTGATCCTGCATGTCTTAGACACAATTCCAATCCGGCTACATGATCTTGCCCCCTAGGAAATAAAAAAAACTTAAAATAAAAAATAAAGATAAAAAATCCACTTTATAAATTATTTTCACTTACCCAATTTTTTTTAAACAATTCATTTCACGCTGAATTCTTGAAGGATGACACGTAGGTATTAAATGTTTAATGGCAAACTTTTTCGAATCCCTGGAAGACTTGAGAGTTGCCAAAAATACTGAACTAAAACTACCTTCGCCAACTTTACAATGTAAATTAAATAAATCATTTAAAGCTGGTACTGTTTGTAATAATAGGGAAATTTCCTCCTTATCCTCTGAAAAATTCATGATTATTGTATTTCTCTCAATATTTATTGTCTTCGGCAATGAATTACTTATTAAAATGATTAAAATGCATTGTAAAAGAAACTTGTGATGTCAGCAACATTTTGTGCTGACTTCAATTTTATTTCAATAATGTATTAAAAGGTGTCAATTTTTTTACCTATATAATTATCATCTTCTGATTTTTGATTATTTTCACTTTGGTCCATTTTAATAATGATAATTTTACTATAAAAAATAGCTGAAAAATATAATACGTTTTACATTTCTTAAGATAATATATAGAAACTAACCTCACATTTCAAAAAGGCGGCAAATTGTTTTGACATCTGCCATCTGCAGACGACACTTTTGGCGGCAATAAGTCTAGGATTTGAAAATATTCCGAGAGAACTTAATATTTCAATTGCTTTTTACTTTTGCTATACCTATGTTTAATTCATTCTGTTTTTAAATCTAAAAGAGTTTAGTTTTTAAATTGTAAAGAAATCTTTTTCTACGGCGCCCTCGACCTCCATTCGTGTCACAAAAAATCACCGTAAACAAATGGCTGCCTTTATCCCCTTGTTGCTTTATATTAAATAAATAAATTTAAATTCTCTTATATTCTCTTGAAAAAATTAAATTACCGTCATTTCCTTGTAAATTTATGATTAAATTCTCGAGAATTTAAGAACAATTTGCGCGCGCAACAAGTGCGTGATTTGATTTTAAAGAAAAATTCATTTAAAAACACACAATTAAAAGCAATTTTCGAAAAAATGGAAAAACTTTAAATGCTAAAATACTCTCAACAAGTAAGGACATTTCAAAAATCGAGAATATTATTTCATTTCCCTTCAAGTGGATTTTAATTACTGTTTTGACAGGAAGCGGAAACTTTGTTGACATGCGCTGTCACAACAGCTGATATCGTCATACCAGGGGCCGTATTCTCGAATCGATGACCCCAGATGTCGCATGCGACAGACCATTCGAGATGGAAAAAGCTATTCTCGAACGCTTGTCGCATGCGAGATTTCATGTCGTATGCGATAATTTCCGAATGGTTCATCTCGAGTGGGTAGTGGCCATTCGAGATGCAAAGTCGTATACGAAATGCTAGTAAAAAATAAGGTTGTGTGTCATCCTTGTAATAAACGTATATAATATAAATTAGTATTAGTGTGCATGAACCGCATGCTAAAGTAGAAAAAATATACAAAATAACCTAAATGTGTTGTTTAAGAATTAAAAGTAAACTTGTGAAATAAAAGTTTATGTAAATAATTTATAATATGCAAAATTTATAATGGATAAATTGCACATGTTTGTGTTATTTTTGTGAATGAATCATGTAAACAATATAAATTTTTTTAATTTTTTAATCTTCGTTTCATTTTTTCTGTCTGTTCACACTTTAAAGTTAGTTTTTGTGTATGCTTTTGTTTTTTTCTTTACAAAATATTGTTTTACAAATTGAAAGTATGCTCTTTTTTAAGATTTAAAATAAAATAAAATTTAAAATTATAAAAAATTTTGATTAACAAATAAATTTTCTTTTTGCAAAAATAGGAAATATATATATTTATTAATTAAAATTATGCATAATATAAAGGGATATATCCCTTTAATATGCATAATTTTAATTTTTCAATAACAATATTGTTCACAAACTGATTCTTTTCTTTAAAAAAAAAATATTACATATTCCAGTTTCTTAACATTTTTGTAAAAAATTCTCAATTTACAAATGCTAATATTAAAACTTTAATATAAAAAAAAATGTTGTTACATTTATTTACGAATTTCTTTAATTATAAAATTATTCGTAATAATATCAGTAACTTCTATTTAAATAAATATTTGATTGTTATTATTTTTCCATTATTTTATTACATTTAAAAATAATTTAATTTTTGTAATCATTTTGTAACGTACGTCTACAAAATTCAATGTATTTAGTGTTTTTAACTAAAATTCTTCTATAAATTCATTATTTTTAATAATTAATTAAATATTTATTGCCAAATATAACTAATTTCAAAAGAATTTGAATTATCAAAATTTTAAATTAAATTCATTCAAAATTAAAATTTTATAAAATTTCAAACTGAAACCGCTTAAAGTTAATTTGTTTATAAAAATTGTAAACGCAAAATTGAATTGATTTTGAAATATTTAAATGAACGGATAACTATTTGTATTTTTCTCATATGTCAAGTTCTCTTCCTCCTCAATTATGATTGGCAGATAAGTATTTGGAAACGACGGCAACAATGTATGAATGTCGCACACGGAAATTTTCGAACAACCTATCTCGAACGGTCATTGAGAATAGACTTTCAGAGTCGCATGCGACATTAACCATTCGACATTTTACGCATGCGAGAATTGTCGAATGCTTTCGAGAATACGGCCCCAGAGCTGCCAGGTACCCTCACCAAACGCAACTGCGCTTGCGCGACAAAAATGCTTCTATTTGTAGAATAAAACTTGTCCATCTAAACCCTGGCAGCTCTGGTCATACGTCACTTGATATTGTGATTTTGCATTGTTTTGCAGGTGTAAGATTATGGATTAAAATTGAAAGAAAATGATCAAAATCTAAATGTAAATTGTGGTATTAAAGGTGCATATAATTTTCTTTGATAATGTGTTCAATTGACACAATAAAATATTTGACAATTTTTAAGGTAACTTATAAAATTAAGGTGTTATATTTTTCTAGTATTTGAATTAACAAAAAGAGATTTAGATTTTATATATTTAAAGATTAAAGATTAATCTAAATAACAAAATTGAAATTTTTAATTTTGAATTAATAATTAAAGCTTCACAATGACGAATCCTGCTTTAAATGTTTTGTTAACCGGAGAACCAGAAGTAACCGCAGACAATGATAAGGTTATCAATTTGATTGAGGAAAATCTATTCAAATTACATTGTTTAATAAAAGCAAATGGAATTCACCTTTGCACAAGACATGAATATCAGGGTAAAGAATTACTTGCTTTTACAACTGGAAAAGTGAATTTGTGTCTCTATTATCTTTTTGACGTTTCTCAACCGCCAATTGTAAAAAATATACCCTGGTTTCTTTCGCCAAATAAAACAATATCGGCACTTTGTTTTGATCCATCGGGATATTGGCTCTTGGTGGCTAGTCAGGATGGTTCTCTGCATATTGTGGCTGCTGCAAGTTTAGTTGATTCAAAAAGAAAAACTAATCAACAAAAATGGAAAGAAGCTGATGACATTATATCTCTGTCGTCGTTAAATTCTCAGTCATGCTGCTCAAGGTTTGCACAAAATTTTATTTATTAATTTTATACCTGAAAAACAATTTTTATTTTATTTGATGTTTATAATAGACCAAGTTCGCTGATATGGTGGCAATGTATGGCAACTTCTTGCCAAACCGGAATCATTGGAACAGAACAAGGAGAAATATTGTTCATCGATTTAGATACAGGACAGCAAATCGGTTTAACACGAATCGATGATTATATTTCGAGTTTTCAAATTTGTCAGGACACTGAATTGGATACAATTAATCTCATTATAACTAGTCAATCAAAGAAACAGTGGCTACTTGTTTTGGAGCAACCTGCCAAGGGTTACATTTACACGCAAAGCAATGGATCGAGTGCAGCTTCTTCAGAAGATAACGAAAATACTTTCACTTCTACCATAAAAAGTAAAGAGTAATTTTTATCTTGCATTTTATTAATATTTCTAAATTTTTTAAAATTGCTAATTGTAATGAATTTATTTTACAGAATGGCAAAGTAAGTCTCGACTTAAGGGACTAAAGCAGCTTTCTTTCGATAATTTTAGTATTCTTAAAAAAAAGGCAACGAAAAATAAACATGGCAGTTCTCCGAATTCAGGTATGAAAAATAACAGTCTCAGGCTTCGCACTCATCTTCCAAAACCTACTATTCATTACTTTTTTACGTTATATACTACTATTTGGTTCCTTTTTTAGACTTCAGCCACTAAAAGCTACTATTTCTGTTTCGTATTTTTTTGAGAATTTCCACTACTCTAAATTCGCTAATAGTTGAAATCAAAAAATTATAGTAAAATTCTTAGAAACAATTCAAAAATATTTAGAATAGAGAAGGTAAAAAAATTATTATATATTCAACTTTTTGAACAAAGAATATAAATACCTAATAATTTTTTAAAAGAATTTTCACTTCTTTAAATTCGCTAATACTAGAAATCAAAAAACAATTCTTAAAAATTATATTCAAATTCTTTAAAAAGATTTAATTATACTTTCAAAAAATATTCGAATTTCAATTATTTGCAATATCGAGTATTTTCATGAAATTTCAAAAAAGAATTCAATTAATTTAAAATACCATTTTCAAAAAAATTTCGAAAAAATCAATTATTTAACAAAATTTTATACAATTTATTTTTCACAATAATTCAATTAATTTTACCAATAATAACATTTTTCATGAAAATTCAATTTTTAAAAAAAATTTTGATAAAATTCTAAGCATGAATTTAATTATTTTCATAAATAATAAAACTCATCGAAGAATTTCAATTATTTTTAATACCATTTTTATTTAATTAATCCAAAAATTCAGTTATTTTCTTGTGAAAATAATTATTATTATTTATATAGGAAGAAAAGTGATTCTTTTCGAGTTAAATAATTTCGATCGAGTGATAAATTTATACTTATATAAATTATTATTATTTATTTGTATAAAGTTTTCCACGAGAAGTCAATTATTTAAACTAATAAAATTTTCATAATATTTATTATATTTTGAGAAAATTATTTATTTAAAATAATATTCATAAAATTGTTATGAAAAATTCAATTACTTTCAAAAATAACAAAAATTTCCACAGAAATTCAATTCTTTTTAAACATTTTTAATAAACTTTTTCGCAATAATTTAATTATTTTCAAAAATAATAAAATTCTTCTCAGGAATTCAATTATTTTTGAAAATTATACTAAAATTCTTTGCAAGAATTTAATTATTTTCGAAAATAATCAAATTCTTCTCAGGAATTCAATTATTTTTGAAAATTATACTAAAATTCTTTGCAAGAATTCAATTATTTTCATAAATAATAAAATTCTTCAAAGGAATTCAATTATTTAAAAAAAATGTAATAAAAAGACCACACAGACATTCAATTACTGACAAAAATTTTAATAGAATTCTTTGTAAAATTTAATTATTTTTAAAAACTTTTTGCAATTTAATAATTTTTAATATCTACTATTTTCATAAAATTTCCAAGCAGAATTCAAGTAGGTACAATAATCATTTTATACTTAGTATAAAAATAATTACAAGTAAAAATAAAAATTAATTAAAATAAATTTGATCGAAATATGTATTAAAATATAATTCTATCATTTTTAAAATTGTTAATTTTATATAAAATGGTAAATAAAAAGTTGTCCGCGCCCGAATTGTTGCTGGTTCAATAATAGAATTCTTTGCTAGAATTCAATTGTTTTATAAATAATAAGAATTTCAGTTAAAATTCTAGATAATAATTGAATAGGCATTAGAAGCTTTATAGTGTGAATTTTTAGGAATAATTAAATTTCAGAAGATTTTTAAATTTAAAACTTTGAAAATTTTTGTAAAACTACATTGTAATTAAATTTTCATTTCAGAAAATTAGTGATTTATTATTTTCCTAAAATATGATTAGTTTCGAATAATTTTATTTAAAAATTTCAACAAAAAATGGCTAAATTTTTGAAGAATTACAGTTGTATATTTTAGAGATACTTAGTTAAATTTCAAAAAAGCTTTACATTGAAATCATTTAAAATATTTAAAAAAAAAAAATAAATAAATAAAAAAAAAAAAAAAAAAAAAAAAAAAAAAAATAAATAAATAAATAAATAAGAAAAAAAAAATAAAAATAAAAAAAATAAAATAAAAAAAAAAAAATAAAAAAAAAAAATAAAAAAAAAATAAATAAATAAGTATTTAAATATTTATTCAACTCAAATTTTTTAAATTTTGAATGTAATTTAATTCCAGAAATTGTGAGCAAAATTAGTCTTGAAAAATTGTAATTAAAATTTTTTGAAAACAGTTAAATTCCCGTAAATAATTTTAAAAAGATTAAATTAAATTTCTAATCATTTTGGAAATTTTGTCAAATTTAAATGAAATAAATTTTATATTTTTAAAGAATTTGATTTTTTTACTTTCAAGAAATATTTTTAAAGAATTTGATTTTTTTATTTTCAAAAAATATTTTTAAAAATTTTTATTTTTTTACTTTCAAAAAATATTTTTAAGTAAAATTGTATTTTTGACGAAATTTAAATTTAAATTTAGAAAATAAATGAATTTTTCAAAAATTTTGAATTGAAGTTATTAGCAGGATAAGAAAAGAAATAAATATTTTTTATGAAAGTTAGAAAAAAGTCAGGAAAATAAAATACAGAATCAAATTTTTCATGATTATTGTGAATTGTCTAAAACGAGTTTTTTTAGTCGTTAAAATTTAATTTTTTGACAACTACTTTTTTTAAAATTAATTATCGAGTGTGAAGCCTGCAGTCTAGAAGATAAAACAATTATATTATTGGTAAAGTTAATTAATAAATAATTTTTAGGAACAATCAGTGGTAATAATTATTCACAGTGTAATGGCTCTGAAAATTATACGAATCCTTTACCAGCGAGTAGCCTCGCTTTTTTAACTTTACATTACGCAGATCATGGACGTCGCTTATACAGTCGTTATTTTTCGCCTAAAAGTCTTTTAACAGTAAGAATATTATTTACCTCAGATCTTATTTATTTATTTATTACATGTTATAATTTTATTCATATTCTTAACAACAATTTTATTTGAAAATAAGTTGCCTTTATTTTCGTAGATTCACGAGAATAGTACATCGTTACTTCCTCTGTGTGCATATAAATTACCGGACAATAGTAAAGATGTTTTATTAACGCAACATTTATTTTATGTTATTGATCGACCATCGTCTCGATTGTCAATAATATCACGCTCTCTTTCACAAGATAAATTAAATGGAAATTCTCAATTTAATCGAGAATCAATAATTGCTCAATTTTCATTTGGAAAACGAAATGAAGTTATAAATGGTCTATTTGTAGCCAATAGTTGTGATAAAATTACACAAGAAAATTCTTTTCACAATAATGAAGAAATTTACACAATTCCTAAAATTATTAAGGACCTGAAAATTAAACTTGTTCCTGTAAATTCATGTATAATTGTTACAAATTGTGGAATTTATCGTGTCACTCTGAGGTATGCAATTAGTATTTTAATGTCTCAATTAAATATTTGTAATTTGCAATTAATATTTCATAATATTGGTCTCTATTGAAAATAATTTTAATTGAATTCTATGAAAAAAATTTTAGGTGCAGTTTGTTATCCATTTTTATGGATTTAATTATCAGTCGGGCGGAGTTGGACAAAGCGAAAAGATTGGCTAAAATATTTGGCTTGCACATTCGACAACTACTAGAATATGCTGGAGATATTCTTTTGGCAAATGATAAATTTTATCAAGCAACTAACATGTTTAAAGAAGCAAAGGTAAGTTTTAAACTAATTCGAAGACAATTAAGTATTCATTTGAAATTTATTTTAACTTAGTTTTGAAAAATGTTACTCTTTTTTCTTTTAAATTTTCCTTATTGAATTATAAATGTGTATTTTTTTATATCAATAGTGTCGACCTTCGAAGATTTTTGCAAAGCTCGCGTCAGTGGGATGTACAATGGAACTTTTGAATTGTCTCGTTCATTGTCTGGAACATCCTTCGCAATATAAATTGTCAATAGCAGAAAGAATGTCCTTGTCAAATCTAAGTATAATAGCTTTCACAGAATTATCCGTGAGAGCTACATCCCCAAGGGAGCAGACTATTTACAAGAAATTCACGTATGTCGATTTAATTTTCATTATTTCGGGATAATTTTGAAAATTCGTTCAGTCCAATTTACTAAATTTTTTTTGAATAATGTAGATTTCATATAAAATTAATTAGAAATTTAATAATTATCAAATTTTTATATAAAGGCTACATTAATAAGTAAATTAAATTCTTTAATTAATTTAATTTACAAAATTTTTTATTTTCAAATATAAATTTTTGAATAATTTCAGATTTAAACTTTAAAAAATTCAATTATTAACTAATCTACTAATTAATTATTCTTGTTTATTAATTTCAAAAATTTTAATAAAATTCTCAGGGTTGCCACGCAACCTGGAAACCTGGAAAACCTGGAAATGTCAGGGAATTTTATAAATCTTGAAAAAACCTGGAAAAGTCATGGAATTTTGATCAGAATCCTGGAAAATTGTTATTTTCTAAAGTTATTGTGTTTATTGTTGAAATCTAATTTTACTTAAATAATATTTCAAAATTAATTCAATTTTAAAAGAGTTATGTTTACAATTTTCATAAGCATAGATGAATTTCAAAAGATTTTAATTTTAAATTTTGTAAAATTTCAATTTTCAATCGTCTTAAAGAACGTAGATTTTTGAAAAATTTCAATTATTCCAATTCTTCTGAAATTGGTTAAATTTTTTAATATATATTTTTAATTGATTATTAAAAATAATGGATTTAAAGAATAATTTTAATTAAAAATATTCAATTATTTTCAAAAGCAGTAAAATTCTTCTTAGAAAATCAATTATTTCCAACAATTTTAATAAAATTCATGTCAAAATTTCAATTATTTTCAAAAACTTTCCTCAATTCAATGATTTTTAATAAATCTACTACTTTAATAAAATTTTCCAAAAGAATTCAATTATTTAAAAAAAATTTTTAAATTCTACGCAAACATTTCATTAGTTTCATAAATAATAAAACTCATCTCAGACTTTCAATTATTTTTAATACAATTTTAATGAAATTTCTCGAAAAATGAAATTATTCTTAAAATTGTTATTAAAATTCATCAAAGAAATTCAATTATTAAAAAGACATTTTAATAAAGTTTATCTCAAGGATTCAATTATTTTCAAAAGTAATATAATTCTTCGCAAAAATTTAACTGTGTTTACAATTTACAAAAATTCTCGTCAAAATTTCAATAATCTTTATACATTTTTCTCCGAAATTCAAATATTTTCAAAAATTTTAATAAAATTCTTGGCAAAATTTCAATTATTTTCAAAAACTCAATTATAAAAAAAAGTTTTAAAAACTCTTTTCTCTTTGGAGAAATTCAATTATTTTTAATCAAATTTTAATCAAATTTCCGAAAAATAAAATTATTCTTAAAAATTTTATTAAAATTTGTCCAGAGAATTCAATTATTTAAAAATTTGTTTGATAAAATTCTTTATGAAAATTCAATTTTAAGAAACATTCAATTATTTAATAAAATATTTATTTACAAAGAATTTTATCATTTTTGAAAATAATTGAATTCTTGCTGAGAATTTTATCAATTTTGAAAATAATTGAATTCATGCGAAGAATTTTGTCATTTTAAAAATAATTGAATTATTTCGAAGGATTTCATTTATATTTTTGAGAATAATTGAATTCCTGAGAATGATTTTATTATCCATAAAAATAATTAAATTCTTGACAAGATTTTGAAGGAAATTTAGAATTAATTTTTCTCAAAAAGTTTAATGAAATTTTTTTTAAAATTATTTGAAGTTTTTAATTTCTAATTTATTTAATTGAAGAATGTCAAAATAATCGAAATTTTAGGTAAAATTAAATTATAAACAAATGGATTTAAAAATTCTTAAAGAAGAACTTTTTCAAAAATTATTTTAAAAAATTGATTTAAAGAAGAATTTTAGTTTAAAATTCTAGAAATGAAGAATTGAATTGAAATGAAAATAATTTTGAAGAAATTACAGTAATAATATTTTTATAATATAAAATAATGATAGTATCAAGTTTTAATGATTATAAAATATGAAGAAAGCCGAGTCGAAGACTCGGAGTGATCGATATCTTCATGTTTTATAATAATATTCTTATATATGTTATTGAATTTAAAATTTTTGAAAATCTTAATTTCTGTAAAAAAATAATAATGATTAAATATTCATTTAAAAACGAAGTTATTGATGTTTTCGAGTAATTTTACAATTTATTGAAGAAATTCGTAAATAAATGTAATAGAACAGGAAAAAAGTCGTTTTGTCTGAAAATCAGGGAGTTTGGTAAAATTAAGAATAAAATTAAAATTAAAATTTTTTAAAATATAAATGTAGTTTTAAAAACCTGGAAAAATTCCTTTTTTTAACCTGGAAAACCTGGAAATGTCAGGGAATTTGAAATCAGGAAAAGCGTGGCAACCCTGAATTCTTCACAAGAATTCAATTATATTTATAAATACCTAGTAAAATTTTTTTTCAAAAATTGATTTTATTCAAAATAATTTCACGAAAGAATTCCATTTTTTTCTTAATTTGATATAAATAATTCAATAGAATTCAATTATTTTCGAAAATTTTAATAAATTCTTCTAAACAATTCAATTATATTTATAAATAGTAAAATTCTTTGCAAAAAGTAAATTATTTTTAATACAATTTTAATAACATTTCATGAAAGAATTCAATTCTTTTTTAATTTTTAGTAATATTTTTTGAAGAAATTCAATTATTTTCTAAAATTTTATTAAATGCTTCGAAACAATTCAATTATATTTATAAATAGTAAAACTAAAGAATTCAATTTTTTTCTTAATTCGTTATAAAATTTTTCAAAAGAATTCAATTATTTTCTAAAATTTTAATAAAATTCAATACTTAAATGTTTAATTTCAATTATTAACAAACACGATTATTTTAAAAACTTGAATGAAATTGTTCATAAAATTCCATTATTGTCAAAAATTTTGATTTGAAATTATTAAACACACTCCATTATTTAAAAAAATTCAAAGAAATTCTCCAAAAAGAATTTAATTTGAATTTTAAAAAATTTTAACAAAATTCTTCGCGAGAATTTAATTATTTTCCTAAATAATAAAATTCTTCGAAGGAATTCTATTAATATCAAATTTTTTGATAAAATTCTTTACAGCAGTTCGATGATTTTCAATACAATAATTATAAAATATTGTAAATATTTAAAAAGAAAAAGAAAAAATTATAAAAGTTAATTAGTCTTAATTAATATTTATTTTTCTAGAGAGTTTTTATCGGCAAATCTGTTTTATGATGAACTCGTGGCCGTCAGTATAATCGGTCAAGCGCACTTGTGGAATATTTTACATCATTTAGTAATTAAAAGAGGCCTTTTTGCTCAAGTATTAGACATACTTATGAAGACTTTACCTCTGTTTTTTAACTTTAAAAACTCCCATCTTAATACTAATAGTAAGTATTTGTTATTATTTAAGAAAAGGAAATTTTTTTTAATGGGAAAATCATCAAAAACTTAGTTTTAATGATTAATTTTTATTGCAGATGATTTACTAGTTACTATAAGTGAACCAATCTTAATTCGTGGAATGATAGGAAATCTCAGTATTGCTAAAAGCCACATGTCTTTTGTTCTTGCCAATCTTTCTTCTCTACAAGAGTTTGTTTTGCAGGTAAATTCGTCGAAAATTAAGAAACAACAAAATTAAAAAAAAAAAATTGAATAATTCTTAAATTAATTTAATATTAATTTTTTAACTTCATAATTCATTTGTAAATGTTTTAGTTTCAAATTTAATTTAATGTTTTTTGCATTCAAAATTGTTGAAATTGATTTAATTTGATATTTTTTTGAAATAATCACACAAATTTCTTGCTTTAAACTTTCTTGTGAATTCCTGTTGCAGAGATTAATTTTGTTATACGATCCAACAAATCCTGTTTTGAGGCCTTTAATGGCTCAGTGTAAATCACAAAGAAGAAGTGATTCACGAAATTCACTTACTAATTCTTTAGAATCAATAGACCTACAGGTAAATAATAAACCGTTTTAATATTAATAAACTTAAATTATTATAAATTTATTTATAAAATTAAATAACATTTAAGTTACTATTAATTAAATATTAATATATTCGTTACCAAAGAAGAATAATTATTATAAAAAATAAATTTCAATTTCTAGGAGGAAATGTTTAGCTTGGCGGAAAAAATAGTGGAAATGTTTTTAATGATTTTACTTGTACTTATTCAGAAAACAACACCCGTTTTAAATCATAATTCAGACTTGATGAAGATGATCTCATTGTCGCAAATAAAACTGGTGAATTTCTATTATTAAATTACTTTTCTTTTCAATAAAAATATATTTAGTATTAATTGAATATTTATCGCCCGGTGATACTTTAATTGTATCATTTATAAAATCGATTACTCTGAATCAGACAAAGAAAAAAAAATAAATAACAAATATTTTTACTTGCCGTTGAAACTACTTTTTTTCTCTATTTAATAGAAAGCGGTAATTACGGTCAATTATAATTATTTATTATTAAAAATATATTTAATTTAATTAAAATAAATGAATATTTAATTCATTCATTTGAATACTTATGAATATTTTTAAAATGAACAAATTAATAACATAACAATTCAATTTTCAGTATAAAAAAGATGCGACGAATTTACAGTATAAACGAAGATTTATGAGTTGTGGTTTTTCGCATGTCACTCTCCTCAGGAATAAAATTATCTACAATTGGGGTAGCACCATCTCTGGAAGTCTCGGTAAAATTAAGTTTCTAATACTTTTCTCGTATAACTAATGAATAATTCTTATTCATAATTAGAATATTCTAAATTAAAATTAAAAACCGAAAATTTTGTAATAAAATCCGAAAAATTTGAAATTAGATTCTTACGTCTCGATTATTATGACTTTTTTTTCACTATTTTCAAAAAATACGACTTTTTCGACTTATTTTCAAAAATTGCATCTTTTTGACATTTCTTACAAATATTGCAACAAAATAAAATATTTTTTACCACGCAGGCATGAATTTTGCTATTATCTTTAGAAATAATAATAATAATAATAATAATAATAATAATAATAATAATAATAGTAATAATCGATTTTATTTTCAGGCACTGGTCCAGTATCGGGGTCTGTGTATGAAACACCCCAAGAAATAATAATATTCCGTCGAATGGGAATTGAAGTGATTAGCGTGTCAAGTGGACATAGTCATACATTGGCATTGACAAATAATGGAATTTATGCATGGGGTGGAAATCAGTATGGACAAGTTGGTCTCGATTATCTCTCGCAATGTCCCAGTCCACAATTAATTTCATCCCTTTCTGACGAGACAATTGTTGACGCCGTGGCAGGTCAATATCATTCCATTGCCTTGACATCCGATGGACGAGTTTTCACTTGGGGTTGGGGAGTTCATGGTCAATTGGGCCATGGTAGCATTGAAAATATTTTCATTCCAACTGTGATTACATCATTACTTGGTATTTCAATAAAACACATTACGGCTGGACATGCGCACACAATGATTCTTTCGTCGGAAAATATTGTTTATGTTTTCGGTTGTAATAATGTTGGACAATTGGGAACGGCAAATACAAAAAAATATCTTATTCCCACTGCTGTTCAATTGTTGTCAGAGAAAATATCATTGATTGCTACTAAATATTTTCATAATGTAAGTTGAATGTAAACTTCTTTGGTAAAACTAATTTCTAAATCGTGAAATTAACAATTTTTGTGTTTCAGCTTGCTGTCACGAGTTCGAATAAATTGTACGTATGGGGAATAAGTCCGCGAGAATTGCAAATGCAAAAATTACGTGCTTCGGATTTGGAGTCAACTGAGAAGAAGCAAAATTGTTTATCGCCGTCTTCCTCAGAGAACGTTAATGACGATAGTCAGTTGAGAAAAAATTGTGCCAAAACGGAGGATATTTCTAATTTACTTGTCGAACCAAATGATTCTGCACAAAATTGCACAAGTCAAAAGAACGATCGTATTTCTCATTCATCCTTTTGTAATGGGGATTCACACAAAATTAAAGATAATAATAAAGCATTTGTAGAAAACCATTTTTGCACATCGAATCAAAAGGTGACGAAAAATAGTGAAAAATTAACGAAAGAAGAACAGGGCAAGCGTTCGAAAAATTACAAATTTGCTCGATCTTATTGGATGCCAACTCTCGTTGATACGAGTTTGGTGAAAGGAAAAATTATCCAAGTAGGATTTTTAAATAAATTTTCTAATTTTTTCTTTGATTGATTATTTTGTGCATTACCAAATTTTCTTTTCATTTCAGGTATCAACTGGTTGGAATCATTCGGCACTGATAACAAAAGATGGAACAGTGTACATTTGGGGTAAAAATACGAGTGGACAATTGGGCAATAATAATCATTTTGATATTTTTCGACCCACGCCATTAATTTACAATCCTGTTTTATCATTTTCTCAAGTACCCTCGAAAAGCGCTGGTCGCATGTCGAATGACGAAGGGGATAGTTTATTAAAAAATGGCACAACATCAAATTATCGGGGGAATTGTTTAAAGGAAAATTTCGACAATGATGATAAAGATATTGACAATAAACGACTTGAAAGAGATGAAATTAACGGTGACAATGACGAGGACTATGTTAATAATGTTAATAATAATGATGATGATAACGACAGTGCTTCCGATAATGATGATGATGAAATTAGAAATAGTTCAAATTACCACAATGATTTTAATGAAAAAGATGTTGATGATTTTGAAAATTGTATCAACTCAAATAATTCAGTAATGAAAGCCATTGAAATTTCTTGTGGAAACAATTATACTGCTGCAGTACAACAAGGTTTGTTCGTAAAATTATTCTTAAATTTAATTTTTAGAAGAATTCTCTCAATTTGTGAATTATGTCAATATTACCATCGAAAATTCGAATATAATTGAATATAATTCAAAATTATTATTAACTAGCAAATGCTATGCTCGCGAAACGTGATATTCAATTTATTATTATTATGCAAATTACAAAATTTTTTATTTTCAAATATGAATTTTTGAATAATTTCAGATTCAAACTTTAAAAACATTTAATTACTAACTAATTTACTAATTAATTATTCATGTTTATTAATTTCAAAAATTTTAATAAAATTCTTCGCAAAAATTCAATTCTTTTCATAAATGATAACATTCTTCATAAGAATTGAATTATTTTTATAAATATGTGACTGTCCACGAGAAAACAGGGCTTAGGTCCAAAAAATCAATTTTGATTTTTTTATGGTAATCGACAGATTTTATGTTGCTTTTTCAAATGCAAAAGTCAAAAGTTAAAAATATCAATTACTTTCGACAATATATCGTTTTAAAGATGGGTATGTTAAGCGTAGTTAACCTCAATCGTTGACTCTCCACGATAAAACACGGCTTAGGTCGAAAAAATCAATTTGAGTTTTTTATGGTAATCGACAGATTTTATGTTGCTTTTTCAAATGCAAAAGTCAGAAGTTAAAAATATCAATTACTTTCGACAATATATCGTTTTAAAGATGGGTATGTCAAGCGTAGTTAACTTCAATCGTAGTACTTCAATCGCTCGCCCTGTGAAATTCACGTTTGGGAGCTAAGCCTTGTTTTCTCGTGGACAGTCACATATAGTACCTATAATTTTATACAATAACACAATTATTTTTAAACAAAATTTTAATAACATTTCATGAACTAATACAATTATTTTCTAAAATTTTAATAAATTCTTCGAAACAATTCAATTATTTTTTTTAATAGTAAATCTTTGCAAAAAAATTCAATTATTTTCAAAAAATTCAATTATTTTCTAAAATTTTATTAAATCCTTCAAAACAATTCAATTATATTTATAAATAGTAAAATTGTTTGCAAAAATTCCATTATTATATTTCACGGAAAAAGTCAATTTTTTTCTTACTTCGTTATAAAAAATTTCAATAGAATTCAATTATTTTCTAAAACTTTAATAAATTCTTCGAAAAAATTCAATTCTATTTCTAAATAGTAAAATTCTTTGCAAAAACTCAATTATTTTTAATACAATTTTAATAAAATTTCATGAAAGCAGTCAAATTTTTTTTTACTTTTAATAATATTTTTCGAAAAAATTCAATTATTTTCTAAAATTTTAATAAATTCTTTGCAAAAATTCAATTATTTTTTATACAATTTTAATAACATTTAATGAAAGAATTCAATTCTTTTTTAATTTTTAGTAATATTTTTTGAAGAAATTCAATTATTTTCTAAAATTTTATTAAATGCTTCGAAACAATTCAATTATATTTATAAATAGTAAAAATCTTTGCGAAAATTCAATTATATATTTTACGAAAGAATTCAATTTTTATCTTATTTCGTTATAAGCAATTTCAATAGAATTCAATTATTTTCTAAACTTTGAATAAATTCTTCGAAAAAATTCAATTCTATTTCTAAATAGTAAAATTCCTTGCAAAAATTCAATTATTTTTAATAATATTTTAATAAAATTTCATGAAAGCAGTCATTTTTTTTTTAATTTTAATAATATTTTTCGAAAAAATTCAATCATTTTCTAAAATTTTAATAAATTCTTTAAAAAAATTCAATTATTTTTAATTTAATTTTAATAACATTTCATGAAAGAATTAATTTTTTTTAAAAATTTTTAATAATATTTTTCGAAACAATTCAATTATTTTCTAAAATTTTATTAAATCCTTCGAAACAATTCAACTATATTTATAAATAGTAAAATTCTTAGCAAAAATTTAATTATTTTTAAAGAATTTTAACGAAAGAATTCAATTTTTGATCTTAATTTGTTATAAAAAATTTCAATCGAATTCAATTATTTTCTAAAATTTTAATAAATTCTTCGAAAAAATTCAATTCTATTTCTAATAGTAAAATTCTTTGCAAAAATTCAATTATTTTTAATACAATTTTAATAAAATTTCATGAAAGCAGTCAATTTTTTTTTAATTTTAATAATATTTTTCGAAAAAAATTAAATAATTTTCTAAAATTTTAATAAATTCTTTAAAAAAATTCAATTATTTTTAATACAATTTTAATAACATTTCATGAAAGAATTTTTTTTTTTTTTAATTTTTACTAATATTTTTCGAAAAAATTCAATTATTTTCTAAAGTTTTAATCAATCCTTTGAAACAATTGAATTATAGTATTATAAATAGTAAAATTCTTTTCAAAAATTCAATTATTTTCAAAAAAAATTTCACGAATGAATTCAATTTATAATTTTCAATTATTTTTTTTATATAAACTTGAAACTGCGAACAGATTACCGGAATACGACGATTATTAATATAGATAGAAGATAGATTATTATAAAATTATTACTTTTAATTATATTCGATCCGAATAGAAGAAATTGAAAAAAATTCTTCTTTGATAATTTAAATGATTTAATTCACAATACAACGAATAGAATTTTTGAAGGTAATATATTAACATACAATTTTTGTTGTTTCCTGTTTAGGGGGAGCTATTTTGGCTTGGGGTAGAATAGGAATTTCAACGTCGAAGCCACCGACTCTGATCCAAATGCGAAAACGATCAGATAAACAAAACTGTGATAATGTTGAAGAGACTTCAGTAACACTTAAATATTTATTAAATACATTTGGATCGCAAAAAAATGAAGGCGTTGTATGTATAAGTAATCCTAGTCAAGTACCTAACATTCCAGCACCAGTTATTTCTTATCAAAGTTATGACATTATTCCACTCGTTGGATTTATGCCGACATTTGATTTAGTTGAAGAGTTTCCGAGAGAACGAATTCTCCATTTTACATTGGAGCAATTTACTGGATTTTATGATGTACATAAAATTATGAAAAAGGTCAGTGAACGCACAATATTATTTATTCTTCAGGTCTCATGTTTTTTTTATTAAACAAATTTTTTCTTAATTTTTGTTGTCAAATTAATTAAAATTGTTTTTGTTTGCAGTGTATAGCCCTTGGTAATCATCAAGCTTGCTCTAAATTAGCATTGTTAGAGCACAATTTCTCCGAATCGTTGATGTATCAATTGAAATCGATAACTGATCTTGAATTGGAAAATGAAATCAAAGAAATGAATGATATCGCAGAGTCACCACAGAAGCAATTTAATTCTCTTGATTTAAAAGACCAGAAAAATGAGAACAAAACAGTAATCGAAGATCGAGATGATAAAGAAATGAAAAAAGTGGAGAAGAACAAATTTTCCGATTTTTGTGATAAAAATGAAGAAAATCGATTTATTGGCAAATCATTAACACTCGATAATATAAATTATAATTCATTGTCATTGTTCAATGATAATATTCAAAAAGATCTTGTCAATAGTTACGAGGAAAGTGTCAATAAGTCACGAATTAAAATGCCAACCAGTAAATCGATGGATACACTTTCATCGATGGAAAATGAATTGTATACATTTAATTGTCAAGGCGGATCGGAGGAAATGTACGGACAAGTCGAGGAAGATAATAATATATCAGAACACTTGACAATGACGAACACAATCGATGACGAATTAGCGAGTGACAATTCTTCCGAGAAAATGAAAATGAATGATTTCATTTTTGACGATATGGATAATTATCCTGAATCAAGTGGCATAAAGAAAGCAATGAATATCGTTGAATTTTATATTAATGAAACGGAAAATTTTAATTACACAATTGTGCGTGAAGTTTTATTAAAAGCCATTAATATTTGGCTTGACCTTCGTCTTCCTCTTCGATATCTTGAACAAGTCTTCCTTCAAAATTTAGATAAAGTCTTTTATCCATTGGGATTGATTCTCTTTTGGTAAATATTTTTTTATAATTAGATATTAATCAATGATTTTGGAAAATATATTTTTCAAATTGCTTGTTTTTTTCAGCAAAAATAATTTAAGTGACGATGCAAATAATGATGAGAAGGATCATGATAAAAGTGTAACAAATGCAATTAATTCCTTGTCTACAAAATTAAAATTAAACATTTGTTCTACTCTTATGCGACATATTAATCAAGGTAAATTTTTGAAACAAAAAATTATTTCATTTATTTTTGCTTTTGTTGTATGTATCTTCATTGTTGAATTGCTTGACAGGCAAAACAACTCCAGAGTTTGTGGAACTTTTATCTCAATTAATTGCCAAATGTTTTGGACCACCATTGACTGGTTATCCAGGATCAAGTGAAAATCACACAATGGACCAGATGTTAGAAGGAATGAAGTCTACATTATCGTCAAAACAAAGCGATCCTAGACCTTTTATCCACATTAAGGTATTTTATTATTTTGAAATAAAATAAAAACTAAAAGTAACTATTATAATGAATTCAGGCCTTGGATCGACTTCTTGGCGTAAAAAAATCGCTTTACTTAATTAAAATTACAAAAAAGGGGAACAGTTCGTTAATTTTATTAGTTGTCACGAATATTTTATTTTTTCTTTTCCCGATTTTACACAGACTTCTGAATTTGATTATTCAAAACTTCAATAATTCTGTTAAATAAATATTTAAATACTTATTATTTATCTTTCTCCAAGAATGACAATTTTTTCAATTTCTAAATTTCAACTTTCTGGAAAATTATTTCTAAAAATTGTAACTTCTGTAACTCTTTCAAAATTTTATTACTTTCTAGAATTTTTAATTAAACTTTTTCTGGAAATGAATTATTTTTAATAATTTTCCATAAGTTCTTCGAGAATTCAATTATTTAAATAAAAAAGTCCATTTTTTTATAATCTTTGGTAACTGTAATTTTTCATTTTTCTTAAAAAAAAGTTATTAAGAAGAATTATTGACAATTTATGTAACCGAAAATATTCAAAATAATTGATTTTAAAAAAATTATGATATTATAATTCTTAGCATTAGTGTTTTAAAAATACACTCCAACGCCGGTTTAGCCGACTGTCTGGGTGAGTCGTAAATCACAACCCAAAATTTATTAAAAATTATTTTCAAATAGTACCTAAAATCTTTGCAAAAATGCAATTATTTTCAAACAATTTCACGAAAGAATGCAATTTTTTTCTTAGTTCGTTATAAAAAATTTCAATAGAATTCAATTATTTTCTAAAATTTTAATAAATTCTTTGCAAAAATTCTATTATATTTATAAATAGTAAAATTCTTTGCAAAAATTCAATTATTTTTAATACAATTTTAATAAAATTTCATGAAAGAATTTAATTTTTGAAAAAATCCAATTGTGTTCTAAATTTTTAATGAATCCTTCGAAACAATTCAATTATATTTATAAATGAAATTCTTAGCAAAAATTTAATTATTTTTAAAGAATTTTGACGAAAGAATTCAATTTTTTTAATTCGTTATAAAATTTTTCAAAAGAATTTAAAATTTTTAAAAATTAAAATTTTTGATTAAAATTGTTAAAGAAACTCCATTATTAAAAAAAAATTAAAAGACATTCTTCAAAAATAATTTAATTCGAATTTTCATAAATTTTAACAAAATTCTACACGAAAATTCAATTATTTTCCTAAATAATAAAATTCTTCGAAGGAATAAAATTCTATTATTATCAAATTTTTTTGATAAAATTCTTTGCTATAATTCGATAATTTTCAATACATTAATTTAAAAATTGAAAATATTCAAAAATATTTAAAAGAAAATTTACAAATAATTGAAATTTAGTAAAATTTTTTGGAAATAATTGAACTTTTAAAAAGAATTTTTGAAAAATATTAAAAAATAATCAAGTTTTTGAAAAATTTAAATTAAAATTAAAAAAAAAAACATGAATTTTTGAAAAATTAAAAAAAGTGATTACTTTTTTAAAGAACCTGAATTAAAAATTTCGAAAATGATTGATTTCTCAACAATTTTAATAATTCTAAATATTTTTCATAAAATTGAAAAATAATTATTTCTTGCAGAATTTGGAATTTTTTGAAATAATTAAAAATAATAAATAATAATAATTGCAAATATTGCAAACAATTGAAGTTAAAAAAATTATAATGGAAACTTTTTAAGCACTACTTTAAAAAAAAATATTTAATAATAATTACAAATAAAAAATTATAGAATTTTACATTTTCAAATCTTCATTTGAAGATTATATATTAAAATTTTTGAAAATTCAATTACTTTTTCGAAAGTTGCAATTAAAATTCTACAAAATTTGCTTTTCATTAATAATTATAATAACATACTTAGAAAAATCTATTATTTTCCATAAAATTTTTAAAAATTTCAATTATTTAAAAACTAATTATGCACTTAAAAAATTTAATATCTTAAAAAAATGGTTCAAAAATTATTTTTGAAGGATTTGACTTTAGTTATTTTTTACACTATATTAATCGAAATAAGTTGCAATTAACCAAAATAAGTTAGTACTTTCTGACAATATTTGGAAGAATAGTCGAAAGTTTCATTTTTTGAAAATAGTCGGAAAATGTCGAAAAAGTAATACTCCGAGGCCTGCAAATTGGTAAAAATAAATAAATTGATAATAAACTAAAAAATAAATAAAAAAGTTCATTAATTAAGAAATTAATTTAATTTTCTGTTTTAGGATCCAGACAAAGTGTCTCATTTATTAGAAATGGAGAAAGACACAATGGTTTTTACCTGTGGACATTATTATCCAATTTCATCGTCAGAATTTGTGCCACGTTTGGAAACGGAATTATTGGTATCTCATCTTCCTTGTACAGCGGAAGTTTTGGGAAGAGTGTTTCAGCAAAAAGGACAGTTAGAAACCCTTTGTCCTCAGTGCATACCACGTGCTCTTCAAACAGTCATTAATAACTCAACTAATAGATAAGAAATTAACTTGTGCTCCTTCCCTCTTAACCCCTTCACAGTGTTTGACGTCTATAGAGGCAAAAATAATTCGTGCCCCCAGTGTGTATGACCGCTATAGCGGCATCGAAAAAAAAGATATATAAAAGTTAACGAATCTTGCTAAAAATGTCTACTCGGGGGTTTTCGGGGTCGCTGAATCCAAATCTGTTATTGAAAATTTTAAATTCAAAATGGCGGCTTCAAAATGGCGACCAAATTTTTTTTTAAGTTTACGAATTTGGCTGAAAATGCTCATTCGGGGGTTTTGGAGGTCTCTAAATCCAAATATTTAGTCAAAAATTTAAAATTCAAAATGGCGGCTCCAAAATGGCGACCAAAAAAATTTAACAGTTTACGGATTTGACTAAAAATGTTTACTTGAGGGTTTTTGGGGTCGCTGAATTCGAATATTTGGTTAAAATTTTTAAATTCAAAATGGCGGCTTCAAAATGGCGACCAAATTTTTTTTAAAGTTTACTAATTTGGTTGAAATTGCTCATTCGGGGGTTTTTGAGGTCTCTAAATCCAAATATTTAATCAAAAATTCAAAATTCAAAATGGCGGCTCAAAAATGGCGACCAAAAAAATTTAAAGTTCTCAAATTAGTTCTTAAAACTTAAAGCAGAGGAATTAATATGTCCGATGTTTTAAAACATTGTGAAATACTCAAAATCGATCTATATTAAAAAATTTAATAATAGTAATTAAATTAAATACTTCGTGACTCCGGATTTGACTTAGAGCGGTGTTTTAAATAGTTTGTGTAAATATATATAAATATAAAAATATAATATATGTAAAATATATTATACATATATAAAAATATAAACCCCAAAAGACTCAAATAACTATTTATAACCACATTCGTAAACTTTTAAATTTTTAGTTGACATCTTGAAGTCGCCATTTCGAATTATAAAATTTTAACCAAATATTCTAATTCAGTGTCTCCAAAAACCCCCAAATGCTCATTTTTAGCTAAATCCGAAAACTTAAAAATTTTTTCGGTCGACATTTTGAAGCCGCCATTTTGAATTTTAAAATTTTAACCAGATATTCGAAATCAGCGACCCCAAAAACCCCCCAAGTGAGCATTTTTAGTCAAATACGGAAACTTTTAAATTTTTAAGCCGCCATTTTGGAGCCGCCATTTTGAATTTTTTCATTTTGATCAAATATTCGGATTCAGCGACCCCGAAAACATAAAATATAATAATACCAACTACCAAGTAATTAAAAAAAAAATTTTTTTTTGCACATTTGTGGCACGAAAAGCTTATTTTGACTACACTGCTAAGGGGTTAAGTACACACCAAATAATTTGGACTTCCAAAGTTTTTTATTACATGACATTATTTATTACCAAGTATTATATTAAACATCAGACTACTATATAGTATATATATAGTTTATATTTCATATATACAAAAAGTTATGTTTTCATCAAATTTTTCATATTATATATCCTATATATAAATAATCTGACGTCATGAAAATTATTATATAGTTATACTTAATGTATAATTTCGATGATTTTAAAAATATATATTACAGTTTTTTAAATAATTTCATTGAATTAACTATAATAATCTACGTATTTCATTCTTTCATTCTGTCTGTCCACAATTTAAAGTTTTTTTTTGTGCATGCTTTTATTTTTTTTTCTTTAAAAATTTTTTTTTGACAAATTGAAAATAGGTATTTTTTTATGATTAATAATAAAATAATATTTGAAATTAAAAAATTAAAAAAAATTATTGTTTAATTTTTGGCATTTTTTTAGGACAATATAACATTTAATTAACGTTTCGAAACCGGTACCGGTTTCCTCATCAGAATTTATTTAATCTATAAAATAACAATACACTTATTCTTAATTTATTAATTTATATACTTGTTCTTAATTTGTTAACTTTAAGTTTTTTTAAAAGAAAATTACAATTTTTATTTTAAATATTTACATAACAACTATTCTGACAACTTTAATTCAAAACGTTAATTAAATGTTATATGTTATATGTTATATATCTATCCCTATTAATATAAAATCATATCGCCGCCGCCGCTGTTTCAGAAAGTTTTAAGGGACCCTTATAGTAGGGGGAACATAGTCAAGGTTGGCCCACTGTCAAGGTAGGTCCATCGTCAGAAACAAGTTATATTTGACATAAATTCAGGTCAATTTAAGGGCAGTTTTAACCTACAGGTCAAAATTACTCAAAATTTATGGCAATTTTAAGGGCAGATTTAACCTACAGGTAAAAAATTGACAAACAATTCCCTCTGCCCTCAAAATGTAGGTCAATTTTAAGGGCAGTTTTGACCTAAACGTCAAAAATTCACAAATAATTCCCTCTGACCTCAAAATGTAGGTCAATTTTAAGGGCAGTTTTAATCTACAGGTAAAAAATTGACAAACAATTCCCTTTACCTTCAAAATGTAGGTCAATTTTAAGGGCAGTTTTGACCTTAACGGAAAAAATTGACGAACAATTCCCTTTGCCCTCAAAAATTAGGTCAATTTTAAGGTCAGTTTTCATCTACACCGCAAAAATTGTCGAAAAAACTTCCTCTGACCTGACCTTTCCTTAAAATTTAGGTCCAATTTGACATATTTTTTAGCCTATACATGAAAAAAATAAATTAATTAGGATTTTTTAAAAAGTCGTACCCTTATATTAAAGTTTGATGGAATTTTCGACCCATTGGTTAAAAGAAGTTTGACCTAAATTTCAATATTAAGTTTCAATTAATAAAAGATGTTATAAATTGACATATTTTTTTTAAAAATTCTATTAAAATTATTTTTCTGTCCTCAAAATGTACTTTAATTTTAATGGCAGTTTTTTCCTACAAGTTAAAACTTGACCAGAAATCTCTCTCTGATCTGACATTTTCTTAAAATTTAGGTCAATTTTAGGGTCAGTTTTGACCTACACGTCAAAAATTGACAAGAAAATTCTTTCTGACCTACTGTTTCCTCAAAATTTAGGTCAATTTTAAGGTCAGTTTTGACCTACGGGTAAAAATGAAGCCCACAAACGTCTATTATTTTACGTCGAAATCCGTCCATAAATTACGTAAGACATTTAGGGGGGAAGGGGGTCAGCAAGATCTTGCGAACAATAGGAAAAATGGCGCTAATGTATGTAAAATATCTTACGAGGGAGGAAGGGGGTCAAATTTACCCAAAAAATGACTTACGTAATTTATGGACAGCCCCTAATTGCCCTTACATTACGTCAACATTTATGTCAACTGCAGGTAAAAAGGGGCCCAATAATACTTTTGACACTGAGAAAAAAGAATTATCAAATTTACTATGAGGAGTGTCAAACTTGAAAAAGTTGACACTATAATCACTTCCGTAAAGTAGAATTCTCTATTAGTTATCTTTTTTAATATCTCCTGTTATAATTTACTCTAACTCATTACTATGCCATCATATTAAGATAACATGATTTTAAAAATTAAAATAAATATTAAAAATAGTTAGGGGGTTGGCGCGCGAGGCGCGCAGGGGGGCGAAGCCCCCCTAGTATATATATATATATATATACACTTTCCTGTCCTAAAGAAAATGCATAAATTAAACAATATCAAATTTATTATATGAGACAGAACATCAATAAAAAATTTTTTAGAAAATTATGATTAACAAATCAATTTTCTTTATCATATGCTTTTTTCTATAACAGATTTCGTCTCCTTTTTATTTATAAAAATATTAAATAAAATTGTTAATTGTTAAAAAATTATGATATTTCTCAATATCAATATTGTCCACAAACTCATTCTTTTCTTTTTGTAAAGAAACATATTTAGGATAATTTTCAACATAATTGAATTTTTTGAGAAGAACTTTACTACTTTTGAAAATAATTGAATTTCTGCAATCATTTGTAATTTCTCCAAAATTGGATTTTTTTAGTGTTTTCAACAAAAATTTGAATTAAAATTTTTTAAATTTTATTATTTTTAAAATTGCTAATTTTATTTAAAAAAGTAAGTAAGAAGTTAGTTGCGCGAATTTTTGCTAGTTCACTTAAAAATGAAATGATAAAATAAGATGGTTATTAAATAGTTATGAAAATGGTTTTAAAGATACGTACATTTGTTAAAAAATATCGTGATTATTTTATTCTAAATATTTTGACTGAATAATACAAAATTTTACATACATTTTACATGAGAATATGCGCACAGACATTTTCGAAGGCCTAATTAGTATTGGATATATTAGTATTAAATATTCAACACTTTTTATAATTACATACAATTAAAAGTGTAGGTTTAGTAGACCCTGAACTATATTTTTCTATATAGGTATTTACTGTTTTCCAAAATTTACCTAAAATCATTATCGTTTTCGTGGTTTTTTGCAAATTGGTATTATACAAAAGTAATTCGAGACGTTTAGTTTTAGTTTTTTTAAAGAGAAATTAAATAGAATTTTTTTCATTTTCTTCACCATTATGAGCTGTTAATTTTTTTACTTTTATGAATTCTTCTTTTATATAAAAGAATTTTATTGGAAATCTGAAAATGAATATTTAAATTTTTATTATTTTTAAATATAATAAAAATTTAGTTTTCAAAATAGAAAAAAACTTTCTCTACTAACAATTTCTCTTCAAAAACAAACTTGTATAAAATTTTCAAAATTCATCTGGTTTTGAGCATCCCCGGACTCCCCTTCAATTTTTTAATTCTATCAACTACTTTAGTATCATGCACACTTTCTAAAAGAGTTTTATTTACAAATTTATTGACTTGGCTAGAGATTAAAACAACATTATTATGGTAAAATTTTAATACTAAACATTACTAGAGTGTTGTTTTTTGTGAATAACAGCGTAAACAATGCTTTACAAAACTCATTGAGTTATTAAAATAATAAACAATTATCTAAGCGTGTAAATGCGTTTATGAATGAAATGAAAAAAAATATTATTAAGTACACAGAGTTTTTTTCGAGAAATTTCAAAAAAAAATTTCGGAGATTTATTGAGAGAAAAAATTCATTTCATTCACAAAAATTTTTTGTTAAACAAATAATTTTAACGCCTTAAACACAAAATGAAAATAACATGTGCATTCTAGAACTAAATGTAACAAGAAAATATTTGTTTGGAACAGTTCAACAATAGAATTGTCAAGAAATTGAGAAATAATTTATAAAATTTAATAATATTTCATAATTAATGAAATATTTTACAATTATTATAATTATTTACAAAATCGTTTGAAAAATTTTAGTTTAGTTTCTATTTTAATAACAACTATTATAAATTAATTTAGTTCATTAATTAAAATAAAAAGTACTGAAAATAAATTTCAGTTTGCAATTTCGAATGTAATTTAAACTTTAATATTGAAACTTTTTAAAATTTTTCATTTTTTCCAGTAAAATATAATTGCTTTCTTCGAAATTGTAAATTTCGAAAGAATATTCAGTGTTTGACACGACTGTAATTATATCCCAATTTTTCGACGTACTTATGGAATAGAATAAGCAGATGTAAAAAAAAGAAAAACAAGGTAAACAAAAGAATTATTACATACTTTTCACACACATAAAAATTATTAGATTTTATCTAGTCCACAGTCTAACATTTGTTAAAGTACAACATAGTTAATACGCGTTTCAATGAGTGTTTAAAGTACATTAAGGATGTAATGAAAAATGAAAGATAAATTATATGAATAATTATTCATACACACATTTTCTGTTTCATTGTTTATAGAATAATTTTCCAATTATCACTTGATTCTTTTACAAATAAAAGAATAATTTTTGCGAAGAATTCAAAAATAAATTTTAATTTGCAAAAAGTTTGCAAAAGCGAAAGATAATTTTAATAAAAATTTATTTTACTAAAATTAAATTATCAATAATTAATAAAAATTATATTGTTATTAATTAATGATAATTTGTGTGTATTTTCTTTAAAAATATATACAAAAATGAATTTTTTTTCTATACGTATTTTGAATGGATAGAAAAGAAAATTAGAACGGTTTTTTTTTTCAAAAAAAGAGTAATTACGTTACGATAAGATAACACATGCGCATTATTTAAAATAAAGAATTGCACTTATTGTTTAAAATCCTCTCTGGGGCTTTAGTGGATAGCCATTAATTTATTATATACGGATGTCCAATTGCTTTATTCAGATGCACTATTTTCCGGAATAATGAGAGCCAATGTTAGAAGGTGGTCCTCTGTGATGATGGTGGTGATGCTTGTGTCCCGGACCAGAATATCTGCTTCCAGGTCTCGAGTGAACAATGGCATAGTGATCACTATTTGTTGATATGGATCTCGTAGAATTCATTGTGGATCCGCCGGAAGCATAGCCGGGTTTGCCATTCAAAGAATACCTGAAATGATAACAGTTGTTTAAAAAAAATATTCTAACTTCAAACCGGTGAACAATTTTCTTTCAATTATATAGGAGCAATAAAAACAATCTTTAAAAATATGTAAAAATTCTACATTCTACAATTATTAACTATAGGAATAATCTTCGTATTCATTCTTTCATTTTTTCTGTCCCTCACACTCTGAAGTTGTCTTTTGTGTATACTTTTGTTTTTTTGTTAACTTTAGATAGATTGTATATTATATTATTATGTTTATAATTATTTTTATTTTATAATTAATTTAAAATTGTAATGACAAATAGAAATCATCAGAATTTTTTTCACTTCTTTTCATTAAAAGACTAAAATTTTGTTAAATATTATGTTTTGTCAAATTGAAAATATGCAGATTTTTGTTCTTTACTTCTAAACAAAATTAGAAAATTGTTAAACATCTGTGATTAAGAAATAGAAAATTTATTTATTTTGCATTATTTTTGTTTATGAGTCACAATTTTTTTAACAAAATTATTATTTTGTTTTAGAAAAAGAAGAAAAATATTTGGACAATTTCTATTTTTAATCATATTTTTGGAACAGGATTTTCCACAGGAATTAAGACATTCAAAAATTCCAAATTCAAACCTTTTTTAAATTATAAAAAATTATTGTTATAAAACATGAAGATATCGATTGCTCCGAGTCGAAACATAATAAAAAAAAAAAAAAAAAAAAATAATAATAATAATAATAATAATAATAATAATAATAATAATAATAATAATAATAATAATAATAAATAAAACAAATTCAAATAAACTTTTTCAAAAAAATTAGTTTCAAAATTCAATTATTTTTAAAAATTTACCCTGTAATGCTTGTAATATTCAATTGAAAGATCTAAAATTTTAACTGAAATTCATATTTAAATCAATTTTTATTAGAAAATTCTACTAGATATCAATTATTTAAATGCAAAAATAAATAATTTTATTGAATAATTAAATGTTTCTTAAAATTGATTTCTCTTAAAGAATTTCATCACCAAATTTTTAAATAATTGAATTGTCTCCACGAATTTTAATAGGATTTTTAAGAATAATATTGAAATCTTTCGACGAACTATAATAAAATTTTTAAGAATAATTGCAGGAATTCAATTAAAATAGTACTAAAAATAATTCAATTTTTTGGTGAAAAATTTTGCGATTTATAAAGATAATTAAATTTTATCGAGATTTTTTTTCAAATTTTTGTAAATAATTGAATTTCTGCGAAGAATTTTATTACCTACTTTTGAAGATAACTGAATTCCTTTGATGAATTCTTTTGTTATTTATGAAAATAATTGATTTTTGCAATGAATTTTATTAAAATTCCTGAAAATAATTTGAATTTCTGGGAAAATTTTTGTTACATATCAAGATAATTGAATTTTTTCAAAAAATTACGTTAAATTAACATTTTTCAAAAAAATTCATTAAATAATTTTAAATTAATAATTTTATGTTAGTTCTTGAAGAATTAAGTTATTTAAAAAGAAATTATTGTCAAAAATAGAAAAAATTGAAGGTTTTGTATTAGAATTTGTGCCAATAATTTGTAATGTTACAAAAATTAAATTTTTTTTTCGTGTTTTTAACTAAAATTCTTCTATATAAATGCATTATTTTTAATAATTTTAAAAAAATTTCTTTGATAATTTTCAAATTCATTTGTTTACAATTCAATTTTACAAAATTTGAATTATTCGTAAATTCTGCAATTAAATATATATTCGAAAATAAAAACTTTATATAATTTAAAAAAAATCCGCAATTAACCTTTCACACAAAAATTAATTCCACATAATTGTTAGTTAAAAATATGAAAAATTCAGATTTTCAAAGATTTTAATTTGAAACCTTTTCAAAATTCTACTAGAATTCAATTATTGCATTTTTCTTAAATTTGAATTCTCATAAAGAATTTTATTATTAAATTTTTAAATAATTGAATTCTTTTGAGGAATTTTAATAAAAATTTTAAGAATAATTACATTTTTCGAGGAATTGGATTAAAATTGTATTAAGAATAATTAAAATTCTGCGATGAGTTTTATTATTTACGAAAATAATTGAATTTCTAACAAGAATTTTATTATTTACGAAAATAATTGAATCCCTGTAAAAATTTTATTATTTATGAAAAGAATTGAATGTAAAATTTTTATTTTAAAAAAATAATTGAATTATTGCGAAGAAATTTATAAAAAAAATTGTAAATAATTGAATTCCTGTGAAATTTTTATTATTTTATAAAAATAATTAAAAGTTTGTTTAGAATTTTATTAAATTTTTTTTTAAATAATTGAATTCTTTTGGACAATTTTAATAAAATCAGTAAATTTTAAAAATCATTTATTGAGGAAAATTTTTGAAAATAATTGAAATTTTGTCAAGAATTTTATTAAAATTTTTGAAAATAATTGAATTTCGGTGAAGAATTTAATTATTTCTAAAGATAATTAAAATTTTGAACATAATTAAATTTCTGCGAAGAATTTTATTACTTTTGAAAATAATTGAATTTCTGCAATAATTTATAATTTCTCTAAAATTCTCCAATTTATATCGTACAATTTAAGACTCGCTAGTTTATATATAAAACAATTTAAATATAATAATTCAAATAAAAAATACAATATAGAAAAATAAAAATGTGAATAAGAATAAATAACTGATAATTATAAATAAATAGGAAATGTGATAAATTTAATTAATTATATAGAAAAAAATGCAAAATGTTTGAAAATAGATGGAAAAGAGTTGACCCAAACTGACATTAATTAATTTGCATCAAATGAAGTATCGGGCATTGTTACATTGTACTTCCGTGTCCTCTCACGTTACAATAAATGTATATACGAATGTCACTGAAGCGATACGTACAATAGTTAAGTATGGAAATGCGGAAATCTCTTTTTCAGTTAGCGGCCGGTTGGCGGAGATGAAAAGAGAAAGAATAGAATTGAGTGCAGACGAAGATATCTCCCAACATTAACTATATATATGCTGGGAAACTGTTACGAAAGGACGAAACAAGTTAATTCAAAAATTGTTCCCGTAGAATCTTTCATTGCTATACGCGCGCGCTCTTCCAGGAACAAAAAGCGAATAGAGCCTCCTCTTTCAATTCAATGGTCATTGTTTAGGTTTGCTCTTTCCTAATAAAACCGCATGCATATATGTGCACAACTATTATAATGGCAAAAAATAAACAAAATGATACAATTATTTTTTCACACACTGCGCATGTCGTATTATATATATATACAGTACGAAAACCTACCACGTCAGTCATATCCCATTAGTGGGAGTGAGACAGACTTATGCGATTCCCATACTTTCCTATGACTGACGGATAGCTTTTCTTACTGTATATACTGTTCGATAACAGCCATTGAATTTATATACTTTCATTTTTTAATTATATTTTTCACTTTTATTACCAAAGAATTAAAAATTGCTCGTCTTTAATTTCTCCCCTTCTTTAATTTCCTATTCTTTCTGAAAAAAATTCCTTATAAAGGGAAATTTTAACAAGTGTTTAAATTATTCACAGTACCTGAAAATTATAACAATTGAAAATCATTATTTTTATAATACATAATTATATATATGGAATTTTGTCGTTATTAAAGTTAATTGAAAAAAATAATATCCAACCTTGATCCATATTGAGATCCGTGCCAACTTCTGTAAGGATCGTAATCCTCGATGATCGAAGGCTCCTTTTCTATGACTTCTGTTCGCGTGCAAGTGCAAGACATTGCCGAACAAAGGCAGATATTAATGATAAGCATAATGAGGAACAAAATGCCAAGTGCAACAGCGAGCCAGAGTAACCAGGCTGGATGAACACTGCCGTCTTCGAAAGACGCAGCCAATACTGTCAAAAAAGCATTAAAAAATGGTTTTCATTAAAATATATATAAATAATTACAAGTGAGTTGATTTAATTAAATATGCAGAATATTATACTAATTGCAAACAGAAAATGTTCACTATGTGGTTAACTAAATTAATAATCAATAATTGTTTGTTTATGAAAACTTAACCTAAAAATTTCAAAGATTTCAAGACAGAAAATGTTTCACAGTAAATGTTATCATAAGGGCGCTAGGGCACTATGTAGTACTATTTGCAAAATAAAAATGTTCACTGCAGTTAAACCTTCGGAATTATTACTAAATAATGATAAATAATAATTGTTTATTTATTATAATTTAACCTAAAAACTAGAATTTCAGCAAATGCTTCCACAAATGTCAGCAAGGGCGCTGCGATCGAAATATTGATGATTACTGCGCGTGCGTATGCTATGCGTTAACCAATGGAGAGACACATAGTGGACTGGCGACTGGTGGTGGCGTCATTTACGTTTTGTTCTTCCGGGTAAGTACAAAGAAAAAGATCTGAGCTAAAGAAAAAGTCTAATTGCCTACTAAGGTTTTTATTGTCATGCGCAAATTAGAAATAAATGTTTTTCATTGCATATTCTCATTGAAATAATTAATCAGCCAGTAAATTCAATTATTGGAAGTTTTTTATTTTTGAACTTGTACTTGCCCTTCAAGACCAATTCGTTCTTAGTAAAACTATATTTTTTCGGGTGACAGCAGTTCATTCTTGTATTGAGTTTATGGCTGTAGTTAGTGTAAATTTCGTACAAGTGGTACAAGTTAACGAGTTTGACAAAATAATTTTGGTTGCTTATAGTTTGATATGCAATAAAGATCTTTAAAGTAAGTATATCTGTCATTTTCGCCGAAGTATTTGTTTCCAAGCGAGCAAAGGTATTCTCCCCATTCTCAAAAGACTTAGGTTAGAATAGCATATACAGGGCCGGCGGAACCTATATGGAGACTATGGAGCACTCCATACTCTGCCGTGGATAGAGTATGGAATTCCATAGACTAAAATCATGACACATTTTATTAATAAATATATTTTTCCAAGAAAAATTATTGAAAATAAGTTGTAGGATTCACAAATAAAGATAAATTGTTTTTGTAATGTAATATTGAATAAATTATATCAGTCAACTAAATAATTTAAGTTTTTAATTTTACCTTCCCCCCCCCGGTCATCAGTTATAAGAGCCATTAAACTCCATAGTCTAAAAAATTTAGTTCCGCCGGCCCTGAGCATATAGAAAAGAAAATAAATTCTGATTTCTGTTTTAATTTGCGAATCATTCGGTAACATCGTCGGTCATGTCACGTTTTTTCAAAATTCAGTATTTTTTTCACTTTAACAAAGTGTTCAAATTTTTCTGGAAATTATGATGGTCTTTCTAGGAAGTTAATAAATAATTATTTTTGTGCAACACCTGCTGGAAAAGAGCTACTTTTCTTTAACATAAATGCAGCACAAAGTGGTCAATTTTTGCACATTTAAAAGTGTGCAGGAAAGTGTACTTTCCTGCACACTTTTCTGTAAACAGTATAATATACACTATAATCAACATAAAACTATATTTATTGATTAGAAAAGTATAAAAATTACTTTTTTCGGTAAACAGGTGTTGCACAAAGTACTGTGTCCAACACGTACGAAAGAAGATTTTCCGACTTCGTGCAAATTACTGCCCTCGCTTCGCTCGGAGCAGCAAACTTTGCACTCGTCGGAAAACATCTTCTTTCTGTACTTGTTGCACAATATACTATTCCTTAATTCTTTCGCAGAAAAAATTATTTTCAATTCGAGGGTTTTTGAATTATTTATTTTGATGAATTATCTCTTTTTTAAAATGGAAACCGAAATCTACAATTATATATTACCACATGAGGAGTATTGAGAGTGGATAATGAAGTGTTTCTCTTTATCAGAATCCTCACTTCTTTACACGGAGAAAATTTGTTCCTTACATTTTACCGAATTTTTCAATAAAGTTGGGATATAGTAGCATAATCGTAATTTTTAATAATTTTTATATTATTTTTTCGGTAACAATATTTAAAATCTAATGTGATATCTTTATTCCTTAAGAACTAGTACTGTAAAAGTTGAAAAAAAATTTAAACTGAACGTTTAATGTAAATTAAATAAATACCTCCTTGATGGGCACTAACGTTTCAGGAATAGTTCGGTAAAACTTTCTTGACTTGCCTAAAGTTTTAGTTTTCAGGAATAGTTCGGTAAAACTTCCTTGACTTGCCTAAAGTTTTAGTTTTCTGGATTGAAATACTTTATTTCAAGTGTCCCGCAGTCAAATGAAAGACTTTCACACTAATAGTTGATTTTTCCAACTTATTTAGACTTAATTAATAATCATTTTATTATTATTTAAATTAAAATTCAATTAATTAAAATTCAATTAATTAATTATTTTAAACACTTATTAATTGCCAAATATGTAATAAATGCTTTTAAATCATGTAAAAAGAAAATATAAAATGGCAATAACATTCTTATTTTTTTATCATATAATTTATTCATTTTAATTAAATATGAATAATAGTAAGTAAGTAAGCAAGCAATCAAGAAAGCAAGTAAGTAAGGCATTAAACATATAAGTAAGTATGTAAGTAAGTAAATAAGTAGGTAAGCAAGTAAGCAAAAAGGAAATAACTTCCTTGCTTACTAGCTTACTTTCTTATTTGCATACTTACTTGCTTATTTCTTTCTTGCTTACTTTGCTTACTTGCTTACCTACTTATTTGCTTACTTCCTAATTTCCTTCTTGCTTACTTGCTTGTTTCCTTTCTGCTTACTTACTTCCTTATATGCTTACTTTCTTATTTCCTTCTTGCTTACTTGCTTATTTCCTCCTTTCTTACTTTGCTTACTTGCTTATTTCCTTCTTGATTACTTACTTTCTTATTTGCTTACTTTCTTACTTGCTTATTTCCTTCTTGCTTACTTTATTCCTTATTTGCTTACTTGCTTATTTCCTTTTCGCTTTTTAATACCTCACAATTATTATTTAATATTTCAGAAAGATTAATTTTCTATTAATTAATTTAATAATTTCCAACTTGCACTTTTAATATGTATATTTTTAATTTTAAACACAAAAATTTGAGAATAATAAAGATTTTCATAAATTATTGTTTTATTCCATTAAATACAAATTTAAACATTTTTCTTTATAATAATAAAAACATAATTTAAAAATATTTCATAAATTGACCTTGAATATAGTTAGAAATGATTCATTAATATAAATAATTTTTAATTTTGTACAACGATAGTTTATTAATTTGAATCTTTCTCACAAGCGGTGAAATAAAATTGAGATTAATATATAAGGACAGTTGAAACTTTCTGAAGCATTAATGTAAAGCGTGCGATGTGTGTATTAGTGTATGCGTTTAGAATGTACTGTAGGCAGGTGTATCAATTAGTATTTGTTCGTAAACAATTGTAGGGGGTTTAGGTAGTGATTAAAGTAGGTAAATTGAGAGTTACGGCAGTATTAATATACATCTACTAAAGTAACATTATTTTTTATTTTTGTTCTTCAAGTTTTACCGAACTTTCAGTAAATTGCAACTTGTCAGTTTTACCGAAGACTTTATCTTACGTTTTACCGAACTATTCAATAAATATGAATGTAGCGAGCACTTGGCTTACGTTTTACCGAACTGTAACTGAAGCGCTAATACATGTATCGTGAGCTTTATGATTTTTACATTATTTTTCAATGCAATTTCTTTTACAGTCTAGTTCTTGAAAAATTACTGTTTTGACACTTCATCCCAGTTTTACCGAACTAAATTCAGTAAAATTTCAGGAATAAATTTTCTCCGTGTACCAAATAAATTCCAAGTACAGCATTGCACTGTCAGTTAAAAAGTGATATTTTAGAAATCTTGTTCTTTTTCCTCACTCGAGGTATTTTTATGTATTTGTCTGGAATTAAGAATTCTCTAAAGTTTCTGTAACATTTCAGTACTTTTTTTCTTAATTCAGCAGATTTTTAGCCACGAAAAACATTTAGGATGATTGGACCTAATGCATTGGATAATTGAGCAACCAGTCCAATTGTCCAAATGCCGTTTGGACAATTGAGCAAACTTTCTAAAATACCTAAAAAATTTAAAAAAAAAATTTTTTTCAAATTGCATATATTTTGATGAACGATGCCTTCCCTGTAGGGAAGGTGACTAAAATATAGTGCGCAGCTCTAGATGTCATAGTAAACTACTGCGCATACATTTAAGTTTTTGCTATTTGGCGCAAGTTTGCTGCAAACTTGCAGTGCAAACTTTCCAAGTGGGTGACATTTTTATATTTATGCAAATTTGCTGCAAAATTGCAATGCAAACTTGCGAAATTTGCATGGAAAACTTGCAGCAAACTTGCAGAAAATATCTGTGCTTTGTGGGAGGAAGTAAAAGTCATTTACTTGTTCGACTTGTATGAACATGGCGTTCATTTTTACCCTTGGGGAAAAAACGCATGGAATCATGGTTTATTTTTTACTCATGGGAATTTTATTGAAAATGGTCGATCAAATGAATATTGCTTTACTATCCTTATCGTCTGCTATATCTAAGATTGAGTCACCCGGGAGCAGCTTAATAATAAAACAATCAAATTTATAGGTTATGTTACAGGAATCGTTACTTAGTTTTAGAAATTTAAAATTTTTATTCTTTACGCAGAAGAAACGATAATCTAATTTTAAGAAGCTCTTACTTAAAATTAGATTATCGTTTTTTCTGTGTATCTTTAATTTTTAATGGTTAAAAGTGAGAGTATAAAATTTCTTAGTTTTCCTCTATAACTTTTTTTTTTATTGAAAAACACAAGTTGAATAAATTTTTCCGTTGACTAAAAATTCGATTAATTATTCAATATTACTTAATGAGGTTAAAAAATAATGAATAATCAATTTAATAATAAAACTTATTGTTAATGTTATGTAATCAGTTTCTTAAA